CCACCCCCCCCCCCCCCCCCCCCCCCCCCCCCCCAGCCAGCCCTTCTCCCTTTCCCATCCCAAAGCACTAGCCTTCCGGCAAGGGACATCTCGACCTTTTTGCAAGGCACACTCCAAAAGGGCATGGAAAACAACAAATCCTCGACCTCCAAGCCTCCCACCCCTTCGACCCCCCAATCCGTAGCCTCCGACCCTAAGGCTCCGGCTGCCAGGCCATTGTACAGTAGCAAGTTGAGCGACGGAAAAGACAGATCCACCGATAACGTCAATTCCAGGTGAGACACGCCCCAAGCCCTCCTTCTTCCCATACAGCTCGCCAATTCCTGTGGCCGCATTGCTTTTCCCCTTCCACAACAAAATCCTTTGCGCCTGTTGCGCCTTTCTTTATCTGCCCGTCCACCTCTGCCTCGACTTGGACTGCGCGCACAATCTCATCTGCAAGCAGCCTCATCGCGCTGCATTTCAGCACCAACCTTTTGTACCTCAAACCTGTCGCCGCCCAGTACTAACCACCATCTTCTGCCGGCCAGACAAGCTCCTGTTCCGCAGCAGAAGGCCCGGTCTTCGGCCAAGAACCCAATCACTGGTCGCTCGAACAGTCCGCAACAGAACAATCCGAACAACAATAACCAACCCAGACAATCCCCGACTGCGTCTCTCCGTGAGGTAAGTTGTCCTTCTCTTGACGTCTCGCACAATTCCGCCTTGCACATCTCCATCGTGGCCTTTGGGGTGGGCAAGACCACCTTGATTTTGATGTGGCCTGGCATCACATTCCCGTCACATTTCGCATCAACACCACCACCTTCCTCAAACTCAGTACCTTCTCACCCTTTCATGACGATTGCCCTCTTGTTTGATTTGCATCATCTTTGATCTGACGAAACTCGTGCAACAGGGCCAGCGAGTCTACATCACACTTACGAACGGTCACGAATACGAGGGCATATATGCCGTCAACCCTACGAATTCGGCTACTTTCTCCTTGAGAATGGTGCAGCAGAAGAAAGGATCTGGATCAGGAGACTCCGCGAACGGCACCGGTAAACGAGACCAAGCAAGCATGTCTTTCCAAAAGAAGGATGTTGCCGACGCTCGCGTCACTGGCAGCAACAACAGCAGAGGAGAAGGAAGAACACAGAATGGTGAGCAATCATCCGCTGCGCGCCGGTGCTAGTTCATCGTACTCATAGTATCCTAGGCAATCGAGCCGGTTTCCGCACAGATACTGCTATCTCCAACGGCAGGCTTGGAAGCGAACGAGTTCTTCAGCCGTGGGTCCCGGATGCTGCTGATGAGGTCGACGGAAGCCTCGAGAAATCATCTGGCAGCAGCAAGGGCTGGGACCAGTTCGCCGCTAACGAGCACTTGTTTGGCATCAAGACGGACTACGATGAGAACATCTACACGACGATCATCGACAAGTCCCACCCACAATACCAGCAACGCATGCTGGCTGCGGATAGGAAGGCCCGAGAGATTGAGCGGTCGACTCCTACTACTGCCCATGTTGCAGAGGAGCGTATCATGGACTTCGCTGGTGGCGATGACCAAGGCGGCGATGAGGAAGACAAGTACGACATACATACCCCAGTTTGTTCTTACCTAAGGCTACTTCCAGTTGCTGACTCGCTTATAGATACAGCGGTGTTCGTCGCGGCGAATTCGCGTCACTGACCTCCGGAAAGGAGAATCGATACACACCCCCAGCCAGACGGGCGCCCACTGGCCAAGCAACTGTAAAGGGTGCACCTGTTGACCCTGCCATCATCTCTTCCCAAATTAAGGGCTCGCAGTCCAAGAAACCCTCGACCCCTGTCACCGAGGAATCCAAGCCTTCGACCTCCCCACAGCCCTCCGCAACAGCCAGCGCCGACCCGAGCGCTTCGGGGGCTGCCAACAAGTCAGACAGCAAGGCCGAGGCGAAAGCTAAGGATGGCAAGAACGAAGAGAAAGCTGCTGAATCAAAGAATGTCGAGAAATCTTCTTCGACCCTCCGTGCCACAGCCACCACTGCCCGCACTGTCTCGCCTCAGGCGAAGGACGGCGCTGCCGCGCCCAGTGCTACATCGACGGTCGAGGCCGATGTCCTGAAGTCGTTCAAGACCTTTGCTACACAGCAGCGTGCCCAAGCGGATAAAGTGCGCACCAACAAGATGAAGGCCGACAACCAGGTCAAACTACAGGAGCTCAAGAAGTTCGCCGATAGCTTCAAGCTGGCAACTCCTGTCCCGAAGGATTTGATTTCCATCATTGCAAAGGACCCTGCCAAGCAGAAGCAGATACAAGCCAAGGCGTTGCAGAATGCAGAGGACGTCAAGCGGGCTAAGGATGCAGCCAAGGAGAAGGATTCGGGAGCTGCCAAAGACACCCAGGCGAAACCCACGGTAGAGCAGCCACCTGCACAGAGCTCGGCGGCCCCGCCGGCTGATAACCGAAACGCGCGGAGCGGAGGCCCCCAACACACGCCGTCGCCATCTGCTATGAACAACAACCGCCACCCAGGTCCCCGACAATCCTACGGACCGCAAGGCTATCACCAACCGTTCAGAGGTGACAGGCAACCTACTCAGCACATGGCTAGTCGCCAAACTGGTAATCTTGGCGAACGACTGAGAAAGGTTGAACAAGAACGTGCTCGAGGAGGCCAGCAGCACTATCCGAACTCACACGAAATGCGGATCCCTCCAACCGGGCCTGCGAACAGCGTTGACCCCAACTATGGCAGGCGTCTCAGTGCCATGGCTCCCCCTCACCCTCATCTCGCCGCCAAGCTGAACCCCAATAGCCACGAGTTCAAGCCCAACCCCTACGCCACTTCCTTCAGCCCTAATGGTCCGAGCACAGGATCGAGCCCTCGCTCTGGTGTCAACGTTGTCGAGCCGCAACCCGTCTCTGCCCCCCAGTCGGGCCAACTTATCCGCCGCAAGACCAAATCTATTGATGTTGCTAAGTGCTTCATTCTCGCTCACATCAAGACGGCTCACCCCCCTCAGGGCAGGAACTGGGACGACAATAACGGGCTGCGCCCATCCTACGACACTCTCCCGACCTGGAGACAGCTGCAGGACAATGAGAAGGCGGATTCCACCATGCATCTGACTTACAAGGAATACTTTGAACGCCTGCCCTTCGGCGGCCCGGCACTTACTACCCCCAACCCATCCCATGCGATGCCACAAGTTCCGCATCAACACCAACTACCATTCCATCTGCAGCACGGCGCGCACGGTATGCCTCGCCAATCTCCACACATGGCCCCAATGCCAATGCATCCTCAGCCCGGACCTACTCCTCAGATGCCATACAACAACGGAGACGATCATAGAATGATGCAGTCTAACTCGGCACAATCCTTTGCCTCCCCGAGGATGGCTCAGATGTCAATGTACCCTCCGCAGATGAATTCGCCTGCACAAATGCCGCCCTACAATCAGGCTGTCGCAATGCCGCAATTCATCCCCTCCACTCCCCAGATGAACCAGTTCCGGAGCTTTTCTAATAGCCCCCAGTATATGGCTCAGCAGCCGGGCCCAATGGGCATGCAGGTAATGCCACCCCAGTTCATGACTGGCCCCAGTAACATGGTGCCGTCAAGTTCTCAGATGGGCATGTACCCAGGCCAGCCGCAGTTCATCAATCCTGGTGGTGCTCCGCCGCAACCCATGCCAGGCTCGAACGGCTACCCAAGCCCGGGTCGACCTGCAGCTGCCCCCATGATGATGCAACAGGGTTCTCAACAAGGACAGCATGTCTATGGCATGAGTCCTGGCATGCCATACCAGCAGCCCGTCTATACGGGTCAAGCTCCCAATCAGAGTAAGTAACGGTATCCCTACGCCCGCCAACACGGCTTGAATGCTGACGTGAATCAGTACCTATGAGGGGTTTCAGCAATTCCGGCCCGCAGCATTTTGGCACGAGTCCCCAGCAGATGCACCAGTTCGGCCATCGAAACGGCAGCCACAGCTATGGCAACAAGAACTTCCACGGTCATAACCAACATCAGCCAGCCCAAGGCGGCCACGCAGCAACTGCTGGTCCATCGGGGCGCGCCGGAGAAGGACCGGAAGAAGCCAAATGAATCCCGGCTCTGAATGTCGTGAAACGTATGGAAAATCGAACGCTCTAGCAGGGTCTCTCAGGCTCTGCTCTTGGAGCATCAAATCAATCTAGTTTTTGAGCTAGACAAGCAGACTTCAGTCTTGGGCACGCTGCGACCGACTGTCGGCCACAATGTGTGTTACACTCTGCATGCATTGCTACTCTTTCCGCAGGTTACGGGGTTTATACGGTGTTGTCTTGTCACCAGCACGCGTGGTTGGCTGCCTCGAGGCCGCTCTCTCGGCTTATTGGGCGAGCCGCCTGAGCCCCCGTAGACCTAAGGATAGGGGTCCCTTCTGTTTTTTTGAGTATTTGCGGCGAGAGGTTGAGGGCGAGATTTCGCCACAGTCTCGTGCGCTGCTACTCAGACTTGGCGAGGGTGAAGTTTTTGTATTGGACGGAGGCGGAGGAAGAGGAAGAGGGTGAGCGGCGTGGGAGCGGAGTGCTTTTTGATAGTCTAGCTTTGTCACAGCGCCTGGTAACTGGGTGAAGTCACTCAATGCCAAGCAGGAGATGGATAAGTCGTGGTTGGTAGTTGAATTAGCAGGATCAGGCATGTTACCATCTAGACACTAGACCAGCAGCGATAGCTTTCTTGATGCTTGGTAGCTCACGAAAATGACAAAGAATGAGGTATTCTGCTGACATGACTATCTTCTACATGCCAATGGATGGATCTTGTTGTTGAAAGTCTGGGAATTGGGGAGGCGACATCACCAACTTTGGCTGCTGTCGTGGCGTGTTGGAGAGACTTGGGCAGTCTGTAGCCTGTTACTCAAGCAAGGACGTACGTCCGTACGGAGCTCCTTTGGCTGCCTCCTGCTCGTCAATCCTGCAGATGTCCGTGGCGGGCCCTTTGTTTCGAGCTGGCCGTTTGTTTCAGGTTGAGCCGAAAAGAGGTGTGCTGTGGGCCAATGGAGGCGCCAGAGCGTTTTGTCGATCCAGGTACCCGCCGGCCTTGATTGGGTCCCAGCATTCCAGCCTCAACATGGGTACGCGCACATCCATGAACATCATCGGCAGTGACAAGCCCTAGAGAGCCACAGAGCCCCGACTCCGTCCCTGGCGCCTTGCTGAGTGATGTGCCCTTTCCCCAGTTTTGCCGCTTCAGATCCAGGGAGATCGATTCCTGTCGTGCGAGCCGATTTGACGGCCGACACGTCCTGGTGGAGGGTGTGCTGCTGATCTACTTCATGCGCTGTGTCTCCTTTGTGCCCGTCACAAGTGGACGGGAGCTGGCCTCCAGCGGCTTGAGGCAGCCCCTCCTTTGTTTGTTTCCTGTCTTTCGTCTGGTCCATCCTTGTCCTTATCCCTCGGACCCTGGCGTTTTATGTTTCTCTGTCGAGGTTGCGATGACGAGTCGGGCCAGTCGCCCGCATGGCCACCGTCCAGAGAATCGCCGTTTGGGGGATATCTCATCTAGCCGATACAGGCCCCCGGCCGCATTAAGCATATCCATATCATGCTGTCCAGGCGGCTCTCATGCAAGAGGCCAGGGGATCACAAGCATCGTGGTGGACCGGGCACCTATCACAAGCTTGACGCTGGTCTTCACTCCACGGGGCCTAGATCACCACAAGGTTGAGATTGTCCTTGTCCGTTAAGCATACACTGCTTCAGAATGTCCCCTCGATCCGCATATGACGGCTCTGATTCGTCAAGCCGTTATTCTGATCGCCCACCACAGTACGCCTAGGTAAATGCCATATCGGTCGTGTTGGGACATAAAGTCTCCCCATATCTCGACCTTTGTCCAACCTGTCTTTCTGCTGAACTGGATTTTCCCTCAGCTTCTGACCAGAGCTTTTTCTCTTCCCTTCTGTTCCCCCCTTGGCTGGATTCCCAGGAGGCCCTTTGCACACGACACTCCTTTAGCCATACGCTCAAGTGCTTGACTTTGTCCACCTTGATACACTGGTGTTGTTGAACAACCAACGTTGTTCGGTCTTTGTTCCCCAGGCACGCTCCTTTCTTCGAATCGAGCTGCGCTCGTTCACCTCGTACCTATAAAAGCTGATTCCACGGGGTCGTTCTCGCGTAACCTCGTCCCAAATCTATTCTCGATTTCTTCATACACTGTTTTTTCTTTTCCTTATATATATATATAGACCTCTACGACTCTGCCATATATCCTATAACTCACTGTCGAAAGTACTACCCTTTCCCCTCATCTCTACCAAAGACAAGAAAACGCAACCTCGAGCTTTCTTTCGATCATGAAGGTCACCGCGACATCTCTTCTGGCCGTGGCGCTGGCCACGGCAACCACCGTCTCGGCGCACATGGAGATGATCGACCCTCCGCCGTTCAGGTCGAAGAAGAACAAGTTCGCGACGAACATCGACAACGACATGACGGCGCCCCTCAACGGCAAGGCCGTCGGGAGCGTAGGGGCCTACCCCTGCAAGGGCTTCCACACGGACATGGGCACCCCGGCCGGCGCGTCGGTCAAGACGTACGCGCCGGGGGAGAAGTCCAAGTTCACCATCGCGGGGGGCGCCAACCACCAGGGCGGCTCGTGCCAGATCTCGCTGTCGTACGACGGCGCAAAGACCTTCACGGCCATCAACTCCATCATCGGCGGCTGCCCGGGCCAGGGGGAGACGAGCTACGACTTTGCCATCCCGCAGGACGCCCCCGCCGGCGACGCCATCCTCGCGTGGACGTGGTTCAACCAGGTCGGCAACCGCGAGATGTACATGAACTGCGCGCACGTCACGATCGGCGGCGGCGGCGGCAAAAGGGCGAAGAAGCAGCGGCGAGAGGAGGCGGTCGGCGACGGCGACGGCGACGTGGAGAAGCGGGCCGTGGCGTATTCGGCGCGGCCGGCCATGTTCGTCGCCAACGTCAACAACGGCTGCACGACGGAGGCGGGCAAGGACGTCAAGTTCCCCGAGGCGGGGGACGACGTCGTCAGCAATTCTGCGGACGCCAGGCCTCCCAAACCGCCGGGCTGCGGGATGAACGGTGCTGCTGGTGTTGGCGGTAGCTCCGGCTCCGGCTCGGGATCTGGTGCTGGACAAATTTCGGGCTCCGGTTCAGGCTCGGGCTCAGGGTCTGGCTCGGGCAATGGCTCGGGCAATGGCTCGGGCAATGGCTCAGGCGCAGGATCTGGTGCTGGACAAGGTTCGGGCTCCGGTTCAGGCTCCGGCTCGGGATCTGGTGCTGGACAAGGTTCGGGCTCCGGTTCAGGCTCGGGCAATGGCTCAGGCAATGGCTCAGGCACCGGGTCTGGCGCCGGACAAGGATCAGGTTCCGGGTCAGGCTCAGGTTCTGGCTCGGGGTCCGGCTCGGGGTCTGGCGGTGCTCAGTCCAGCGCCGCACCCGCCACAAGTGCCCAGGCCGGTGGCGGCTCTGGCTCTGGTTCCACAGGGTACGTACAAACCCCCGTACCATCGACGCAGATACCGTCCTCGACGGATCCGCCGTTGTCTCGGCCTCCCCTGAAGATCACCACGATTAACTTGAGCAGGACTAGCGTTCCCGGTGGCGTATTCGTTACGGCTTCCGCCACACCAGGCGCCGGGTCTGGGTCTGGATCGGGTTCGGGCTCGGGCTCAGGCTCAGGCTCCGGTTCAGGAAGCTCGGCGAGCCAACCCGCGGCTCAGCCCACGACCATGGCCACTTCCACCAAGGCGGCTGGCACTGGTGGTTCCGGAGGCGGCAGAGGCGGCGGCGGCAGCACGGCTACCCAGTCCAGCCCCCCGGCCGGCGGCACTGGCGGGTCGGGCTCCGGGTCCGACTCGGGCTCGGGCTCGCCGGACACGGCGTTCCCGGCCAGCGCGCCCTGCACCAACGAAGGCGCTTGGCACTGCGTGCTGGGCAAGTCCTTCCAGCGGTGCGCCTCTGGGAGGTGGAGCCCGATCGGGCCCATGCCGGCGGGCACCGCGTGCAAGCCCGGCATCAGCGACAACCTGGAGATGAACCGCGCGAACGAGCGGCGGCGCGGTGGGGCCCGGCGCTCTGGCAGCGCCTGGGCTGTCTAGACTTTGAATGACGAATCGTTGATTTCTTTCCAGCTTTCGAGAGGAGCTGCGGGTGTTCCTGCCGTGCTTCCCTCGAGGCAAGATTTCTCTCTTTCTCTTTCTTTCGGTCCGGGGTCGTTGTTACTTCGGGATCCTCTTTTTTTTTCTCTCTCTCTCTCTGGGCATTCATCGGAGTTTCTGTTTCTGTTCTTTTGCGTCTAGAACATGGGAAGTAGTATGCAAGGGTTTCGGAGAGTTCATAGCATACGGTATCCAACGTATCCGCGCTGCTGGCTGGGGACGATACCACTTGATAGCCCCAAGATGAAGGAGCGCGAGGTAGAAAATGCAAAGACGGCGCGAGCTGTAACCATGAACCAGTAGGTCTTTCTTTTATGCTGTCGTGAGGTTGTGACCTATCGAGAATATGTAGAAAAAGGCCCGGATCGATCTATGATGCGTGCGTGCGAGCAATCAAAAGCTCAGCATCACTCGATGCATTCCTTTGAGCGCGGTAGTTGTACGTTGCGAAAGAGAGTAGGTCCCGACACTTACAAACTCGGCACATGCATCCCCACAAAGCCAAGGTCTGCATGGAATTGAATCATCTTAAGAGGCCTGCGTCTGAGTGGGCAAATCACTTGATCACCAGAGAGGTCGTAGAAAAGGCAAACCAGGTAGAGAACGATGCCATATCCCAACTTTCTTCGTCTTGCTCACTCCAAGAGGGCTTTTTTTGTCGAGTGAAAAGCAAATCGGCCCGTCGCCGTTGATAGGTCCACAGGTCGAGGGTCGGTCGTGATGCACGTCCCAAGTGAGCCCCGGCCAGCTGGAGCAAGCATCGTCGCCGATCGAACGACAACGGCCCGACCAGTCTGGAATTTCCCCGGAGGGGCGCCGGGGGGGAAGCCCAACTTTTTGGATAAAGGCGGGGAAAAGCTTAGCTGGTGTGTTGATCTCCCCCCTCGTGCAGATCTTCTTTGGGGGAGGAGGGGAGGGGGAACATTTGCGCCGTGCATTCGCACCCACCCACATAAATCGCACAGATACAGATATGACCGAGCAGACCGTGCCTTCGGCGACTCTGCGGGGGAAGCCCGGCGGTGCCAAGAAAGCCATACATACATGGCATACGTGCAAAGTACCTACTTGATCGGCCTTTGGATTGGGGGGGGGGGGGGGGGGGGGTTTCTTGCGCCGACAAGACGCACACTTTCACGGAGCTCTGGGTACGAGGTTGCAGGCTGGGGCTGCGGGCTTCGGGGCTACTAAGCTGCTTCGAGGGCGGGATGCGGGATGTCAGTTTGGAGGGAGGACGCAAAGGATGAGAGAGTAAGAGAGAGAGAGAACTGAGGGATAAACTTCAAGCTCGAAGCTTTCTGCGGCGCAGACATGCCCCCCCCCCCCGCCCGGTCTCCCCTCATGTTGTTGGGAGACCTGCTCGATCCGGCCAAGTGTGCAGAAATTGCCTAAAGCGTCGTAGGTAGCAACAGCAGAGTGCGCAGAAGGCCTCTTTTTCTGTTTCCAGGGTTTGCCGGACTCCGTACCTAACCCAAAATCCCCCCTCGGAACGAGGAATTTGCATGCAAGTCAGTCATTGCCGAGCCCGTTCTGTGCATTTGCCTGCCTGCCTGCCTGCTCTTTGCTCTTTTCTTCCCCATTGTCCGCTCACACCGGATTGCTCTGCCACTCCCATCTCTCCTCTATTTCCTCACCCCCCGTGGGAGAAAAAAGCGAGGCGAGGAATGCGAGCCAAGTAGGGAGAGCTCTCGCAGGGTAGACAGTCGGGATAGCTTGGTTGGGGGCGAGTAACGTTGACTTTCTTGGTAGAGTTGACAGGGCGGGCTGCGTGCCGGGGATGGGCCGCTCCCCGCTCCCCCGCCACGCGCAACTTCCCGTCTCGATGCCCTCCCTGGTCTGGTGGTCCTAGGAATGGCCCCCGAGGCATTCTTGCCCTTTTGGGGAACGGTCTTCCTTGGAAACAAGGCTCCCGAGTTTACGGAGTAGTTGGGGAAGGGGATTCATGTTGAATAGGTAATCCAATTGCCCGACTAGGTACCCCTATGTACTTAGGTAGCCAGGACGAGCGAGGTATTCTGTACAGGACCTTACCCCAGCATGCAAGGCCGGCTGATGTCAGCAAATGCGAGAACGAAAACCTTGGAAGGCCTTCCTTGTCGTTATGCAACGCAGCTACAGTAGCCGTATTGCCTATCCTGGTGGACTTGCTAACTGGACGCCACTGGAGGAGCTGACGCTGCTCACCCGGGGGGTGGTGGTCAATTCCGAGTGTCCGCTGGTTTACGGAGTAGTTATTAGAGATTAGTTATTAGAGGATTGAGGATTCAATGCAAGTGTGAAGCGAGGGTCTGATGTGGTAGCAGTGGCGCGATAAGAAACGCCCCAGCGCCAAGTCGGGGCCTCCTGTCAGCCCCAGGCTCTCCATCTGTCTGTCTGTCATGTGTGTGCGCGCGCACAGGCGATGATTGTTTGGTTCGCACAGAGGAGAGAGAGAGAGAGAGACGAAGGAAGAGTCAAGTGTTTGTGGAACTTGGGGTGCTCGGACGAGCCACGGACCAGACGATGCAACGAGTTCGTGCAAAGTGACACACGCACGGCTCGATCCTTTCACATCCCTCTCTCACCCTCAAGCCGCCGCCATGTGGTGGACGACAGAAACAGAAGCACAAAAACTGCCCAAGTTGGCAGAGATTGCTAGGGATCTACAACCTGGATCTTAGCATGGGCCCCCCCCCCCCCCCCCCCCTAGCGCGGCCGCCCCCCCGAGGCGCTGTTGAATAAGGCTTTCAAGGGATCTCCCCGAAGCCACGGCCTGGCTCCCGGGCCCTGGTCCCTTCTAGATTAGAGCCAAGAGGCGCCAAAAGGGTTGCTGCGCGATTATTCAGAGGGCCTGCTATTGGCCGCGCTGGGGTTCTCGGCCGTTTCGTTCGATCCCGACTTTCTTTGCTTGTCGAGTTAAACGGCTCCAGGTTCGAGTGTAACTTGTCAATAAGTGGCGCCCTATATTTTTTTTTGGTTCTCAACTCATCTTCTGCCCATCCTCTCTCAATGCGGATCCAATTTGCTGGGCAGTCGACAACATATATGTGCCTCGCTATTATTCATGATGAATGCAGGATAATATTGGGTAGCTGCTTCAAAATGCATTTTCTAGAATCGGGACCCCCCTTTTTTTTTTATTCTTGGCATGCAATAGAGAGGGAAGGCTCTTGTTCGTCCGAACAAGGCATTGTAATTGACTATCTACAGTGAAAGGTATTCAAGGTATTGTTTGATGCTAGTCATAGATGACTTATGGCTAACATCTCAGCGTCGGTTGTGGTTTCGACGTCAGTTCACACACATCGTCGCGAGATGGTCGGCACATTCGAGATGAAAAGGTGCAGGAGAAAGAGAGAGAGCTCGAGACTTGAATTTGATGGCGGTTGACGGCAATTTGATCCGAAAAACAAGATATATAAACAGTGCCATTTTGTTTCCCGGTTCTCATGAAAAAAAATATGCCATCTAGAAGATTAAAAAATAACAAGAGCCGACCGCGCTCCCGGTGGAGGCGAGCATCGGCGTCGTCATCGCCCGCCATGGAATGCTTTCCCTCCTCCTCCTCCTCCTTCTATTTCGTCATCATGCCCACCAAGTCCCGACCCCGAGCCCGTCGCAACCCTCGCCGCCGTGAACGGTAGGACCGCTTACAGGTCGTCGCAGTAGTCGACGGTGGTGGTGACGGTGACGGTGGGAGTGGGAGCAGTGGTGACCGAGGGGGTGATGCCCCAGCAGTTGCAGGCCGAGGCGTAGGCCGCAGCAGACGAGCAGTGGGTGGCGTAGGCGGGCATGGCGCTGGGCGAGTTGGTGGCCTGGCGGTACTCGAGGAACTCGGCACGCTTGGCAGGGGTGGCCGAGGCCTCGCCGTCAACAGTGACGGTGACGGTGCTGCACGAGGACCAGTGTTAGCCCTCTGATTCTTCACTCTTCACATCGCCCCATCCAACTCGGCATGTTGTTGGTGACCGGCCCCGATCTTCCGGACCTGGTCCACCCAGCACGGGATATCTGCAAACACTTACGTAGGAGCCGGGGTGACGGTGGTCAGCATGAAGCTGGAGCAGTCGGCGGACCGGAGAGAGACGGGAGGGAGGCCGTTACGGGTACCGGTGATGGCACGGTTGCAGTTGTTGCCGGCGCAGGCACGCTTCTCCATGACGCTGGCCAGGGCGACCGAGACGAGGGACAGAACAGCGACGACCTTCATCTTGACTGGTTTCGGGTTGGACCTTGGGAGAGGTTTCGAAAGATGATATTGTCCTGGGCTAAGGTTCGACTGGCTAGACAGCGATTCCGAGTGGTGATGGGCTGAAGAGGAGGGACCGAATGGGCAGGACGGTACGGGTGGGCAAGACCTGGTATATGTATGCGAGGCGGCAGCAGGCCGTACAAGACGACACCACCTTCCCAATATCGCTTCGATCCTGCGGCGTGGTAGCTTGTACTGCACGCCCGCCTGCCCATGGCTCGGGGCTGTTTCCCAGTCGCCGGGGGCCCTGATCAAAAGAAGGGACCAGGGTGTGCGAGTGTGAGTGGATCGCTATCTGGGAGAGGTTCGCCGGTGGTGCCGTCCTGCCACGGGCGGACATGCCTGGGAGTGAACCCCCCTGCGGCTCGGGCCAGACTAGAGAGGAGGTCAGCACAGCACAGCACGAGGAAGCGCAATCGTCAGGTACCTGCTCGAGCTCAGGACGGGATTTCCACCTATGAGAGGGTGGGATGCAGCAACGAGGAGGTCCATCTGCGAGGAAACGCTGTCGGCCGGCTGGTCGGGGGGAGGGGTGGAGGATTTGAGCAGGGGTGCAGGGCCATGCGCTCTCTTCCATCTTCCATGGGGACAGGCAGGGGGGCATGGGTACTGCACGCAAGCTGGTGTTGGCCTGGTTGTTCTCGCTCTCCACTGCTTCCATGCTGGTCAGGTCGTTGGTACGGCGGCGCGCTTTGGGTAAAGCGCCGTCAATTCACCCGGCGGAGAAGGACCTGGATGCTGAGGAGCTAGAGCTGAACTGGGCAAAGCTGGCCCCAGCAGCTCTCGAACTATTAGCTCCCTAGCGCCACCCGGAGGACGGAGTAATCTTGAACGAGGAGCGACGAGAACGAGCGGATTGAGCAGGCAGGCGAGCGAGCCAGTTCCTGTCAATTGTGTCAGCGGCACAGGTGGTTGACCGGTAGGCAGTGTGGCGGGAAGAGGTACACCAATTGGCAAATGTCCCGTCAATCTTGGTCAGAAGTTTCTCCAGGCGGGTGGACAAGGGCAAAGTAACCTTGATCATCATGGTTAATTCATGGAGGACGACGACTCCACTGAACCCGGTCCGTACCACTTCTAAAGTATGGAGCACCTGCTGAGAGTTTGAGGAATTGGAATTGGAGATCGGAATGCTTCACCTGGCTGACCCGCCCTACATACTTGTACATCTCGCGGGGAGACACTCTCGAGAGCCAAGCTGCCGTCTTCCGGCTGGCGCCCGGCCCAGGATTGATCGGCCAGATAGTGTCTTTCTTATGTTTTTTTTTTTTTTTTTCATCAAAGCCATTTCACTTTTGAGGAGAATTCCTGAGCACTGAAGAGCTGCGATGGCTGTGAATTGGTGGGCTGGAGCAGGCCAAACGGGGTAATCGCCGCCAGCCAGCTGTGGCAGTAATGGACTTGGCCCAAAAAGGCACATGGCGAGAACATTGAAAGATTAGGTACCTACTAGGTAGTCTACCTAGGTAGCTTGTGGAGCAGGTCCCCTACCACTGCCTCTAAACTACCTACCTAGTACCTACCTAGGTAGCTACTCCGTAGGTATCTCAGCGACTGCCATTCTAGGCAGGACAGGATCGCCATCTGGCGCTGAGCGCTATCAGTTGACGGGCAAGACGGGTTATCCGATGGATGCCTCTATCTCTAGACTACCTAGGTAGGTACCTCTAGTGGACACCATTCGACCACTGTATCAAGACCTCGTGCTCGATCGCCCGTCACGTCTGGCCGTGTGTGCCGTGGTCGTCATTTAAACACCAGGTCTGCATCAACTATCTCTCTAGCCCGCCCACCCGTGAGAACACGAGATGGCTGGCTCTTCAATTGGCAGTTCAAAGTTGCTGACAGTCGCTCAATGGCCCGCCTCCCACTCCCTAAGCTGGAGCTACTGAGACATTGCTGGAAGGGTGATCCCGTCTGCTCCGCCCTCTTAGCGCCAGCACTGAAGGGTCCCCCAAGGTCCCCCAATCATTGATGCCATCAAAGTGAGATCGGTGGAATGTGCGGTGGCTTGAAGGCGCTGCTTCCCCTCACTGCTCATCCCTGGGCGATGACGAGACGGAGAATTTATGCTCTGTCGCATCATTCGTCCAAGCTCGCTGGATGCTCATCACTTGCGGGGGATCGTCGCCGACTTTTGCCTTTCCCGGGCCGGATCGATCTTTGGAGAGAGGTAGAGAGAACCGTGCTGGCCTGGTCTAGGTAACTTACTAACAGGGCATTTCTGTCCTGGCAAGCCTGGTCACCTCCACAAACGGTGGGAATTGCCTAAATTGCCCCCCAGCCCAGAGAACTGTGCCAGCTCGCCGCCTCAGCTGGGCATGCGGGCGGCATGTGTCTCACTGGCCCTCGCTCCCCGAGACACACGGCACGCGGGATGCCGTGAGACACGGTCTCCGATGCATGCCCGACGCACTCCCGGCCACTTGGCTTGGGCTTTTGCTGGGCAACGGCTTTTCAATAGCCCCATCGCTCGTCGATGGAGCCCGCTTCCTTTCTAACTGCTTTGGCCAACTCGACTCCAGTCTGCATGTGCCAATGAGCAGCAAGGTAAAAATCAGCAGGATATCTCTTTCATCTACAAGTACTAGGCCCTCCTGCCTGTTAGCGTTGTTGCGCGTCGAAGGCTGAGATTTCTTCGTGCCCGCACGTGGGTTCGACCTTTATCCCAACACCCCTGCCAAGCCTCCCAGGCCTCCTCCACTTTCTTGGACCTCTTGGGACAAGAACTTGCATAACTGGAATGGGGAGCCCCATCAATGCAACAATCACAACCCGACTTGTATTGGGTGCTTGGCAATCCCACGTGCACGCATAAGAACCCAGGAATCATCTCCAATGCCTTCAGCCCTCGAGCTTTTGGACTACAGCGCTACCACGTGGTCGGCTTCTTCTCCATGCGTCATGTTCAGAGCCTCCAAGCTCAGGCACGGGCGTATTCAAATCGACCACCCGACAGGCACGCCTACAGAGATCCCATCGATAGTCTCTTCCCTCCAAAGCTTCTGGAAGGACTCTGATCGGTCCAAGTGGACCGTAGCACGCGCCTCTGCGATCATGTCCCTGACACGCGCTGAGTGCAAGGTCCGGTCCACGTTCGCAAGCTTACTGTCCTGGGGGGAGGATCGATCTCCGGGGCCGATTGCCCGACAGCATGTGCCTCGCGATGGCCCATCCCCAGGCGTGCAACGATTTCCCACATGGCCTCAGATGAGCTTTCCAACCCGGTCCAGCCCAGTCATGAGTTATTCCTGTGGGCTCGAAGCAAGAAACAACCATGGGAGCTTGATCCGATTCGCATGTGTTCAGCTCCGACTCATTTCGAGCGGGAAGGCTCGCCTGCGATATAGCGTTGCAACGCCAGCCCTAGGCCCCTTGTCCACGGAGGCAGCAAATGGAAAAGCCTGCATTTCCCAAATCTCGGATGGTGAGGCTCCGTCTCAGTACCAGAAGTCTGGGTATCAAAGTTGCATATCCAGCAGTAAATTTCTGAATATAGGTCGCTGGTCGGAACGGCTCCCGCCCGGAAAGTCAGTCGGCCGTGGTTTGCTATCCGACGCACGCAAAGCCAAGGAGAACCACTTCCAGTTCCGCAGTCAGAACCTCACTGCAGTGCCGTGTTCTCTCGATTGGGGCTGGTGTCTCTGTGACAAGTGCCTATTTCTTTTTCAGGCATACATGCGGAATGTGTTGCAAACGATTCGCACTCGATCAGGGTTTGTCTCTTTTCTGAACCAGACTAGTCCGTCACGCGCAAGAGGCGGAGATGGTCAATATTGCCGATTGACAATTACAGTTGATTCATTTGAGCTATGACGGCTGTGCATGCTGTGCAACAGGTTGAGAGGAGATGGTGCAAGAAACACTCCATGCAATTCCCTGCCGCCGAAGACAGAACCTCGGACGCTGCGGATTGTATAACATCATATTGGCCCCCGACTGACAGTGTTAGCTTACAACAAAGTCCTCGCCTTTCAACCCAGAGGATATCTAAGTCAGCATTGTTCTAGGTTAAGATTCTGGTACTCCCGCGGCTCTCCCGGCAATGTTGGTGGCTGGCCGGCATCTGGGTTGCCATCAATGAGTGGCTCGACGTCATAATCCTAAAAGACCGTCCCAAAGCCGCCACAGATCTACACCCTGTTGAAAACAACGTCCAACCGGTGCGCGACAATCGAGCGACACCCTGTTTGCCACTAATGAAGTGTAATATTTCACGGCCAAGGTTGTCTCCTTTGGCAGCCAGGCAGCCATACTGGTTCAGTCGAGGATGCCGCACCTGCCATTCTGACGTCTGACGCGCGCAACAACGTCACGCCTGTTGCTTTCTACTAACCTACATCTCACGAGACCCCGGGTGGACTGGCTAATCTGGTTTTTTTGGAAGACAGGTGCATATATAGGTGCAGGTGCTTCACCTCGGAAACCCATCTTCTTCTTCTTCAGTTTTAGGATCATGACTTGTGATTGATTTGACCGAACCCAATACCCGAGACTAACAGAGCGACAGGACAGCATGGACTCTGTCAAGAACATTCTGTAGGTCAAAAACATCATCCGAGATGGACTGAACCGAGAGACACCTGCTGATCCAAGCGCAGACACCGCAACAAGGAACACCACACCGAAGGTGCACACGGGGACAACACCCACACGCACCACCCCTCGGAGCATCCAGCCGAGAACCCTACCACTCGCGAAGGGACGCACCATCACCATCATGGCGGCGAGGCTGCTGCTGCTGCCGGAGCAGGTGCGTACGAGGCAGAGAAGCATCACCACCACCACCGCCACGAAGGAGCCCTCGGCCACGAGCACCACCAGACCACCACCGCCGGGGTCCACGACGCTTCTGCTGCTGCTACAGCACCAGCACCCGTGACGCGGTCCTCTGCCGAGCTCGGCGCCGGCGCGACCGCTTCCGCGCCCGACGACGTCCGGCCGGCGGCGGAGGTGGGGAACAACTTCCCCGGCACCAACCCGCACCCGGACCACAGCGCTCTCGGCACCATGAGTGGCAAAGGTCTGGCCTTCTCCGGTCGCGAGTAGAACGAGGTGGCTGCCGGGAGAGAGAGAGTCTAGGGTTGTTCTCTTTTTTTTCTTTTGTGAACTTTTGAAATACTTGTAATGACTGAATGTGGTATCTTTGCTTTGAAATAGCTGCGTGAATGTTCGCGCCTCCAAAAGAAATTGAAACAAACAGCAAACCAAGTCTCTCACTCTCGGAAGCATCGCAAGGTGCTCCAAGTGCTATATCACCTTGTTTCTTGTCCGCCCGAACCCGAATAATAAGTATCATTTTCGGTATGTCTGCAAATGGCTGAACTCCCAAACCCGTACGACAGCTCCAAACACCTCCTTCCACTTGCTCTCTAGTGCCTGCAAAACAACAAAAGTGCAAGCCCTATCGCCTGCGCTTACTGTGCACTCGCTTGATGATGGCTACCGCCCCTCGGATTCTCCCCATCCCCGACCCCTGTGTGACCAGAAGCCACGTGCGGCGGGCCAAAGTAGCCATGCAAGTGTTCCACCGACTCGCTGACCACGCCCAGCTGCTGACCTAACTGCTGCGGGTTGCTGCCGGACGACGCGCCGCCGCCGCCGCCGCCACCGCCGAAGCTGAGGTTGCGCTCGCGGGCCTGCCCGTCGCTGCGCCGCCGCTGGTGCGCAAAGAAGGTAGGCCGGCGCGGGGACCCGATGGGGGAGAAGCTCGAACCGGGCATCTCGGGGATGCCGGACCCGGGAGGAGCGTCGAGCTCGGCGGGGCTGAGGAAGGACCCGAAGCTCATGCTGCCGTCCGAGGACAGCTCGCTCGCGTCGCTGGGCTGGCGGCCGTGCTGCTTGCTCGAGTCGACGCTGTTGCGCAGGGGGATGCGGCCGGCAGCCGGCCCGGGATACGTCCGCTGCGGGGGGATGTCGAAGTAGTCGCCGGCGGAGTCGATACTAGCGTGTCTCATATCTGACGAACTAGATGGGAGGGGGGTCTGCGAGGTCGACCCGGAGGTGTCGGAAGCGGCGCGGCCCCGGAGGAGTTGGCGGGACTCGGGCTCGTTGCTTGACTCAGTGCGGGCTGTGGTTGAGGGGGCAGGAGTTCGACGTCGCTCTGCCATAGCCTGGCTATTGCGATCTCCTCCGGAGGAGCCTTTCTGGCTCTCCACGAGCCTAGCGGTGCGTCGCAGCCTCCGCACTATGATGAAGGCGGCGATCAGAATGGCGAGTAGCAAAGCGATAGCACCACCCACAATCCCTCCGAGCTGTGGAGTAGTGAGGCCGCCTCCTTGGGAAGATGTATCGACTGGAGATGCTTTTGGTAGAGAGGAATAAATCAATTTCGGAAAGTACAAAGGGTTGTCTGAAGGGAGATTAGTCGGTGACGAGGGTGAGACGACCGTAGTCGATGTCACGGTGCGTATGAGCGACTGTCCACTTGACGTTGTGGTCAGAACTTTTGTGATAGTTGTCGTGACCGGATCGGTAGAATAGCAGGCGTTTAGGGCGCATCCCATGCCGTTCTTGCAGCAGCCATAATTGTCCGAAGGAGGGCACAGGTAGTAGCCGGTGGGACATTGTTTAGAAGGAGTCTGGCCCGCTGGAGCCGTGCAATCATTATTGCCACATATGTAACCTGCGAGAATCAGTCAGCCAGCCAGATCTTCGGCTTGCTAGAAGTGTGACTGGTGGCAAACAAGTCGACGGACCTTGGGGACAACAACCTCCTGTTCGTTGTTGATTATTGTCAGCTCAAGCGCTCTGCGTGCATCTCATGACGAGACAGTCACTGACCTCCATTCTCGAACGGACAAGGGTAATAGCTTGCTAATCCGCACGCTGTACCAGCGGCAGCTGTTGTAGCATAGCATGAGTCTGTTGCGCAAGCATAGGCATCCGGGCAACAGCCTCCGCCTTGGGCTGCTGGGCATGAGTTGAGGCCAGAGGGACAGGCGAGTTCCTTGCGAGCTTGGATAAGCTGGGTAGTCACATATACCTTATCCACCCAATGAAGGTTGGCCTCCTCGGCGAGACGTGCTGGGGCGATCGGCATCGTGAGACCCTGTGTAAGGGTTCCGCATGAGAACAGCTCTGAGAGTTAACAGGCTTCGAAAACGGTCCCGTTTGTACAGGACGATGCACACCCTTGGTGTACGATAGTGCGGTGCCCAAAGCAGATATCGAGGCCGGCGCGACGCCGGAAGGATTGGTGATTCTCACAGCTTCGATACAATAGTGCGAGACGATCCTGTTCCTCGTCTCATGGTTTCCTTGCCATGTCTTGAGGATCGCAGAGCGATAGATTCACTTGAATTGAGGAATGTCTCGGTCTTAGACATCGAACCCAGCGCTGACGACCCTGTTATGTAGTGAATACAGGAACAGCTTGGGCAAGCAGCGACTGAAGCCTGGCGACGCAGGAAAGCGACAGATGAGAGTAGAAAGAAAAGACTGCGGGATGATAGAAATCTATGGGAGGAGGTCCCCTCATCTGAATGGAGGGGGAAGTGCTGCTTGGATCCATTGCGCCGCACTCTGTGCTGTGCTGACACTGCCGGGACCGCAAGTGCATGTAACATCATGGGATCGGTAAGAGGTGCAGCAATCCTACATGATGCGTGAGATGGACGTTCCAATGAGAGGGACGTCCAACCGGGGTGGAAGGCGCAGGCAATTGATGATTGGGCCGCTGTCGACTGCCACGCAGCTCGAGCTGATGGAGGGCATGCGGTTGGGGGCCAGCCCAATCTCTGGGCCGCGTATGCCAGTCGAAGCGTGAAGTGAGGGTAGGCCTTTGGAGCGAGGATACCCCACGTGAGTTGCCCGATGCCCTTCTCTCGGGACAACACAGTCAGACAAAAGAAAGAAGGAGTAACGAGAGTGGTGACACCCATCCATGCACCCGTCCGTGATGTGGCCGCCACGGCTATTGGCTAGATGCAACTGAGGAATGGTGGGAAGCAAAGAACTACTCGATCCCACGAGGCTGGGCTGGACATTCAGCCACCTACCTACCTCCCGTAAGCCTCTAGCTATTCCATGGCAATTTCTTGTGCCCCGGAACGAAAGCGGCGATCCATCTCCGTCGTTGATAGGCTTGATCCAGAGTACGTATCGCGATGAGCCATCCCACATTCTAGCAGTTGGGTTTAGCCTAAAGCGAAGGAACTGCAGTGGTGGGAAAACACCCCGCCCGGTGCTGATTTGACAAATTGATAGGCAGTGGCCCAGGGACAGCCTGATCATGGTGGGCCGTCTCGTTTCTTGTTGCTCGTGGTGGCCCATGGAAGCCGGGGTGCGTGGAACGAGCAACAGCAATAGCACGAGCAAGAGAGATGATGGGGATCCCCGGACACTTGCAGAAGACTCCTCTGTCCTTCCATCACAGGCCGGGGTTCTGGCCCACTCCATGCGAGCATGGCGGCGGCTAGCTGCAGCACATCTTGGTTCGGCAATCATGCAATGGTCACCACCTTGCGCCGCGGGTCTGCACCGTAGATGTATGTGTCGAATGTCAATCCCCTCTCGAAGAGGACGGGATCCATTGTCGATAGACAGTTGAAGTCGATATTGAGCAGATCACCTGGAGTGATAGTGGTTCAGGCACCTACAGTGCCACCCACACTCGCTTTGGAACGATGCAATGTGTAAGTAAAGTATGTAGTAACAGGCTGCTGATATATGTCCTCCCTGATCTTGCGAACCGCCTAGACCCAGCGACGAATTGGCGGATAGAAAGAAAACAGACAGTTCTTCCTGGAAGGCGCTGGTGCGTGGCATTTCTGGCCATTCTTTCCTTCTTCACGAGCCAGTTCGATGGGGGAAGGACCCCTTGTTGATCCTGAACCATCTTGGGTATGAGCCGGCCGGGCGGACCTTCTCACCAAGCACACTCATCCATGTCATCCTTTCACCCCATGCTGGAAACCCCGCACTATTTCCCCACCCCAAGACCACACCCATGGACCTCGTTTCCGGGATGGGCAGGCGCTTCAATAGGGGATGCTGGGTTCTAAAAGTAAGGGTAATGTACAAGAAACGGGATCGATGCCAACTCTTGACACGAAGAAGACTAAATTCCAGGCCAGAGACTCGAGCGCTGACGATGGGATTGAACAACCCAGTTCATTGTTTTTCGCCTCCTGGTAATCTCATTCTTCTCCCTGCTCGCATCCGCCCAACTCGACATCAGAGAGACCTCTTGTTCCTTACCATCGACTCGCCTTGCTTCGACTCTTTCGAAAGCACGCGCGCGAGAGAGAGGCCGCAGGGACTCTCGTATCACAATCGCCTTCTGCCCGCCAACACAATCAATTGCAGACGAACCGAATGTCACAGACCGCTAGATGGGACTAGATCAAACGCGTACGGACAGAGTTCGGTCTGGAGAAAGCTCAACTAGCCCATTTCGTAGCCCGGTCGAGTCAACAGAAGAGTCCCGCTTTTGGCACCACCGCTCTCGCGACTGGGGCACACCCACATCGCCTCGTGATATAAACCCCCTCAGACAAAATTCCTGCCACTAGAGACTCTTCTTTGGGTATTCCAAGTCGACCAGAGTACGCCAGAGCAGCACAATGTTACTATATAGCCGTGTAGCCGCGCCCAAGATTCCCAAGAGGAGATCGAGAGCAGGTGAGTCTGGAGATGCTGTCCCTGCGCCGTCCCGTCCTTGTCCATTTCCCAGCTTTCAGCACGTGGCTGCCACGACGAGGCAGACGTCATACATGGAAGAAGCCACAATCTTCATGTTCAACTCCCTCCCCATTCGTTGGCTCTTTTCAAAATTTTATGAGAACAAGAGATTTCTGACTTTAGCTATTGTCGGCGTTCCAACCAGGTTGTTCCTCTTGGTATGTAGTCTCCCCATATGTCAAAGACCAGAAGATGATCTCTAACAATTCTAATAGCAAAGACAAGGTATGCACCATACGCAATCTTGTCAGCTCGTCGGCTCGCCCCTTGCAGACGACCATGCCAAAGTTGTACTATTTTTGAATCGTGCTGATAGTGCGTGCTATTAGAAAAAGAAATGTAACGAAGAGCGCCCGCAATGTGGGCGATGCGCGGAGCGTGGTCTCACCTGCACATACGAGCCCGTCAAGCCTCGTCAGCGCAGAAAGCGAGACCCATCTGCCTCACAAGTCCTAGACGGCGCTGCGACGAGCGTTTCTCACAGCTCGCCCTATAGTCCATCTCGGAGATTGTCTGAGCTCAGTCGCCACAGCCGCAGTAGCTCACCCGAGGAGTTCTTCAGCCATGACGGAGGCTACCAGGAAGCAGAAGACCACTTAATCGACGGCGGTCTTCTCAGTCCTCTGGGCAGCAACTTTGATGCAGTGTCACTCGCGACCTATCAGTCCGCCGAGCCACCAATGCTGTCTCCTCTGGGCTCGGTGACATTCGATTTCTCGATCGATCCGGATGACGACAGTGCTTGCCAGGCCGAGGAGAGCCTGACCGACCCTTTGGTTTCACCTGCCTCGGGTGCCGTCATTCTTCCATCTAGGTCTCTACATCCGGATCTTGCGATGATCGCACCATGTCCCGTGGGCTCACCATTGCGGGAGTTCCATGTTCCGGCGTTCCTCGAATTTTCTGACCGCCCCAACCGCCGTGCGCTTGTGGATCATTTTTGCAACGTCTTGTCACATCTCATTGTTTTCAGGGAGGAATCCGGAAACCCTTTCCAACAATTGTTGCTACCCCTGTCTACACAGAGCCATCCGGTCATGAACGCCATCTATGCACTTGCTAGTGCCCATCTGGAGTACCGGGGGGTAGAGAATGGCGAAAGATCTTTGCACTTCCACAATCAAGCTATCCAGGGCCTGGCACGGCTGATCCAGAACGATGCTAAAAAGAAACGGACCGAGATCTTGGCTGCCATCATGCTGCTCGTGTATTATGAAGTGGTAAGTGTGCCGAGTCAAAGGCGTGCATGATGTGCACTGACGACGATGTTCCACAGCTGGTCCAGAAGGGGAGATCGAATATCGTGGATGGGCATCTAAAGGGTGCCATGTCAATCATGTCGTCCAATACAGAGGCTCCTGACCCTGCAGCCGTATTCCTAGAACGCGTATGTTACACACTACCCCAGCCCTCCAACGTCCCGAAATATTGGTGATTAATGCTAGGGTTCTAGGCCTTTCGGTTCTACGACGTCATCGCAGCATTATCCTTTGGGACTGCACCTTTATCAACGGCCCCGGCTGCTGGCTGCCTCATTCCCTTCCCGCCCATTGGCGCGCCTGAGTTTTCGTCTCTCAGCAATGTAGACACATTATTGGGCATGGCAACGACGCTGTGGCCGATCATCCATCGCCTATCAAACTTGCGTTCTTTGAAAAGCGATCTCCAAGCAGCCATCCAGGCGAATATGGCGACAACTAAAATCGCCGTTCTTCGTACCGAACTTCAGACCACTGCCGAAGCGATAGAAGGTGCCTTGGGGCAATGGACACCCTGCCTCCCACCAAACTTTGTGTCTGACAACGACGATGCTACTAAAGTAATTAAGCGTGAGCCTCAAGACGGTACAGACGCTGTAGCGGAAACGGGGAGAATTCACTCGATCCTCAACAACGCGCTCGCATATCGACACAGCGCCCTCGTATACCTCTACCGGACGATATATGGGTATAGTCGATCCAGCCCGTCAGTGCAAACCCAGGCCCACATTGCTCTTACACACTGCGTTGCGACTGTCGCTCACGCCGGCCCGATGGGCGCCCTGCTATGGCCACTGTTTGTGGCAGCGTGCGAGGCTGTCAGCCAAGACGACCGGGAGCTGGCGAGGAGGGCCTTTGATGCGGTGGAGAAGCGACAGGGCATGGTCAATATTGGGCGGGCGCGGGAGATCGTGCAGGAGGTCTGGCGGAGGGCCGACATCGCCGAAGCGGGAGAGGAACAGCGCGGCCAGAGCGCGTACGGCCGGGCTGAGGAGACACAAGGCGGCGATCTTTGGAGACAAGTCAGCCAAGAGATGGGGGTAAATATTGTTTTTGGGTAAAGGGGATCACGCGACAGTGAGGGATCCGGCAATCCATACGGCTGGTGTAGCGTCCCAGTTTCAGCATCGGATCAGATGGGCAAGTTGGTCTTGGGGCCAGGAGGCCATATTCGTTTACAGAGCAAGGAGTTCTTTGCTTAAGGAGTCTTACTGGAGTCTCGTCAGGCGTCAGCATGGGGTCCCAGAGGGAGTGTCAAAGCGATCAATCTTTTACCCGTGGAACCTTGATCTTGGCTGGTGTTGGCTCTTGTCTAAGTCGGAGCTCAACCAGGCACTTCACTTTGGTCAGTGGAGCAAGTTGCTTCAGGGGCATGTAATAACACTAGGGTAATGAGCCAGGTGATGGAAAATAGGATTCTTGCAATGTATAGCCTTTCAAGATCATGATTTCAGCTTACCTTGAAAGAACGAGGCTCTTACAGGAGCTTGCGGACAGCACGGCTCTTGTCATGGCAAAATGCGGCTCGGTTTCAAGCGGTCAGCACTGCTGGTGTAAGTTGCGAAACAGTACTGGAGAGTATACGCGATGTATGGGAAGCGAAAGGGGCCAGCACACATAATTGGCAGCGGTACCCGACCAGGTTGGGCGAATAGGTTCTCCCCGAGCGGGAGGGGGCAAAAAGATCCCATGGTGTGCATGAACCCCGTACCGGAGCCGTTCACGACACCTGGGTTGGGTTTAGGCTAAGTTGCTGGCCGCACGAACTCAAGGCAGGCAAGGCGCAGAATTAAAGCCGTTGCCGGGGCTTGACTTGGAAAGTTGAAGCCTGGCCTGGATAGCTAACAGGAGAAAGCGGCAGCGTTTGAGGCAACAGAAGTGGTTTGCACTGTTAGCCCTGTACCGGCTGTGGGATGATGATGATGCTAGGGCCTGGGCTCAATTCTCGAAGAAGAAGAGCAAAGTAGTTGGACCACAGCAGACCTTCAAAGTCTAATTCAAACTCACATTCTTAAAGAAAACATCCTGCAGTTGAGGAGTGGATGGGGAAGTTTGAAGGGGCTTGGGCAAAGAAACATATCGTGGAAATCGTGGGTGATGTACGCCGCAGCCGGGAGAGTACCGGTATTGTTTCGAACAATACTGGTGCAACACGGCGATGTGTCGCAGGGAAGAGAGAGAAATGACCAGTGGTTCAAGGCCTGCATGTATGCATGCATGCTGATCGGAGGAGGCGGGCCTGGAGCCAGGGACCAGCGGGAGCGGGAAGAGCGGAGCTGGACCAGGATGAGTATGGGGATGGTTCAGTTCACTGTTGGTTGGGCACATCTGTGATACCTAGGTAACCCTGCTTGTGAGCCCTGTGCCTCAGAGCTGAAGCAACTTGGATGCAGGCTTGTCTTTTTGCAGACCAAATGACACGTCGATGAGCTCCTTCAGCTGGACAACAAAGCCCAGGGTGCCTCCTACTTTACTCCATTGCTTCTTTACCAATGGATGACGCCTTGATTACCCCAAAGAGCAAGATACTTGGCGGTACGCCCGACACGAGGCTATGATGCATGTCTACGAATCAAACCCTCATCTCCATGGAGATTGCAGGGCTCCATTTCTACCACCCTCGGGAAGCATCTTTCTTCTCTCATGAAGTGGCTATTGCATTTGCATTATTCCCAAAAGCCAACATATTAATCCTTCTCAACAAGGAGTGTAATTCTGTAACCTAACCACCTCTGTACATGAGGCTACAGCATCAAGGATGGAGTGATCCTCTTGCCATCGAGTGTCAAGCGAGGTATGGTAAGAGCCAGCAGATATTAAAAAATCATCCACTCTCCAGTTGACTCTAGATCACACAGGAGTATGAGAGGAAAAGAAGATGAGAAGAAGAAAAAGCTCGAGGAAAAAGCAAAGCACACACAACGTGTGCACTTGGCCATGCATGTAGCTGCACCATTGCTTTGCTCGATATGCAGTGTATGTTGTACAACTACCTACTTGGGGGTTGGAGATATGAGTGAGTACTTTTGGTGGTGGCCTCGGGCTCTCCATCTTTCCAGTGAGGGGGCAGGCTAAGTGGCCGTTGGTGGCGTTGGCGGCCCTGAGCTCCTGTGGATAGCATCCCCAGGCACCTCAGCTGAGTGTACCTATGGAGCCTTCAGCAGGCCTGGAGCGTTGGTTCGGGGCCCCGGTGGCACTAACGGCACCCCCACCCTGCTAGCACTTCGCCCGGAAACGGTGTCAAGCCCAACTGGATCCCCCCATCTCCCATCCAGCGCCCCCCCATTCCTTCAAGCCGATCATCGCATGTCTAATTCAGACAGTACTTTGCCTGTATGCCCGCTTATGTCTTCTTCCCTTCCTCGTCCCTCATTCTCTTTTTTTTTTCCTGCTGCAACTCTTCGGATGATCCCTTTCTTCATCCACTTGCATGGTGCAGTGCCCATCCAACGCGCCATCCATGGGAACTCTGCTTGGGACCCCCCGAGATTGTGATCCGGCTGGCACCTGCCCTGAACTGTTCCAGCCCTGTACGATGTTCCTCTCTCAACACCTCTGAGTTCCGCATTCCCGCAGCTCTTTCAGTCCAGCCAATTTCCGCTGGGCGTCCCCGACACGCACCCATTTGTGTCGACACCTCTCTGATAACCAGATCCTCTCCAATCACTTTGCGCGTGCGCTCGACACTAGAAGCAAGGCAACTTGAAGTAAATAATTGACCGGTTCTGCACTGCCGTTGTGGCAGAACCAAGGAAAGAATCCACTCCTCCGTGACTTCTATTCTGCACTTCATAGCACACACGATATTTCCGACGACACAACCTCCCGCGTCAGAATCCTAAACCTTGCAGCATACCCAGCCAAGGGCTTCCGCGACATTCACGTCTTGTTCTCGACAATTTACAGGGTTGACGACGCCACTCTTGTCCAAGCTGTCCTAGCTTGAGCTGTGTGAGCATTGCCATTTCCACCGGCTCGGCGCACACCCCACCCCGCAGCATCCTGCCTTGACCACCGCCAACGCTGCTAGCATCATGGTTTCGCGCCGTGACAGTGCGCCGACATGACTACCCTTATCAATGGAGCTCTGCCAACGCCTCGGCAGCTCCGCTTCGTCAACAATCAGGGCCAGCCACCCTCGAAGCGAAGACGAGTCAATGCTGCGTGAGTCCCAGCCGATCCCGGTCTCAAGTTGAGCCTCTAAGTTGTATGTGTCGGCTGATTGGTATTCCTTAGGTGCCTGACCTGCCGTAAGCGGAAGACGCGCTGTGCTGGCGAACGACCGACATGCTCAACATGTGCTAGCAACGGACATGTTTGCCTTGGGTATTCGGATCTTGTCGAGAAGAAGAAGGAGTCGACACACGACTCAGCGAGAGATTCGAGGGAGGATACGGATGGCGACGAGTTTCTCGAACGGGACTTCTCAGACCCCGATGAGGACGACGAGAAGCGCCATTCCAAGTCGAAGCATGGAGCGAAGCAGTACACACTTGGACAGGGCGAGGCGCCGCGGAGGGACTCTGGAGGTTCCAGCACCGTAACGACCGCATCAAACGCCAGGCCCAGGACGGCGACTAACGACTGGGATCAGGCACAACACGCGCGCCGACCAACGTATCCGCGATCGGTCTCGTTCTCAGAGGATGGTCGAAGCTCCAACAATCGCTCCCCCCTGCAAACGCATCACACGGAGCGCCACAGGGTGCCGTACTTCAGATACTTCGGACCAACCGCGATCGTTCCTGGGTACAAACAGATGGTCGTCAATATCTCTGTCAGGGACCGACGTCGGAGTCGGGGTGGCTCCTTTTCCGGCCAGTCTCCTGCCTCTCTGACGTCGGACCAGAGATCCGTGTTTGCATCAGCTGTCCAGGCTGAACCCCTTTTCGAAGCTGTCGAAGATCTGCCTGTCTATGATTTGAACGACCATGCGCCTGTTCATCAGCTTATCTTGAACTTGGTTAAAACTTTCTTCCTCCACCTTGGATGCAATTACCCCTTCCTTCGCGAGGAGAAATTCATCCGCATGGTCAAGGAGAAGCGTGTGGAACCGATCCTGGTTGACGCAATGTGTGCCCTTGCTGCCCGCTTCTCCGATCTGTCAATCTTCACAGACGGAAACGATTCTTCTATCCCCCGCTCAGAGTACGGAAATGTGTTTGCGCAGAGAGCAAGAGCCGCAACCGTCGATACCTTTCCATGTCCCACAGTAGGTGCGGTTCAGGCCTGCCTCCTTATGGCCTACGAAGGCTTTGGGGCCAATCAGGACAGCGCCTTGTGGATGTATCTCGGGTTGGCGATTCGCATGGCCGTAGATTTAGGCTTGCAGAAGATGGTCGGAGTGATGTATCAAGGACAGAGAGATCCATGGTACACGAGGGCCTGGAATCGTACCAATACCGACGACGAACTCACGGATCAAAAGCAAGGAACTGACGATGAGACACTGAGTGCCGAAGAGCAGCACGAAGTGGAGCAAGAGAGAATCGACACCTTTTGGGCGGTGTTCATCTTAGATCGTGTCATCTCCTCTGGTACTGGCCGGCCAGTTACTTTCAGGGACGACGATTTCGAGCTCACCCTCCCCGAAGCAGCCCTCGATCCTGCCTCCGGCCTCCCCGCTCCGTTCCCTACCTTCATTCAGATCATTCACTTGTACGGCCGTGCGTCAGATGTTCTAAACAATATCAGGAATGCACGAGATTTGACGCAAGACAAGATGAAGAAGTTGGCGCAAATGGAGCACGAACTCACCAAGCTCTACCAAAAGCAAGATCCGCACCTACATTTCAACGCATCCAACTTCCAAGACTATGTCAAAGCAGGGCAGGGCACCACATTCATTCTCTTGCACTTCTGGTTCCATGCGCTCATCATCATTCTCCATCAACCAACGCTTCTCACGCCGTTCGAAAGCCTAAGTCGCACACATCAACTCCTGCCAAACAGCCGCGAGCTTTCAATGTCTAGCGCAAAGACCATTGCGGACATCCTTGCCTTTGCGGAACTGATCGACCCCAAGAGCTTCATCGGCAATCCTTTTACGTCACAGCCTATGTATATTGCGGCTTGTGCATTTCTCATGGAGTCGGTAGCCAACGCTTCGCAGCCGGCGTCCCGAGAAGTGACGCCACCCGCCGAGAACAAAAAGGAATATACACAGTCTGCAAACATCAAGACCAGTCACGGAGGTCCTTCTTCGAAGCATTCATTACTCGCGTCAGCAGCCAATCAAAATTACCAGCGGTGCTACAAGTCTCTACAGCAACTGAATACGTACTGGGGCGGCGTGGGTTATATTCTCACTGCCTTAGATCAAAAGTCCAAGGGGATATGGGACTGTGAGACATACACCAACGAAGAGTACGAGAGCGCCAAAGTGCCGCGAAGGAACTCCCTAAAGCCTTTCCCTCGCTTTGAAAACCCGGCATCTCCTAACGTGCCTCCCATCGCCTGGTCGCTTACGGGGACGACCAACTCGCCCAACTCGAGCCTCACGCTACTTTATCAAAACAATGCCAGCGCAATGGCGTCACATGGGATACCGACAGCCCAGCAGCCTCAGCATTCTGGCCCGACATCGGCTGCAACACCCCCCGGGAACATGGTATACGATCCCATTCGTCAAAGTCTTCCAGAAACCTCCATGTTCCCACCGGCAATTCCACAAGCCCATCTGTCAGCCGTGAGACACTCTGCCCAACAAGCCAAAGCTCCCCGTGCGCAGCCGCGCATGTCTACTGGATCAAGCAGGAACTTTCCTAGATTCGACTCGCACGCGACAGACACCGCCGGATCGGCAAGCCCTGATTCCGGCCGCGGGTTACGGTCGAGTTCCTCCATGCATGCTCAGCAACATCCGCCGTTGCCCACAGCTGCCTTCACCGCTGCTTCCCATCACCCGTCCAGTTATGAGACGGGTGGATTGCCTGCTGGCTCACCCACCAGCGCATTAAACGACACCTCTGACCCTCGTCATAGTCACAATACCCAGAACGTTACCGACAACCTTAGCGGCGGCGGCAACTCTTTCTCGCCAGACTTTGCTCAGAGCGGGCTGGCTTCGGGCTCCTACGCATACTATGGGCCGGTGCCCATTACCGATGTCATCACCTTTGACAGCCAGGAGATCGAACTCGGCATGCTCGACTTGCCCAACGAGATGATGCCTGCCTGGTTTGACTATCTCCCCGGCGACGTGCTGAACATGTTTGAGAGCGGCATGAACGGCGGGGGCAACCACCAGCATCATCAGCACATGGGCTGAGTGGTTGCCCAACTTTTTCCCTCCATTTGTGTTCTAGAGTCAAAATTCTGTGGCGAGGCTCCCCGCGACATTTCACTGGCGTTGTAATGATGAAACGAAATCATGTCCTCACGGCACCCTTTTTCTCTAAGATACCATGTTTTGATACCTCCTTTCTATTTTGGAATATTAATGTTATATACTATGGTTGCATAGCCCTAATTACTTGTTGTCTCTGCACTGCAGAGAGGGAAGAGAAATACAAAGTGTGTTTCATGATCCAGGCTCGCCAATATGTGAATTACAGGTGAACACGCCACAGAGCAAGACTCCTGTGTCCTCGTAACACTACGGCAAATAGGCTCAAAAGAATTCGATTTTTCATGTACACGCTAGAATTATACACTAGAATGGTTGTTGGTCTCAACCCGCACCTCTCTCTCCTTCACGAAGCAAATATGTACACGCGCATGTAGGTAGACCCGCACGTGAACCGTGGCACCCATCAAGCGCAAACTCGCTCATATGGCGAGATATTGCCTCGACCGACTTTTGCGATTTTCAAGGAATCCCTGCTGTTCGGCTCTCTCGTCCCTTCCCAACCCATCGTCCGATTTCATCCTCCCCTGGGTATAACGTGCCAAAACAGGATGTGAAAACAGAATTCTTCGTTTTGAAACCACCAATCCCCTCCCCCTCTCCGACGTCAAAAAACCATCAAACAACACAGAGATCGTACAAACAAAAACACTTTGTTTTCTTTCGTTCAACGATACCGATTATCAGGCGGCCGACCGTACTCGTCATGAGGCCGCAGCGTCCTCTGCAGCATCCCGGGGCCTTGGTTTGGATCCCCGCGCGGGTCCCGTCCCATGTCCCGCATGTGCACGTCCTGCGACCCGTAGGGCGGGCCCGGTGGCGGCGGCGGCGGCGGGCCCCTTGAGTCGTACGCGCTTACGGGCGTGTAGCTGCGCGGCGGTCCCGGGTCCCTGAGGTCCCTGCCTTGAGGCGGGCCAGGGGTGTTGGAGTACCTCTGGTAGGGACCTTGAGGGGGCGGCGGCTGCGGACCCTCGCCGGGGCGAGGTCCGGGGGTCGACGAGTACCGGCTACCGAGAGAGTGCGAGTGCTGATGTTGCGGCCGCCCGTCGTGGACGGGGTACCCAGGCCCGCCGCGGTCATCTCGCATGCTCATATGATGAGGAGGAGGCTGCTGCTGTGAAGCACCACCTGCCGCCCACGACGGCTGTTGCGGCATCGATGAGTTTGGAGCGGTGGGCTTTGGAGGACCGCCGTGCTGCGCGCCCCAAGCCGACTGAGCCGGCGGCTGACTGGCTTTCGGGGGAGCGTTTTGCGGCCAGGCACTCGGCTGAGGGGGCCCCCGAGAATCTGGCGTGGGCCAGGCAGTCTCTCTGCTGGGCGGTGGCTGCTCCCTGCGGCCAGAAGCGGAGGACGGATGTCCAGCATACTGGGGCGTCGGCGAAGCCGAGTGTGGCTGGGAGACGCCGGTATTGTAAGCCGAATACGAAGGCGGAGGTGCTTGATAGCCCATCTGCTGCTGCTGCCCTGGCGGGGGGTAGTGGTGAACTTGTGGTGAACTCGATGGAGGCCCTTGATGCTGAGGCTGATATGGGTGGCGGGAGTAATAGTCTCGTTCGGCCGAGGCGGATTCGATCGGCGAAATGATTGGAGGGCGCTGAAGGTTCATCTGTTGAGGCTGAGGAGACTGGTTGCTGTAGGGTTTCAGACTTGGCATAGAAGCCTGTGGAGGCACATTCCGGGAATAAGGGGAGTAGCCGGCCGGCTCCGGCTCACGGCGCAGTTGGGACGGCGCAGGCCCAGCCGGTGGCGGTGGTCGTGAAGCCATGCTTGGTGGCGGGGTAGGCGATGGCTTCACTGCTGAGGTAACCTCGCTGACCCTCTTTGGAGGTGGATCGTCGTTGAGCAGAGCCATGAGATTGGATCTCTTCTCCGGCGCGCGGCTAGGTGGTGGCGCAGATGGAGTAGAAGCCTGCGAAGACGGGGGACCATAGGCCTCTGCCACTGCCGATCGGTGGATGGGAGGCTGAGGTGTGGTGGTAACGGGCTCACCCATCATCGTTCTCATGCCTGGTTGGGTAGCGGGATACGCTTGCGACGGAGCAATATTGGCACGAGGCCGAGCCGAGAATGGTTCACTCCTTAAAGCTCCACGACTCGGACCCTGAGAAGCAAACGGCTCGTGGGTGTGGGCAACATCAGGCTCTTGTTTGAGACGAAGCTGGTCCAACAGTCGCGGCTCTTCCCTCTGCTGCATCTGTCGCTGTGCTTGTCTCTGCGCCAGTGATTGAAGCTGTGCATCAACGTCATTCGTCCAGGCGGGGCGTTGTTGGATCGATTCTGAGATAGGTGCAGGGGCTGGCTTCTGGCTGGTGCGGGCTGGTTGGTGCAGCGAAGCCTCAGCCTCTCGGTCACCAAACGCAAACTGTGCAACGGGTGGCCTTAGAGGATGCGTCGTCGGCGACATTGCTTGGTTTGCCACTTGCGGGCTGGTATGCTGCTGTGCGCTCAACGGCGGGGCCGCCCCTGCTGGTCCAAGAGCTGCTTGGCTAGGAGGCGCTGAAGCGATGGCCACGGGGACCTGGAAACGATTCAGAGCCTGGCCCAGTCCTTGTGAAGCCGAGGCGTCGGCCTTGGAGGGAATGACATCCTCGAGTGTATCGGCTGCAGCCAATGGCCTTGGATTAGCATGAGGCGTATCATATCTCTTTCTCGGCCCAGTAGTAGGCGTAGGAGGCGCTGGTCGTTTCTCTCCACGAGCTCGCTTGGCATCAGCGTCAGTCGCGATTCTCTCCCACTCCGCCTTACCGCCATCTTTCTGTCGGACGTAGTAGTTTTTAACCTATTCCTTGAAGTCAGCACACGTTACGTCAGTAAGTGGGTACAGAGGGGGCAAAATTCACCATTACGGCCGTCTTTGTTTGCATATGAGCGGCAATAGAGCTCCAATCCGTTCCAAAGGAACGAAGCAGAGCAGGGAAGTCGTTTGACTCAGAGACGCTCCAGTAGCTGGATGCCTGTTGAGGTGTGCGAACGCGATCCGGCTGGGAGAGCTCAAAGGTTGGCATTCCCACTTGGGGCGGTGGAGGCTCCGGGCGAAGTGAAGGAGGGGCCATGACCTCCGATATGGATGAAGGAGCCGTCGGAGCTGTCCTGTCTGGTCCAGCGATTGGAGGCGGTGCCCCAATTGGAGCTTGCATACCAACCGAGGGGGGTTCGAATTGGGCAGCTAGGCGTGACGCTTCTGCGGGGGCCTGCGACGCAGCCAGATCCAGTGTCTGCGCCCGTGAGTTGGAACGAGATCGCGCTGCTTTGGCAGTGGCAGGCGGCGTGGGCACCAGCACCTGAGCCTGCTTCGGCTGCTTTGGCTCTTTCTCTCTGGTTGCTCTCTTACGACCTCTTCGGCCTCCCTCTGGCTTCTCAGCACCACTGTCATTCTTGGACTCGTTGGCTGCACCCCTGCGACGACCAGGGGTCCCGGCAGGGGTGTTTCCGTCCGAATCGGCAGCGGGCGTCGCCTCGAAGTTGAAGGTCGGCGCGGCAGCACGGCGAGGCCTGCGCCTCTCCCCATTCTCGCCAGTCTCATGGTTCTCCTCAGTCTCGTTCTCGCCGTTACCCAATTCGGACACCAAAGCGCTGGACCTTTGTTTGCGACTTCCCTTCTTGCGCCTCCTAGGCTGCTTCTTGAGCTTCTCCTTAAGATTAAGATCACGCTTCTGGGAGTAGTAATACTGAATGCAATCGTGGAAGTCTCGCGTTGGGACCTGCTCCGCGATGCGGCCCCACTGTTTGGGAAATTCGAGATATGCCTTCTCGAACAGCGCTGCCTCTTCCTCGGTGAAGTTGACGACAGGCGGAAGGAGTTGCCAAGTAGCGGCAAGCTTTGCCACGGGCAGGTTGCCGGTCCTGTCGATGTACAAGTCCTTGACACGGTCGTCTTCTGTCCAGTACATCTCGGGAATCTCGGCTTCCTTCTCACTCCGGTACTTTTCTCTCTGAGCACGTTCCTCCCTCTCCCGGCGTTCCTCTTCTGCACGCATAGACTCCTGGAGGATCCGTTCAAGATCTCGTTCCGATGCAAATCGTCGCCCCAAACCCCTGCCCTCGGGCTTGGATTCAGCTGGTGCGTGCTGCACGCCATTCGTCTCGGGAATAGGCGCACCCCCAGTGAACTTCTCGCGGCTCTTAACAGCGAGAGGGTCGTCAGATAGGGTGAACTCGAGATAGATTCTGTACTTGTCGCCATAATCTTTCTGCGCGCCTTGCTGCTGCGCCAGTTTGACCGAGTTCTCCTCTTTCATGGTTTTCAAAATGAACGTGTCGACAGCGGTAGAGGGTGCTTCCGCCTTGATAAACTGCTTGTCTTGGTACCAAGGCGTGCAGGTGAAATCTGGGAGTTCGTCGATTGGGGGAGTTTTCATGTAGGTGCGAACAATCTCGATGGCCGCGTCATCAATTTCCTCGATTTCTGTGGCGTCGTCATCCTCCTCCTCGTGCGAAGGGCTCGAAGGTCGAGAATGCTGAGGGCCATCAGGGTGAATACTCGGCGATCCTTCTGCCTCGAGCGACTTATCGGTCTTTCGGGTCGAGAATGCCGCTTTGAGAGCGTCAACATGCTCAGCAGCTTCCTTCATCACAACATCCACGTCCGGCCTCGCTTCATCATTCTCAACAGTAGGAATTGGCAATTGGCCAACTTCTGCATCTGGCTCCTCCTCCTTAGGTTGAAGTCGAGATTTGTCCGTTTTTGACTCCGGCGAGTTCTTCGTGGCGTCTCCTGCGCCTGCAACTGACAGCAAGCCAGCATCGTCCCCTAACCTGACTTCCTTCTCTGCAGCTACCGAGGCGTTCGATTTGCGAGGCAGGACAAGGTCTTCGGGTATCGGCTCCAGCATTTTAAACAACCCTTCATCCTGGTTCAAGGCATTTAGTGCAAATGTGGCCTCGACCAATCCAGCACGGGTGATCACAGTCTCCAAATAAGAGGTGTCATCGCCCTCCAGTTGTCGAAGTTCTGTCTCGGCTTTCGATATCTCCAGATTGAAGTAGTCGTCGATGTCTTCGTCATCCGACTCCGAGCCTTGGTCAGCCAGTACCCGAGCAGTACCTTTTGACGTACCGGGGAGCTCCTGGACTGGTGCATGAATGATCTTTGGCCGTTTCGACTTTTTCTGATGCTCCGTGCGCGTGACGGCGGTGGAACCTATGGTAGCTCCTGGATGAGCACCATCGATTTTTGCCAGCTTAGGACTGGCGGTCTTCACCGGTGCTGATAGGGAGGTACTTTGTGGAATCGATTCCGGGGCACGATTATCAGTCTTCGACACATGTGTCATGACGTCCCTCATTTCACGGTCCACGGATGTCCTTGTCGAAGGGGTGAACGTGTCCTCTGTAATCTCTCCCGGCTCGGTCATGGATAATGAAGGATGCCGGGTGTCTGCGGCGTCTGGATGTGACTCCGCTTTCGAGTCGCTGCTACGAGGACGGCGGACAAGCTCGGCTTGGAAGTCGGAGCCGGAGGAGCCCGGTCGCTGACCGAAGGGCCTGGATTGAGGAGAGACAAAACTCTGTGACCGGCCAATTTTGGGTGTTTCCGGGATCTTCTTGGGGTTGAGGCTAGGATTAATCCATTGCTTACTAGACGGCCTCTGTTTTTGCATCTGCGCACGTGGTCCAAGTGGGATGGGAGGGCTTCCCTCCGGAGCCGCAATTTTGCCCGGACCCGGAGGCGGCGGTCGTACGTCAGCCGCTGGACCAGTCGGAGGGGCCGGCACGGAACGCTCCTCGGTCAATGCTCGGGGTCCGGTCGGTGGGGCCTTGCCCGTAAGCGACTGAATATCCGCGGAAGACGTTGTTCGACTAGGTACGGAGCCAAAAGCAGGAGCAGATGGCGCGACGGGAGGAGGTGACACATCTTTGGTTTGAGTCGGAGCCTCATGAGACACGGAGGATCGATCAGGCTTTGGGCGGACAGGTTCCCGATCACGCATGTCTCTCTCGTCTCGCGGGTCTCGAGCTCGAGGGTCGGGGTCGAGATAACGGTGAACATCTCTGTCATCGCGATCATTCCGGCCCCATCGACCTTCTTGCGAACGGCTCCTCGGGTACCGCTGGTCCCGGTCGTCATAGTAGCCGCCACGACCACGCGCACGCTCCCAGTCTCCGCGACCTCGAACGCCCCGTCCTCGCCCACCAAATCCTCCGCGGTAGGACTGAGACGCAAAGACAGGGTCGGATGATGATGAACCAGCAGATAAGGGTCCATCCCGTGATCCGCGCCTTGAACGATCTGCGTCGACCCCTAATGGCACATCCCTGTCGCGAAAATCTCGTCCTGGCGGCGGCGAACGGCCGCGTCCTGGTGGCGATGGTCTCCTGCCGCGGAAATTGTCTCGCTCACGCCAATCCCGCTCACGCTCTCTACTACGTTCATCTCGGAAGGGGGGGCCATCTCGTCGATCCCGAAAATCGTCGCGGTCCCTGCCCCGATCTCTACTATCATCTCGCCATCCTCGGCCGCGGCCACCGCGCCCACGACCACGAAAATCACCCGTGTAGCCCCCACCTCTAGGGCCGCTCGGCGGATCCAAGAGCGCTTTAGGCCCCCGAGGCGGTTCCCGGCCAGTTAGCGAGTCGCGAAAATTCTCTCGGTTGCTTTGAAAGGCGGACTGATTTGCTCTCGCTTCGCCGGACAAACGTCGTCGGTCATTGTCTCCATACTGGGAACCACGGTCATTGTATCGGTCGAGAGACCGATCACGAGGGGACCGGGACCGGCGATCGCTGTCGTATCGAGAGTATCTTGACCTGTAGCCATAGAAACCGTAAGCATAACGATACATGACCCGCTGGCAAGGGAGGGGAGGGGAAGAGAATCTCTACACACGGAAAACCCAAAGAAGAAAGAAAACAAACGCGCGCAGCCTAGCACTTTCGTGCTGCAGCGTGGTGATATACGTATCAAAAGATCAAGTAAAAAGAAGGCGGGAGCTCACATGTTTGTTGCCAAGGGGCTATGCCTCAACCCCGGATACCTCACTTGTGGCGCTACCCAACATTCGATCAATCTCCAAAACCGCCCTGTTTCTTGGTCGACTCAATCGCGAAAATGACAGCAAGGAACCAAGAGCGGCTTGACGGTGGTTGTGAGCACTTTTATGAGCGCGCGATGTCTGGGGAAGGCCGCCGGCTGGTCTTGACGATTGGTTGGTTCGCCGTGTGTGCGTGCGTGGCGCGTAGACGAGCGCTCACTCAAAGGCCAGATCCAAATGCACCAAGACCTCGGGAATACCTACGCGGTAGCGCACCACACAGAAAATAGCGTGCCGCCGGGAGTGGATGATGGGTACGTGAAAGCATGAAACGCCGGTCCCAAGATGCAACCGTCGGGTGCAGGTAAGAGGGCGAGAGTGAGGGCGTATCAAGGGGCGGGTGAACGGTGAGGGTGAACCTCTAAAGATTGAATCAAGGTTGAAAAAGGAAACGGCCCTTGGGGATGGCTTGAATGGATGGCGACCCAAGATGCAGCGGTCCGGGTGGGGACGGTTCAGGTTCCAGGCAGCCCGTGTCAGGCCAATCAGAGCGGGCACAAGGCCTGAGGCGTAGCGTGTCTCCCGGCGCCCAGGCTGTATTTGCCGCTAGGGCCCGCTAAGCCGTATCGGTACAAGGCTCATGCGCTGGTCTTGCTCGGTCAGGTTCCAAGGTCGAGAGTTTGCGGAAAACCCTTCAGAGATTCTCGAGTGACAGATCTGTGAGCTATGCCTATCTAGGCAATTTGTAGAACTTCTTTTTCGAGACAAAACCCCAGGATTTGGCGGGGTTGACATTTCAAACTGTTTACGAGACTCGGTGCGTACAACGGCTATATCCGACTTTTTCTTTCATACTATCGAGGGCCGTTCTTGAGGTGATCTCACTACCTTCAGTCTTATCTTGCTCTCCTCGGTTGCTGTTTGCACGATAGAATAGTTTCTGCAACAAACCTGCAAACAATTCTGACCAAAATTTGGTCACACCATCACCAACGCTGGTAGAAGTACACTTCTTGCACACTCAAACCACATTCACACTGCCCATTGCGCTGGTCTAAACGGGCTGAAACGTCCCTCTCATTTCAACCTAGCCTCTTTCTCGAAATTCGTATTGCCTGATTGAGGTACCTTAGGGTGCCCAAGATCAGCATGTCGGCAAACCAGCCCCCGGCGCAGGCCACGGACGCTGTCCTGGTGCCGTCGATGGAGATGCCAAAGGGTGCCCAAAAGGTCGAGGAACTGGACTTCAACAAATTTGCCGACAAAACCATCACTGCCGAGGACTTGCTCCAGGGTATGAAGCACATGGGTTTCCAGGCATCATCTGTCGCTGAGGCCGTCCGCATCATCAACGAAATGGTCAGCACTCTACCAGCCATCCTTTGAACCCTTCCTTGGAACGCATCGTTACTGACACCCGCTGAAGAGGGCGTGGCGCGACCCTGAGACTGGAGATAAGACTACCATTTTCCTAGGCTACACGTCGAATATGATCTCTTCCGGGCTCCGGGGCATATTCCGCTGGTTGGTGGAGCATAAGCATGTCTCTGCCGTTGTCACCACTGCTGGGGGTATTGAAGAGGACTTCATCAAGTGCCTAGGTGACACCTACATGTCCACCTACAGTGCTGCCGGTGCCGACTTGCGCTCCAAAGGTTTGAATCGGATAGGCAACCTGGTTGTGCCCAACTCAAACTACTGCCTCTTTGAGGACTGGGTGGTGCCCATCCTCGACAAGATGCTGGAGGAGCAAGAGGCAAGCAGAGGAACCGAGAACGAGATCAGCTGGACGCCGTCCAAGGTGATCCATCGGCTAGGAAAGGAGATCAACGATGAACGCTCGGTGTATTACTGGGCATACAAGAACGATATCCCCGTCTTCTGTCCTGCCCTGACAGACGGAAGCCTCGGCGATATGTTGTACTTCCACACTTTCAAGGCCTCTCCGCAGCAGCTCAAGATCGATATCGTGGAAGACATCCGGAAGATCAACACAATATCGGTGCGAGCCAAGCGCGCGGGCATGATCATCCTTGGAGGCGGTGTCGTCAAACACCACATTGCCAACGCTTGCCTTATGCGAAACGGAGCCGAGTCTGCAGTCTACATAAACACTGCGCAGGAGTTTGATGGCAGCGATGCCGGCGCGAGACCCGATGAAGCTGTTTCCTGGGGCAAAATCAAAGTCGGCGCCGATTCCGTCAAGGTCAGTACCAAAGGATAAGGCGGGTTCCGTATGCGCATACAGCTAATTGTCGTCGTTGTAGGTTTACGTTGAGGCCACCACCTGCTTCCCCCTCATCGTGGCTAACACTTTTGCGAAAAAATCATGACCTAAATTTCAAGGATACCTACTCGTCCTTTTGCATGGCTTCCTACCGCAGCCTTCGACTCAATGCCAGGGGATGGAATCATAGAGGGATGCTAGAGATGAACTCAAACATACGACGACAACCGGACATAGAACTTCGCATTATCACCCTGCATTACCACGGCGCCAAAAGAAGCAGATACACCATATATTCAAAATGATTGCATATGACGCATTGTTTGCCAATTCGTTGCTTGCTTCAGGTTGACATTGTTTGAGTTGTACATGAACCCTAGTTGGTCTGGGAACTTTCCTGCCTCTTTCGCGCACCCAGCACGGCCTTGCCAACACTGCTATCGTGGGGCCTCTCCAATTCCTTGGTAATCCACGAGCCAATGTCAGCCATGGCATCGAGATCGACGCCGGTGTTCATGCCGAGACTCTCGAGGAAGTAGACAAGATTCTCGGTTGCCACATTGCCGGTCGCGCCGGGGCTGTAGGGGCAGCCTCCAAGACCTCCCACAGCGCTGTCAAATATCCGGATGCCATGCTCCAGGGAGATGGCTGTGTTGACCAGGGCCTGGCCGTACGTGTCGTGGAAATGCATCGCAATATCTTCATTGCGAATTCCCGCCGCAGTCATGCACCTGAGAAGCTCCTTCGTCCTCGGCGCAGTGCCCATGCCGGTCGTATCGCCCAGCGAGATCTCGTCGGCTCCCATCTCCAGCAGGTCTGTGGCGATCTCAGCCACCTTGCGAGGATCCACGTCATAGCCTTCGAAGGGGCAGCCCAGAACCACGGATATGTATGCCCGCACTCTCAGGTTCGCGTCCTTCGCACCGAGAATGACCTCCTTGAAGCGCTCCAGGGAGGTAGCGATGTCGCAATTGAGGTTCTTTTTCGAAAAGGACTCGGTGGCTGCTGCGAAGACAGCGACTTCCACGCCAGGTTTGCTCGGCGAAGACTTCTCCGGCTCTGTCGGCAGTTCTGTAGTGTATGCATCGGGGTGTTGTTGTAATATGGCATTGGCATTACCGAGGCCCTTGATGTTGGGGGCCAGGAAGGCGTAGGAGATGGGCACGGGGCTAGGGATTTTGTGTTGGAGAATGTGCTGCAGGATCTCTCCCGAGTTGTCCATCTGGCCAAGTGTTAGCCTTTCAAGCCACTCATAGGAGTCCAGCTTGTGCCAAAAGAACCTACCTGGGGCACCCATTTGGGTGAAACAAAGGAGCCAGCCTCAATGGTGGACAGACCGGTCTGAGCCAATCGCTCGATCAATTCGATCTTTGTGGGCAGAGAAATCGACCTTTTCTCGTTCTGAAGCCCATCGCGCGGCCCAACCTCGACGATCTTGATGTGGTTGTCGAAGGGGGGTGGAGGTGGCGTTGCAGTGTCGGTCGCGGTGGCTAGCCTCCGAACGCTGGATGCTAGCACCTGCCGGGCGCGTCGGCGAGCAATGGGCCGCAGTGCTTGCATTTCGAGTGGTTACCTCCAATGTTCCATGAAACTATTTTTTCAGAGTTTTCGTGGCTGTGACAGGCTTCTGCCCTGGGAAAGAGCGTGATGGTGATGCTCGGTTGAGGTGTCGGACTGACGTCGGCTCATCGCCGCATATCATCGGCTTGCATATTCCGGGGTAATCACGTGTTTAGCGCAACGCTCATTCCCTGCAACTCCTCGTCAGTCCTCGCCAGAGAAAACATGAAGCCAGAGCAAGTTACTACACACAATACGAAAGGCGTGGCCGTCGTCAATATCGGCTTGGGGAATCAAAGCTTCAATGGAGATATATGTCAAGGATGGCGTGAATCATTACTTGCAAATACGAGGTAGTCTATTAATGCAGTTCTCTGCCACCTGCCCCCCAGGATGCGAAGCCGATATACAAGTATGAGCACACTGATATTAAAACCATGATTTTGAACAAATAGAAACAAATGACTAATTAGATCCCTACTACCCAACGGAGAAGAAAAGGAAGAGAGAGAGAGAGAGAGAGTCCATGGGGGCTACGACAACTGCGCACCTCGAATGGTTAGATCCCTTGCGGACCACAGATGTTATCAAGAATTAGCGTCATGCGCACGCAAGCCTCCGACTCTGTTTGGGGGAGTGCTGCAAAACCAGGCGGTGGGCGATGCAGCTGACGAGCACTGGCTGAGCCTGACTGCAAGAATCGGTTGAGGCTGTATTTGGGGTCGTAAGGTAACCGGTCTATGTGGTTGGTGTCGTTGTTGCAGCTTGTTTCTAGCAGCAGCTCAGGGACCTCATCTGGTTGGAGCTGCTTGGTTGCTTCAACACTGGACAGTAGTCGGGTAAGCGCTGATCATTTAAAGCTTAATTGACAACTCAAGCGAATAAGAAACCGGCCGTAATTCCACCACGGTCTAGGTATATCAGAGAGGGAGGCAACAAGAGGGAAGACAAAGCCTCATAAACAAACTCATCAGCCAGACCGAAGCATATGATGATCCGGGCCAACCCAGAACATTCCATTAGCCTTTTAGCCTTGCAAGTCGAGCTGAGGTAACGGGAAATGCAACTACATGGACGAAAGGACGCTTGGAAAAGAAGACGGATTGTAACAAAGTTTGGCAAAAGCTCAGCTTAATTCATACATCACTTCAAAGTCCACAGTCCTTCCCATCATTACAGACGAATGCTCCAAGGTGTCGTTCTGTAACGCGAGCACCGGATAACCACAGGGCTCTTGGATGACGCAATGCGAGGGGTTGATGTGGGGGATCGGGGTATCCTTTCCAGGGGCTTGGCAGGGGCCAAGGGACCCTCGTAGCGGCTCCACGGCGAGCCGCCCCGCTGGAACGTGGCTTGTGGCATGCGCTAGGGGGACGATAGATGCTGTGGCAGGCAATTGGAGCTCTGGCTCACACTTTATGGACAGTGGCGGGACCGGAATGTTGGTAACAGCTGGACAGCTTTGCGCCATATTGTAGGAGTGCGTAGAGGCCAGGTCTACGGTTGGACCTTGAAGATATTCGAAGGGTGTCTTCTGTCCTCTAAACGTAGGTTCGTCGTAGGTGTTAAAGCTTGTTGAGTGTGTGGAAACCAGCATCCTTCCACTAAGGTATCTTCCTGGTGTGGATGGAGGATATTGGACTTTTATATTCGTATTTCTTTAACCTCTTCTCATCGGCCATCCTATGGCTCGCTACGCAGCTGGCTAGAAGAACCCCCACGACCAAACAGTCGGTAGGAATCCGTACATTTGATGTGTTGCCCCGGTGGCTTTTCAGCATCTCTCCGAAGTTCGGCCAAAGTCTGGTAACGATAGGTCAATACTCAATGGTGTTCCTAGTTTGTAATCACTAAAACAGCTGACCGAGTCCGCAGGGAGCACATTCTTTGTGTCTCCCGAACTCCTCGCCGCTTGGCACACCAAGTGAACCTCGACTCGAGAAACTCGGGACGGCACAACTGCCACGTCTTCGTCGTAACCCGCCAGCACTAGAGGGAAAACATGCCAGAATGACGTCCTGGGCATGGTCGAAACGATTGTGTCGGTAAGGCGTCCAATGCCACGCATGTTTTACCTGGCACTAAGACTGATGTTAGATGGATACAATAGGATAGGTTCCAGCTGCCGTCCTAGCCATCGTGGGACAAGTAAAGGATGTCTGTCAGCACGACATTGATGAGAACTGCCTTGTGCCGTTCCTTGGCTCAGCTTAAGCCATGACGTCGAAAACGAACGATGCCGAACCTGCCAAACCAGATGGGGATGGGGAAGCTGAAATCGCCACCGGAATCCTGGGACTAGCTTGCTGGCAGGCTCCTGGTGCGGCTGCACGAGAATCCTCCCCGGGCCATGCAGGCAGCAGGGACCGGGACATGGGATGTCTGCTCTCGAAGAGCACGGCGCTTACTCGGACGGCAGTTCTGTGAACCCGAAATCTCCCATATGGCAGGTCATGGGATTCTTAAAGATCGGCAGGATCTGCACTGCAGTCGTCCGCATGAGGACCCTGACCTCTGGGTTGTCAATTGGGACGGATTGGTTCGCGTCGAGAAACAAATTTCTGTGCCTCACGCGCCCAAGTATCTCCCCTGTGCCCATGCCCCAACATTCTGAGCTCCATTTCACTTCTTCTCATCATAACGGAAAAACAATCGCATGGTTGATGACGGACTGCAAGGCTGCCTCCTAACTTTCAAAGATATCAAGGTACGTACTTCATGCAGGGTAAAACAAATGATGTCAGCGGCTGGGCTTTTGACAGGACCCTGCAGCTCCACAGCCACACACATGGCGCGGCAACTGTCGCACAGCTTCTACACCTGCTATTCAGTTGAGACATCAGAGAAATATTTGCGAGTAAACTTGCCATTGACATCTAGTTGGTGAATTAAACCACCTCGGTGTCGATCTCGGTAGACACAGACGGTGGCTCACATCCAACAATGCGAGGCTGTGCAGACGAGGACAGTCGAACTCCTGGGAGGCTACTCCGCTTGCCTTTCCTCACCTCTCCATTGTTAGCATTACTCAGTCGCCGTTTTTAACATGCATGTATTTGCCGAAAAAAAGAGATTATCCTACAACTTGAATTAGATCATGTCAAAATATCGACCTGATCTACCAGATCATATGTGTCCATATCCCGGCGTCCACAAATAGAACAAAATGTGTTTAGAGTTCTCTTAAACATTGTTATCTTCCTTGCTGCCTTGCCTTTTCACTCAGAGTCACCTTGACGAGCATTCCGTCTTTCGGCCTCGAAGTCACCTGCATGGTCTAGCATTGTAACCCAGTCAGTACATACTCGCTAGAAAAAAAGCGAAAGGACAACTTGCCTGGTAAAGCTTCTCTTTGACCTCGTATTGTCCCAAATCGTTCTGAATAGGCTTTCCATCTTTGTCGTGAGCGAGCTCGCCCAGTCCGACCTTGATAAAGTCGAATCTCCGCACAATGCAGGCCAGAATCACGCGGGCCTCGATGTTGGCCAACTCTTGCCCAATGCAGTTACGCGGTCCTCGCTCAAACGGTCGCCAGGCACTAGCTGGCGTCTTCTTGTCGTCCTGGTCCTTTGCCCCGGCCTTCTCGTTCGCCTCATCTGCAAGCCCGCTGTTGGTCGCCTCCGAGGTGTCGGTATCGCCGAGCCAGCGCTCCGGGAAGAACTCATTGGCAGTTTCGCCGAATACCTTGCCGTCACGGTGGACTATGTATTGACAGATATATAGCACCATGCCATCGAGGCAATACTGCCGGCCAGTCTGGGGATCCGTGACGATAAAGTTGGTGCCTGGCTTGGAATATCGCGCAGTAGCTGCGGGTGGGTGAAGGCGCAGCGTCTCTTTGATGACGGCCGATGTGTAGGTCATTTTGCCAACAAGGTCCTCGCCATTAGATCTGAGCTTTTGCCGCACGACCTCCGGGTCAGTTTCGGTGCCGAAGAGCTCGTCAAGCTCGCTACGGATCGCCCGCAGCGCCCGTGGCGTCCGTGAGAGTTCGTAGAACGCCCACTGCAGCAGAATGCTCGTTGTGTCGTGGCCGGCGAAGAGGAAGGTCTTCAGTTGATCGCAAGTCGCCTCCACGATTGCATCGTCAACCTTGTCCAGACCCTGGAGGCTCAGGGACAGTACACTGCGAGACTTTTTCTTGGTCTGACCGACCTCATGTCTCTCTGCGTTGTACTTTTCCCAGACTAATGCCCTGAGTTTCTCCTGGAGCTGGCGGGAGAACTTGCTCCGCCTGGAGGCCAGGAATGGGTTGTAGAACTTGAACCCGCGGTTGGTGTCATTATCGTAAGTCTTCATGAGATTGCGATATAGTGTCAGCGTCTCATCCTGGTCCTTTTCGTCAAGTTGGGCCCCGAAATCCACGTCCATGACGACAGCACCTATACGAGATTTAGTAAAGAGCTCAAGCAAGACCTGGCTGGGTAGAAAACCCTTGACTGACCGATGATATCGAAGGTGAGCCCAGTCAGGTAGTATTCCAGGGAAAATTCCTCGCCGGTCTTGGCAAGACGTTCAAGATGATCAATGAAAAATTTTGTCTTATCGACGATGAGCGGGAGCAGGGTCAGGAGGTGCTGGGGTGCGAACCCGGGGTTGAATCTCCTCCGAAGTGCCTTCCAGTGCTCTCCCTGGTGATGGATATCAGCATACACAACTCAATTTCAGTTTGACGAGTGTAGTAATCCGGTCGCATGTTTACCTCGTTGATCAAAATGGACTGGTAGCCAATTAGGGCAAGCAGGTTTGAGAAGGTAGGCGACTTGGGTACACTCCAGTGAAATGTCTTGGAGACCTTGGAGACCTGCTCAGCCACATCGTGATCGCAAATGATGGCCATAGAGTACTGCATCGGCCATGTATCAATGGTGAACAAAGATGGGTTTCCCAACTTCTCCCGCATCTTGGTAAATGCAAGATCGACGTGTCCTTGCGGAGGGCCTTGCTGGAGATACTCATGGATATTTTTGAGATCTCCCCATAGCAGCGACACGGGCCGCAGCTGCGGGAAGCCAGCAAGCTGCTTGTACCTATGATAGCGGAGTCGCGTGTAGAGGTATGCCAGCACCAGCGTGGTCACCGCAAGGATGAAGGGACCAAGCTGGGCCATGGCGGGCGAGATGCAAGACGAATCGACTGAGCAGTAAATGCAAAAAAACACGGTTTCGACGGCCCTAGAAGGCTGAATATTGGCAGATGCTCAATCTTTGGCATCAAGACATGAAGCAATCAGGGAGTAAGTAGTAGAAATACTTCGCAGCGCATTGGTTACCTAAATAGTTAGGTCTAATCATCATCCATGACAGGCGTGTGCGGCCCATACTACCACACTAGGCTAGGTGGTTCGGGAGGGCCAAACTTCGTCCAGTAAGGACCATGCGGCGCCTAGATGGTGCTAGTCTTTACTTGTACATCCGTGTCTCGGCTGGGAAGGACCGCACAGGCCAGTACGTGAACCCGCGTACTTCGTACCCGGAACGGAGCCTTCAAACCGGCCGTCTCGATCCCCATCGCAACTCGACGCTACGACGTTGGATGTTGTGGTGCCTACCAACAACGGCCAGTCATCGGGAAGCCTTCACAAATAATACACCTCCAAGCCGGCTACGTTTCAACCCGGATCGCATATTTCCTAAGACAATGTAATAGGTCCACTTTATTTATACATTGCCAGAGAATACATTTCACAAACAAACAACATTCTTCTCCACACCACACGACACATTTTCAGTTCGCCTTGACTCTACCGGCCCTTTTCCATTCCAAACTTCCAATCGCTGGTACAATTCTAGGTCAAAGACAGCGGCCATGGACAGACTGCCCACGAGGCGGAGATGCAACAGTGGAGTTTGCAGAATCAACCTTAAAACTCTAAATGGTCCATGCTTGCAGGATCTGCATCCTTCGCGTGATGGACTCGATTACTCTCCTGCTCGACCAGGATACTGAGCCACAAATGTCAAATAACCATTCACCAGAGAGTCTTAACTTCTCCCCCTGGTCATATCTAGTGCTGAATCCCAGAAAAGCGCTCTAGTAGTATTTATCATCTATGCTACCCCTTCCAGCAACAAATTCTCCAATACCACCGTTCCAATTGTCGCATCCTCAGCCTCGAGTCACGATTCCGGGCCCCAGTGATCCTCAAGATCATCGTACATGTCCAACTCGTAACACCATCTGCCACACCCATCAGCGGGACCAACAATGTCCTCCATGCTGTCCAACCACATGTGGACTTTGGGTAGCTCACGCGCTGAGGCCCGCCGCGAAACCTCGTCTCTTGATATGATACCAAGCTCTGTGAGGATCCGGAGGGGTTCGGCCCGATCGGCTATGAGTGCGTCTTCAACGATTACCTGCACATAGTGGCGGGTGAGGCTGCATGTTGTTGTCTTGAAGTAGCTAGCCAGGCGCCTGAAAGATTCATACCGAGTACCGAAATAGATCTCGAGTGCCATACGCGCAGCGTACGCGTGCGGTAGGTTGCGCTGAGTTGAGTGCTTTAGGATGTATTCTTCCACGTCTTGAGACCAGAAGGGGTCCTTCATCATCAGCCGGAGAGGCTCCCTGGGTCCATCGAGGCGAGCTCCATAGGCGAGGAGCAATCGGATCTTGTCCTTGCGGTCATTGATGCATGTGTTGGACCGGGTTGCCAGGTACGTAAGCGGCGTGGCCACTGTTTCCCCAGCTTCACTGTCCCTGTAAATCCACGAGTTGGGATCTGCGCCATCAATTAGCACTCTCTCAACGCTTCTGACTGTGCTGTGCAGTGCGACCCATAGCGAGCAGGACAATGGCGACTTGAAGTTCGACCGATGCTCGCGGGCAAGCCTGATCTTTGCGGGACTTGCGGTCATAAATGCCACCGCAATGGCCTCTCTGGCTTCTCGCCATTCATCCTGCAATCTTCCTGGAGGCAGGTGGGACGGGCTTGAAAGCCCGGACAGTTCAAGATCTGTATCCTGAGTACAATCGGACTCGCTGCAGGTCTCGCAGCAGGACTCGCAGCAGTGGTAGGATTTAGAGCGCCCGAAAAGATGTTTCAGATGTTCTTCCATCCTGCGCCAAGCGTACTCATCAGCCTCTTGTAACCATCTGTCTCCTCCCGCTTTCCACATGCTGAGGGCCTCGCTATACCGACATTCGTCCAAGGCTTTTTCAAAAGGCATAGGCATAACCTCATATTGATCCGGATGATAAGATCTGTGAAGCGGGTCGGTCCCCGCGGCTAATAGCATCGCGATGACCGTAGGGTGATAGGCACGACAGCCGGCATAGCATAGCGTGTTGTTGCCATAATGGTCCGCATGGTGGGGATCGCAGTCTTCTCGCATGAAAAGTAGTTTCACGATGTCAGCGTAGCCATGCGACGCAGCAACGGCGAGGGCCGAGATGTACTCCTCTTCGTCGGTTGTTTCGGCTGATCTTGGGGGCCAGGTCATGTCCGCGGTAACCCCATGTGCTAACAGAAGCTGAACTGTTCGTGTCTGCCCATGACATATTGCCATGTGGAGGGGCGTCCAATTGGGGGATGGATTCAGACCGCGGTCCCAGGAAGCCAACGTCCAAAGCGTACAGTCACAGCCGCAAGATACCCTGTCAGGTGTTGGTGCAAATTTTGGTGAAAACCCATATCTCCAAATCCCTAGTTGGAGATCAGCTCCATGTGAAACCAGCCACTTGATCACATCGTTGTGTCCAGATGCTGCAGCAACATGGGACAATGTGCAGACGATGTCTATTCCCCATTCCGGGTCATCAAGCCTCAAGAAGTCTGTATGCCGATCAAGGTATCGGGATTCGACAATCCAATGCTGTTGGGTGATCTCCTTGTTCATCTTGAATAAGCGGTCCAGTACTTTGGTCTGGCTGTTTGCTGCTGCCCATACTGCTAGATCAGTGTTGTACTCCTTGACATTGCGTGTGTAGAACTCTTCGCCGTACACGCTGTCGAAAAGCCGATTGACACGCCTGAGGGCCGCGATGTCCCGCCACTCACAGCCGGCACCAATCATGGAAAGAATCTCTACTGGAAGAGTCCTGAGGCTGGGGAGAGGAGGAGGAGGCAGGTGAAACGATGCCATTGCTGCGAGATGTTGTTCGAATGCTAGGTGGCGGAATAGTGAGGTGTCGTGGGACGTTTCTGAGAGGAGCAGGAAATCGGAAAGATCAGGGGCGATTCTCAGTATATATACTTTTAGATTCGACAAATTTCATCCCATCCATGTCTCTGCCTGAACTACAGTGACTCATGAGGTTGATGGCCTGGGTGAATTGTTCGCGAATCACTGCTTTGTTGTCATGATACCTAGGTAGTGAGCTCCAGTCTTCATAATATATTGGTGCCATAGCGCAAACAAAGCCCCCTATAGAACGGTCCGGTCACAGTTGGTTGTCACAAAGAAAAGTTCCCTGTCACCTGGCAAGTGCTAGCACTGGCATGAACCAGGACTTGATTCAGGATACTACTATCTCTGTTGCCTGATTTGACTCTTTCGTAAGCTGTACACATACACAAGACCGCAAAATAGACAATGATCACTGTCTACCCGTCTTGTTGGGGCACATTTCCTCATTCTTAGATTGTGGCTGACCAGGGAATATGTATACTTCCAAACACTCTTTCCTGTCTCATTCTTCTTTAGGCCGAATTGGCTTGACGAATTTGGCTTTGACATCCTTGATATAGTTGTCGGCCAAAAGCTTCCGGATAATGGGTTGGGAATTATGGTCCTGAAAAGCTTTTCTCCCTGTATACCTTTCAAAGAAATGAAACATGTTGGGGTCATCTTCGTCTCTGGCAAGGCAGTAATAGATGATGCCAGCTTCATCCTTGGCAAGCCTGGTTGTCTCGGCGTAAACCGCCTCAAGCGCATCAGCATGTTGTGGGTCGGCCCAAACCTGGGGATGAGGTTAATTAGAACCTGAAACGACCTCAGCCATTTGATAGGAGTACCTACGATGCCGAATACGCAGAACTCATCCTCGGGAATGGGTGGAAGTTCCGGGAGATACACGCCTTCGGCCATTTTGCAGAGACACTATACTTGTAGTGCTCGAATGAATGACCCTCTGTTCGATCTGATCGTGTAGACTGTATATCCTCGTGTCTTCACAAGTCGTAACGGGGTACGGGAGATAAATCTAGACGCAGCTAGCTTACCTGACTTTGATTTCTCGTGAAAAGCCATCGGACCTCCGGTTGGTACCGGAATAGGTATGTGGCATGGTGTGTGGCTCCATATCTGTAGGTATTGATGACTGATCCACCTCAAAACTTAGGTATTGTCTGGCAACCCCACCGCTTAGATAAGATAAGATAAGATAGTAGTTATGCGCCTGAAAAAAAAAGTCGGTGGAAATATTGGGCGGCGGATCTTCATCAATTTGTTTGTCAAGCAACCTACACGTTCCGTATCCTCGTACATACACACGATGGGTAAAAGGAAGGTGGCAGCTCTCGAGAAGATTGATGCAGACTTGTACGTGTACCTACAGCGGGCTTCAAAATATCTGGAATTGTTTACTGACCTCAATCAGCGCGAGTTTGCAGTACAAGATCCGCCGGGATCCAAAGTATGTCTCCCACCATGATTGCACACAAGTGCTCCCCCAACATTATCCTTCCTTCGCGCTAACCGACTGTGGCTTTCAGGTCTTACGAGGATGAGTTTCAAAAGCAGTACGAGCAATATGTCTCGCAGCGAGAGATTTTCTTGCTGTCGCCCGCCACGGCATCGCCCGAGCAGAGCCAGTCCTTCCGCGACCTAATCGATCTTCTTGCACACATTGCCGACTGCTACCCCGATGCCATGCACGATTTTCCGGGAGATCTGAAGGCAATAATAACGGAACACCATGCTCTAATCGATCCGGAGCTGCGAGACAAGCTTGTGGGGAGCTTGGTCCTGTTGCGCCGCAAAGAGGTTATCGACTCGACTATGCTCCTCACTACCCTCTTCCCTATCCTCGTCTCTACACCGAGCAAGTCTCTACGTGCACTTCTTTTCTCCAAGATCCTGAGCGACATGCGGAATTCCAACAGCAAGTCCACCAATCACCGCCTCAATCGCACGATTCAGACCGTCTTATACAACCTTGTTACCTCTGACCGGACGTCGCCCAAGGCTATCTGGGCTGTGAAATTGACGCGCGAACTTTGGAAGCGGCAAATCTGGACCGATGCAAGACCCGTGGATATCATGAAGGAGGCTTGTCTTGCAGATAATGAGAAGGTGGTCGTGGGCGGAGTCCGCTTCTTTCTTGGAGGCGACAAGGAGCGAGAAGAGCAGCAAGATGATAGCAGTGACGAAGAGGCAGTCGACCTGAAAAAGGTTCAACATCAACAAATCATCAACAAGAAGACCAAGAAGAAAGCAAAGGCTTACGATCGAGCCTTGGACAAGGTGAAGAGAGCGGAAAGGAAGAAGAATCAGCCGCATCCTCTCAACTTCTCAGCGTTGCACCTCCTGCATGACCCGCAGGGCTTCGCCGAAACACTCTTCTCAAAGCATCTCCAGAACTCCAAGTCCAAGATGGCTCTTGAGAATAAGCTTCTGGTGCTGCAGCTGGTCACACGACTCGTTGGATTGCACAAACTTACAGTCATCTCGCTATACTCGTGGTTCACCAAGCACTTGACCCCTCGCCAACAGTCGGTCACTTCATTCTTGGCATCTCTTGCGCAGGGAACGCATAACATGGTACCTCCGGATGCCATCGAACCCCTTGTTCTCAAGATTGCGAACGAGTTCGTCTCAGAAGCATCGGCGTCCGAAGTGGCTTCCGCCGGCCTCAATGCGATCCGCGAGATATGTGTTCGTCAACCGCTGGCGATGAACGAGACGCTGCTGCAAGATCTGGTTCAATACCGGAAGAGTAAAGATAAGGGCGTCATGATGGCAGCAAAAGGTCTTCTCTCACTCTACCGGGAGGTCGGTGCAGAGCTCCTGAGGAGAAAGGACAGAGGAAGAGACGCAACCATGGGGTTGAAGAGCGGCGATATGAAGCAGCGAAAGTTTGGCGAGGAAGATGAAGGCGGCATCGAAGGCATCGAACTCTTGGCCAAATGGAAGGAGGAGGAAAAGAAGCGGAAGCGGGTCGAGCAAGGTTTGGAGGGACCTGCTGAGAAAGACGAAGAGGACGAGGATGGCTACAACTCTGAGGATTGGGAAGTCGAGTCTATCGACAGTAGCGATTCGGGCGGCTGGATCAACGTCAGTGACTCCGAGGACGATGAACCCATCGCCAAGCGCCAGAAGAAGGACGAGGATGATGAAGTACCGGAGTTGGTGGAAGGGGATAAGGAGAACGATGAGCTGGAGGCGTTGAGACTTGCCAAATTGGCACAAACTTCCATCTTGACACCTGCGGATTTGGCTAAACTCCAAGAGCTACGGATGCAGGCCAACATCGACAAGGCTCTCGGTAACAAGAGCAAGCGGGCCAAGGAGCTCCAGGCTCGTCATGCTGACGACGCTCTCACTGCGGAGCAGATCGAGCTTCCGGCCAAACTGCGCAAGACGACCAAGGAGGAGCGTATCGCGCTGGCGAAGGAGGGCAAGCCGGATCGTGAGGAGCACAAGTCGACGCAAGCTATCAAGCGGTCGAAGAAGGAGGCGGAGGGCAAGTCGACGACTAACAAGGAGAAAGCACGCAAGAAGAACATGCTTATGACGATGAGCAAGGCGAAGCACAAGCAGAAGCGGAGTTTGGTACAGACAAAGAAGGTCCTGCAGGGTCACATCGAAAGAAGCAAACGTGGCGGCAGAAGGCGTAACGGTGGTTGAGCTGATCTGCCAGCTCGACTTGGTTTCTCTACATTTCCTGAGCGCATACATAGATAAGGCTTCTCATGACACCGATCGGCTGCATATCATCGGTCGACTATCCCGCGTTCCACTATCCCGATACTTACATGCTGCTGATCAAGTCGGTCAATAGGATCTGCTGAACTGGGCAACTCAGCTAGACATCCTCCCAACCTGAGGGCATAAGCACCCCAAGTTTAGCTTGAAGCTTCATGCGTTGCCCACCGTCTCTTGTTTTTGCTGACAATCGCACACCTATGGGAGGACTTCTGATTCTCGTGAACAACTTGCCCGAGGTCAAAGAGTGCCCAACTCGAGCGGTTAGACACGATAAAATGTCAGCCGCCGTGGCTGTTACAGCGCCCAAGTTCAAATGACCTCCTGTCAATAGCGACGACGTGGACGGTGCCATGGATGATTTTGGCCGCATCTTCCACGCCCTCAAAGTGTCGGTGAACAGCCAGCAGCTTCCACCGCTGGACCCGTCGCAAGCCAGGGCCGGTATTGGCCCGCGCCTCAAGGAGGGCGAGAATGAGGTGCGGGCGGTGATCGCAACAACGCTGATCAACACACGGCGTCCGATCTGGAGCCAGCTCAGGTCGTCGGCAACGGCTCTCAATTAGGTCCCAACTGCGCAAGACTACGGCCTGATGGGACCGATTGCTGTAGCTCCGTACAAGGAGACATTGATCTAGGGTGTTCTCGGAGTGGTCAACTCGTACAAGAGAGATCATATTGGAACACGCAGCTGACGCAATGCATGCTGTGGTCTCGGTGCTAATGCAAAGTGGCACAAGTCGGTTCCGCGCCTTCCCTTCAGCATACTTCGCCTGCTTTGTCGAGCGCAACTCACTGGAGCAGTTAGTCTCTCAATGTTCTGAGTTTCACCAGCGCACCTTCGTGCCTGCCCCTTTTGGCCTTGGAGGGCCACTTGGCTGCTGGTATAGACCCCCCTCTTCCCATCCCTTCTTTTCTCGCAAACTGGCTCTTTTTGTCTCTGCTCCCAGCGTCACAGGGAAATCCCGAATGGTTATGGAATAAGAGACTGGAATGAAACCCGAATCGAATCATCCCCCCGAGGTCCATGTGTCAAATCAAGAGGACAGGAGAACAGCTAAGCTTTCCCTTGCCTTGTCTTCTGCTGCAGTCCTCGTGCAGTAGTGCGGTCGCAACGGGTCAGAGAGAGGATAGAGCATGCAGCACGAAGAAGAGACAACCCAATGCGTCTTCATTCTTCATTGCTCTTCCATGCATGTCATGTCTGTGACGTAAAACCCCCCCCAATCCCCCCATGCCATGTCTTTCCGTCTCCACGGGGGATAGAAGGTTTCTCGAAGGACTGGCTTTGAAACTTTGAAATTAGGGCTGCTGTCGCGTGGGCAGCTGAATGATCGGCGAGCAAATCAATGGGTTTAGCGGCGGCACATGGAAGGGTAACGTGCTAGACTTGGGGGCTTGATTGGCTCACCCGCCCCCTCCAGCTACCCCTAGCCGGCATGCCCATGCCCTGTTGGGGGCACGTTACATACGCTGAGCCTTCTGTTCCTCCGGGTGACAGTGGACCCCTGGACCACCCCAGGTAACTAGATAAAAAGGCTGTGCCAAGCCCGTTTGTGCAACCTTCCTTACACTACCAAGAGTCTGAGAAGCTGAAAACCATATCCTAACATTTCTCGTGTGAGATCCATTGGAAAGCCTGCTCTTTGTCTACATACTCTGCCTACAATATGAAGGGTGCTCTCAGCTTTTTCCTGTTTTCGTTGGCGGCTTCGTCCCCGACCGTCTACTTCATCCGTCACGGCGAGAAGCCTGACGATGGTAACGGCCTCAGTGCCCAGGGCGAGCAGCGCGCCCAGTGCTTGAGATCTGTTTTCGGCCCCGGCTCACAGTACAACATCGGCCACATCATGGCCCAGACACCAAAGTCCAGTGCGTATTACCTCTTCCCCCAGCTAGGTGCCCCCAAGACTGAGCACATACGTGATGCAGATGGAAAGCGACAGCGACCGCTGGACACTGTTCAGCCCGTCGCAGCGGACCTTGGCCTTACTGTGGATATCTCCTGCGACAGAGATGACCCCAAGTGTGTCAAGAAAGTGGTCAAGAAATACAAAGGGGAGGGCAATATTCTCATCTGGTGAGTGCCGACTCTTTCTCTCCCCTCCCCAAAAATGAGTTTGGGCTAACGCCAACTGTCAGCTGGGAGCACAACATGCTCACCGACCTTGCTGAGGAGTTGGGAGCCGAGAATGCCGGGCAGTATCCCGATGACAGGTTTGACTTGATTTGGACTCTGCCGCCAAAATACACAGAGATTACATCGATCACCTCGGAGCACTGCCAGGGTTTGGATAACTGAATGTGGCCTGGGTGACAGTGGCCATGGAGTATCACGATGATGTGGCTGCAGCGACGCGTGCATGACGCTTTCTGGCATCCTGAGCCACACTGCCGCCATCATCAAACTGAGTGTTTGAGACGTTCACTGGCTCAGGCACAGCTTTATTTCGATCAGCCCCAAACACGGCTTCCTCATGGTCTCGGCTCAGCACGTGTGCCCGGACGAAGAAGTTGCAAAACGTAGCAACACCGGCGAAGGCCACGTACTGTTGAAGAACTGTGAGCGTTCAAATAAACAGTAATAGACTTGGAATAGACCCAGCAGACGACAAGAAACTCACCATGATCCATGCTGTCCTCAGCCCATTGAAATATGTTTGCCGGACAAGGCTTTGATGGTCGCGAGGCAACATGCCAATGAGGTCGACATTGGCAGCTGCTCCGCTGCCGCTGAACTTGCTTGCTTCCTCTGAGCCAATCTTGGCCGTCAGGTTCGGATTCTCTGCATTCATTCGGTTCTGGAAGACAACCCCGCCGACCACAATGGAGATGGCTATAGATAGAGACCGGACGAAATTCATCGTCGCAATGACTGCAGCGTTGTCCAGAGCCGTCAGGGCGGCCTGGGCCGCGACTAGGGGTGCCTCGAGGTTCATGCCAACACCGCCACCTAGAAGTAGCTGGAAGACGAAAAGCTTCGCAGGACTCTCTCCATACTCGAGGTCAATAAATAGCCCGACACCAAGAGTGGTGAGGAGCTGGCCAAAGTACAGCACAGGCAGATACTTGCCCGTCTTCTGTATGTAAACGCCAGAGAACGCCGCCAGCAAAGAACATGAGACAATAAGCGGGAGGAGGTAGAGACCGGAAGTGAGAGCGCTCACTCCCAGCACCGCCTGCGTGTACAGCGGCAGGTAGTAGGCCGCACCGAAGAATACGTACGAGTTGCAGAAGCTGATGCCAAAAGCGGCAAAGGACGAGGCGCTCCTGAAAAGCCGAAGAGGGATGATTGGGTTGGAAGCCCACCTCCACTCGTTGAAGAAGAAGATCCCAATGACAATTGGGCCGAAGACGAGGAGACAGACTACGGTTGGCGAGGACCATGGATGGCTGACTCCGCCGAACTCGAGGCCGAAGAGCGCCATAAGCGTACCACCAATGACCAGTGAGCCTCCCGTCCAGTCGACGGCCTTGAGCCCGGCCTTGACCGGCGTATGAGGGTTGGGGATATCCAGATAGAATAAATCCATAAAGAACACAACTGCACCAACAGGAACTGTGCCAGAAAAGTGTTAGAGAATGATCGTGCAGTAAAGAACGTGCTAGAGCTCACGGTTGATCCAGAAACACCACCGCCAGCTGATCAACGTGGTGAAGACCCCACCGAGTAAGGGCCCGATGGCACTGATGACAGCCCAGACCACAGAGGTGATAGCAAAATATGCACCGCGATCTCGCAAGGAGAACATGTCGCTGATGATAATGTTCACCATCGAGCCCATGCCAGCGGCCCCGAGGCCTTGGATGGCGCGGCCGGCAATGAACGACTCCAAGTCTTTGACGACAGCACAGACCAGGCTGCCCACGAGGAAGGCGGCCAGGGCGACGAGCTTGATGATCTTGCGGCCCCAGATATCGGACAGGGAGCCCCAGACGGGCGTGGTGGCCGTCTGGGCGAGCACGAACGAGCCGCCGATCCAGGTGTAGCCCGAGACGGAGCCGAAGGAAGCGACAATGGCGGGCATGGCCGTCGTCACGATGGTCAGGTCGAGCGCTGATAGCACCACTGACAGGCACAGGATCGTCATCGATATGGCGATGTTGGTGCGCGACCGTTTCTTGGGAGGCACTTCCACATCTGGCTCAGCCGGCTCTCTGCGCGAGGGGTCGCTCGCGGGGGGGTCATGACCCTCGCGGCCGTGTGATATGGCCCTCTTCGACCCGCCTCGGTCGTCTGCATCTCCTCCTACTACGTCTTCGTGAGAGGTACTGGTGCCGCTGGGTGCATTTCTGCGGGCGGCACTAGTATCGGCGGCGACCGTTGACAACGGGATGCTAGTGCCCGGATCTCCTTCACCCAATATGCCGACGGCTGGGACAGGTTCGATGGAATGGGACATGATAATAGATCAGAGATGCACGAAAATTGAGTATTATTTGGTCTGGTATATCAACATATTGATGGTCGGAAGCATCATGCTAAGCTCGCATCAGCCAAAGTCTGGTGTCAAGCAGCACTGGTGCTGACGGAACGGACTTTACAGGCAGGCGCCGGATCTCCGCCCCGAATTTCTTGGCATGAGTCCCGCTGAACTTGACGTGCACTCAGGGTAGCTGGGCCAACGTAACTTCATTCTTGGTTGTTCAAGTGATGAAGAAAGTCTTGTACGGTCAAGCCAAATAGTACACTTTGGACTCCAAGCATTACGAGTGAGACATCTTCTAAAACTCGATGCAGAGCTTCTATTGACCGCTAGCAAATGTCCATTTCCTTATGTTTTGCCTCAGCAAGGGATTCACACGAAGAAGCCTTGCGCTCCGAGCAAATTGTTGACTCTCGCCATATAGATACTGGAGGTATCTTGTTCGGTGCCGCAGATCTAAGCCTTGTCGTCTTGGGTTTGAGCATGATATCTGCACTCCCCGTGCTTTTCTTCTCCCGCACAAACGTCCGGAGCCTCCAAGTCTCGCCATCGGCAAGCATGGACTGCCCAGGCGCCAAGACGTCGAAATGATCTGCACGCATCGCCAATGCCACCAGCTCGCCCACGTCGGCCCAGCCACGCGTCCTGTAGGTCCTTTTGCGGACAAAGTGCTCCATCCAGTGCGCCAGTATCACGACGACGTGGAAGATGAGCAGAGCAAATGCCATGGAGACGGAGAAGCCTTGCAGGCCATATGCGGATTTCCTCTGGAAGTAGGACGACGACACACCCGTCACGCGTAGGAACTCTTCCATGCCCAGATGAACAGTGACGGGCACTTCCTCAGTAGAAGCTCGATGTTGCATGCAGGAAGTCTTTTGACCGCCAGAAAGCGCCAAGGGATCGAGATCACATCGGAATGTATCCCAAGAATACTGTAAGCGTGCCAGAGCATCTGTGAGATATAGGGACATTCCAATGGCCAGGCACCTCGAAGAACTATCCACACTCTTTGAGCAGATCTTATAAAACTCGTCGAAAGCTGTCGTAGTCCGGTTCCTCTGTAGGTCTGACGTCGGGGTGAACACCGGATTCCTCAACAGCCGAGTCCAATCGGTGGACATCTGGAGAACTTCATTTTTGTCAAGGAAGAGCCCTTCCGGCGACGCTCCTGGCTGGACAGGTACCATTGTCGAAGGAGGGTCACCGGAAGAAACAAAGCTCGAAACGTCGGAGTCGACCCATCTCGCAATGGCTATGCAAAGCCTCTGCGAGTTTCCTGTCCTGTGTAGCACGGATGCCGAAACTGGTCCAAGGGCCGAGGAAGTCAAGTCAATGAAATGTAAATCCTCACCATCCTGGTGGGCCTGTGTCAGCCTTTCCACGTCTGCAGTCAAGTCCAACGCTGCTTTGTACGGTCCAGCTCCGAACTGCACCACTTTGCGGCCCGCGTCCTCCCGCACCGGGGCACATTGGACAGCAACTGCCGGCTGCCGCCATGGCCTGCCAGAGGTTGTCAAGACCGTCTGGGTTCCGTGATCTCCATCAGGCGCCTCGGTCATGCGGTAGGAAGTGGACACCGCTTGCGTCTTCATGCGCACTTGGACATGTGGCTTGATACCTCTTCCCTGTTCCCGGAGCTCCTTGACGACAAAGTCGGAGGCTGTAGTTGCGTAGGCCACAGCGCTCTCGCCGTGCTGGCCCTGTCCGAGCTTCCAGCCCACCGAGACATCTCTGACATGATGCGGTGCTGTGACGGTGATGTTTGTGGCAAATCCTCGATCCGAGTCAATATTCAACAGCTCTTGGAAGCTGTCCAGAATATCTGGCAATCCTCCAAAGGGGCACAAAGCTATCAAAGCTGCAGTAATATTCTCTGTACGAGATGCAGCTGCATTGCAAAAGTCGAGGCTTGCCGACGCGTCGACAAGCTTAGGATATAGAGCCTCGAAAGTGGCGTTGATGAAAAGAGGATGAGAACGAAGTTCCGAAGGTATCACATTGTCCTTGATCGGCCACCAATCAACTTTGGGCAGCATGATGGTGCTCGCACTTGGGCCGGCGAGGATGGCCACAACGATGGAGGAGACGACATATACCAGTGTTGTATGGTCTCCTTGGCTCCCTTTGCACGATCCTGTGGCCGCAGCCCAGAATTGTCGACTAAACGGATAGAGCGGCGTGTTCAACTGAAAGGGCGACGCTAGAAATCCCAGAGGAACCCCATGCGAACTCTGTAACGTGGATCGAATGCGGTGAAACAAAATCGATGAAAGAGACCCGATCACCGAGAATTCATACAGCTTGGCACCCACAAGCAACAGGGTGACTTGGTCAGGCGTAGGACTCCACGCAAAGCCTTTACAATAGACGCCAAGCAGCCCAAGTGTAGTCACAATACAGGGGACCTGGACGAGAAATACTGTATACCACGGGAAATCAGAGTATGCCCTTGTTGGCGTCGGCTCTGTCGACTCTAGAGCATCACTGAGAACCTCTTTGATGGAGATTGTTGCCAGCGGGTCGGGTTTGTGAGGAGTGTTGACTGCAGCCTGGCCACAGGAACAAAAACTTGACGAGCGTTTAAGAGTTCCAGGCGTACCGGTCCCCATTCCGATGGTTCATATTGCTGGTGTCTCTGGCTCTATCCCTCCAGATATAGAATGGGGTACAAAAGTCCTGGAAACTATACGGAGCCATAACCTTATACATTGAAGTCTGACATCTAGCCTGAGAATAAATCTATGAGAGATGGGAGGAGTGGTGTCTGATTCGGAAGGACTGTCTACTGCGGCCTTCTCCAGTACTTCTGGCTAAATTGCAAACATTTTTTCCCGGAGCGAGTCGGCACCTTCCCTGGAGGTAGTGCATGTAATATATAGGTTCGCACGCAGCCGAAAACCAATCAGGACGAGACGTTAGATTGCGAGCGGTCGCTCGAAAACAAGAAGGGTATTGCAGCTCCGAAACCATGTTGAGGCTTGCGGCAGATGTTGATATATAGAACTATGACTACTCGATATCGTTCAAACAACAGAGAGATAACCAAATTTATGGACGCAACAGGCTTAATGAGAATGATAGAGACATGGGGTTAAAATCCTCCAATTGTTTCCGGCGCTATCGACACCTCTTCATTTCCGATAGTAGATGACAAAACAAGGGTAGAACAGCAGCAAGGATGAAAGTCACACAAGACCACAAATATGAAGAATTGACGAAGATTCCAAAGGTTGGATGAAATACACTGGGGAAGGAAGTAACCCCTGAGAGCGTGCGAGTTGGGTTACTTGCCGTGTTTCTTCGCACGATGGCGTTTCATGTTATCCTTCCTGGTAAAGAGATCGCCACACTCAGGACAATAGTCTTCTTCCGAGGGAATTTCTTTCTTGTTGGCATAGTCCTTGTGTGAAGTCCAATAGTGTCGGTTAAGATCACGCTTTGTTGCCTTCTTCGTTGGACACTCCGGGTAATAGTGACACTTGTGTGGCTTTTTATGCGTGTCTTCATGTTTCCTGCTCAATGGTTTGTTTAGGTACCGGTACAGAAATGGCTAGAGACCTAGCTTGAGCCAGATTGACTTACTTGAGCTCTGAGGGGGTACCGAACGCTTTTCCGCACTCGGGATCAGAGCAGAAGTGTTTCGGAGAAGTATCCGCGAGAACCGTGTTGCTGGTGCTGTATTCGTACGGCTGATACGCCGCTGGATGAGATGTTGGAAAAGGTCCGGTATATTGCTGCTGAGTTGTCGGATTAAATTCTTGACTTGAGCTGTGAGTGCCTACTCCAAACAGCTGGTCGTTTCCGACCTGCTGTCCATAGTTCGCCGCCTATGGTAGCGAACCTTGGCTAGACATGCTCGTATTCTGGTAGTATGTTGTGTTGGCGGTCTGTTGCTGGCCTCCATCCTGGTAGTCGTACTCCTCAAACTGGTAACCAGAGGTGGTGGTGGGTGGGTATTGGTCTTGCGAAGAGTACTCCCTGGACCCCATTCTTGGATGTTCTTCTGATTGATGATCTTTGGGTATTATACTTGTGACAACGAAGTCAATCATTTAATTGATGATGAAGGGGTTGTAAACAAGCTGTTGTATGTATTGAGGCAGCTTGATCCATCTTTGCACCTAATAGAGGGGGAACTGGTCCTTCATATAGTCTTCAGTCAGACATCCACATCAAGCGCACATCTGCCTCTGGGTTTGGAGCCGCAATGAAGACATAATGGACAATGAGTCACATATCTAAGGGTGAATTGTCGGTGAGTCTGTGGCTTGGATGAGGTTGTGATGAGGCTGGCCAATACGGATGCGGCCGTTGTTCGCCCGTGACAAGAGTCCGGCATCGCTAATGCGGGAGGCCCGATGCAGCGGCAAGGCAGCATGGTGCGCAGCCCCGGTGCTCCGGCAGTCAGCACCGGCCGACAATTAGTAATGCTGAATCGCTTTAGCCATGGGCGATGATGTTGATGTGTTTGATGCACTTGGGAGGCCGTCTCGAATGTTTTGAGTCGATGCCACCTATGCCATGCTTTGCCATGCTCATGCTAAGCCCTGTCATTCAGACACAGAGAGTACATACACACTTTTACAAGCATAAAGGACTAATGCCTAATAGACAGAGAATGCAATTATTTTCATTCTTTCTACGAGACCGAGAGAGAGTCATACACGATGAGAATGAATTAGTTTGTGATGGCAGGCCAACGCTTCGAGTGGCTCGCGACGTGTTTCGAGTTGCCAGACTGATGTCCTCTGATTGGGCCAATTGTGGCGACATGACATACCTAGTGCTGGAGCATGTCTCGTGAAGCATGTATCTTCCAACAGTCCGTGGGCCAGGCCGACCGTCACGTCAGTGGAGAGATCTCGGCAGTTGCGTTGCAGAAAAATGGAACTCGATGCGGTGATTGTACGTATTGTCTACAATGACATACAAAAGGACCCCTGGGAGGGATGACGGCGACCACACAGGCTTGACAGGAGAGAAGACCTGCAACTTTCCTGGCGTGCAAAGGCATGAAGCATGAAACGATACCAGTTTCTGAACCACTTTTTGGATACCGTACCCACCAGATCAAGGGCAAAAGCTTGATCTATTTTTGCAAATCCGCTGGCCCAGAAACGGTTTGGACTGGCCACTAGGTCAACGCCACCTCGTTCACAGTGGGGAGATCCCCTTGGGCCTGGGAATTTGGAGCGGATCCGGAGTGATTTGGTGATCAGGATCATTGCTCCATCGGCGCCTCGGACGTCACTGACGCCGACCCCGAACATGTAGGTACAAGTCCAGTCCTACTCGGTCCCGGGCTTCCCTTACATAGTCCGTAGGTAGATTCTCATTTCGATAGACTTATCCAAAGTCAACCAGTGTCCAGAGATACGACGGACGGCAAGGTAGGCGTCGGTCGGTCTCGTGTCGGCGCAGAACCCGGGCGAGTAATCAGTCGAGAGGCTGGAGTGCAATCTCCTCTCTGGCCTATTCTGAAGTGTCAGATCCCTTGTGCTGGCAGCTCGGGTGAGATAGTCGAATGGTGCTTATGTCCGAGTTTATTCATCAATCAACTTAGGTACCTATCATGCTGGACACGCGCGAGACTGGGCGCAATCAAAGCAGGTCAACAGCTCAGTGTGGAAGGAACGGCGACTGATGGAGTATTGTGAGGCAGTGCAGCCAAGCTAGCGCGGCCCCCGTTCCAACTAATTTGCGGCCACAGTGCACAGTGGAATAATCAGCCACGCAACCACGTCGACTTGTCTTGGATTAGAGGCCCCGCCAGCCCACCAACTTACGAAGTAACCAGTACGGAGTACAGGCTCCCATTTGCTGGTGAGGAGGCATGGTCTGCGGGCTGGTACTATGTCTAAAATACACGGGCGAAACTCGCCTGCAGTTTTGGTGCTGCGAGGGGCTGTCTGCTGATTGTCCCCCCTTGAGATCGGCATACAGAGTACCTACCACCCAGTTGACGGAGCAGATATTCATGGGCGTTTGTACTTGTACTTGTATGTTCCTGTAGTTTTGTCTGGCGAGAGCGAATGCCACTGTGTCAAGCTCATACCGGTAGCACCGTTTCAACCGTACGCGTTGCAAACGGCCCTCAGGTCTCAACGGGCAACCATGCAACCCTCGATTGCCGAGGCGTCATCAGCATCCTCGCGTCGCCGTCGTCAGTCTTCATCAGCCTTCATCAGCCTTTGCCATAAAGAGATGGGGACCGTGCCGTAGATTTTCACAAAAGAAGGTCTTGGTCTTGGGGCGGTCAACCTCAGCCTGCAGCAGTGGCTTCAATCCTCGTCTCAATGCGGAAGTAGGCGTCGTCATCTCGACTGGCGGCAGTGTAAGACCAGGGTACGGGTTCAGGTTTGTTCGCAGCCTGTCATCACTAGAGCTGGCGCCGTCCGTGGCTGGCCCAGTGGGTGTAGCAGAGCTATGGATTCGTTGGCACTGGTTGGTGGGTTATGTGAAAGCATACACATCTGGTCTGTCGCTGTTTAAGAAGGACATGGCTCGCATGGGAAAGGGGACGCGACTATTGGGCTCCGATTTGTGGACTGTTCGGTGCGTTATGAGGCCGTGCCAGGCGAAGGCGAGAGCGAGAGCGACGTATTTCATGTAGGCAGGTACTTGATGGTGGGTACACTCTTCTTTCAGTCCGAGAGGTACAAGCAGATCTGGAGTCTACCCGCAAGTGGAAGGTCTCTTGCACAGCGATGGTGGGTGTACGTGGGTACTTAGCCTTAGAAAGGGGGGAGGGCAGTGAGGTGATGTACCTTTTATCTGACAAGCATGAGGGAAAAAGAGCTTACGCGTCCTTTCCCACTTCCCCCCCATGTCTCCTTGCCGAGCGGCCTCCCCCCTGCAGCTCGCTGTCCACGCCCGTTAGGCGGCCCCGGTGTGTCTGGCTGGGTAGCCCTAACAGCAGTACCACCGCCCCAAGACCAGCGGCGCCAAGACGGGGATACGCTGCCAACCCGCTTTCGTGCGATCTTGGGTCTTCTCTCTCCTCTCCTTCGGTTTCCACCCGGGCATTCCAGGCGTTCCAGGCATCCACCCCAATAACAACCATCTCTCTGCCCACTTCTTTTCTCATTCTACCGGACGAGACATACGAGCCCCCATGCCATTCATCCCCTTCACACATTATCTCTGACACGTTTCTTTCCACGAGCCCAGTTCCAGTTCTCTCCCGTTTCCAACCCTCTTCTTTTCACCATCTGCAAACATTCGCAACAGCAGAAGACCGCCCATTCTCATCGCAACGCCTCGTTACAATTGTCGTCGCTAGACCTGGTATATCCGCCACTTGCATTGTCGATTTGACGACAACGACGCCGTCTTCGCCCATTAGAGGCATTAAAGAAACATACAATCAAACGACACCACAATGTCCAACGACCAGACCGGCTCGCAGTCCGGTCTCATCGACCCCATCGACTCGATGATCGACTTCTCCGAGTACGACAACATCTCTTATCAGTCACCGGCTGTGTCCCCGGCTGCCAATAAGGGAGTCTTTACTCGACCGACGACCACGGCCACGACTTCCGCCTCATTGCTGTCAACAAGCCAGCCCCTCAACCCGCCGAGCCATCAATACGACCAGTACAAGCAACAGACTGGCATCGTCCCGGGCGCTCTGGCCAACACGTTCGCTGTGAACCAGAACAACGCGCAGATCACCGGCTACAGCAACTTCAACATCGATACTTATCTCGCCATGAACAACAACGATGACCTGTTCGACTTCAACACCGCTCCTTCGCAAAACTCTTTGAGCACGCCCGACATGGATATGGACTTTGAGTCGCCCACCAACGACCCCAATTTCTTCTTCGGTGAGACGGTCAACCCCAATGTCATCGGTGGTCAAGAGAACAACAGCCTGCCGTCCCCGCCTGTGATGCCTTCCCAGGCTGGACGAGTCTGGCCTGGTATGCACCAGCAAGCTGCCCTCGCCAAGGCCCAGGCCCAGCAGCGCCAGCAGCAACAGATCATCCAGCAGCAGCAGCAGAGGCAAAGCGCCCCCAAGCAGCAGCAACGTGGCAAGGCTGTGCAGCCGTCCGATCCTATTGTCGAGCAGAAGATCACCCAGCTTCTCAATTCTATGCGTGCTAAGCCTGCTTCGCCCGATGCATCGCAAACGTCTCCTTCCTTGAACATCACTCGCCCTAAGAAGGAAGAGGAGGATATGGATGAGGACGAGCGTCTCCTGGCTAGTGAAGAGGGCAAGAAGTTGAGCAGCAAAGAGCGCCGCCAGCTGCGGAACAAGGTTTCCGCCCGGGCTTTCCGATCCCGCAGAAAGGGTAAGTTGGATATCGAGAATTGTTATATCGTCAACGCATCACTAACGTCTCTGCAGAATACATTTCCCAGCTCGAGGCCGAGATCGCTGGCAAGGTCACTGAGAATGGTGACTTGCGGGCCCAGAACCGTGCTCTCCAGGAGGAGAACAAGCGCCTGTCGGACCTCACTCGCATGCTTCTCTCTTCGCCTTCTTTCTCTGACTTTTTGGAGCGCATGACGCCGAATGCGGGTCCAGTCCCCCAGCCTGCCCCTCAGACTGAGCAGAGGCAAGAGTCTAGGCAAATCCCCAAGGATGTGAACCCTTACGCCGGCCAGCAGCAAACACAGCACCAGATTGGTATGGCGATGATTCCAGAGCAGACCATGGATTTCTCCATGCTTAGCCTGGACGCCGACTCGGCTTTCTCTTTCCAGCCTCAGGTATACGCCGTTCTGGAGACGCCCGATATCTCGATTGATACTTCAGTCCTGTCTGGAAAGACCTCCAACTTCGTCGGCTCATGTTGCGACGAGGAGGAGAAGGTTGAGATGCCTGTCATAGAGCACCCCGTGGAGGACAAGAAGGCTATCGAAGTCGTTGCACCCACTATCGTTGACGATGAGTTCGAGAACGACCCGACTTTCGCTCTGTACCATGACGCCCCCAAGAGTGTCGCCGCATCTGTTGAGGAGCCCCGAGAGATCAACACCGACGCGTTCTCTAATGTGGATATCTTCGGTGGTCTCGAGCCTGAGAAGCTTCTTGCTCGCTACGACCTTGTTGACGCCACTGAAGAGACTGTCAAGGGGGCTGAGGCATCACTGGTCGTTGCCCGGGTAGAACGCATCGCTGCCAACCTGGACATAATAGCCACCAGGCTAGAGATGCTCAGCTTCGACTCATGACCACTTTGATCATTGAGTTCTTCCTTGTCTTTGTTGGCAGTACCAACCATTTGTGTACATGCGGTTTCATTCCACTCGAGGCACGGCGTTTTCGGTACATGGGTATAGCGGTCATTGGTCTTGCATCTGTTTGGATTTAAGGCTTTCTATTCTTAGGGCCAGTGTTGATCAAGTGACGAGTTGACGATGGTTGAAAATCGGGCGCATGGAAGTTGGCGAGATATTACGGCTGGCAGAACATTCTGCACCACATTCGCATTAGTCAATCAGTATTTATCCTAGTTAGAGCTTCGAAGGATGGGAGGCGATCACCCCTTTCTTCACATCTTGCAAGCGTGGGTCTTTTAGGACAGATCCCATCAATGAAAACAAACATTGTCAAACATAATTACATTTGTACTACTCGTGCCATTCTCGTGTCCTTTCAAAAAGGGTCTAGGTCTGGAGCCTGCCGATGCCTGTACATTTTCGGCGTGGTTGCCATTTTGAATGTACTACCGTTATCTGGCACGTAATTAAAACACAAAACATTGATTGAACTGGATGTAGTTCTGGGACCCAACCCAACCAGCCTTACCCATTCGTTTCGACGTGACAAGGCCCTGGTTAACGCTCAAGCTAGGGCCTTGAAGATCCAAAATCGACGGTGTACATCGTGCATAAGCTTGCGATTGAGCTTGCCAAAGATATCTACAGACCGATTACGCATTACACACGTTAGCAAAATCTGTTCAGCAGACCGCTCTCCTCTCTTTTGCAGGACCAGCTCAAGAGGACTCTCTGGGAATAGGAATAAGCAACTTACACATAGGAATGCAGGTTGCAAGAAGACAGAGAGAGACAATGCCGAAGGTACGGAAGACAGTGCCTGCTCCTTTCTGTCCAGCCCAGGTGTTGATGAAGGTGGAAAAGCCGTAGAACAGGAAGTTCTTGAGCATCATCTGGAGAACAAAGACCTCTGTCGACTGTTTGGGGAAGGAGTCACTAAGGGCGGGAAGTCAGTAGACCGGTTCTGACCAATATCGATTCGGTTCCATGGATAGCCAACTCACAGAATGTACAGGCCCGCCGACGTCGACGGGACCGAGATGGCAAAGCAGATTGCGCCGTGGCAGAACGCCCCGAGGTAGTACCCGTCCGGGCGCGGGTGTTCCACGTCCCACATGAACAGGAACCAGCCCAGGGCCGCGAAGACGACGCCGAGAATGTTGACGGGGATGCGGAACTCGGCCTCGAAGAGCCCGCCGTTGCGCTTGGCCAGCTGCCGCGCCGACCAGTCGCACATGGGGCCGGCCATGATGGCGCAGAGGCCGCCGACCAGGCCGCCCGTGTAGAAGTAGCCGTTGGCGGCGACGCCGAGGTTGTAGGGCGGCACGGACCAGATCTGGGAGGTGATGTAGGCGGTCACGACGTAGAGGGAGATGAGGACGCCCGAGACGAGCAGGATCCAGATGACGGCCGGGTTGGAGAGGTGGATGAAGATCTCGCTCAGCAGGTGGAGGATGTTCTTGGAGGTGTAGACCGTGCCCGAGTACGGGGCCAGGCTCTGCAGGTACGTCTTCCGGGGAGGGGCATCCCGCGGGTTCGCGGCCTCTGCATTCTGGTGCTGGCCCTCGTCCATCTCCACCGACTTCTCCTGGTCCTTTGAGACGCCTGCGAGGCTAGCTGCACGCCGCGCTATGGTGGAAGAGCGCAGGTATTGGGTCTCTGGCAGGAGGAACATGGTCGCCAGCAGGCCGGCGATGTCGAAGGGGAGGGACGCGGTGAACATGTACCGCCACCCCACGCGCTCGGTCATGACCGCTCCGATGATGGCCACCAGAGAGGCCATGCAAGCCAGCGTCGCCACCAGGATGGCGGTCCGCAGCCCTCGCTCGTGCAGGTAGAAGATGTCCCCCAGCGCGGCCAGCGACAGGCTCTCCCACGCCGTGACCCCCAGGCCCTGCACGATGCGGCCGGCGAGCAGCGTGTCGTACTTTGTCTGGTTCGACCCGACCATGCAGATGATGGTGCCGAGGGTGCCGGTGGCGCAGGCGAAGAGGAACTGCGGACGTTTGCCGTATTTCTGCGCTAGCACCGAGACGAACGGGCTGGTTGTGTGCGTTTTGGTGTCAGCGAGAAAAGGACTATAGAAACTGCATACCAACCGACTGACTACTCACCCTAGGGCCGCGACGATGAGCAACTGATAGCCAGACAAGACGGCAATCTTGGTCAGGGGGACGTTCAAGATGCCGGCCAGAGCAAATGTTGCGGGTGCCATTACCGGACCAGGTAAAGTTGCGAAGATGATGGTGTTGACGAACAAGACGAAGAATGCCGTCTCTTTCTTCCATCTTGGCCAGAGCTGGTAACGGATAGGTCAGCCACAATGGAGCGAAGACAAGGACTCGACCAATCCTTACCAGAGGGTCGTTAGGATCATCTTCGGAAGGCTGCGGAATCAGGATTGTCTCGACACCCTATACTCTCTGTCAATATACTTCAACCAGAGTCAGACCACTATAGACTATGAACAAAACGTACCCTATGCATCACGGTTTTGAGCTGGCTGGTATCAAGGTCGAGATCTTGGACAACGCTCGGTCGGTCGCCGCCGATGAGCATCTCCGTCCCCGCCAACCTCTCATGATGCGTCACGTCGATAATTCCCAACGGCATTGTGTGTCAATGGGAGTCAGAGACTTCCTTGCTTAGACCAATCTTTTGCTGGAGATACTAGTTCTGCAAAACTACGGTCCCCCCCAAAAGAGGCACGATCATCAGAAGAAAGTGCACAGGGTGGCATCTATTTGTAGATGCAGTGATGCCCTGTGTATTGTTTATATGCATCTACCACCGACACAATACCCCAGACTTCACCCCAGTCCTGCTACCCCAATCCAGTGCCGGCAAATTGATACCCTTTTCAACCAGGGGGAAATAATACCACCCCGCACGGCAATTACTCTGATTGACCTGGTTCAAGGAGGCGATCCCTGCCTTTCCGCGATCCGACAAAGGTTTGAGGCGAGGCCCGGTGACACGTACGTGCAGTGTTGTGACAGGGTGCTGTCATTGGGGCCCGGAGCCATGCTGCCGATGCAGATAGCCGGCTGCGACCACCCATTCGTCGCGGGGAGACAGCTTGCTAAAGCGGCGGCTGAACTCTGTGCGTTTGCCTTGATGCAGCAGATATCTAAAAAAGCGATATTATACCGACTTGACCGAGGGGGGTTGGGTAGAATCAAGCATTCTGCTGCCGAGATGGAGATAGGCCAGGCTCCATAGTGTGTTGTTGCACTCGCACTAGGGATCCCATTAGAGCTCGGCATCTTCGACAGTAGACGTGGTTGAACAGTGATCGATGATGAAGTGAGCCAGGAATATTGGATATCATACACGAACAAGGAGATTCGATGAAGTTTTGGGGATACTAATCGCGGTCTTTGTACCGAGCCGATGAGCTCAAGAAGAACAGCTCCGTTTAGTGGTCCATCCAGGCGTGATTGGCACATGAGCCCTCATCAGTAAAACAAGACGGAAGCCATGGAGAGAATCGATTTTCCTCGCAAGCCCGACCTTCCAGTCCTTGATCACCTCGAGATGGATGTTTTTGGTCTGAATCTATTGAATTGCCCAGTGTACTTACTTTCAGAACCTCACACGCCCTGACACGCGAAGATATGCCGACACGAGGTGCGACAAGGCGTCTTTGGGCCGCAACGCTCAATTTCCAAGCCATCCGCGTGAATTCCATCAGGTCACACAGCATCCCGAACACTTCTGTCTGCAATTGGAGGCATCTGACTTACGTGGCTGGCCACAGGGCAGCTGGCTGCCACCAACCAGGAAGTTGATGGGAGACTCGCCAAGTGGGGAAAAAAACAGATCATCTCTGCACTACTCAGCTCGGGTCGGGGTTCGTTCAGCTCAACCGAAGCAGCAATCTCGTCGACGAAAAGGCCACCCTCATCGTCTAATCCCCCCCGCCCCTCGGCGCAGGCTCGACCTCTCTTACCAGATCTGACAGCTGACTGCAAGCATGGGCAGCGTGTCCATCCGGGAGCACATCCGGTGGCTGCCGGACCCACCCTCGGAGCCCACCTCCACTCTCGTTCTCACCTCGCCAGAGAACCGCTTTGTCGACATCCGCGTCCTCCACAGCAGCCAGGACGGAGGGAACCCTCGGGGTAAAAATGCGAACCCTGCACAAACAACACGTGTGTTTGGACTAACCGGGACCTCTCCAGACCTCAGCGCGACGCACGGCCTGGACTGGGCCATCGCCGGCGCCTCGAGCTCCGTGCCCCTGCAAGGGTCTAGCGTCGCCGGCGCGAGGCACACCACCTGGTGGCACTGGGTGGACTCGCGCACCACGAGCCCCGAGACGGCCCACGACGAGGGCGACGTGTTCCCGCGGCCGGACGGCCGGGCCCTGGAGACGGGCCGCATGGTCAACCCGGCCACGGGGCTCGAGACCGCCTACGAGGAGGTCTGGCGCGACGAGCAGCCGGGCCCCGTGGGCGGCGACGCGGCGGCCCGGGTCGTCGTCCTGCAGGCCGAGGACGGCGCCCGGGGCCTGCGCGGCATGGTGGTCCGGCTCGGGCGGCTGTGCCAGGGCCTGCTGCGCGACGGGCCGGACGTGACGGTCGAGCGGTGGGCGTGGAGCCCCGAGATGGGCTGGGAGATGTCTGTCAAGATCGGCAAGGGCGCCCTGCCGTGCAGCGACGCGATCCAGAACGCCGAGGGCCTGGCCCTGGGCTACGAGATCCGGAGGAACGACCAGGTCTGGAAGGTTGTCGAGAGGAGCGACCACTGAGAAAAACAAAACGGACGGGAGCAACAAAAGTATCATGTCATGGGCAAATGGGTAATTAGACTTGGGAAATTCATCTATTTTTTATTTTTTTTGACTATTGGAACAAATTAGTATTGATTCTAAAATCTAGCTTTATTTTTTTTCTTTTTATTTCCAGTTATCTAGTTGTTGTTGTCTATGAAGGGACGACATTGACTCAAGCGAGATATCCCAAACCGCTGGCGGCCCTTCTCATTCTTCGTAAATGTTGCTGTTACTGTAAGATGATTGTCAGCGTCTGGAACTGCGACTTGGGGAGTGCGGTTGTCAAAGGAACTCACAATTCCTGGGCAAACTTATCCCTCCCTTCGGCGTCCTTGTTGACAAAGATGCTGACACTGCACTGGCCACACACAAAGGTTCCGTACCCGTCCTCGCCAATCTCGACCTCACGATCAGACCAGCCCAGGACGTCGGTCCATTTCTCGCCCTTGTGGATCTCACCCACGTGCATCCTCTTCTCTCCCGGCCCGGCGTTGCTGATCACTACAGCACAGCCAGAGGGCCGATCCCAGGTGCCGTACTTGACCCAGCCGAGGCACGTCTCGAAGTCAAAATAGTCCTTTTGCTCGCCGTAGGCGTACAGCTTGCGCGCCAGCATGATCTTCGGGAGTATCCCCCCACACGAGGGAGGGAAGGGGTGTTCGCCCTTGATGCCGTAGAGGTCGCCGTACCAAACGCACGGGTAGCCCTGGCCGCGGAGGAGGATGAGCGCGTAGGCCAGGGGCTTGAACCAGTCTGCGATGGGGGCCTCGAGGGCTTGGTAGGGCTGAGTGTCGTGGTTCATCACGAGCGTCTATCAAGAAGCATTAGTCTCCAAGCACCGCTTTCCCGGTGATAGGGGAAGATGATGAGGCACATACAACAGCGTTGATGGGCTCTGCCTGCACCAAGGTTCCGTCAAACACCTTTCGCATATCCGCACCATCCCCTTGGCTGATCTCGCTAAAGTTGTACACCAGCGGCGCGTCAAACAGGGAGAACTTCTTGCCCATCCTCTGGAGGTACTCCCTCATGTCATCGAGGCTGTCTTTCCAGAACTCGCCGACGAAGAACCAGCCCTGGCCGTATTGCTCGTCCAACTGGGTGATGAACTTGCGGAGGAAGTCCTCACTGTAGTGCTTCACGGCGTCAAAGCGGATACCTTGCAGTGGCACCGTCTCGGCCAGCCACTTCCCCCAGGCGAGAACGTCTTCTTCCACCTCTGGATGCGAGTAGTCCAGGTCCGAGCCCATGAGGTAGTCGCTGATTCGGATTAGCATCACGCAGGCAGAAGAAGTTAAGGAGCGGTGCTCGCTCACTAGTTCCCCTTTTCGTCATCCACATCCGGAACGTCGGCCCATCCCTGGGACTTCTCGCCCACTATCTTGTAGATGGCGCTCTTCCCATTCGCTGCGTTGAAGTCGACGCCCCCAAAGTGATACCAGTGGTACTTCATCTTGCTGTACTTGTCCCCGCGGCCGGGGAAGTCGAATCCCACCCAGGCATCGATCTCGTACTGGTCGCTCACGTTCTCGTTGCGGTTGTCCGGATTCACCTCGATGGCCTGGCACTTTTCCTTGTGGTCGGCGGCAAACTTGTGATTGAGTACCGCGTCCCAGTAGATGCCGACACCGGTCGCCTTTGCGGTCTGGCAGAGCTTGTCCAGCTCCTGCTTGTTCCCCCACTTAGTGGCAACAGAGCCTTTCTGGTCAAACTCTCCGAGATCATACAGATCGTAGATGTCATAGCCATTGCCCTCCTTGGAGGAACCCTTGCATCTTTAAGAGCAAAACACTCCGGTGTTAGTCTCTTTTGCCGTGCGAGAAGAAACCCCTCAACTCTTGAACTTGAAACAACTGGGACTCACTCACCCGGGAGGAACCCAAATATTGTCAATGCCCCATGCCTTGAGCTGAGGGACGTGTTTCTCCAGCCGCACCCAATGCTTTTGATCTGCAGGCACATACCACTCGAACCCCTGCATCATGGTCATATTTTCGGGCGTGGGCTTCTGTTCCTCCATGTTGGCGTTGATTTGCAAGGTCTTCCCCTAAGTATGACCGTCCAAAAAAGGAAGTTTATTGATTGTAGATGATAAAAGGAGAGGCAAGGAGGAGGAAGCACGCAAACCAAGAGGGAAGACGACCAAGACCTTTAATACATGTAAGCTAAAGAGAGTGACTAGCATTCTTTAAATAAGCTCAGGGCAGCCATCACCAAAAGGTGCGCCGTACGGGCGATGCCGACCACGTATGTAGCTCATTGGCAGGATCGCGAGCACGCCGTTGCATCTGAACAACACCCTCCCAGCCCAGACACACCATTCCTCACGTACCCGCTATCGGGCCTAAGCTAGCCTGGCTAGAGTTGCCTTGGATCCTGCAAGTTTCAGCAGCATGTGTATCTCTAGTCTGACGCCCAGTGGACATGGTGCGATAAGAAAGCGGGCGGATTGATGGAGCGTCTCGAGTCGAGATCCTGCTCGCTGTCCTGCTGCGAGCCAACTTATGACGTAGGTTGACATCAGGCATGGAGAGTACCAATCATCCAAAGAAGCCATTCTCTCTATCTCTCTGGGCATGCAGAGTCCAAGCCAGCTTGGAACGCAGATAATCCAAGGTATGGTAAGCAGCCTTAGTGCGCTATCTTTGACAGCGGCCGGCGCACGTTGTCGTCCGATCTGGAAGGTCTCAATTCTTTCGACGTTTGCCGTTGTGGCTGCACGTTCTGTGGAAGCCAAAAACGGTTGTGCCACTAAAAGATCCAGGAACGGGTCAGAACGGTGCGGGTGCCGATCATCGAATTCGACGTTGCCCAGGCGCATCAACCATTCAGCACGCGGAACACACCGCATGGCTGGTTCCCATGCAGGCCATTGATCTGGTTCTGGTTTTGCGATCACGGAGGCGATATTGCTCAAACGCTCAAACTGTCAAAACCTTTGGGCGCGGGCCTGCCCCCGGAGCTCATGACGTCAAAGGCCAGAACCCACCTCCCAGTAAAACCGCTGGAATGCGCACTGAAAACAAGGTTGGGTCCCCAGGGCCCGGAAGGCATGCGCAACGGGAACTAAGGTAAAACCAGTCGCAACCGGAATGTGCAAACCCTCAAAATCGCAACTCACGAAATAGGACAAGAGAGCAGCATTCGAATGATAAAAAAACCCGTCTCCTTGTCAATTCAAATTACTTCCTCAATCTGTTGAGCTTGGTGTGTGTGTTGGCAGTCGAGGCCATTGGCCAAATGCAGCGGGTCGCTCCAGGGGTCACGGCGCAATTGGCCTGGCAACCAATATCAACAATTCCCATGTCCAGGTGCAACGGCCGAGTGACCTCGCCGTGATAACTCCAGAGGCCACGAGACAAGCCAGTCACATCACCCAGTCTGCAAAACAATTCTCCTGACGACCGAAGACGACCTTGCATTTGCCAGCGAAGCCCTGCATTTTGTCCTTTGTCCCTCGAATCATCTTGACAGACTGCCCCCAGCCAAGCTGGTTGCCGTAGTGCTGTCCTGCTTGCGTTTGATACTCTTACCGCCAGTTTGTACATATAATATCTAAACTCCTGTGAAGGGCATATACTGCCCTCCCAGTCCACCCCCCATGGCTCGACTTACCGCTGTGGACAACGACTTCAAGATCCATGTTGACGAGTCTTGCCTGAGTACACCCATGGAGGACGACACCCAAAGCTCCCTTTCCAACAAGGAAAATGCCCAACCGGTCGAAGAGAAGTCCCAGAGCATAGAAACAGAGCCCACTGCACCGGCGGTGGAGGAAAAGGAGGAAGAGACAGCCGAGGCACCTGTCGAGGAGTCTGCACCTCCACTAGTGGAAGACAGCGAGCCTTCGCAAGAGGAGCCTGAAGATGCGGCACGTCATATCGAAATGGCTGCCGAGGATGACACGGTGAACGACACTGCCGATAGCGCTGTGGATGATAGCAATCCTATGGGCTCTGACGAAGAGGTCGACCAAGGTGGCGAGGAAGACACACCAATCACCCCAGACGACGAAGCCGGCGAGGACAACGAAGACAACGAGGACACACCGCGGCCTTCTCAACCACCAGGCGATGGAGAAGACTCGGCCGACACGGATGTCGAGGAGCAAGAGTGTGGATTGCAGCGAAAGCCCTCTCTACGGACTGAAGCTCTGATCCATGCCGCTGCAAAGGCAGTCGTCGCGCAGCTCGAGGAGCGGGATAACCCCATCGAGTCCATTGAAGAAGAGGACGAGGAGGAGGGTGCGGATGAAGAACAGGCTGCCGAGGGCGATCAGTCCATCCTGAGCCATACCTCCAACGGCACGTACGATGCAGACGGAACAGAGATTTCGCACGATGCAGCCTCTGATTACAGTCGCCGTAACTCGGGTGACTCACATCTTGCTGCTCCCAGCGCTCATTCAGCCGAAGATGTCGAGGGTGGAGATGAAAGCTCTCGTCATGGGGGCGATGACGACGTCTTCAGTGACCGAAGCGCCCGGAGCTCACTCGGATCTTTCAGCAGCGGTGAAGCAGAATCTCGAAGAAAGTCTGACGACACAGTGCACCGCAGTGACGACAGATATTGTCGGCGCTCACCCCGAGTCTCTGGAATCTCAGACATCTCCCAGTACGAGAAGGAGGAATTTGTGCCGGCTGCTCGTGGTACCCCTCGCCCTGCCTTCAGAACACCTTCAGATGTTCGCGCCATCCAAATGTCTTCCCCAGCACCATCCATATTCTCCTCCCCTCGATCTGGGAAACGCCACACAGGTCATTCCTCAATGAGTTTCCCTACAGTCTCGCGCCTCGGGAGTCCGACTGTGTCTGCGCAGTACTCTCCCAAGGGGAGATCAACGCCCACACGATTCACAGTCAAGAAAGAGGCGCCGCTTGTGTTGCTCCACGTTACTCTCCTGCCACTCCGCTGGATTTGGGGCGGCGTGATCAACGGCCTGGACCACGTCAAAGGACTTGAGCATTACGAACCCAGCGAGCAGATGAAGAACCTCCATAGCGCCTGGCGACAGCTTCAAGACCGTGCTGGCGATACCGTATTGGAACGTGGCATTCTACTTCCCCACCCGCAAAACGACTATGAGGTTCTCGAAGAACGTCTGCTCGAAGCCTTGGAGCTTCCCCTTCGGCGACGAGCTCGTATTCTAGAGTGTGGCCATTACCTAGGGCCGTCGAATGTCATGACCCCCGAAGATGAGGACGATATCGATAGTGACGATGACTTCACATCTCAGGCTGTTCAGAAGCGTGGCGATAAACGCCACTGGTGCCACACGTGTCGAAACGAAATTCGGTACGAGGAGTTGGGCGAAGGAAGGATCTTCCGTGTCAAGGTATTCGCCAGCAACGGCCTGATGAAAGCTGGAGCTTGGGAAGCCTGCTGGAAGGAGATGGAGCGCATTGACGTGGAACTGGAGCCGATCTTGGACCCTCAGCTGCAAGGCGAGATCGAGAAGCTCGCCTCTCTGTTGCAGCAGCTGGACGAGCAGCAAGACCACGAGGAAGAGACGATGGAGATTAGCCAGCACGAGCTGCCTCCTGCTGAACACGTCCGGATGGACCGCTCGCCCCCTCCGCTACATGCCTCGCCCGTCGAGGCTCCGGCGACTACCACAACTGATGTGGATGCCGCCCGGCGCCGGCGAGACGAAGAGCGTCTACGGGAGATCTACGGCCACACCCCGCCGCCCCCAGAGCGGCACGAGGCCACGTCATCACCGCCAAGGCACCCCGACAGCTACATCCCACCCCCATCGCCTCCGTCGCCTAGCGAGCAGGCATATGAGCGACGGGAGACCCGACGCCGCTCGTACCAGGGGGCATCGCTGCCCGAGCTGGCCCTCGAAGCGGCCAAGGTCTTGCTCCAGGACCGCAAGAACATCGCCATACTCGTCCTCAGCGTGCTCATCATGATGCTCGTCGTCAGGACGGCGCCTGCGCCGCCCGCGACCGCGGCCGACAAGGAGGCGGAGATACTGCGCGGCCTGTACGCTCGGCACCAGCAGTCGGAGCAGGAGTACGTGCCGCAGCTCGCGGTGGAAGCGAGCTCGCAGCTGCAGCCACAGCTCGAGAGCACCTCGTCGCTGTTGACGGTGGCGGCCTCGTTGTCGCAGGTCACTGCAGCCACTGTTCCGCCTGCTGCCGAGAGTGTTAGCGCCGAGGTGCCTCGCTCGGAAACTGCCAGCGAGCCACCAGTCGTCGATGAACACACCGAAGCCCGCAATCCTTGTGAGACACAATCCGTGCAGCAGGTTCCTCAGTCGGCGCCGTCGCCCGAACGGGATACTGTCGAGCGGAGCGTTGTGAAAGTGTTCGAAACCGTGACGGAGACTGTCAAGGTCACTGCTGCGTCGACAGAAGCGACCACCGACACGAGCACTGCCGAGTCGACCCAGAGGACGCCTGAGCAGGTGGTTGAGACCGTGACGGAGACACTCCGGGTCACTTTGACAGAGTCAGTTCCTGTGCCCCAGGGGACAACAATCAATGATCCCCCCGCGGCAGAAGAGCCGCTCGCTGCTGTAAAGGAGGAGGCCAGTTACATCGAGTCGCCTCGGAGCGAGTTGGTCAGCTCGACTGAGAGCAAGGCAGCGAGCCAAGAGCCGGAGACCACCCTTTCGACTGAGACCGAGCTCCCCGAGCCAACGATCGTTGCTCATAAGGAGTTATGAAATGCTAGCCACGCCAGTGGTAGCTGGGAATGTCCAACGCAGATATACTTGTATAACGGGATATGATGATGGGTTCAAGGATTAATGAACGATTCTTTCTCTGTTTCTTTCTCATCCTCTCCAAACTATACCTCTAAATGTTCATGAAAGCCTTTAGCGTGTTGTTTTTACGTCATGGTAGATAGAATGGAGATACCGAGTCGCACAAAAATTGATAGCCTTTTCTGATACCATACTCTTCGTCCCGTCTTTCGAGCAGATCAAGCATGGCTCGCCATGCTGAGTAGTAGGGTCTTTTGGTGATATCTAAATATGTAGTAGCCCCCCTAAGAAAATGCCCGTGATGCAACCAGCAACCTTCCAACCCCAGAAAAAAACCAAAGCGTGACATGACCCCGTCCAGTCCTGTCCTGCAATCTAGACCAATGATGCCAACACAACGCCAACCCTCTTTTTCTCCTCGCAGGATCTACTCGTCTCTCGCCGGTGCTTTCTCATAGCTCTCCTCGACATCCTTGCCTTTGCCAAGCTCCTTCTCCTTCTCGCCCGCTGCCTCCCGCGGGCTCGCGAGCGGGCTCGTCAGCCCGCCGATGCTGCCGTTGACGCTGTCCGCCCGCCCGTGGCCGAACGCGCCGCTCCGCACACTGGCGCCGTCGCCCGCCACACCCGCACCGCCGCCGGCCAGATCGCGCTTCGCGTAGAAGCTGTTCCGCTCGCTCGACAGGATGCCGCCGGTGGCGCTGTAGATGCTCGTGCGCTCTGTCGTTCTCGTGTGCTGCAGGCCCGGGGTCACGGGCACGCCGGTGCCGGCTCCGGCGCCGTCCATGTTGGCGGACAAGACGGACAGCGGCAGGCTCTCTCGGCTGCCACCCCAGAGGGACGAGGGCGCGAGGGCGCGGACCGAGGCATCCGTGTCGAAGGAGCGGCGGCGCCTCCGCTTGCTCGACGACGCGAGGGTGAGTATGGAGGCGTTGTCGGTGAGCAGGTTGTTGGCGGTTGCGCTTGCGTAGGTGGTCGGGTTGCCCGGCGTGCTGCCTGACGGGGTCAGGTGGGACGGAATAGCCGAAGCAGGGGTATTAGGGAAGGGCTGGTTGAAGTGTATGACCTGGGAGCCGCTGTGTTGATGATGTGAGCCGTTGGTCGTGCTGGGTGCGATCGCGGTATTGGGCCCGAGCGATTGTATGGTTGTCAGCGTGGTCGTCAGAGACCGCACGGACGGTGCGGGAGACGAGAATGTGCTGCCTTCCCCTCGTCTTGACTCCAGTCCACCGTTCGCTGTACGACTCGTGCCTGCTACCGACGAGGCGGCATGAGACTGCGCTGCAACCGAGCGAGATGCTTCGTGGTCTGTAGAAACTGTCGGGGCCATGGAGCGTGCTCCCGCGGTCGGCGGCGCATGGCCATCGAGGGAGGACCGAACCGACTCGCTCCGGCCCATCGAGGTCGCGCTCGACGTCAGGGCGCTTTGTGCCGTAGAGAAGGATTGATGGCTGTCGTGGTTCTCGTTGCTGCCGTTGCCGAGCCTGCCGGACTGGGGGTATGGGTTGTTCTCCTTTGCGCCTCGCTTCTTGGACATGCGCATCTGCGGGAGGTTGCGCTTGGTGTTGCTGCCATGGCGCCCGGGCTCGCCGGAGGACCCGCCCTTGAAGTTGGTGAGCTTCTTGACCCAGGTGGAGAAGGGCCGCCTCCTGCCCTGGCGGTCTGGTCGTTCTAGCAAGCTGTCAGCGGTGTTTGAGAGTGGGAGGTCGTCATGTCGACGTGATGAGGATGCGCCCTGAGGCATGATGGCGTGACGACAGTGTGGTGGCGGCTTGCAACGAAAGGAAGGGGATATAGGTGTGAAGAGGTGGGTAGGAAGGGCAGGAGTAGCCGTACCTTGAGCTGTTGTCTCAGTCATGGCCATTCCTACGTGGTCTCTTCGCTTCGCGGTTCGCGACAAAGGTCCCTGCCGGTGTCTTTCTTCCCCCCAAACAATCAGCCGCAGCCTAGTAGAAGGCAGTCCTGGCAAACAAGTCTAAGACACAGGCGGGCAGGAGAGGGCAGGGGGCGTGGGGGTTTCAAGGCTTCGGCAAGCAGGTATAACAAAGATATGTCTGGCTTGGGATTGAAACGAAGGTCATCAAAGTGCGGAGAAGCTTCACAAGGGTCTAGACTCTAGGGACAGAGAAAGGAAGGGTCCACGGTGTTGGATACGCCCGGTTTAAGTTTAGCACAGTCGGTGGAGAGGGCATCTGGTGCTGGGCCGGATCATGGATGGGGATCACCAAGCTCGCGAGCTTCGCCTAAATGCTAGCACCTGAGGCTGAGAAGTGGACGAGACAGCACCCAAGTTGGGGGTCGGTTAGGCGCCTAGGTGGGTTTCTGGGGGGGCTCAAACAGTGCCCACTAAATCATTAAGGTAGCTTCATCCCCGACCACGTGACGTCACTCACGATAATATCGTTGCTCGACATTCACGGATGGCCTACCAGTGCCTGGCGAGGCTGTCATAACGATCGCCTATCTCGACGGTGGAGTCCTTTTGTTTGCTTTGGAGCTTCTCGCTCTCGAACGTTCATCACTCGCTTGTACCAATCCAGCCGAGCCAACTCAAGAGAAGCAAAAGCTCTATTTGCTACTCCCAAAGCCTTGCATCACAGCATCACACAATTCCTCAACGCATACTCTCCTTTTCCTCCAGCTAGTTTAGCTCCACCACTCGAGATGAAACGTCTGAGAAGATGTCTATCAAGTTGCTGCCGGAGGACGTTGTCGCCCAGATCAGATCCTCAGCCGTCATTACTTCGCTAAACTCCGTCGCCCTTGGTCTCGTCCGGAACGCCCTCGACGCAGAGGCTACGAAAGTCAATGTCTCTGTTGACTTTTTACGAGCGAACTGCTCTGCCGAGGACAATGGGCTCGGAATTCCACCAACAGACTTCTCAGAGGCCGGCAACCTAGGCAAAGCATATTGCACTTCAAAGCATCCCCGCTCGCCAGATAACTTCGGGAAACATGGTGTCTTCTTGTCTTCGGTTGCGGCCTTGTCGTTGGTGACCATTACCTCTCACCACCACTTGTACAACTCCCACAATTCGCTTAGTATCCATGGCTCGCAGACGATTATCAGGCATACCTCAGCATTGCCAGATCAGAGAATCTTGACATTTCCACACGGCACGAGAGTCACCGTCCGAGATCTTTTCGGGAGCATGCCTGTTCGTGTCAAACAGCGAGCTATGACCGCGGAAAAGTCCGGATTCAGCAGGGAATGGGACAGTTTAGTCATGTCTATGATTGCACTCATGCTTGCATACCACAAATCCGTCACGCTCCTTGTCCGCAATGCAACGACTCAACAGACGATGTCGCTGCGGAGCTCTGGCCTGGACCACGATCCAAAATCAGCTTCAACAAGCACATCAACCAGTCATGTTTTACGCACAATCAGTTTGTTGAAGCAAACCTGTCTGAGCGACTTGGTTGATGGGAAGCACTGGGTTCCGGTCAGGGCTGCATCTGCACTTGTTCGCCTTGATGGATGTGTCGCTTTGACCCCTGTTGCAACAAAGCGTATCCAGTTCATCACTGTTGGTAACGAGCCTTTGGTAAATGATGGGCAAGCTAATATCTTGTTCGACGAGATCAATCGGATATTTGCCAGCTCGGATTTCGGGGTGATGGAGGAAGTTGATGCCGTAGATGAACCTACCCGGGACAACACAGGCCAGCTGTCCAACAAGGAAATGCGTGCCAGGAAGGGAGTCGACCGTTGGCCGATGTTCCATCTCTCCATCACCTTGGATGGCAGCGAGAAAAGCAGAGCACATGTCATTGATGACATTGTGGATGGAAGCGAGCGTAGCCTCGCGGGCCTCCTTGATCTTATTGCAGCAATGTTTCACGAATTCTTGAAAAAGAATCACTTCCGGCCTCGGATATCCTCCCGGCACTCCCCAAGAGAAGTTGTGTTAGCAAGTACGAGGACCTCGTCCATGAGATTTTCACCGGATCGCGACGATTTGAGCGCGCTCCCCTCGGATCACGGAGGCACAGCGCAAGTTTCAAAGAGCACAACATCACAGCGAGCCCAGTCTTCATCGAGGTCCATTAGCTCAAATCGTCTACGGTCTAGAACGAAAAGCTCTAGAAGGGCTAGTCGTTCCGAATCGCCTTTTGCAATGTGGGCGCTTGTGAAGTACGGTCGGTCTCGAGACAGCGGGACCAAGTCCGAAAGCGACTCCGTGCCTCCTAGCAAAAGAACTAGCGCAAAGAGCACAGCAGATGCCATGGAACGCATGACCTCGAAGTCTCCTCGTCTTGTTGCACCGACGGGTCACCTTCTACGACGCCCCTTTGACACCGAGGCGCACCTTGTCCCAGCGGGCGACGACTCTCGTCCTTCATCACCACACAAAGCTGCAGATAAATCTGAAGCTGGTCGCTCACATTCGGAAGGCTATTTGACGTGGACAGATCCTCTGTCGAAGGTCAAATCAGTCATTGACTCAAGAACCGGATTCGTAGTAAAAAATGATGGGGGGCCGCAGCGAACAACAAGAGTGCAAACAGCTTCAAGAGAATCTGGAGGAAAGACCCTGACGTGCACCGGAGCCAGTACGCCATCCTGGCTCGCAGAAATCCAATCGACCTGGAAAAATCCAGTATATGAGAGTTCCGAACTACCGATTCCACGTATCGCCGAATCATTTGGCGGTCTAGGCACTGCGAGCGGGAAGATTATTCGACCTGGGAAACTGCTAGAGTTCGATAGTGTCGGCGAGCAGACAGCAATGTACATGGAGAAGCACATATCCAAGGATGCACTGCGCAGAGCTGTCGTCGTAGCTCAAGTGGATCAGAAGTTCATTCTCATTAGAATCCCAGCAAGAACCAGCTCTGACCAGCATCGAGAAGAGAACGCCGACTTGATGGTTTTGGTGGATCAGCATGCAGCCGACGAAAGATACAGGCTTGAAAGTCTCATGCAGGAGTACTTCTCATGCGAAGAGGGTGAGCAAGACAGATTCGAGGCACGGACAGATGTTCTTCAAAGGCCACTTGTCTTTGAGCTGCCGAGACAAGAGTACAAACTCTTGACGCAATATCGAACCTATTTCGAGAAGTGGGGGATTGTATACGATGTCGGTATTCAGGACGTGGAGAGAAGAGAAAAGTCCAGCATGGCAACTGTCACAGTTACGATTCGCCGACTTCCTCCGAGTGTTCTTGAGAGGTGTCGCACGGAGCCCAAATTGCTCATCGAAATTATCCGCAACCAGATCTGGAAACTCGCAGAAGGCCAGCATCACGCGTCCATGCCTATGGCATCTCAGCCAAGTTCCAATGAACAGGCCTGTTGGATCTCCCGTTTCCATGGGTGCCCAGATGGGATTCTAGACTTGTTACATTCTAGATCCTGTAGGAGTAAGTAAACCCGGGCTAAGGATCAACAGACCACAAACTAACCAAAGAACAGGCGCCATCATGTTCAACGATCTGTTGTCTGCCGAACAATGCCAACAAGTACTCGACAGACTGGCTCAATGTGCACTTCCTTTCCAATGTGCACATGGCCGACCCTCTATGATACCGGTCGTGCAGCTGGGTGCTGGGGCGTCTCTGGGATCCTCTACCCTCAGCGATGATCAAAGTGCAGGAGATTTTGCAAAGGATTTCAAGCAATGGAGACAAAAGAACCAGAGAATTTTGTAAGATAGATATACCTTAAAGTTAGACTATGATACCCACCTCATTCATCAATACCTCATTACCTACCTAGGTACTCAAGTGGGCGTCTGAATAGTTGACAGAAGTTCATCAGGAGCTACCTCAATCTTAACAATCAATATCCTTGTTACATCCTTGCCCTGGAACTCAGAAGGGTTATCCCACTACCTAAATCCGATGGGCTTGATGGATAGTCAAGTACTTCTGTTAGCAGTCCGTCAACTAATCTGACCATCACTTGATACTCTATGTAACAACCTTGGAACTGCTAAAATCCTACCGAACTAAGGTTGGATCATTAACTACCTGAGGCTTCACCGGTGGGGACCAAAAACGGGCGTGCAGGTGGAAAGCTAGCCGCCACGTGTGGCACACCCAGCCACTACTAGCACCAGCGTTGGGGCACGTCATTGCCTGGACAGAACTCCAGCCCATCCCCTTCAGAACCACAAGCTCCTTCAAGCTGCTCGAATGCGCCACCTTCAAGTCGAAACCCTCGCCCTTATCAAATATACAGCACGCCGGACCTGTTGCGATTGGGTCGCAAGAAGATGTGACAATGGCCCTAGCTGTACGCGCTTCCTCAACCCCCTCCCCCACCTCAGAACTCCCAGCTAATGCATACCGGCGCCGTAGTGGAAGTCCTTCGACTTCTTTGAGGTCAGCCAGATCAAACTCGGCGACGACGAGACGAAAGCCTTCTTTGAGGGCAACGAGATATCGAGTGTATGCTCTGGCTCCGACAGCCTCTTCCTCGCCAGCCATGATGGTTATGTGCGCATTGTTGGGCCGCGCTGGACGGTCATCCGCACCTTTCAGGCACACGAGTCGGGCAACATCACGCACATGCGCCAGGTCGAAGGAACGAGTCTACTAGTAACTGTTGCGGTAGGTACAGGCGAACTCATTGACCGACTGGCGTATACTGACTTACATCAGGAGGATCTTAGCAGCGAACCTATTCTGAAGGTCTGGGCTCTGGATCGCCCCGTGAAGAAGACAGGGTTACCGACTTGTCTGAGTACGCTGCAGATCAACAATGGAAAGAAGCCATTCCCTGTAAGTGGAAATCTACGGGCATTTTGGCGTGCAGAACTGATACAGCACCGTAGATTTCCGCCTTCGCTGCCACGGACGACCTATCGCAGATCGCTGTCGGCTTCGGTAACGGCGCGGTTACACTCATCCGCGGCGATCTCATCCACGACACCGGGACGCGGCAGCGCATAGTACACGAATCGGACGAGCCAATTACGGGGGTAGAACTGTGGGTGGATTCTAAACTGACGACACTCTTCATCGCGACCACGGCGCGTATTCTCAAACTCGTCATCTCTGGAAAGGGCAAAGGCCAAGCCCCCAAGATCGTGGAAGACTCGGGTTGTGCACTGGGGTGTATGACTGTCGACAAGAGGACTGGAGATATCGTAGTAGCACGAAATGATGCGATCTACTACTACTCTATCGACGGCCGTGGTCCACCACGAGCATACGAAGCGCCGAAGGAGCTGGTATCGGTCTATGGGGACTACATTGCTCTGGTCTCACCCCCAACAGTCGCTCCCGGCTCGGGCGCGCCTGACTCGATGAGGCGACAATTTGGCTCGTCCGCAGACGCCATTTTCAACACCTCTACGTTTTCCTTGCTCGAGACGGAGTTGAAGTTGATTGCTCATACCGAGTCGTTGGTAACCAAGATCACCTCGCTTTTCGAAATATGGGGCGATCTGTACACAATTCTTCAGGATGGCAAGGTAAATATGTCGCGTCCATATATACTGGTCTATGCTAAGTCACCCTCAAAAGGTTTTCCGCTATCATGAAAAGTCGCTGCAACAGAGGCTGGAGATGCTGTACCAGCGTAATCTCTACCACCTTGCCATCGAGCTTGCGCAGAGGTCTGGAATGGATGGCAAGCAACAGAACATCATCTTCAAGAAATTTGGAGATCACTTGTACCAGAAAGGGAACTACGACGAAGCCATGACACAGTACATCAAAGCCATCGACAGTACGGAGCCATCCCAGGTGATCAGAAAGTTCCTTGACACTCAAAGGATACAAAACTTGATCGAGTACCTTGAGGAGCTCCATGAACATCACAAAGCTACGGCAGATCACACTACTTTGCTCCTGAACTGTTATGCCAAGCTCAAAGACATTGACAAGCTCGAGAAGTTTATCAAGTCTCCTGGCGATCTCAAGTTTGACCTTGATACGGCCATATCTATGTGCCGTCAGGGTGGCTATTATGAGCAGGCTGCCTACCTTGCCAAGAAGCACGGCGAGAATGACCTTGTAGTCGACATACTCATCGAGGACTCCAAGCAGTATGCCGAGGCCCTCAACTTTATATGGCACCTGGACCCCGAAACGGTGAGGCTTTCACTCTGATCGACGATATCAAAACGTAAAGCTAATGGATCTCGCAGGCATACACGTGTCTTATGAAGTATGCTCGGACGCTGATCGAGCACTGTCCTTCAGATGCGACCCAGCTCTTCATAGATTACTACACTGGCAAATTCAGGCCAAAAGTCGATGTGTTGCCTGCAGACTCGGCAGTAGTGCCCGCGGCTGGCGGCCTTGCTGCTGGTGCTGCCTCTGCGGTGCAAAATCTCACGAACCTCCTTCCACTTCCTTACATGAGTACCTCTGCGGTTGCATCTCCTGGCACCCAGGGCAATTTGAAGCCGGCAGGGACTGAAGCGCAATTGATGGTGAACCCTGAAGACCTACCACCGATAGAATATACCGCTCCTCCACCAAGAACGGCCTTTTCATCATTTATTGATCATCCTGACGAGTTCATTGTCTTCCTGGAGGCATGCCTGAAGGAGAGCAACTTGTCGGGCTCCGACAAGACAGATATCCACACGACACTATTCGAGATGTATCTGCACAAAGCATCAGAGAAGAAGGGCGAAGAGCGTCGATCTGAATGGGAGGCCAAGGCCAAGGCGCTCATCTCGGGCAGAGATCTTTCAATAGAAGATTCGAACGTCCTCCTTCTGTCAGACCTCTCAAACTTCCGGGAGGGCACGACACTCGTCAAGGAGCAGTCAGGTCTGCTCTTTGACATCTTCCGGTCCTACACCTCTGCAAAGGACACCGTGGGGGCCATCAAGGCCCTGCACAAGTATGGTCCCGAAGAACCACAGCTCTACCCAGCTGCGCTATCGTACCTCACCTCGGACCCGCGGACTCTGGAGGAAGCCGGCCCCGAAGAAATATCGTCAATTCTCACGCGTATCGACAAAGGGGGGCTCATGGCCCCGCTTCAGGTGGTGCAGCTCCTTTCCAAGAACGATGTTGCTACGATGGGAATGCTCAAGCCCTATCTTCATGAGATCATTGACCGGGAGCGGAGGGAGATTGCCACCAATCGCCGTCGCGTTACCTCTTTCAGGGAAGAGACGGACCAGCGCCGAGCCGAGATCAAGGATCTTGGGTCTAAGCCGGCAGTTTTCCAGAACACACGCTGCAGCCAGTGTTCATTGCCACTCGAGCTCCCGGCTGTGCACTTCCTCTGCAAGCACTCGTTCCATCAGCGGTGTCTGAAGGGCGGCAGCGGCTCCGAGGGCGAGTGTCCCCTGTGTGCGCAAGCCAACGCGACGATCAGGGCCATCCGCCGACAGCAGGAAGAGTATTCTACAAGACACGATGTGTTCAAGACGGAGCTGGAGAACAGCGAGGACAGATTCGGCACAGTTGCGGATTGGTTTGCCAGAGGTGTTATGAGTGTGCCAAACGCAGAGTAATTTGCTCAGCGAGGTCTTTCTTACTGAGGGCGCCAGGATGATGCTGGCGTTTGGGGGTATCGTCTAGAAGTCTATATAGATGTACAACAGATACGAAGATCCGTGTGGGGTGGCCAATAATCCATCATGGTTCCAGTCCGAAGAGCTTGTTGAACCATGTTCCAATCGCCTTGTCTGTTAATGGCACTGGGCTAGCTTCATCCAACAAGCTCCTCCAGTCGGTTATGTGGCTGAATCGCCTCTCAAGCAGTGCGCTTGACAAGGCCTGGTCCTGGCTTACGCCATCAATGCTGTCGCGGTAGGCCAGTCCGGAGAAGGTTGACTCCTGTATTTTGTCATGGCGGACAGTGAAAGTGGCGCGGAACTATCACTGTCAGTAAGCAAAGCAAAGACGACACTGCCCTCATGAGGAAGATTTGCCTCACATTCTCGGGGATACCATCAGGCAAGCGTGGTCGCTCTCGCTCGTCGCCTTCAAAAGAGTGCGTGGAAAAGGTGAATTGCGGTGTCTGACCAAAGATCCAATCCGGAGACTGTGATTTCGGTTAGTTACTGTATGAGTTTCCTCAAAGGGAAGGGCTGACGTGCCTTCAACTCCGCGATGCCTTCAGGCAGTTTTGGATACAGGGACACGTCGATGTCCTGCTCTCCAAACTCCTCATGTACGTCGCTGCGCCGGTACATGCGCTCAAACTCCTCGCGCACGCCGGCGTAGAAATCCATGGGCCGCAGGTCGACGTTGCGGATCTTGGACCGGACGCTCTCCACGCCGCGGGCCTTGACGTAGGGCTCGGCCGGCGACCGCAGCAGGCCCGATATGCTGGACAGGTTGTCCGACTGCAGCAGGCAGGTGCCGTGGTGCAGGGAGCGCAGGCGGGTCAGCTTGTAGGCCGAGCCCGAGACCTTGAAGGTCTGGGGCTGCCCCCCGCCCCCGCCGCCGCCGCCGTTGTCATCGTCCACGTCGACGACAATGTCGTGGCGCGAGTTGACGCGGGCGGCGGGCACGCCCAGCCCGCGCAGGGCGCGGACGACCATCTCGGCGTGCTTGTTCCGGTCAAAGGCCGGCGGGGGGCATATGACGCTCCAGTTGAGGTTGCCCTGGTCGTGGAAGACGGCGCCGCCGCCTGACCGCCTGCGCACCAGCCGTATGGGCTGCTCCTGTTCCCCTATCCCAGCGGTGCTGGAGCCGGCGCCGTTGCGGCGTAGACGGGCGAGATTGGTCTCGACCCAGGGGTTCTGGTTGCGGCCGATGACGACGCAGGGGTCGTTGGCGTAGCAGAAGAGGACCGTGCTGTCGGGGTGCGAGTTCTGGAGCATGTAGTGTTCCACGGAGAGATTGAAGTAGGGATCCCGGCTGCGGGAGAGGTATGACTGGATGGGGCGGTTCGGGTCTGAAAGAGACTGGAGGAAGGACGAGGATGACGGAGGAACTTGAGATGAAAATGTTCTGAAAGGGGATGAAAGAGAGCATGGTGAGAGACTCCTCCGGATAGGGATGGCGAGCCCCATCCGCACCGAGAGTGCCATGGAAGTAGTGTGTGACTAGGCCTTCTGTAGGCTTTGTTTTTCCTCTATACAGTAAACATATTTGATATGGTCAACGGGGTGAATCAGGGTTAGAGTAGAAAAGACTGTGGCTGAGGTGCGAAAAGTGGTGATGTTTTTCATTGACCTGTTAGCCTTGAATAGCCGCTTACAGCCAGACAAGCTCCCGCCAGTTGTTTCTTCAGTGATGTGGATACATGGCTCAGAGCAATATTTTAGCGTCCTTAACCACCAACCCACCCAAGTGGGCGTCTGAATAGTTGACAGAAGTTCATCAGGAGCTACCTCAATCTTAACAATCAATATCCTTGTCACATCCTTGCCCTGGAACTCGGAAGGGCTATCCCACTACCTAAATCCGATGGGCTTGATGGATAGCCAAGTACATCACTTGCCACCCCAGTGGATAACTCTGGTGAGTACCTAGCGACCCTGGACGACTCTGGCCCATGCCGTGACTTCACAGAATCGGGCATAGAATTACGATGCTACATCTAGGTAGGTAGCTCTGGATGAAACTTGCTGTCTGTAGACAGACACAAAGGTATCGGGTGGATTACTTTGAGTTTGAAGATATCTGTTCCATCTGATCGATACAAAGCTGCCCTTTCACACCTGGCCGTCAGGACTGGTGCACGAATGCTCTCTACTCAGTACGGCAGCGGGTTGAGATCAAGCCCCTCGACGGAAAACCTGAACGAGTCGTTCCTAGTGTTTTGTTAGCTCTTGTACGATCCTTGAGACAGAGGTCTATCCTCTTACCTTGAGTAGCTGCCACCAACATCAATATCCAACCTGCCCCTGATGCAGTCATCGAAGTCGACATCTGCGTAGATGATGCCGTCACTGTCTTCCCACTGCGGGCCGGCCAATACATCGCCAAAAGGATTGACTATGCATGAACCTCCCCTGCTCCAGTACTCCGTCGCTCCACCCTGTCCTCCTGCCTGTGCTCGTGCTCCAGCTTTCGACAGATGCTCCTCTCTGCACAACACGATTTCATTTCCGTCCTCGTCGAATACAGACTTTCGGCGGCCGTGCTTTCGCACAGGGCTAGCTCCGTTGGCTTGCTTTGGCGAGGTCTGCTCGTCGTCGTGAGTCGTAGGCTGGTGCTCGGAATTCTGGTCGTCGGCGCACAACACAATCTCGTTCCCATCCTCGTCGATGACCGAGCGTCTCCTCCTCCTGGGTTCGTCGTACGGCGCAGGTTCCGCCTTGTCCTGCTCGTCCTCGGGCGCCTCCGAGACCGCCGTATCCCCTCCCGCAACGGAGGCCGGCAGCTGCGGCTCCTTGGTGACGCACATGTTGGCGCTGACCACGAAGCACCGGCCCTCGATGCCGACGGTGCGCATGAGCGACAGCCACGCGTCCCTGGCGTCGGCCGTCGGCGCGAGGTACAGGTTGACGTTCTGCGCGTAGAGGGCCTGCCGCACGAGCGGCATGTAGTTCTCCCAGCAGATGGCGGCCGCGAGGTTGACGCGCACGCCGCGGATCGTCGTCGACACGGCGCGCAGCGTCGACGGCGCGCCCTGCGCCCAGACGAGCCGCTCCGTGCCCGTGGGCATCACCTTGCGCCGCTTGCCGACCATCCCCTGCCGCGGGCACACGTACACGGCCGCGCAGTAGAGGCTGCCGCCGGCGCGCTCGATGAGGCCCGTCACGAGGAAGATGCCCGTCTCGCGCGCGATGCGCTCGAGCTCCTCGCGCGTGCCGTCGCCGGCGCCCACGGCCGCGTCGAGCTCCCGGTTGACCCACCAGTCTCCGGCGCCGGCGCCGGCCTCGCCGACGACGTCGCCGAGGTCGACGGCGGACTGGAAGTAGCGCAGGTACTCGTCGCGGCCGGCCTCGGTGCGGCTGCCGATGGCGCAGCCGAACGTGGAGCCCCGCGGATAGCCGCCGATGAAGGCCTCCGGGAGGAGGAGGAGGTCTACGCCCTGGGCGGCGGCACGCTGCGCGAGGCGGGAGATGAGAGCAAGAGTCTCGGGCGTGGTGGCCTGAGTTGCTGGGGAGCAGGTGCCGAGGCGGATCTTGGTCGGCATGGTGGTCTGGCTGATAGGATATGTCGTTGAAACCTTGTTGAGTGGTGTACTCTGAGTGAAGGGCGGGACGGGGTATGTGTTTGTAAGTCTCGAGGCGACAGCGCAATCGTGTGAGCACCGATGTGAAGCTCTTATTGTCAACAATTCAGGAGAGGCAATTGCGGATTCCAAAGCAACCGCAATAGCCGCAGAATCGGACAATCTTCGTGGATCCTTGAGAAAGAAGTGGTAGAAGGTAAAAGGACTGTAGCTTACCCCGCATGTGGTGACAGAGACGCGGTCACTGGCACCATGGAAGCCTAAATAATTCACGAAAAGCCTCCACCTTCGGGATTTGATCCATAAGACACCCGGGTTCTTCTTCGGCATTGTTCTCAATTGATATCGCATGTCTGGCCTCCATCGTTATGAATGTTTTCTCATAGGATACAAAGCGTTGGAGCCGAGCACCTTGGCCACAGACTTGGATTCCACATGCTTCATTAAGTTTCGAACATTCAGTGCGAAGCTTCTCTGGCGTGTTTATGGGCGTGATGAACTGTAGCTATATACCCCAGAAGCAACAGTCATAGGTTTTCATGTTGGAAGAGCAACTTTGTCTATCTCACACTGCTACGTCTCCGCGACTCCCTAAGGATTCTAAGGCAAGAGGAAAGGCTGCAAGTTAGTCACAGAACAAGACGGGTTTGCAAGGGTGTGATGCGTGGCGGCACACCCTCGAATTGAGCGCTCGCCTGCATCGAAGTCTAGCTTTCCTCACGTCTGCCTTCCAAGGCCACCAGCCCGGATTCGTTCCCATGTTATCTCGGCGTACTAGGCCAAAATAATGGCCAGGTCTTGTGTGAGCGAGTCTCCGCGACGAAAAGGCACGGAAAGAAATTTTGCATCAAAGGATCCCGGTATATATACATAGATGCGCGGTCCGGCGTGACATAACTCATCTCTAAGCCCATCTCTGGGGTCAGAGAACCGAGGAGAGTTGGAATCAAAGCTTCGCTGGTAAATGGATGGCGCGGCGATGCGGAGGTCGGAGCCGGACCGCATGGCCGGGAAATGTGGGTCTTCCGGCGGTCTCGAATGTCGTAACTCGCAACATCTCCCATATCCTAGTCACGTCTCCTAGACGTCCCAAGACTGGTCATCCCGAATCCCAATTCCAATCCCATGGATGATATGCTAGTTCAAGGCCAATAAAACCATGTCCAGAACCCTTCTTTCCATACCGGATCTCACATATCCTTCATGCATCTCAAAGCCCGGACGAGTACCGCCTCATCAACGATGACTCCAAAAAGTAAGACCAAATATTTTGAAGTATGCCAGGCTTCAAATGAAGATTGACTTGACTTACAGGCTGGCGACAGAAGGACTTGAACCAATCGGTTCTAGATGGCGGGAGCGTCCGTTTGTAAATCAGATTATGGCGTAGCGATCCATCCAACCAGTCAGTCCTAGGTAGTGGGATAACCCGCGTGATTCTCAGAGGAGATCTATACTTTGTTAACATTGGACTATCTCCTAATGAATTTCCGTTACCTATTTTGGCCCTCTTGGGCGTCAACAGAATGAACCCCTGAGGAGTCTATCCGATGGCGCGGTGTCCGACGTCAACAAAGAGTTATAATCATCCAGCTCCAAGTCTATTGTTGATGGACTCTAGGACTATTATACAGGTCTCGTGGTGAGGAGATGTTCTTGTCGTAAAACCGCCTTCCTTTTGGTTCCCACACGGTGCCCCCAGTACTCTCAGGGGTATCGGAGCAACAAGCAGAAAAGAAAGAAAACAAGAACCAGATCCTGCCCCGGAGACGTAGATGCAACCAATGAAACAAAAAAGACAAGAACAATGATGCCGGTTTAAAGTCTTCTCCCAGAAACCAGGTCTAAAATGCAGAAAACACGCGAAGGACAAGTCCAGCGTCATCTAAGTCGTATCCTGCCAGACCTGTAAGTCTCCCTTCGATGTTTTTGTGTCCTCTAGGACTCTATCGAGCTCAAGTCGTGATCGAGCTTCTTCTTTTCCGCACCCGGTACGGACATGTGCCGGGTGCCACCATCATCATCTCACATCCATCCGGGGCACTACCCCTGCCCTTCCGCATGCCAAAAGCCGTTTATTTGGAAATTTCTACCCCTCCTTGAGCTCCGAGAACGCGTTTCAGGTCGCCTGCGCCGACTGTTAGTGGTGCTTTTGGTGGTGTGGAGAGGTTGTGGGTTGACTTACCGTAGATGGCGAACTGACCGGCGGTCAGGGTACCGACCATGAAGAGACGGGCACCGATACCGGCGAAAGAGCCACGGAGACCGAGCTCCTTGGCAATCTTGATCAGGCGGGAGGTGGTGCCCTCACCGGGGAGACCCTTGGTCTTGTTGATCTTGGACAGCATGGTGTCGGCGGGCTGGGAGACGATGGCGGCGGCGAAACCGGCAATCAGGCCGGAGCCGAGGTTAGCAACGGTCTGCATGCCGTCGGAGAGAGACTCCTTGGGGTAGACGCGGAAGACGGCCTCGGCAACCTTCTCGTAGACGACGAACTTGGTCATGGTGTAGGGGACCCTGAGGCGTGCTGGTCAGTATCATGATCTCGGGCGCCCGGCCGGCCCGTATGAACCGGCCGGGACTAAGAACGAAAAAAGAAACTTACTGCTTGAACAGCATGGGGCCGAAACCGGCATAGAAGGCACCAACACCCTCCTGGCTCAGCATCTTGCTGAAGCCGCTGACCAGGCCGCTGGCGTAGGTGGGCTCAGAGACGAGACGGATACGGGTAGCCTCGAGGGGGCAGAGGGCAATATCGGCGAAGAACTCGGCGCAGGCGGCAGAGGCCAGGTAGACGCCGGTACGGTACTGGCTGGCGGTCTCCAGGCCGACCAGGTTGATGCTCTGCTGCTTGAAGAACTCGTAACCGCCGAACTTCAGGGCACCCTGCAGGAAGTAACCGGCAAAGGTCGGGCCGGCGCCGGTGAGCAGGGCACCGGCACCCTCGTTCTGGATGATCTGGCGGAAGCCACCGATCAGACCGCGGTTGTAGGTGGCAGGGTCGAGCTGGATTCTCGTCTTGACGCTGTAGGAAGAACAATTATATCAGCATCGTCCACCCGGCTTTCTCGGTTGGTTCCGCTTGTCCGGACAAAGAGCTGAGAAGCATCCAACAGAAACTCTTCCCGTTCGATCCAACTCGCTCTATGGTCGGGACCAAAAGGTCGAAGCTTTGGGTGTGTGCAGATAGCGACTTACACATCGACGGGGGTGAGGCCACCGTGGGTGACGGAGCAGCAGACAGCGCCGGCGAGGGCGAAGCGGGAGTACAGGCCGACGCCAGACAGCGCCGGGGCGGCAGGGGCCTTGTCGGCGATGGCCTCGATCTTGGGGGAAGCGGCAGCAGCCATTGTGTCGGATGTGAAGAGGTAGTTGGGGAGAGAGGAGAAGCTGGACAGGCGGTTTCCGGGAGAAGGAAACAGACAAAACAAAAGACTGAGTGGAGTAGTCCTGTGAAGAAGTTCACGATCTGGAAGTGCGCAGAGGAGGAAGTGAACGACAGATGAAAGGGAAAAAAATTTAGGAAGGCTATGTTTTTTGCGCCTTTTTGTCCCCCCTGTCCGTTATCTTAATTCCCGGCTCCAGCAGGTTTGCCAACACGGTCCTGCGCGCGGGCCAGCACGAAATGTTTTACTCGGGTGGACTCGGATAGATGGGGAAATTTTGTTAGTCGGGCGCACTGATTGGCCAATTCCCAAGCTGATGGCCCCCTGTTCTGGGTCGCGCCGTGGCTCTCGGCATCAGATTTACCTACAAACCCGAGCCTAACAGCATCACCACCCACACAGTCACTGCGCCAACCTGTTACCTGAAGCCCGCCACTGTCACCGACCAGCTTGGTCCTGGGGCAAAGTGACTAATGCGGTGGACCCCTCTGGCTCTCTGGGAGGCGATAGTTCTTGCTGCATTTCTAGTGGTCCCTCGGGAAGGCTGTTCCTGAAAGTCGCCTGTAAACCGCCTTACCTGCTCGACGGCTGAAGAGCTTCCCGCGATCGCATTCATAGATCCACGGATGCAAGCCATCAATAACGGCCACCACCCACCGACATACATTAGGCCAGCTGTCCGGAGTAAGGGGGCTCAAGGACATAAAAATAAATAAAGATGAGGTGTACGTAAAACAGCACTCGTTATCCGTTGCCGACGTTGGTCTTGGCACGAGCACCCTGTCCCCGTCACCGATCCAGCCAAACCCACCCGTGAGCTTTCCCGCTCGTCTCATTGGCCAGCCATCAACGGCCCAAGCCCGAGATGCCGAGCACTCTCCACGGCCGCCTCGATGTGCTCTTCTGACATCAAGCTACTCAACCGCAGACAATCTTGCTCATTTTCGACTTGCCAGAAAGGGTCTCGCATATGATATGAGACGAATTCTCCCCTTTTGATAAAAATATAGACCAAATACTGGGAGGCTCACTGGCTATTTATGATTGCGACCAATAAACCATCTCAGAGATTCAGGCTGTATGTGAAGCGCTCTCCACCATCCCAGGCTTTATCTCAACATCAAGTCTACTGTTGGTCCCGGATTTTCGCCATTGCGGACATTCAGAAACATATAAATACACAAGTTGAATTAAGAGATCGTCAAGTCATGAACTAGAGGCTAAGAGTAATACAAAAGAAATACAACACGTACTCATGATCACTCCATCTCGAATAGGAGCCTGAGTACATCAACTGTACATGTGAATGAAGTATGAAGAATAGGACACTTCAGCCATCCAGCATAAAATAATAATGAGTGTGTCTGATAGCTTGGAAGAAAAAGGGGCCAATGGCCATGGCACGGTCAAGTGAACACGGGTGCATGAGTCTTCCTCGTCCGCAACGGCTCGCACTCCGTCGCAGGACAGCGACCATAGCTGTCCCTTGAACAAGCGTTAGATGTTGGCTCATATGCCAAGTCGGTCACCCCCTCCTCAAATCCGGCCTGTCCCATGGGGAAATTGTAGAAGTTGTCAAACGTGAACTCAGAACTAAAGAGCTCTCCGAGATCTGGATCCCCAAGGACGGATGTGTCAAACGACGGGGGCAGCGCTGATTCTGAAGGCCCAGGCTCCCCGTCGATATTCGGGACGGAATTTGAGGCTTCCTGGAAACCGCCACGGGCGAGTTGGAGGAGCTGTAGGGTGGTGTTCTGGAAGATCTGCACCGCCTTGTCCTTCATGATATCCTCGACACAGTTCAGCTCCCTCTCGACCTCTTGTTCAAGCTTGGATCGTATAATTGGTGGAAGCTGCCGTCTAAGGAAGTTCTCCAATTTGGCATAATGGCTCTTGCTACCGTCTTCCGCATCTGGATCTTCCGAGTATTGACCATCATAGTCTATAAGAGAGTTAGCAGACTGTTTGAAGCAGAGAAAAATAAGAGAAGTAAATAAAAAGGAAGGAAGAAAGAAAAGAAGAAAGAAGTTGAGTGAGATAGAAAGTAGAAAGGAAAGTAGAAAGGAAAGTAGAAAGGAAAGTAGAAAGGAAAGTAGAAAGGAAAGTAGAAAGGAAAGTAGAAAGGAAAGTAGAAAGGAAAGTAGAAAGGAAAGTAGAAAGGAAAGTTAAAAAAAAAGTAGAAAGGAAAGTAGAAAGGAAAGTGGAAAAGAAAAATGGAAGGGGAAAACGCCATAGATCCCAGGGAATGGAGGAGCAAGGTGTCACATTTGAAGAAGGAGAACACGCACAGGGACTTGGAATAAGATCTTCGGGGAAGAGAATTCTGTACATGTCTTCCCATTTCTGAATCTCATTAGCACCCGGTCTTTGTCGAGACTTGAGCTGTTTCTCCTGGGCCTTGTTGAATCCATCGTGCGGCTTCTCCGTCTTCAACGGGCAGGGTGTCTTGGACCTCTGGTGCTCCTTGAGCCCATCGTCGTTCTTGAAGACTTCACAGCAGCGATTACAGATGTGTTCAGGCCGAGCATGTTTGCGGTAGACATGTTCTCTTGTGGACCTGTAAGTTTCAAACACGTCAAACAATTGGGATTTGTGGGTGCTCACTTCAAGCGATGTACATTCTTCCACCCCGGACCACAACAGGTGCGTACAGCCTTGTATTTCTCCTGATTGTGTTTGAAGTAAGGGCAGGCAAGTAGGCCTTTCTTACTCTCTTCTTCGTCAGTACGAGATCGTTTGCCGCGGCCTCTTCCACGACGACCATCGTTATCGTCGTCATCGTCCTCCTCAGTTCGATCATCTTGGTCATCTTTCCGCAACCGTCGCTTCTGACCACCGGGAGGGCGTTGAGGAGCACCACCGCCCCGACCGCTGTCATTGGAACGGTCCGAGCCTGTGCTCGTGCTATCATGACCATCGCAGCCATGGGTGCGAGGACGGCAAGCTTGGTCGAGCCATTGGTTGAATAGAGGTGTGAACACTTCGACCATGATCTTATCCACGATTTCCTTCTTCTTGTTTAGCAAGGCTTGTGACGAGGTACTTGTCTTCTTTGTGATTGCATTGCCCTTGGCTCCGAGACTAGAATCCATGGATTTGGAAGTCCGATTCGCTTTTGAGCCGCTATTATCTACCGAGACGTCGTCTCTGAGGGGGGATTTGGTTCCCGATGCCGGCTCAGCAGCAGAGTTTTTTGAGCTCCTGCTGGGGCCCGACTTCCCTCTTGTGGGCACGGAGTGCTTAGTATTCCCATTTAAGTCCACACTTGGTGTGCTCGTGCCGGCAGAATGGCACGAAGATTTGGATTTGCCGTTGGTCTGTCGTGCTGGCAGTCAGCGAGGCGTTCCCCAAAGGATACAGATGGAGTGCTTGGCCTTGCCTTGTCCGTGGCTTTGGTCTTCAGCGAGTTGCCTTGACCTGGGGATTGCGCAAAGTACTTTTGATAGGAGTTATCGTTAGAGCCGACCATGCTCAGGGCGCCGGCAAAGCGGCTGCCTGTTAGGAGAGACTTTGAAGAAGAACGAATTCGTGAATCTCGGGTCCAGAGAAACTCGATGGGTGCCAGGTGCTTGATCTGTGAAGAAACGTATATTCGGCAGTATTCTGCGCAACAACTTTCGTACGGATTCAGCACCTGCATTGCATCTGCGCTCGGGGAGCACTAGCCACTGTATTTCATCATGTGTCAATCAACTCCCTGGAGAGAGGATAACGCACGATGGGCTGGGTCTCCGTTTGATTATTGAGAAGCAAAAAGAGAGTGAAACCAAGGACATGGGAAGTGGCAGGGAGCGGCTCATGGTCTCCTATTTATGCATGGCTGTGAGTGCGCATTTGCGCACAACCCGAATGGGCGAACACGCTGGAGGATGCAGCAAAGCATTCCAGACTCCCAATCATCTCATGCAGGAGATGCCTGATGCAAGTGTTCAAGTATCAAAAGGCGGAGCGGAATGCGGGCACCGTCAAGGACCAATTGTTCTGGTAAGGCTGACACGTAGGCAACCTAATCAGGTACAGTACAGTTCATGTGGTGCCGACAGCGTTTGCGCAAGTCTGACGGACAGCTCGATCACAGACCAGATCCCCAGCTGGCGCATTGGTCGTGTGTTGCGCCGTTTGGGTCTTTGCGCGATTGCGCAGAGCGCACTCATGGGCAACCCAGTGATGTCCGGGGCCTGCGCCATTGAGTCGGAGACTGATATACCACGCAATCTGCGAACTCGGCTCTCATACTATCCTGCTTCTCATCACGAATGTGCCTGTAGACCAGATGCGTGGATATGGCTGAGCATCGAGAACGTCCAGGGAATACGCGCGATGAAGGCGTAGACATGGAACGAGCCTTTGCTCAACTGCGCTTAGCAGACAGAGCTGCATCTCATGGGCATGCCATGCAATGATCAAACAGTATAAAATCAGGAGCGAGCGATCAATCGAGGCGATGGTGGAGGGGAGAGAGGGTATGTTGAACAGATCATCTCTCCGATCACACAACACCATGTCGACGAGATCAGTCCAATCGATGCAGCTTTCTGGCAATAGGTGAGTGCTTACGCTTGTGAAACCCTCGACATGATACAATTGCTGATTTACCTCCACCATATAGCCAGGTCCAGCCGCAACCGGGCCCAATGTGTGAACTCTTCCGGGCGAGCATGCCGGCCACACTGGCAGAGCGGTCAGCTGCAGGCTTGGTCGGGACAGGCCACTCAGATCGACGACAGGACCTTGCCCGTCGAGTGGCCGAACTCGGCAAGACGCTATCGGCCGGGCCAAGTAACAGGCCGCAGTAGGCAGTTGAGGCAATGGGGCCTCGGTCCCTCTTTACGATGTACCATTTGGGCTGTGCGCCAGGAAGGTCATCTTTGTGGCGTTCAATGTTGTGGTTTGGGTAATCAGAGGGAAGGTTCCATTGGCGGTGGCAGTTGGTGTACGATACGATAGCAAAATCAGAATAGGGCCTGCTACCTGGCGTCATCAATCAGTTTTTGGCAGGCTCCAGGCACGAATAACATCCATGGCTGGTATTTAATCAGATTAAGGAGAATGAAGTTCACCTGTCCCGATGTCTCTGAAAGGCGTATAGCACTCCTGAGGCCGAAAGTTCTGTGCGGATCGTTCTTGCCTCTTTTTGTTGGTGATGGGCGGGAACGATGCTTTCAGTGGATTTGAGGGGCTCATTTGTACAACCAAATGACGAGCACCCGTCTCGCGAGCAGCTTCTCATCTCACGGCTCCCCCTCCCCTGCCTCCTGCTTGCTGCTCTAGGCCTAGCACTCGTATTTCCGAGCCAAACATTCTCCCCAACCATATTTCTCCCTTGAGAATATCGCTGTCTTCATCATTGGCCCTGTGTATTACCCGGGCTGTGGTTGACCGTCTTATTGAACGGAGAGGCCGAAACCAGGTCCGCTTTCAATCTTTCCACGCCAGACAGGCCGGACTACCAGCATGGGCGCCGTCCTATCCTCTATCGGGCGGGCCTTCAAGGGCATCTCGACTAGTATCAACACACTCCGGGGTCTTTACTCTGAGTTCCGTGATTTAGAACAACGAGCATCTGCCCCGGCCGGGTATCCTGTTGCCTCACCCACCAAGTCCTTCTGGCTCGATGATCCACCGTTCCCGGAGCTGGTCGACACCCGGTCCCCCACTCTTCCCGACCGTGCCGATGTAGTCATCATCGGCTCGGGCATCACCGGCGCCGCAATTGCCAGAACTATCCTGACTGAGCGTAATACTGACGCCACACCCCATCTCGACGACATTGTCGTCCTAGAGGCGCGCCAACTTTGCAGCGGTGCCACAGGTCGCAATGGCGGGCATATCAAGGTCTCTCCGCATGTCACCTTTGACCAGTTGCTCCAGACCGTGCCCCCGGAGAGAGCTGCCACCCTCGTGCGCTTCATGATCAGGCATCTGCCAGTCCTGACCGAACTCACCAAATCTGAAAACATCGCTGTGGCCGAGTGCCGCGAGGTAGAGTCTGTAGACTTTTATCTGGGAGAGAGAGACCTCGCCGGCGCCTTGCGACAGGTCGATCAGCTGCGCAAATGGGTACCGGAATTTGAGCTGCATGTCTGGACAGCTGAGGAAGCTCGGCAGGTAAGGCAGATACGGCAACCGAAAGAAGTCACGCATGTTTTTTTAGAGATACTGACGGCTGGGTCGCAGAAATTCTCCGTCAATGAACATGTCATCGGGGCCATTTCTTATACAGCCGGCGCACTGTGGCCTTACAGATTTGTGACGGCGATCTGGAGCGATTTGTTGAACCGCTACAGCAAGTCTCTGAGCATTGAAACGTCTACTACGGTCCTCGATGTCGAGCTCGGCTCCTCAGTGTCTGGATCCGGATCTTACCCGTACCTAGTCAAAACCAGCCGTGGAATTATACAGGCCCGACATGTCGTCCACGCCACCAACGCCTTCTCAACCCAGCTTGTACCCGGCTTACGCGGCAAGATGACAAGTCTTCTCGCTCACATGTCAGCGCAGCGGCCAGGCAAGGAATTCCCAGATGTGAATGGCAGTCGCTCATGGTCCGTCATGTTCGGGCACGGCTTCGATTACATTACACAACGCCCGACCGTCAATGGCGTTCCGGGCGAGATCATGCTCGGGGGAGGATTTTCACAATCTGAAAAGCAAGGAGTAGACCAGATTGGGATCTTTGACGATAGTAAACTCAACACTCTGACTGTGGCACACCTCGATGGCATCATGCCAACCATCTTCTCCCCGAATTGGGGTGACGATGCTGTGGGCGGCCGTATGAAGCGCGTTTGGTCAGGTGTCGTGGCCATCTCGGCTGATTTCAGGCCGTTCGTCGGAAGGCTTGACCACCGCCTAACAGGACGCAAGGTAGACGAAAGCCGTTCAGGAGAGTGGATTGCGGCGGGCTACACGGGCGACGGAATGGTGTGGGCCTGGCTTTGCGGGACGGCATTGGGGGTTATGATTACCGGCAAGCAGGACGAGAAGCTCCCCCCTGCATATGGCCGCCCGGGCGGAACTCTCGCGGAGTGGTTTCCTGAGGACCTTTATGCAACGCCCCAACGTGTGAACCGGATGGATGTGGCTGATCTGGCCGGTATGTTCATGAACTGATCGCCTGGGTCTCCTCTGCAGAGCCGACGCCAAGTTCGTCGGCGACACGTCGTCTCAGGTAGGCGCCTCAATATCTCGACGCCTCCAGGAAGAGAACATAGATAGTGTGATTTACAAGCGGATGCCGACGAATTGTGCGGCGGGTGAGCTGTTTGGCAGTTTAGAGACAGGCGACTTAAGTTTGAGTCGCCTAGAAGGAAAAGATCAATAGAACCTTGCAAGTGGACGACGATGATAAGTTCAAGTATGCTATAGGGAAGAAAATAGAGGTGGGTAGAAATAAACAGAAAACTTGAAAGATAATAAAGGAAAGAAAAAGGGTGTCATCCGCCGTCTAATCATCCTCGGCGAGAAATTGGTGAAGATGCTCCCCAAAGGTCCCGCGTGGCCGCGGCGTGGTCTCGGATAGCCTGCGCCACTATGTTGGCGGCGGCGATGCTGTCGGGCACATTTGTGTGCTCCATCTCTTCCCCCTTCTCTCGGTCTTGGTCTTGGTCTTGGTCTCGATCTATCTACGTCAGTGTGTGGTTCAATGTGTGTGTGTGTGTTAGCATTTTTTGGAATGCGGCAAGGAGGAAATGACTTTACATTTCAAGCATGATGTTATCCTACGATACGGTGCCGATCAGGAAGGAGGAGGTGTAGGATAAAAATTAAAAATATTTTGGCCGATTCAATGTTGGTCGGTGAACAGACGGCGTTACGGAAATCGGAAGCGTCCCGGGTGGTGGCCGGGAAATGTGGGTCACTCCGCTCAGGTGTGTAGAGGAATGATAGATGATGCAGACGGCAGGCAAGAGGCTCTTTTACTTCACATGCTGCCGCTCGAAATCTAGCACATAAGAGGGTCCGCCTTTTCTGATACTCTAGATGATAATTCCAAGCTAGGAAGCTACCGTCACAGGTCATGACAAATTTCCGGGGGTGTACAGTCTGACCTAATGGACTGAGATTGTCCTATTTGAATCATCGTGAAACTCCCCCAACTCTCATTGTATAACCCATGATCCTGCGGGATTTTAATACAAGCATTATGAAGCTTCATTGAGGTTGTGAATGTAGTTGGGCCCAAGCCAGATGGTCTCCCGGAAGGCAGGAGTGGCTTGTCCATCCACGGCCGCTCCCGCCCCACGCAGCCAAGTGAAGATCAAGTTGGCTAGTTGCGGTTTGATAACTGCATCAAACCCATTGGGTTTAGGTAGTGGGATAGCCCGTGTGACTATCAAGGGAGAGACATGCATCGTCAGCATTGAGGTAAGTCGTGATGGGCTTCTGACAACTATTCTAGCCCATGCTTGGGTGCTCTCCTCCTGATCGAGTCTCGATAGTATAGACAAGGTCTAGCTTTGCGGAATTGCTAAGCCCAATGTGCTAGACGGGTTCTGTCTGCGTGATAAAGGCCTCCATGCATTGCTGCTGTAGGCTCTGAAACTTCGTTGAGAAATGTGACGCGCGGTAGGGTGCGGGGCTTGATCATCATCCATGTTCTGTCCAGTACTTTGCTTATCACGGCAAATGCTCCTGTACCAGTGGACAAGGATAGGAGATGATGAGAAGCTCCAAGCGGGGTTTGCGTTCCGGGTTCAAGAGCCAATAGCTTCCGTCCAAATCGTGACGACGACGATGTGGTGCCGGTACCTTGATTGACGGACGAGCTAGCAGCCACTACATAAAGCACGTTGAGAACGGTGATGTCATGACCGGATTCAAGCATCGACATTAAGAGAAGGCTGTTCTCTCTTGCGAGGGGGAAGGTTTAACTGCATTTCGTGATGTGTCCCAAGCTTTAGAGAGAAGGACCAACCGAATGGGCAACGTAAAGATTTACGAGAATCAACCCGCGATTCATTCAATCAATTTCCAAGTAGCCAGCTGTTTGGCATCCTGATGGTGCATTGACTGCCACCTCCCTCCACACTTATTTCCTCGTGTCGATCGACCCCTGTGGCCCGGGATGGCCGGGGCACCCAATAGTGGGCATTAACGGTGCGACTGGGCGGGTTTCTGGCGGACAGTACCCTGTCTCCCCAGCTGATCATCAAAGGCCAAGCTTTTTTGCCCAGCAAAAATAGCATGTCTAGCCCCGCCTAGCGCCAGACCACGACACTGCAGATGCCTCGTCAGCGCCCACCATCCCCACCTATTGGCTCTTAGAGAGCTCCCGTCTCGCAGCTTGCGTCAGGGACTAGATCATGTTTGAGAGGGGAAGCTGAGCTTCATGATTTGTGGCATGCAAGTAGAAATTGGGCCTTGCTGTCCGTCCTCTCTCTCTCGTCTCTTTATTTGCTCCCTCTTCCTCCTTCTCTCACCGCAATTCCTCCCCCTGTCTTTACGAAAACCCCTCAAGCGCTTCTTCCATCCACGAGCATCAACAGCTGCGAGGTGAGTTCATTGTCGTACGTCACCACGTCACAGCTTGCTTCAGCATCAGCAACAGCGACAAGCGGCAGCACAGCCCACCCTCAAGCTCCTGCACCTTCTCCCGTCGTTGCTCCAGCCCAACACCCACGTAGGGTGACCTGACTGACGAGGACCCCTGTTGCAAGGGAGTATTAGAAGAAGCTGACCGCCATTCATTCCAGGTAGAATACTTTCTGACCTTTCTTCCTTTTCTTCTTCTTTCTGAGACCAGGCCCTTATCAGCAGCCTGCAGCACACTCAAGGAACCTTTACCACCATGGTCCATCTAGCTACCATCAATAGGGAGGGCGACGTCGAGAAGGGCATTGTCAAGGAGGTCAAGGAAGCTCACCTTCAGCTTGCCCAAGATGCCGATGCCTTCACCACCTCAGTCTACGGCTCCAAGTTCGCGGGCGAGGATCTGCCCCGCCATGAGATTCCCGAGCAGGAGATGCCCAAGGAGGTGGCGTACCGCATGATCAAGGACGAGCTGAGCCTCGATGGCAACCCTATGCTCAAGTGAGTTGTCAATTGACATGACAGCTCTTAGAGTTTCTGGCGTTGCTAATGGACAACCTTGGCAGCTTGGCGTCGTTTGTCACCACCTATATGGTACGAGGCCCGCATTCCACGACTCGCGCGCGCAGCCCGGTAACCACTGACATTCTTGCAGGAGGACGAAGCCGAACAGTTGATGAAGGACTCCTTCTCCAAGAACTTTATCGATTATGAAGAATATCCTCAATCTGCCGACATCCAGAACCGTTGCGTGTCGATGATCGGCAGGCTGTTCAACGCCCCGGTTGGCAATGGTGCTCAAGGTGCTGTCGGTACCTCCTGCATCGGCAGCTCGGAGGCCATCATGCTGGCCGTCTTGGCCATGAAGCGGCGCTGGAAGAACCAGAGGAAGGCCGAGGGCAAGCCCTTCGACAGCCCCAACATTGTCATGTCGTCCGCCGTCCAGGTCTGCTGGGAGAAGGCCACGCGCTACTTCGAGATTGATGAGCGACTCGTCTATTGTGAACCAGACCGCTACGTGATTGACCCAAAGCAGACGGTGGATCTGGTTGATGAGAACACCATCGGGATCTGCGCCATCTTGGGAACGACGTATACTGGCGAGTATGAGGATGTCAAGGCAGTCAACGATCTCTTGATCGAGAGGGGACTGGACACGCCTATCCACGTTGATGCGGCCAGTGGCGGGTTCGTTGCTCCCTTTGTCATGCCGGACCTCGAGTGGGATTTCCGCCTCGAGCGAGTCGTCTCAATCAATGTTTCCGGCCACAAGTACGGCTTGGTGTATCCTGGTGTCGGCTGGGTCGTCTGGCGCGGGGCAGAGTATCTGCCTCAAGAGCTGGTGTTCAACATCAACTATTTGGGTGCTGACCAGGCGTCTTTCACGCTCAACTTCAGCAAGGGCGCCTCGCAGGTCATCGGCCAGTACTACCAACTGATTCGTCTGGGCAAGCACGGCTACCGCGCCATCATGTCCAACCTCACCCGGACGGCTGACTACCTGAGCGACTCGCTCGAGGCGCTCGGCTTCATCATCATGTCCAAGAAGTCGGGACAAGGCCTTCCGCTCGTCGCCTTCCGGCTGCAGCCCAACAAGGACCGCGAGTTTGACGAATTTGCCCTTGCGCATGGACTGCGAGTCCGCGGTTGGGTCGTGCCGGCGTACACCATGGCTCCGCACACCAACCAGCTGAAGATGCTGCGTATCGTCGTCCGCGAGGATTTCACCAGGAACCGGTGCGACGCGCTGATCTCCGACATCCGGTCAACCATTGCCCTTCTGCAGAACATGGACAAGGAGAGCATCAGGAAGCAGCAGGAGTTCATCCACAAGCACCACACTGCCAGCGCGAGAGCGCAGCACAACCACCCCAGGTTCAAGGTAAAGACGTTCCGGAGAGATCACAAGAGCAGCACTAACACGTTTTCCATCAATAGAAGGAGAAGCACTCTCTTCAAGGCAAGACTGGAAAGACCCATGCTGTTTGTTAAGCGATGAGGGCAACTAGAACAGCCAGGAGGCGTCCCCTGGAGCCGGTCATCTTGGCGGCGCTGAAAATGGAAATCTGGCTCTTGTTTTGCGAGGAACAATTACCGGCGGGCAGAAGGCCGTAAGATGCGGGAACGATCTCTTTTTCTCTTTAGGACAGCTTAGGTTATGTCTGAATACAAAATACGGGTTTGCTTTGAACTGCCTCCGTTCAAAATAAATATTGTAAGAGGGCACGAGGAATAGCAAAGACTGAGTACCTATGACTTTGGGGTAAAGAGCGTAAAACAACGCAGCATAAGCTCAATCCGTACCGTCCCTATCGACTTCTGGTAACAACACCAGAGTCATTGGGACTGTCTGGACCTGAGGCCAGGGCTCTGACTCGCTCGGTATCTACGGGGCCTACCATGGGGGAGACACAGCGGGCTTCCAGGTGACTGGCTGCCCCAAACCCCACAAGTCTTCACGGAGTGCTCCACGCCGGCGCCCTTCAGCCACTAACAATGGAGCCTTCGGTGGTTTGACACTGTTTCTAGCTCGGAGCATGTGCGTCATGGGATCAATTTAATACCCTCCCTTTTCACATGTCAGCCATTGTGAGACTGTGGCGTGGCAGCGCTTTTCTTTGGTCTTTTGGCTCTGCCGTCCGATGCTCGCCCAGTGCCCTCATCGGCAGAAGAGTATGGAGCGGCAGGGCCGCATTCCATCGGCTTCAACTGGGACCGATCCATCTCGTCAGCGAATTTGTGACCTTGTTTATTGACTTTTTGGCAATGCCATGCTGTCTTTGTTCTGCTTCCCCTCCAGTCATCCTGTCATGCCGACTTATCTTGCTCGGTTTAGCCCGCATCATATATGATCACGCTCCTGCACCTGATGAGAAAGCGTGATCCTCCAATCTGACTCAGTTCGTCCATTGATCCGTCGACGGCAGAGCCCGAGCCTTTTCTGAGCGTGTTCTTCCTCTCTGGCACCTCCCATTATCACATGCCTCAGACTAGAGACCAGAAACTAGATCCTGGACACTTCATCGCCCCGGCCCCACGCCTCTAGTTTGGCCTACAATTGTAACCACAGAAGCACATGCGAGCTCGGGGAGCCACCAAGCCAGCTTGGATTCCGGACTATCCAGACAATATCGTCCGAGGATTTCTTTTGCTTCACAGAAACTCGGGCTCGGAACCAAGAAACGACGCACTAGACTATGGAATAACTTTCCAATCAGCCTAAATCGAATCAAGAGAGCGTCTCAGTGCTGAACTGTCCTCGATTACTTGAGTCTCAAGGCTCAACCCCCATCTCGAGAGCGTCGTCCACCGCCATGTTGGACCACGTCCTCGGACGGCCTTCCTCCAAGTCTCGCAGGCTTCAAGTTCTTGCGGTGATTGGGTTCTGGTCAACAATTCTGATCCGGTACGTTCGTCGCTATGGCTCTTCACATGTCTAGCAACAGGTCTTTGAAACTGTTGTCTGCACTCGACCGAAGCTGACGCGTTTGCAGGGGACATCGACATGGCCCGCCATACCTCAACTTTCTCTCCAAACAACTGTCCCGGAAACTTACTCTCTGGCAAACCGTCATAATCACTTTCCTGTACATATATGCGGCCAGAAACTTTAGCACGCTCGTTGGGCTTGCCAGCCCCGAGCCTCTGGCCAACATGTACACGCCGGCCTTCTTCCGCGCCACGTGGATCCTGACAGCGCTCGACGCCGGTTTCTGGACGGCCATGAAGATCCGAACAAAGTGGCTCCGCGACCTAGCCAGCCTGGTCTTTTCTATATTCTACATGATATCAGCAGAAAAGGCTGACGAGAAGGTCCGCAAGGTCCGGGGCAACCTGACGGTGGATCACTTGCGAGTGAGCTGGAACAAGGGGACGACCCCTTATCTGCAGTTCTTTCAGAGCTTCCTGAGGCCTCGTTTCTCGCGATGGCAACCGCGCCAGGTCCGCATACCTCGGCCGAGCTCGAGCGATTATAAGGAGCCTGTTATAGGCTGGCTCTACTTTGACGGGCCGCTCTCCGAGCTCAAGAGCGCCAATATCAACCGCATTGTTCTCGACATCCCTGGCGGTGGGTTCGTGGCCATGGATCCTCGCTGCAACGATGATAGGCTGTGGGCGTGGTCTGCGAAGACAGGTCTTCCTATTTTGAGTCTCGACTACCGGAAGGCTCCAGAGTTTCCCTATCCCTACGCTCTCAATGAGTGTTTCGACGTATATACCACGCTTATAGAGACTCGTGGCACTTGCGTCTCGCTGTCGGGAACCGAAATGCCGAGAATTGTGGTCTGCGGAGACAGTGCCGGCGGCAATCTAGCAACCGCAATGACACTCATGATCACTGAGAGCAGGTCAAGCCCTGATTGTCGGTTTGGAGGCAAGACCGAGTTGCCTCTGCCGGATGGGTTGATACTGTTCTACCCAGGTCTCGATATGAACATTGGGAACTGGATGTCTGATGAGCAGATGTCACTCATCAAAGATCGACGAATGCGTACCACAAACAAGGACATCATTCGACGCAAGAGCCGCCAATACAACGACCTTGTGGGAACCCCTCATGACTCCGATGACGAAGACGAGACCGCGGCCAAGCTGTCGCCAGACGGCCCGGACCCTTCTCGAGGCGGCTCCGCGACACCAGAGGAGATGCGCAGCCCCCATCCGGAATATGCCCATTCTGCGCCGACGTCGTTCAAGAATGCCCAGGGCCCGCCTTCTCCTGGCGTCAGACGGGAAAGCTCGACGGGCACATCGCACCACCCGGAGCCCATGCGCACTCGCCTCGCCATGTCGTCCATGATCTCGTATTTCAACGATCGTGTGCTCACCCCCGAGATGATGCGTGCCATGATCATCCTCTACGTCGGGCCTCACAACCGTCCTGACTTTAGCCGAGACTACTACCTCTCCCCCATCCTGGCGCCCGATCTCCTCCTCGCGCACTTCCCGAAGACGTACTTCCTGACTGGCGAGCGGGACCCCCTTGTCGATGATACCGTCATCTTCTCGGGGCGCCTGCGCCGCGTCAAAGCCGCGTATCACGCTTCCGGCGGCCGACGGCTTGACTACACCGAGTCGGACGCACAGGTTGAGGGATTTGACGAAAAGGACGTTGCCGAAGTTGTCCTGCTTCCCGGGACGAGCCACGGCTTCCTGCAGTTCCCAGCGATCTACCCGCCGGCCTGGAAGCTGATCGACCGGTCAGCCCAGTGGATCGAGGACGCATTCCACGCGGCCGACGGACGGGTCCGCCGGGGCAGACAGCAGCACTCGCAGGCGGTACAACACGCCGTGAAAACGGGAGCAGCAGCGGCAACGGCGGAGCCCGTGCCGACGGCCTCGCATGTGAACGGCAGCAGCCAGAGCGGCCGCCACCACATACGGACGGAATCGAGCGGCGACGAGGACAAGCCGCTCGAAATGAGCATGACGAGGGTGCGCGGCAGGAGCTTTGCGAACGGCAAGGGCGGCGGGGGCGGCAACGAAGTGACGGGCAGGAAAGAGGCGCCCGCCACATCGGGCGGCGGCGGAGGAGGAGGAGGAGGAGGCGCGAAACCGCAGGGCGAGAACGGCGACGCCGCTGCCGCCGCCGTGGGCACGCGCAACAAGAAGGCTGCCCAGAAGAAGAGGGTGCGCACGCGGAGCAGCGACGACAAGCTCGTCAAGCTGGCTAGTTCGGACGATCTGCTCAGCCGCCGGATGCAAGGGCTGGCTGGAGGCCTCACGGGGTTGGCAGAGGAGTGAGGTACAAGAGAAGAGAGAAAGGTTCTAGCATTTAGGGGTTTTTGCATACATCATACATCATTCATGCGATAAGGAGCATATGTGAGATATAAGTTGGACTTCAGAGAGCAATGTACTTGTCAACTTCCTGGAGAGGGCTTTGTGCGCTGTTCTTGCCTCCGAGCCTGAATCTATCATGGTCTTTGATCGACCCAGTTTCGATCCCATAGTCATCCTCCTACATTTCCTTCTTTTGTCCTTCTCCTTTGAAGTCACTGTAGTAGTGTGTCTAAGGATCTAGCTGTGCCGATCAACCCATCATCTTGTCTGCCGTGAGCCGTGGGATTACCACCAATTCCACCTATTTAGTGACCGTGTAGATCCTTAGCCATCGGAGATACTTGATCTATAGAGTTAGCGAAACACCCGCAACACGCATCACAGGAAATAAACGGACGCAGGCAAGCGGGCGTCAGAATAGTTGACGGAAGTCCATCAGGAGCTACCTCATCGTTAGCAGTCGATCTCCTTGTCATATCCTTGCCCTGTAACTCAGAAGGGCTATCCCACTACCTAAAACCGATGGGCTTGATGGATAGTCAAGGACTTCTGTTAGCAGTCCATCAACTAATCTGACCATCACTTGGCAGGGTCTTTGTTCAGGAGCTCCAGAGCCAGCTCACTAACTCCACATCTGGGCCAACTCCACTGCAGCTATGTTCTCACCAAACTCGATTCGGTCACCGCCGTGTTGTATGCCTTGATTTGAGCAAAGACGGCGCTATCTGATCTGCAAACGGACTCAAGCTACTTTGTAATACATCATTTTCTCGTGAGCGGGGGATTTGCCTGTCCATGATGTGACAGAATTGCCTGCTTACCTGTACCCGCTGTGCGTCTCTGTCTGTGCCTCTTTGTCAGCGTTGTGGTCTGTTGGATGCGGGCGTGTCTCAGAGCCTGGCGGGTGCGATTGGCGAGCGAGTCGTTGTAACCCTCTATCCCTTTCGCCATGCCCGCCTGTCCTATGATCGAGCAAGAAAAGATGTCGCACGTAACGTCCTAGCTAGCGTTGGGTGTGGTGGATGGAAGGCGACATGCTTCTTTGATGCATCAACGGGGGTGGAGGATCATCGGAGTCCACTCCGACTCGCCAGCCGGACTTACACGCGGCACCTCGACGGCAATGCGTGATTTCCCCACGCAAATGATGAGCTGGCATCCCAGTCTCTTGTCTCTGGTCTGTGTGGACTTTTTACACGGAACCATCCGAGAACCATTGCAAGGGGGGCGACTGGGAAGCCGGCGACTTGACACTGGTGCGGTTCATGTCGAGCAGGGTTCCCGGCTCCGTGGCAAAGAGGAAGCAATGCACTGGCTTCAGGGTTATTGACAACGGGCCTTCCGATCGCCTGTCGTCAAGGCGAAGCCCGGCCGTTTAAACCGGTATTGGACAAATTCCCGGTATCTAGCATCACAAATCGATCGGTCTAGACAAGACGAGTTGCAGAAGCTAAACAGAGAAACCTTCTGTCATTCTGACTTATGCCAACGCCCGGGTTTGACACGGTAAGCGTCAGAGGAAGGGCTCCTCGGATCATGTTTTCTTGGACCAAGAGGACTGACCCCAAAAATAGCACGAACTATGGGTTTCTGGAGACGAGAAGCGATCTTTGGGGTCGGTTTCAAAGTCTCCCCCGTATGGCCCGCGGTTGTCATGCAAGCGACCGACCGCCCGGATCGGCGGCGGTCGGGGCCCTAAACCACGGTTTGATGGTCGCGACACCGGTCTTCGCACCCGCCAGGATCGCGATGCTCCTCGCCTTCCTTATTTTTTTAAAATTTTAACCTTGAAAGAGCAACATCACCCGGCGGTGTTTCGATCAGCGTATGATCGACTGGACCTGGGTCGACGAAGCGATCGCCTGCTGCTCCTTTATGCGCACGCAGAGGCGGGGATGGTACCAGAAGCTGTCTTGCCCGTTGCTGTGTCACAGAGTGCGAAACGGGATTCGACCGCCACGACGTGTGTCTCGGAGACTTGCCAGATGCATCGTTCACCAGCAGATATTCCCGAGACTCCTCCTGGGGACCTATCACGAGGTGCAGCGTCTGCAAAGCGCGTGGCCGCAGTGGGCGATGGGTTCGACTGTGGTGCAAGATGACCTGTTGCACAACTTGTACAGATTACAGGATCTGATGGGCGGCACCGAGGGCCACTGGGGTTCACAAAGCAGGTACTGTCGCAAGGCCAGGCCAGTCTGGTTTGCCAAGCGTCAAAAAAGAGAGACAACCACTTACCCCAAGTTCATTGCCACCCAGCCGCGTTCCTTAGGCGGCCACGTTCAGAGTCTTAGCCTTTTTAAGACCACTAGGAATGGTGCCCGTTGGTCTGGCCTGCCGCCTTGCCATTTGGAGCAGATATTTCCGTAGCGCTACACTCTCGTCTCAGTCTGGACTACAGGCGATGTAGATACCCGTGATCGTGATCGGGGCACTTCCGATCCAGCCGCGAACCTGGCTTCATACTAAAGTATGACTTGATATTAGTCGTGTAGTACACAAATCAGGTACCGGGTCTCCGCGGCTCATGTGTCCTCAATAGTCAGACATTCTGGACGCCATGAGAAGTCGCAGTTCAAAATTGGCTGAAGCTACTTCCCGTCTTTTGGAGGAGGCGGGGACAAGGAGTTCCAATGGTCGAACTTGTCTGGCAAGCCTAAAGCAGGATCGACTTTTCCCCGATCTATGGCAATGACGCTATTCCAGAATGTCTTGGTTTAGTGTTCTGTAGATGCTGTGTGTGCTCGAGACCCCGGCATGCTCAATAACCTCTCTGGCTTCGTCGATATGGCTGTAGAGACCTTGACTTGACACACAAAGCGACCAAGGTCGGAGCTGGGGCCCTGGTCAGCACCGCTCGCACAGCGCGATCCGGATGTGTATTCACAAGTAGCTCACTGACTTCTCTGCCGAAGTTTCTGAGAGGCAGAAGGAAAAATGCCGCGGACTTGTCTTGGCAGTAGTAGCTTAATGCACTATCATGGTTGAACTGAGACAAGACTAGAAAAGACACGCGTTTTGCTGTCGATGCTAGCCGCCTGCTGTCTGGGTATCCCGGTCCGACACGACACTGCACAGACTGGACGTGTGTTGCTGGAGGGTACTTACGTCCCTACAGGTAACTACAAGTAAGAGCCTGACGACATCGCGGCCCCGCCGGCGCCTTTTCTGCTCGATCTAGCCTAGCTGGCCATGTTCTGCCGGCACCGCTGATCATAATTGAACTTGTAGAGGTGCCACTGGGTGTTCACGGTGGCAGGCTTTACAGGCCCATGGCGACGGGCCAAGGCGCAAGCGCGGCAAGTGAAGGCGGGACGACTCACGGCCCCACAAAGGGGTCTGGATCCTCGTAGACAATCAAGAAAGCGTGTTTCGGCGTGGTGGGACTGCTCACTAGCAGCAGTTGACGGACTTCGTAAAGTGGCATGGTTGTTGAGTTGTGGGGAGTTGTTGAAAGCCAACACCAGACGAGCAGCAGGGCCATCCTTTCCAGGAATGGACAAGCCACGGAGCATGCTCGCTTGACGACAGGCACGTAAAATGTTTCTGTACCTAATCGACGTTTGCCCATTGCTCGACCAAGGCGGTGGGACTGGCCGCAGTGGCGCCCTACCATGCAGGCTCTTCCTGCCTGTGGTCCGTTTCGTCACCTGTGCACATTCAAGTTGTTTCATGCTCGCTCTAGCTGAGCATGTGCGTACCTCCTTGCTGCATATACTTTACAATACCAAGAAACCCAGGCACGACGAGTTGTATGCGGTGTCGTCGAGTACTCATCCCGAATCCAATTGGTCACCTCGGGCCGGCTGCAAGGAACTAGGATGCAATGTTGAGGTATGTAAGATCAGCGGCACATTATCTCAACCTCATGCAGGGGAAGCCATTACCGCTTTTGTCGAGGTGCTCACATATCCCCCCGGTAAAAGTACCAAATCCAGTGGGCATTGAACGAGAACTACCATACCTGATTCAGTGTCTCAAGAAACATGGCGAACAGGTTTGTCGTATGCATGTACGAACGTTACATACAGACCGCAAAGTGCTTCTTTACCGTGCATACATCTGTGCTGTATGCTTACATTCATGTCGGCAGACAAGAAGATCCTTCCCGCGCATGAGGCCGAGCGTGACAAGGGAAGCCAGAAGGGCACTCTACGAGCTGGTGTGTTGCTACACCTTACCTGAAATGTGGTCTCACCTGAGCAACATCCCTGCAGTAGCCTCCAGTACAAGTACGGACGTAGTAATGGCAGCGAAATGGACAGACCCAGAGCTGGTAGCTCCATGACGGCATGTCGGTAATGGTCAAGGGATTTATCCCGGTAAAATCGGACATCAAAGGGGGTCCACGGCGAAAAGGGGGAGATGACCAAATACCCTGGAGGACGAAAGGAAATCCGAATTACCCAGCTGTCTCGGGACTGGAATTACGGAGTGGGAAGCCAATGCAGGAACATGTACACAGCCGTGATTGATCAATCGACGGTATCCGGAATGGCAGAGATGGGTGTGGAGGATGCGGGACATGGAAAGAGGGAGAAGTCAATTACTAAGTAATGACTGTTGTACTCATCTGGGCTGGGCTTCGAGGTTCTCTTCTCTTTGCAGGTCGCTCTGCCTTTCCTTGTACTTGTAACTACTTGTACAAGTAGGTGCTCCCCAAGGCTGGAGATACCCTTGCTGGGAGTGGGATCGCGTCGGCTGTTGTGCTGAAAGACACTAACCATCAATTTGCATGCTTGCTCGACCCATCAGACTTTGCCCGCATCTCACATGGCTACGTGCGTACTAGTCTTTGCGCATGGCAAAGTTGGATCGCCATTCGGACGGATCAGACTCGAGTCGGGTCGGGTCTCTTTGTTGCTTCTGGTTGCCTCAGACCATGACTCTGGGCACAGCACCACAGACAGAATGACTGACCGGCTTCTTCTCCTTCTTCAGACTGGCCCTCTCGTGTCGAGTACCACTCGGTCGGCTCCAGCGCCTGTCCCCACGAGGGCAGATCCTTTTCTGGCTTCCGTATGATGATCCCACTTTTACCATCGAGGACCAGATTGCCCTCCATTCCCTTCCGCTCTCCACCAGCAAAGTGACGGTGGGCTTTGCCGTGCTTGCTTACAGAATGCGGCACCATGCTTTTCCCAGTCATCAAGGGATCCTCCTCCATGGGACCAGGATCGAGAAGGCGGGACAGGCCTCTGAAACACGGGAGCCGGACAAGCTCAATTGGAGGCTCAAGGTTACATTGCTCGCTGTAACCTCTCTGGCGTGCGCGACAAGTGACCGATTGGCTCGGTCCAGCCATCTGGACTATCCCAGAGCGCCATCTAGTTAACTCTTTCAGAGCAAGTGGCACTGGGCCGACTGAATGGCGTCAGGGATTCAACGTTTGGGGGTCGCGTTCCCCCTGCCAAACCCATCCATCCGAAAAGAGTGACTTGGGAGAGGATGGATTCAACAACGGACGGCACAGAAGCACGTGCCGGGCGAGAAATCAAGATCGGCAGTGTTTGGCCGGTCGCTGTGATGTGTGGTACATGAGGTACATTCAGGCAAGCCGACCGCGTGGATGGACCTCAACATCTCATGAGAACACAGTTTCAATCACGCACCGGAAGCGGTTGAAAAGCCGCAGCCTTTTCTCGCGGCAAGACGCACTCGTTCCCGTTGCGCGGTCTTGGAACCATAACATCCCTGAACCTTTCTACCGGTTACGAAACCTCGCCTACGGACATTCAATACATGGCAAAATCTCCAGTTCCGCCTGCAACTGCAGGCCGGGGTACGTAACCAGGTTGAGTAGTTTGCTCAACCCTATGTACGAACCCCGATTCCCTGCGCCCTCGTGGTTGTCAATTGCATTGACGTCTCAGAGATCATCGTAGAGTTTCTCCATCACCTTTGTCGTTAGGCCCATTGTGGTGGTCAACAAAGGCCTACTAAGTCATTGATCCGTCTACCTATTCATTGCTGGACCGTTCTTATGCCTTGTCTTTGGCACCCCGACCCATCCTATTTGTGTAACACCTTTCTTGTCATACTGTAGCCCAGGCTACGCCCCTGGGTGGCTCTCCCGCGCTTGAATCGACTTTGGCCTGCCCGAGTCGGCAAGAGTTGCGATTGGGCATCAGAACTAGACTTGATCGTTGCCCACTTAGTTTTCCAACCGCTGGGTTTTGACGCCAATTAAGAGTGCGAATCAAAGAGCTGTGGCTCGCTGTCAATGCTCTAGCTACTCTGTCTGGAACTGAAGATCTCATGTGGCCGGCAAATACGTCGGCACATTGAGTACCTTGGGGCAACGGCGAATCAGCATAGCGGCTTTTGCTGCCCATCACTACTAGGGAGTTTCGAGTCAGGGTCCTGTGAGTGTCATCTCCGCTGTCATGGAAGCACCCACTTGCGTGAAAAAGATAGCCATGCAGCGGCGAGTGCCCGAGTGGTGGTCTGCCCTGAGCGTGTGCGATGGCCATGCTTCAGGGCAATCCCTGTTAGCTCCCTAGCCGTCGGCTCGCGGTTCGGGAGCAGACCCTCAAATCGGCTAATAAGGTCTACCGTTAGCTGGGTAGTGACTTTCTTCGTAGCACCACCGCCGGGGAGTCAAGTTGGAACGATCTACACAATCTTTCTTGTGTGGAGTCGCAGGCGCCAGCCAGACCTCACGATGCTGCCCTGGTCATGATCTTATCGCCGAACACATGGCGACCAAATAGGGCAATGACCTCTTGAGGGCACAATTCACGTCTGATGGAGTGCGCTCTCCGTGGATCACCTAGCCGGCTATTGCTTGGTCTTTTTGGCTGCTTGCTGATTTGGAACACAACGGACCTCTCCCGTCTGACATTTTCGTGAATGGCACTACCATGCTCCTGTCATCAGCCAGTTGCGCACAAATACTCAACATCCTCCAGCCTCGAACTCGGCTTTGTAGACCAGCCAACGACGTTGCTGTGCTGAGGCGCAAGTCCCATTCTCCTCCGTCAGAAACGAGAGCTTGTGCTGGGCCGAGTAGCAGAGCGACGTGTGTCCTTGCCCAAGCGTAGCATTCGCAAAGATCTGGCCAACAAGGACAGGACAGGCCGCTGTCAGGTCCTGCAAGCTCGTCACCGAGAGAGATGCAACTGGAAGCACCCATTGAAGTGTCTCGCAGATTGCTGGGTGCTGGCATGCCACGAGGGGTTGCCGAGTGCATATCTGTTCCGGATTAGGTCTGGTGTGCCTCGGACCAGCCGAGTCAACGTCCCCCTTCCAGCCCACGGTGAATAAGAACAGGTAAAAAAACCTGTCAAAAAAGGTGTGTGGCAGTGGGTAGGTTAACAAGGCCAGACGACAAGTGAAGCGGAGAACAATGGAGGCGCCGACCCTTGCTGTCAAAACAAGATACGTGCCCGGCCTCATACCCGGCACGACCTTCACGGGTACCTCCTGGTACTCATGCATGGGTCGCATGGACAACATCTCTGGGTATGGAGGTCAGTCTGAGGGGACAGGGGGTCTGTGGTGAACCCCTGCTGGGCCCCGATCCTACCTCGCCCGCACAACGCTTTACCAACAATGTATCGTCCCGGCCTAGTGCTGGTATGGATGTCGACACCTGACTCCCTTGTTGCTATCGAGCCATGGACCGCTCTAGGTGTTCGGACCCGGGACTTGAGGGGTGCATGTAGAGAGATGTGTTGGGTTGAGTTGCGGCAAGCACAGATAATCTGTTCTCTGCGAGTTTGTCCTTGTCCATGTCGCCCCCATTTGCCATCACCGACCCAATGTGTCGCCCGTACAGACAGGGTCCGGGGTCTGGGACTAGCGACCTTGCCCAAGGTCAGAAACCAGGACACCCTCCCAAAAAACCGCCGGCTCTCGAAACTCGTTAGACTGATGAACATCACTCAGAGCCCTGGCGACCTGCCCTGTGTCTTTTGCAAAGATGCTAGGGTGCTGTACTCCGGGTGCCACAGGGCTAGCTTGGAGGAATCTGTTTTTCCCTCGAGACACTAATACGTCGATGTAATATTTCCGATTCAGCTCCAGCGTCGCGGAGAGCCCCGGACCACTCCCCGTTAGATCATGGCTCGCCAGCCGCCTCCACTTACACACATCCGCATCTGTCACTGTGACCTAGCTTACCTACCCTATTTGCTCGCAAGACCTTTCCAAAACATATCTGCTACCAAGTCCCTTTCTGTCACCGGCGTGTCTCCCCGTTTTGCCATGCGTCCTGGCCGCTAGGTCAACCTTGTCTCAGGCCGGACTGGTTCTCGTCATGTTACAGGCCAGACTTTGAAGCTCCATATCCTCACTGCTTTCCCCCGCAGATGACCGACTGGCCAGTTGCCTTCGCCGGTCGTCTCTTTCGCTCTCTTGGGTTTCTCTTCCAGGCATCTCGACATATCCCTTCCAAGTTGCCGTCCGGAGGGCAGCAAAGGCGCGTGCGCGCACGAGGAAACGCACCCTCGAGCAGATCTTACCATCTTTTGAAAACACGTCGGTCTTCCTCTGCTCACTAACCTTCCTATTGAGGACTCCCTCAGGTCTACTGCGGGGCAGCAGCGAGCTTAGACGAGTGAGCCTCAGGAAACATAGTTCATAGCGGCATTGAGGTTGCACGGTGCTGCAACACTGCGAGATACTACCACCTGGAACGTCTGGGAGGAAACACTCCACGTTCCCTGAAGGAAGTTGTGACATGCGCGCTTGAGACAACGCTGGTTTGCTGGCCCTGATCGGCAAACATCTGCAGTGCAGGCGCACCACCCGAGCCGAACCTTGGGTCCGCTGGAGGAGGACTGACGTTTCTTAAACATCCAACCCTTTCCCAAAGACTCCTCAAACACCAGCCTGCATGTTACTAGACGGGCAGCCTCCCAGACTTCCTCAGAACGGGAGCCGCTGGACCTTAGGCACGACGAGACTCGCTGGCGTTGGGTGCTTTAAGAGTCCATGATGGCATCCTCGTCGCACAACCCGTACCCTCGATCGCCGAACCCTTCAACAAGATCCTACGACTCGTCCTCAGTCTCGTCTGCCACTTCGCCGCATCCGAACACGCAGTACCTCGGAGGGCTCATGAGCACGAGTGCTCGTCCCGGCGCGGCGCCTCCTCCACAGCCAATTGGGATCCCGCCGCTTCCTCCTCTCCATCAGGCTCCCTTCCAGCCCTATACGCCAGTCACTGCGGGCTCCATGATGGGCCGTGAATCTCTTCCGCCCAGCGACCCTATGTCCAGCGCGTCCGGGACCCCCGGGGCGCAGGCATCTAGTCAGGCGCAAAAGCGAGCTTACCGCCAACGGCGGAAGGATCCCAGCTGCGACGCATGCCGAGAGCGAAAGGTCAAGTGCGATGCTACCGAGACATCAAGCTGTTCAGAATGTTCGAGTCGCAACATGAAGTGCCAGTTTACCAAGGAAACGAACAGGCGAATGTCGTCGATCAAGCAGGTACAGGACCTCGAGAAACAGGTGGACAGAGTTCGCCGCGAAAATGCGAACCTCAGGCGCCTCCTGCAAGAAAGGCACGGTCAGCTGGACGTGGACACAGAGGGGGCAGAGTTGCAGTCGCTGAAGCTCCCCGACATTGCATCGGCACCGAAGCGCAAACCGCGGCCTGAACCCGTCTACCACCAGGAGCGGACGAGAGCGAACCTGCAGACTTACGCAAAGGGCATCTGGAAGCCACCACCTCAATATCGTCGAAATACCCCGACGGCAAGCAGCGATATCACGCGACCAAGTCTCCCACCCCATGCAATCACCGAGCAGCTGCTACGCACATATCATGCTACTCTTCACACCATGTTCCCCATCATTCACTGGCCCTCCTTTCAAGAGAAGATTGGGGAGCTGTACCAACAAGGAAATACCCACAATGCTCCTCCTCAGTTCTTGGCGATGTTCTTTGCTGTGATGGCCCTCGGTTGTCTTTTCACCACCGAGCCGTATACTGTTCGATCGAATCGAGCGGCAGATCTTATGGACGTTTCTCGCGGACTGATCGATCCTTGGAGCGACGAGCACACACTGGACGATGCACGCACTCTCGTCTTGGTCGCAATCTGCCTGAACGAGCTCAACCTCAAGACAGCCTCCTGGACCTGGCTAGGAACGGCTGTGCGAGTCGCTCAAGAGCTCCTCTTGTACACTGAAGATGGGATTTGGCCCTTTGTGGAAGGGGAAATGCGCCGGAGGACTTGGTGGGCCATCTACATCATGGATCGGAACCTAGCAAGCGAACTCGGGCGGCCGACCCTGATCGACGACGGGGATTGTGACGTCCAGTTGCCCCTGGGCTTTGACGATCAATACCTCCAAGACGCAGGCCCTCATGTGCCCCCTGGCGCCGAGCCGCTGATGCATTCCCTCCTAGCAATGATCCACGTTTCACGATGCCTCGACCCTCTAATGAAAGTTCTCGAAGCACCCGCCATTGTCTCAACCCGCCTGGCCACCTTTGAGCTCTACTTCAGCTCATGCCTCCGCACCTTCCCGCCCGCCTGCGACCCCTCGAGTGCCGTGTCGCTGTCTCCGCTGCTCCTGAACCCGCTCGTGCATCTTTTGCACGCCAGACTCATCCTCCATCGTCGAAACATTGCTCCCCAAACTGAACACGAGGTACCCGCGCCAGCCCGGGCCGCAGCACTGCAAGAATGCACAAGCCTTGCCCGCGATACCGCAGGATTCGTGGCTCGGTGCGACCCTCCGCAGCTAGCAGAAGGGGCGATGGCGCTGACCGTGACGCATATCCTCCGCTGTGCTCTCTTCCTCCTGATATCGGCCGAGTGGGAACCGGCAATCACATGTGTCCGCGCGCTGGCGACTTGTGGCGAGGCGCGAGAGGTGGCGCTCCCGTGCGGCAGGTTTCTGGCCTTTTTCGTGTCCGTCCTGTCGGGCCGCTGGCAGAGGTTTATCGAGGACATGCAACACTCCTCGGGACACCCTCAGGGCCGCCTGCCGGAGCCTAACCAGGTCTATCGAAACATGGCGGTCGAATGGCTCTACGGCGACGAAGAGCTGATTGCGTATCTCAGTTTCGATCTGCAGACACACCCCACCGCCGCGTGGATCTGGGCTGGCGACACCCCGATGAGCCAGCCGCAACAACCTATCCAAGGCGGATCGGGCCCGGCGGCGGAACCCTCTAGCAGCCTGAGCATAGAGAACCGGATAGGGTTGACAGAGTCCGAGTGCCGAGACTGGGCGGGCTGGGAGCGGCTCGTGGACGATGTGCACAAATTGGCGACCGCGGCGGGATCTTTGGGTGTTTCGAACCCCGCAGACGCCAGTCCGGTTAGAAGGCCTGGGGCCGGCCCGAGCCCGAGCACCACCGCGACCGACCGAGACATTACCATGGGCGGCTACGGAGCAGGACCTAGTGCTGGAGCCGAACGAAGTGCCAGCGGAGGAGGGCATGGGAGCTCTGGGAAGAGCAAAAGTCAGGAGAGGATCAGCATCGCCAATATCATATGAACGTCTGGGCGGCGGTGCCGGAAGCTTCGGTTTCCTCTGCCCCAGCCGTGGCGGTGGTCGCATTCTGGCGATTTCCAGTCCTCCGGGATGAATACGGCGGGAAACAAAGGCGCATTGATCATACGATCCGCCCCGTTATCACTACGTGAAGCCTTCAACTCGTCGTGCGGGTTCGTCGGTCTTAGGAGAAGACGAGGTAATACCACGACTAATGATAATAACGTCAGGTCCGTTTTCTTTCGGGGTCGTTGTTTCAGGCCGCAGGTTCAGCGGCCAGGACTGATCCCCGAAACTTTACTATGTACCGGTGTTGACGAAACCTCAAAAATACTCGGGTCCAACGATGTCGACGACAAACGACAAAACATTTCCTTTTATGCTTTCTCTCTTGTCTTGTTCTCCTTGCTTGTTCTTCTGGATAATATGGGGGATGACGTTTTCATCAACACTGTACGAATACGCCACGTATCAATTCCCTTAATACTTCTTTGCCTGGTCCTTCTTATACCGACTATTCTATCTACTATCTACTATCTGCCTCGCTTTGCACTTAGCCTGTTACCCGGGAGGCATTGGGTTTGCTTGGTTACTTTGTCATTTCCACTGAATGAGGGGGCGATTGTTCAATGCGGGGATGCTATTATATTTGCATGTTGCATGATGGTCATGTCTTAGCTACGAATTCTTGAGGCTATGATAGACTGGACGAGTCATTTATTTCATAATGTATGTTTAGTGATCGGCCCAAGAAGGGGAGAATCTCTGATGGCGATAACTAGGGGGGTCATCGAACGTCTTTGACGTCAAATGATGGCCGAGATAAAGGAGAAAGTCTTCATCAATGGTGGAAACAGCAACAAGAATAGACGGGTACTTCCAAATGTCTGCACCGTCGGCAGTCTTAAGCGAGGAGACAGACCCGTTTGAAGTTGACACGGGCCAAGTGACTAACAGAAGCGGTCTTTAGACTCGACGGAGCTGGCCTGTCTCTGTTGAGTCAGAGACTGGATGAAGCTGAAGCCAGCCCATGTGTTGATACAATGATACTTGATCTGATGGAGCTCTCCCGCTTGGCGCTCGCGCGATGCGAGACCGGCCCCGCATAAAACTCCCCAAGCTCTGTCTCTCCCCAAAATTTGACTCACACTCGTTATCGATAAGCCAAAAAAGACCCTCAATTGAGATGCCGTTCCGATCCTCTCCCGCATCCGCTTCCCGATCTCTGTCTATATATTCTGCCTCCTTCGCTGCCGTGCTCTGTCCTGTGCTACCCAGGGACACATCTGGTATTGTCGGGATCAACAATGGCCTCCCGACTTGCGTTTAAGCGACTGCCGACGAGCCTCGCCGCTCGGTCATGGTCTCCTGCGACTCGAACAGGTGATGGCGTTCGTTTCCAGAGCACAGCCTCAAGCCTGGCAGAAAGAGTCCAGGATACGATAAAGGTACTACCACATTCAATTCTCCCCATTGTATGCTTTGAGACTAACGCCATATGGCAGAAGGAGGCCAGCCTGCCCAATGCCGACCCAGCACCCGACTCCGCGAGTGCTACCCTTGTCCGAGAGCACTCTGAATACATGGTAGCAACGTATTCCAGGCCGCCTCCAGTCTTTGAGAAAGGCGAGGGATCATATTTGTGGGACATCGAGAACCGCAGATACCTAGACTTCACTGCTGGCATCGCTGTGACCGGTCTGGGCCACTCTGATCCTGGCGTCAGCAGTGTCATTGCTTCGCAGTCGCGGACTTTGATGCATGCGTCGAATCTGTACTATAATCCCTGGACAGGGGCGCTCTCCAAGCTCTTGGTGGAGCAGACTGTTGCCGCCGGAGGCATGCACGATGCCAAAGCTGTCTTTGTCTGCAACTCGGGCAGTGAGGCCAATGAGGCCGCCATCAAGTTCGCACGGAAGGCCGGCAAGATAACAGATCCCTCTGGACAGAGGACTGAGGTGGTCAGCTTCAAGAACGCCTTTCACGGCAGGACTATGGGAAGCCTGTCGGCCACCCACAACCCCAAGTACCAGGAGCCGTTTGCCCCTATGCTGCCTGGCTTCAAGTGTGGAACGTATAATGACGTCGCTGGTATCAATGACCTGGTCACAGAGAAGACGTGCGGTGTCATCGTCGAACCCATTCAGGGTGAGGGTGGCGTACAAGTCGCGACCGACGAATTTCTTCTAGCCCTCGCCAAGCGCTGCCGTGAAGTCGGCGCAGTGCTCATCTATGATGAGATTCAGTGCGGACTGCACCGCACGGGGACCATGTGGTACCATGCCAGGCTGCCGAAGGAGGCACACCCTGACATCATCACGACAGCAAAGGCCCTCGGCAATGGCTTCCCCGTTGGCGCTACCATCGTCAACGGCCATGTCGCTGATTGCATCAAAATCGGTGACCACGGCACCACCTACGGCGGCAACCCTCTTGCTTGCCGCGTCGCCCATTACGTCCTTGGCCGGTTGGCTGATCCGGCACTTCAGGAAGGCATCGCAGCCAAGAGTGCCGTCATGATCAGGAGCCTGAACCAGCTCAGGTCGAAATACCCCGAGCGCATTGGAGAGATCCGCGGAAGGGGACTGCTGCTGGGTTTGCAGCTGAACGAGGACCCTAGTGATATCGTCACCGCTGCCAGGGAGCGCGGTTTGCTCATCATCACTGCTGGCGTGCAGACGCTGAGATTTGTGCCGAGCTTGGTCATCTCCGAGGCCGAGATCCTGGAGGGCTTGAGCATCCTTGACCAGGCTTTTGCGGCCACGCAGAAGCAATGAAGCCACCGAGTCGACTGTGTTCCATCTGGGATGTAAATATTGCTTTTCGTCGAAGGAGTCTGGAGTTGAAGAAATGACTCAGAAGCTTGCCTTTCTAATGCCTGGAATAGATAGAATCTAGACACTGCCGAGCTTTGTGGTGGACTAGATCAAACCCCCGGCACCAAACCAAGCTGCAATTTTCTCTTTGTGCAGTCCACCTACCAGCTCTGAGGCCGGCTTTTGTGAGACTTGGCCATGTATAGTCCGGCCATAGATGTGACACGACCTGAGGTGTCACAAGCTATACCCAGACTATACACCGATGAGAAGAGTTGAGTATCGTATTTGAGTAATTTCTATTGTCCGGCTTTTGATCAGATTAGAAGACAATGGCGGTGGCGTACTTGAGCGAGGGGAGGGGGCCGAAACTCCCTAGCTCGTCTATCTCTGGGTGTAAGAGCTTACGCGCCTGACTCATATGTAAAGTGTAGATTTATGATGATCGCCTCCCGGACCCGGGTATTACTTCCATCCTTAGCATGTGTAGCTACGTATGTGTGCGCTGCCAGTCGGTGGTTGCCCTCGAGGCGGAGGAGGCGGTCGGAGAAGCTCGGCCATAAGGTCGGCTGACATATTCAGCCGCTCAAGATGTAAGGTGACTTTGACACAAGAGCTAGCAGTCCGCACAATTGTCCGACGCTATACACCGAGATCTCGGCGCAAACATTCACCCAACCCGTTCACGTACCTACGTCCGTCCCGAGGACCCCTACTCACTAATGGCCGTGCTAGTTTCAATTGATGACCATGGAAAACAGTGAGAAGTATTCCAGGGCCCGCCAGCACCTGGTCATCCCAATTCTTACGCCTCCCATTGGCTGCTAGCGGGTCAGCATGTGGTAACTGCCTGCACGCCATTGGCCACAGCGGGGTTTTCCAGGGCGGCGGGGCGTCTTCCGGACGGGTCTTGCACCTAAAATCGACCCCTGTACAACCCAACTTGCCTTAGATGTGTAGGACTCGTCTCGGGAGTGGTATGTGAGAGTGCTAATGTGAATCCTCCTATTTGACAAGCTTCCAGACGTCGTGGCTGGTTTGTGATCGGGGCGACGGGCACGTCGAGGACTTGGCTTGAAAAACTTCATAAAAGGCCGGGCTTAGCCCCGCGGGCGGAGATACCAAGGGAAAAAAAGCTGAATCATGATATATTTCACACCATTCACTGCCTTCCAGATCACTTCCACTCTCCATTGTCAACGACACACATAGTGACACTGCCACCCTTCAGGATCACTAGATTGAACATAGACCTCAATCCGACTTTTAAACACTTATCTACCCGAGCTCGCTTTTTGAGTGAGACTCTCACATATCATCAAACTCGCAATCGTGACGCCTAGTCTCTAGCACTGACGTCATATTCAAGAGCTATTTCGAACTCTTTTCACGCTTTCCCTACATTCATGGCCATGGAACCCGCAGTCGAGAGACGATCTGATCAGAGGACGCCATTGCTGGCTCCTCCGTCAGCTGTCAAGGGAGGAGCTGTCCAGTCGGGCGAGGGCCACACCGCGAACGGAGATGTCGTGCGCGACATCATCATCGGATTCGCCGACGGTCTCACGGTGCCCTTTGCGCTGACCGCGGGCCTCTCGAGCCTGGGCAACACCAAGCTCGTCGTCATCGGCGGCCTGGCCGAGCTCTTCTCGGGCGCCATCTCCATGGGCCTGGGCGCCTACCTCGCCGCCGTCACGGAGCGCGAGCACTACCTGAGCGAGGAGGCGCGGGAGCGCGAGGAGGTCGTGCTCAAGCCCGAGGAGGAGCGCCAGGAGATCTTCGACATCATGGCGCGCTACAACATCTCGCAGGCGGCGGCCAAGCCGCTCGTCGACGAGCTCAGCCGCGACCCGGAGATGTGGGTCCGCTTCATGATGGACTTTGAGCTGCAGCTCGACCAGCCCAACGTCAACCGCGCGTGGATCTCGGCCGCGACCATGGGCCTGAGCTACTTTGTCGGCGGCCTCGTGCCCATGATCCCTTACTTCATCATGCACAAGGCGTCCGAGGCGCTCTTCGTGTCCATCGCCATCACCGTCGTCATCCTGCTCGTGTTTGGCTACATCAAGTGCGTCGTGACCGTGGGCCAGAAGAAGGCCGGCCTCTGGAGCGCGGCGCAGACGCTGCTGATCGGCCTACTGGCGGCGGGCACGAGCTACGGCATCGTCAAGTGGATCGACTCGTGGAACCCGGTCGAGGGCTCTGGTTGAGAGCAAGGTCGGACGGTGTGGGCTCTCTTTTTTTTTCGTCTTTCACGCGTTTGATTGATTCATTTAAAAAGATACGGCGTTGAGCGGGCCCAGCGGCTTTCGCATTATGGAGTTTCTAGACGGACGGCACCTGGGCTGTCTATGCAGGCCTTGGAGATGGTACTTTTGTAAAGCGTGAACGGTTTCATGCAAGTATTCATAGCATGGTGGCTATCTTAGAGATCGAATGATCGTTAACTCACATAATACATTTCACATGTGGACACTTGACCACGTCCTTATTCGATGAACCAAGTTCATTTGTCCCACTCTCAAAATATATTGGTCGCAGATGCAACATCAAGTGGGTGTCTGAATAGTTGACGGAAGTTCATCAGGAGCTACCTCAATCTTATCAATCAATATCCTTGTCACATCATTGCCCTAGAACTCGGAAGGGCTATCCCACTACCTAAATCCGATGGGCTTGATGGATAGTCAAGTACTTCTGTTAGCAGTTCCTCAACTAATCTGACCATCACTTGCCAGTCTTCCGATCTCCAGGATCCTTATCTACCAGCCTCTCTTTGCAAGGTGCTTCCCCGCGTCCTCGACATTCACTTCTCGTATTTACCATTCCCTGGTTTGTTTTTGAATGGATACAGGTAGCAACGGGGCAGCTCTTGCTGGTTCGGCACTGGCTAACCCCAGTTGCACCAGTGGCGCAGCATTGACTTTACACCTTTCGCGGTACGGCGATCCGGTAGATCCCCACTCGTGCGGCCGGGAGTCCGCATGTCCGGGGGTCGAGCTCGAACCTTAAAATCCCGGGGTTCGCAGTTGTGCATTAGCTCCCATCGCCGGACAGTCCCGACGGCCTCGTGGCAGCCATTACCATGGCAGCAGTTGCTTCTTCGTGGGCCCGTTCAAGGCCGTTGAACCTTCCTCAACAGACAGTGTTTTCCGAGGTTGTCGCGTTGTATGGTAAAAGTGGCGTGGGACCTCGACCCCGTCTGGCTTTCACACAACAAATGTAGTAGTATGGATATGCATGGAGTTGCATGACACTGCGTGTGGGGATGGTTCCGCAATGTTTTGGCTGGGTAGTTCTGGAAACCGCGTCTACGCAGCTTGATAGTAAAGCTGTGGCCTTCCAGACTAAGTTTGTGTTCTTTCGAATTACCCATGTAAGTGGGCGGCGGAGTATGACAACAACTTGAAAAGCCCACATTGGGGATAGGGCTGATGTCAGGCACAGGATCCTTACTCCATAATTTTTGGTGAAGACACACCACATTGGTGATATCTACAGAGTAGCTGGAGAAGTGAAGATACCAGATAGACTAGCACCTTGTGCAGGCAGGGATCTGGACCATGTTTTACTACTGACCACCTAGCGATGCGAGCAGTAACTAGACACAGCCAACGAGACTGTGTTCTGTCGTTCCGAGCTAATGTAGCCATTGTGGGCAGATAGTTAAATCATATCCATGGTATCTTCGGAGCACTGCGGAGGCTCTGTCCTGCTTTGCCAGAGTCGTGTTGCCGATACTGCAAGTACTTGTAGGTGACGGTAGGTAATGTGACATGTCTGCGGAGTAGGTCACGGTGGGCATGGCCCCATGGTTGGTGATGCAACCCAGGTTTTGGAAAGGGGCGTTCTCAAGATTGGGTTAGCCAATCAGATTGCCGATCCCTGCCCATGTCACAAAAGCAGTGAGGGTGGATCGGAGACCAGTCAAGATCTCTCCAGAAGCCATGTTGGAGGCGGAACAGTTGCCTTGAGGGGGAGCTGGCAAGTTGAATCAGCAATGACGGAGGCCAACAGCAGTAAAGCAGGACGGCGGCCGTATGCTGTGGTCGCTTTTTGAGAATCATCGACCTTTGGAAACGGTCACTTTGTATTAATAGATAAGGTCTGAAATGGAGATGGACCACACCCTTACCCACGTTGATGTGAAACCTGGGCGGGAGAAGCTTTGGGGCAGTGGTCTTTCGAAACCATCCACGGATGGGTTGCCTTCCTATCACTTCTCCCTGCCGCTAAACCACGGTGCTAGCCGTGTTCCAGGTCTAGTGCTTTCAGGGTTGATTTAATTTGGCCGATGATCACTCCCAGCACGCTAGATGTCATCTCAGATTTCCAGGGGTCGGTTCGTTGCGTCCTGGTGGTTGTCGAATGCAATGGCGGCGAGCTTGTTTTCTCGAGGTGAGATTCATGGAGAAGAAGGGGTAGTACCTAGTGTATCATGCCGACGGTAGATGCCGTGGATAACTCGAACATCTTGGCTATCGAGATGTCATAGCGTACTTCCGCGTGAATAGATCCAGCAACTTGATCGTGTCCAATCGACGTCGAGGTACTGAGTACAGGAGAAGAAGCAGGCCGACCACGCTCCGATCCGCCCTGTCAAATTGCTCAGAACCCAGCCCCTGGAATTTTGTGGGGAAGGGTACGCTGGATCAGGCAGGCAGCTCACCCGCCGCCGAGGTACCCGCGCCAGCCCGCTGAGGTCAGTGCTAACCGTGCTAACCTCCACCACAGGTGCCCGGACTCTGCTCCCCACCACAGATTGATTGTAGGCGGTACGGGGGGTAATACTGCAGGTGAAATTATTCCCAGCTTGCACAGGGGGGGTAAGGAAACAGGAGAGAAAAATTCCCCTACCACAACATCACCTCGCCCTCACACGCAGGCACGCGCTGTGTTCGCTCTGTGCCTATTCGATCGGCTGGTTACGAGACCTCTTTTACCACCTCCGCCTCAGCTGCCTTATCGGAATTCTGTCCAACATTGTCTCACCCATGAGCTCGCCGTCCGTGCTTGACCCTCACTCGCGGAGCCCCTGATCTCGGATCTACCAACCTCTTGGCAGGTATCGATCCCGACCTCGCCTGCCGGCGACAGTTCGACACCCGGCTGGAGGACCTGTGCAAATCCAGTCTCTGGCGACTGAGCGCTGCGAATCGAATTGCGCTGCAAGCCGGCGCCTGTTGTGCCCCTTTTCGCAAAGCGCCACACTCAGAGAGCTCCGAATAGCTTTACTACCGACCCTAATCTCTTAATAGACCACTTTCACCGGATCGCGGCGACGAGATAGATGAGCTGCCGGCAACAATGCCCTGGCAACCTCTGCCTCGCATCGCCTTCGCTGTAGCGACTTTTCCCTTTGCCCCCTTCGGACCGGCCGACCTCCCGCTCGAACTCGGCGACGAGCTGTACATAATCGAGGAAACGACTGATGGGAACTGGCTCCGCGGGTACCTGGTCGCACCGCCCAGCCTTCTGTCCGGGTTGACCTCCGTCAAGGGACAAACACTCGAGACGCGAGTATTTAGCGGCGTCTTTCCTCGCAGCTGCGTCGAGGTCCGCGAGGTTCTGGGCGAATCTGACGACACGGACGATGCCGGTAGCGACGACGGCAGCGACCTCCCCGGCGAGACGGGCCCCGTTGGCAGTGACTCGGCCAAGAGCGGCGTGGTAGGGAAGAGGAACAAAAAGGCCAAGGCGCCCGAGTTGTCCATCAATGGCCTGGACAAGGGCGATACAAGGCCAAGGAAACCTCTCAGAGAGCTTCCCAACGGCGCAAACGGCCGCCTCTCTGTTCCCGTGAGGCGTGACCCCAATGCGCCACGGCCGCCCGCCCCAGTGCCCATGCTCAAGATTGGCGATGAGACACCGACCTCTGCTTCGGAACCGCTCATAGACGAAATCGCCTCATGTCTGCGCGAATGGCATTCTACGAACCTCCACGAGCTGCTCCTGAGCCGACAATATAACAAGCTCGACAAGCTCTCGCATCTGATTCAGACCCTCAACCAATCACGCCAGCAGTTCTTACATAACGTGTTGACTACCTGGGAATATGGCAAGCTTCGTGAGAAGACTGTGTGGGATCTGGTCCGTGTCAACAAGTTGTGTGGGGGCGAGGTCATTGTCCGGGATCCTAAGGAATACGGGCGCGTTCTGACGGGGGATGACTCGGTCGTTGAAATCACCAAGTTGCAGTCAGTTATGAGTCTCCTGGACGAGATGCCTCAACCTGCGGTGGAGCCAGACGCCTTGCACCACCTTCTTGTCGATGTGAGAGGGTATGCCGGCGCATCAGCCGAGAACACGTCCCTGGTCATGTACCTCGTCAGCAGGCAGCCAGGCGGTCTGCTGACCCCGCTGTCCGAGAGCTATATCATCGAGATCCCTTCTGGAGGCACAATGGCCCATTTCGCCAGAAACACTCACATGAGGACGCTGTTCGCCGATCTGTCTTCCGGAGACATTGGAGACGGGCCGTCCGCCGACTCGGAGCTATTCCTGGTTGTAAAAGTCCGCGCCACGCAGCAAATTATCCCTGCGGGGAAACCAAGCTCTCGATCTGGTTCTGGCTCTCAAGGAGGAAGCAATCATTCGAAGGATGGAGGCAGACCCCCGCTTTCTAGCGGAAGCAAATCAGTACGGCGGAGCTTCATGTGGGCAGGCAAGACCACCAGGTCGGCGTTTTCTAGAGGAAATCCCAAGCTCGACCCCCTCAGCGAGCATGGCGAGGACAGACCGGGAACGAGCGGAGCAGAGAGTGTGGACGGAGGCCCTCCCAGCACTGCCAACTCGAGAAGCGGCGGCAGGGTCTCCAGTGATGTACTGCCCGCCCAGATGACTGCTGAACGAACCGTTGGCTTGGGCGTTCTGAAACTGAATCCGATCATGAAACAGGCAGAGGAAATCGAGCACGTTGTGAATATCTGGTCACCCTCAGACAGACTCAGTGCCGACAGGCAGGGCGATGGTGAGGACTGGAATCCTCTAATCAAAGAGTTGATGGAGAGCAGATCCGGCCAGTATGACAGGGCTCGAGGCACTGAGCGAGTCCAGGTTCATCTGAGGGCTTTCAACCACCCGGATGCGGATGCATTGATAAAGGCCACCCCGACTCTATTGTCTGGAGTCTGCAAGACGAGCAAGATGGGCTTCTCTGGTGCTCCAACCAAGCCGCGATCCGACATCTACGTAACGCTCAACGAGGCCATCCTGTCCAGGCAAACGCTGATATCGCGCTACGGAGCCAGTGCCACCACGCTCTCAAGCAACCTGCATGGTAACAACTTGCAGGTGACGCTCGAAGTCAGGAAGTCGACTGGCGAGCGAATCGAGAACTGCATCTTCCCGTCGTCCAATAGCGAAGGCATCAGCACGTGGAAGACAACCGCGACACAGCGCGGCGACCGTTGGAACCAGACTTTCAGACTGCAGCTGGCACAACAAGACGTGTTCTCATCCCATATCGTGATGTTCATCTCCGATATGCCGAACCCTCCATTCGCCGTGACGTACATGCCTCTTTGGGATCAACAGGCATTCCTCCGCGATGGCCCACACGGTCTCATCCTCTACCGGGTGGACGAACATACCGTCGCGCCACAGCCTATTGGCCAGACTAGAGGAGGCTATCTCGATCTTCCGTGGACCACACGGGGCCGGGGCGAAGCGCAGGCAGAGGTTACCGGTCCCCTTGCCACTCTACGCGTTGAGACATATCTTTGCAGCACCAGATTCTCCCAGGACAGAATCATTCTTGGGTTGATCAAGTGGAAAGAGGGCCCCCGCGACGAGATCCCCAATCTCCTCAAACAACTGATTTTTGTCCCCGAGATCGAGGTTGTGAAATTGCTCAACGATGTTCTTGACGCGCTCTTCGGCGTCCTAGTCGAATTTGCTGGCAATGACGACTACGAGGATCTGGTATTCACGGCACTCGTCAGAGTATTGGGCATCGTCCATGACAGACGCTTCAACCTCGGCCCACTTGTCGACCAATATGCCGAGACTCGGTTTAATTACCCTTTTGCCACCCCTTGTCTTGTGAGGTCGTTCACCCGCCTCCTTTCTAAACCAACGGAGCCCGAAACCGCGAGGAAGCTGCGCGCGACTTTCAAAGTGGTGCGGCATATCTTGAAGTTCATCACTCATGCTCGTGGACAACAAAAAGAGAAAGAGGCCGATATAGGAATTACTGGCTCAAGCTCCGGTTTCACACGCCACCTACGGAGCATCTTCAAGGCCCTCGATGCTATGATGAGAAGTACGGCGCCTGTTCTTGTTGGCAGCCAGACTCTTGCAGTGCAGCACTTCCACACGTGGCTGCCCGAGCTTGCGGGCCTTTTGACAACCGAAGAGATCATGCATATCGCTATTGACTTTATGGACTCATGTGACAAAGTCAAGGGCAAGCTGGTCCTGTACAAGCTGGTTCTGATCATCAACTACTCGAATCTGGAGGTCTTCTCACATCCCGAACAACGATCCGTCCTGAGCGCTAATACCGTGCGGTGGATTTCGCCACATTGGGGCCAGACCGACGAGGTCACGGAGCAGTGGAAAGAACAGGTCAGACTTTGTTGTTCTGTCCTGGCTAGCCAGGTTGATCATCTCGGCCCAGAGATTCCCGATCACATCCCCAAGATTATCGAATCTTACCTCGCTATCCAGATGGTCCCACCAAAACCGCGAGCCCGACTCTCTTTATTGTTCCCCTCACAATATCCTTTTCCAGGCAAGCCAACCTCGGATCAGATCGAGTTTGATGAGGCACTCGTCGAGCTCTCTGCCATCTTGTCAGCACTTTCAAACTCCCCCAGTGGGATGCAATTCGACCTTGTCGACGAAGACTTGAACATAATAATAGAAAATACCCTTCGCGTCCATATGAGTATCTTGCAGGGCGAGGCTTTCCCAGCCGGCTGGCTAAGTGTACATATATATCACCACAAGTCGACAATGCGGACGCTCCAGTATCTGGCCAGCATCCTTCTGGAGTCGTTCCTCCCGCACCCGGATGAGGCAGAGAATTTCAGCACTGAGCTATGGAAAATGTTCTTCAGCACCATGTTGAGGCTTGTAGGAAGCCCTTCATTGGCTTTAGAAACGTTCCCGGAGCAGAAGAGACGGGCCGTCTGGAAGATCGCAGGCGATGTCCGGGAGCATGGGGCAGAGCTCCTCAGGCGAACCTGGGACGCCATTGGCTGGGAAACAAGTCCGGACGAGAGGCAACGGTACGGTCTGGCGAAAATGGGTGGCTACCAAGTTCAGTACGTTCCTACGCTGGTAGGGCCGATCGTCGAACTCTGTTTAAGCGTGCACCAAGGCTTGCGCAGAATGGCAGTCGAGGTGTTGCAGACCATGATTGTGAGCGAGTGGACGCTCAGCGAGGATCTGTCCGTCATCCAAACCGAGGTTATTGATTGCCTGGATCAGTACTTCAAGTCGAAACCTCTCACGGAAAGCATACTGCAAAAGCTGTTCGTTAGCGAACTGCTGGAGCGTTTCGAGCCACTGGCCGAACTTCCAGATGAACCTCTATACGCCGCGGTCCGCGAGCTCATGGGTACAGTCGACGAGTTCTTGGACCTGCTGGTTGCGGTCCATAGCGCGGATGGGTCAGGCGAGGCCTCGCACCTGATCAACCGCCTGCGGCTCATGGAGTTCCTTCGGGATATGCAAAAGGAGGAGATCTTTGTCCGCTATGTCCACCAACTCGCAGAGTTGCAGGCTGAAGCACGCAACCACACTGAAGCTGGCCTGGCCCTGCGACTTCATGCCGATCTCTACGACTGGGATCCCACCAAGACAACGCCTGCTTTGACAGATCCAGAATACCCGGCCCAAACCCACTTTGAACGAAAAGAGAGGATCTACTTTGACATGATCAAGCACTTCGAGGATGGAGAGGCTTGGAGCACGGCTCTGGCAGCCTACAAAGAATTGCAAGCCCAGTACGAGAACAACACGTTTGATTTCGCCAAGCTTGCGAGGACGGAGCGGGCCATTGCAACAATCTACGAGACTATCCACAAGAGCGACAGGCTTGTCCCGAAATACTTCAAGGTTATCTTCAAAGGATTGGGATTCCCGGCGTCCATTCGAGACAAGGAATTCATTTACGAAGGTTCGCCAACCGAGCGCGCAAACGCCTTCACGGATCGTATGCAACAACAGTACCCGTCTGCGCAAGTCGTCACGGTCATTCACGAGGCCATTGACGACGCCGAGGGCCAGTTCTTGGTCATCTCCACGCTGAGCCCCCACCGGGACCTCGGTCACCATGTGTACCAGCGTGCGCGGGTTCATCAGGTCGTTCGTGACTACTTGGTGTGCTCGAACCCGCAGTCGTTCTCCGTCACAACGAAGCGGGTGACCGTAGGCCCGGTGGTGGAACATTTTGCCGAGAAAACCGTCTTCACGACCGCGGAGTCTTTCCCTACCATCCTGCGGCGAAGCGAGGTCGTCTCTATCGACAACGTTCGATTCTCTGCCAAGGAGACTGCCCTCGAACGAATCGTCCGCAAGACGGCTGAGATGGCAGCTGTTGAAAAGAAAATCGCTGACGGCGAGGGTACTAGCGAGACTGCAAGGCTGCTATTGGACGCTGTGACCGTGTCGGTCAACCCCAACTCCGAAACCTCGGTCGTTTGCTACCGCGAGCTCGTCCCCTCGGCGTCGCCTGCGGAGGACGCGGAGGATGAAGATCACGAACCACCAGAGTTGGATGCGCAAGAGCTCGCCATAAAGATGGCTCTCGTCGACCATGCGATCGTACTCAAGCGGTGCCTAGCGACGATTGCGAAAAGCTCAAATGAGATTCTCAATCGGAATGCAGAGGATCTGCAAAGATGTAAGCCGCGAGTGTGGTATCGAAGTGCTCTCCAGATTATCAGCTGACCCATCGTTTAGATTATGAGCTTATCTTCGCACCCGAGATCGCGTTCTTCACTCCAGCGCAACCGCCGGCCCGGGAGACCAATCCTATGAATTCGTCACCAACTTGGTCACGGTCTTCTCCAACAGACGCCATGACGCCGAAGAGAACCCCGAACCCGCCGATCAATCCCGCAAATGCCGGGGCGGTAGTCGAGGAGGTTTCCACTGTCCGGCCCGTTTCCTTGCGCCAGGGCCGTGGCGCACGGCTGTCCTTTCTCGGAGGCAGGAGGAAGGATACTCCGCCGACTCCTCAACTGAATGGTGAGGGCAAGGCCTTGTCGCAGCAGCAGACCAACGGCGATACCGAGTCGGCGACGAGCGACCACAGCGGCCGCCGAAGCCGAGACAACCCCAACCGAAGGAGCTTCTTCAGGGCTCACTCCCACGACAAGGCCCCGAACACGTCGGGCAGCATGACTAACGGTCACGACTCGAGCGGCGGTACCGGCGGAGACTGGGTGACGGACTCTGGCGGTCGTCAGAGCTCGGACGTCGATCGGGACAGGCACGACAGCAGCGCGATTGGCAGCGTCAGAAAGAGGCTGAGCATGCTGAAGCTGGGGAAGAAGACGAGCAGGGGCAACGTGTTGATGGGGAGCTTGGACGAGGAGTAGATCTGGCGTGACGATCATGCATTTGGTTCAGGATATAGAAGGGCACATCCTTCCGAGGGTGCTTCCTGGATATGGCTCCCACTCTTTGGGGGGGAAGGACTCGCAGTCGAACGACGTGGGGAAGAACGGCACCCGCTCTTCTCTGATCCCTCTTTTGCACTTTCTTTTATATATCTTTTGATCCTCTCTCTGTTCCCTTGATAAAGAGAGGAAAGCAACATCGCAGCATATGCATCCCTTTTATACAACAGCGGGTAGGACGGGGCCTCGGGCTCAAGGATGGCCAATATCGTCATGTAACATACTCAAAACACTGGAGCGAGTCCTTTTTTTCTTCCCTTCCAGACGCAGATACCATTTTTTTTATTCAAAGTATATTCTACTGGTTGACTTGAAAGTCGTTACTACAAGGTCTATATATGTGCACAGACTTTGTTATATGATATACCCGGCCCCCAAGATCGAGCCTGTTGCCTTTTGGATATACAACCCAGGGATGAGTGAGTGCTCTTATACGACAACGCCCCTGCGAGACCATCCATTCTTTCCCTTCCAGGCCCACAAGATCAAGCCGCATGCGATCCAGACGCTCAACGTCATGGCCCAAAAGGTAGGCGCATAGCAACGCGTGCCATAGCAAAAGAGATCCTCGTCCTCGTCGTGCGACGACGAGGGGCCGCCGCCGTCCGCAGGCGCGGGGCTGCGCGCGACGGCCTGGTACACGGCCGAGTAGATGAGGCCCCAGATGGTGGAGCCGAGGGCCGGGAACATGGCGACGATGCCCCAGTTGGTGCCCACGTTCTCGACGCCCCAGATGACGGTGATGATGATGGGCGTGAGGCTGAAGACGGCGCCGTAGCCGGCGCCCACGAGCCCCGAGACGATCCAGAAGCGCTCGCCGTGGTTCTGGACGAGGCCCGACGCGAGCACCGCGAGGCCGGCCGACAGGAGGACGGCGAAGAAGAGGAGGAAGGTGACGCGGGAGACGGAGAAGCGCAGCCGGGAGAGGACGGGCGACGACGAGGTGATCTGCATGTGCCGGGCCTGGGGGCTGGGCGCCAGCAAGTCGGTGAGACAGCCCGTGAGCAGGCGGGCTACGGTGCTCGTGATGCCGACGATGGAGACGTGCGTCGCGGCCGATGTTGGCGCTCCTTGGAAGTTCACTGTGGGCGGGTACAATGTCTTGATGACCGTTCCCAAGTTGTTGAGGAAGGCCTCGCCCGGACCGACCATGAAGAAGAAACCGAGGGCCAAGAGCCACATCGTATGGTCCGTGAGGAACCGTTTCGTCTCGGCGTTCAAGACCCATGTCTTTTTCAGGTTCTCAAGGTCTTCGGACGACTCCATGACATTCGGATCGCCCGCCTCGTTGAAGGGGTTCGACCGCTCGGTCGCGCCATATCCCCGCTCCGTCCTCCCGGGTGTCAGAATGCTGCTATCAAGCAGACCGCTCCGCTCCAGCTCCTCGACGGCACCGTCGATGAGGTCCTGCTCGTCGACGATGCGGAGCATAAAGGTGCCGAGGATGCCGACGACAAACAAGAGGATGGCGAGGAAGAGGAAGAAACGGAAGACGTCCACGTCGCCCCTGCTCCCGTCCGGCAGCCGCTCGCAGAGAAGGCGGCTGCCGACCTGGCTCTGCCACATGCCGCTGAGGCCGAACGCGGCGATCGGCACCGCGAGGGCCAGCCCCCGGTGCTTCCCCTTCCCAAAGTTCTTGGCACACGTAGCGATGGCGCTCAAGTACATGGCGCTGGTGCCGGCGCCGACCAGGACGAACGCCACGATCATGGCCGTGTACGACCAGCCGCCGGCCACGGCACCCCCCCTCCCCGCGCCGGCAGCCATGTCGCTGGCCGCCCGCCTGTACAGGCCCGCCGCGAGGCCGTAGCCGCCGCCGAACAGGAAGGCCGCGAGGAAGGACAGCGGGGCCGGGCCCGCGCGGTCGCAGAAGTAGCCCAGGAAGGAGACGGGCAGGTACATGGAGATGCTGGCGGCGATGGCGACGCCGTTGACCTGGAACTGCGAGTAGCGCAGGCGCTCCTGGAAGATGTGGCCGTAGAGGGAGAAGACGGTGACGGAGCCGGCGCACAGGGCGGACAGCAGGGCCGAGAAGAAGGAGATGTTTCGGACTAGGGAGGCGGAGGCGCGGCGCTGCCGGCGCGTCTCGAAGCTGTCGCCGTCATCGTCGTAGCTACTGGCGGCAGACGACAGGACGGAGGATGCGCTGCTGTCGACAGAGTGTAACAGGGGCGCCTGGTCGGCAGCGGTCGAGGCTTTTGGGGCCGCCATTTCGTGTCTCTGTATGTTGGGGGAGGTCGGTCGGGGTGCGGAGATGGGGAATCGTCTTGCGAGTCGCGCGGAAGATGCGGAAGCTCGCGGTGCTCAAGCTTTGGGGCCAGGTTCGATACAATTCACCATTCTGCCAGTAACTAAAGTCGAGCCAAGTCAGATCGTAGAGCACGCCAGGCAAACGGAGAGGCGGTGTTTGGTGGTGGGAAGCTTCGTGAGGACCACAGGACCACCGACAAGTTTGGAGGGTGAGAGAGCGTGAGTCAAGTTGACTGTTGGGCGGTCGGCGGTCGGCGTTGACGTCTGTGTTTGAGGTGGTGGAGGAGTGTGGGGAAGCGGAGCGGGTAGGAAGAGTGCATGACTCCATCTTAGCGCTGGCGGCGTCATCACATCACATCACAGACCAGACCATCCTGACGGCACGGGCGGGTGTCTCCATGGGCGTGTATCAATGCGCTGGCGTCTGTACATCTCGCCAGTCCAGACGAGGATACGGATAGTTTGCAACTCATCATTGCACCTGTGACCAAACGATTCATCTGATGGACCCTGGAGAATGGATAATTGCTCGAACGGATCCAGTGCCCAAGACACTGGATGGATACATTGGAGTAAAAAGCATCAATCTTCTCGAACAAGGGACTGGGCAGTCTCCGTAAGAATTCTCGCCATTCTATAGAAACATGATGCTCCGCGTCTCCTACTTGATGTCTCTGCCTGCCACCCTTCACCATCTGCAACTAACAGCGGAAGCTAAGGATAGCGTCGGTGTAGCCCCTGAGGCAACCCCGCCATCAAATTGATGCTGCAACAACAGCCCGAGCCCAGATTTGATTGATGATAATATTGATGTCACCACGAGCCAACCCGTTCTCACCACTCAAATCTCGTCCTCCGTATGGAGCGTTTGCCACGACCTCCTCGGGAGATCCCTGAGATTGCACAAGCTCAGACCTGGCAGGAGCTTGTTGCGGCATTGACCCCGAAAGAGGCGAAGACGCTGGAGCAACTCCTTCGAGACTCGGGCAAGCGTTCGGACATCCTCCCGATGCTGCCTGTAGAACTACAGCTGCAGGTCTTGGGGTGGATCGACAGCCATGACATCTGGCCTTGCCTCAACGTCTCCCGTGTGTGGAGGACAATGCTGCTTCAGGGAGATGCCATCGCGTCACTGTGTAGGACGCACTTCCCGCGGTTGCCAGAAGCTGCGGCCCGGCGGGGTTTGGCAGCAGGCGATGTCTTCTTTGAAGCCGCTAGGAGGCGCCATCTGATTGCCCATGGCCATTTCCGCTCTGTCCTTTATCAAAGTTTGGGCCTGGAGAGCGCGCCGCGTGAGGGTCGAGATTTTCGATATGCAGACAGATTCTACGCCCATGGACGTCTTGCTTGGCGGCCTCTGCAGCCCGAGACTGGCTATGCATCAACCGTCATCGTCGATGAGTTCAAGAGCGGCCAGAGAAAGTTTCACAGAGCACCACGCTCTGAGCTCATTGGAGGCGCAGTCGAGTTGAAGGCGCTTGGCGACACCTATGTGATCGCAACTCAACGATGCTATCTGTGAGACCCTCTCCTGTCTCTCGATTCTGACTCGGCGCGCTGATGTCTATCTAGCTATGCATGGAATCTCGACACAGGTGCCTTCTCCAGCGTCACCCTACCCAGTCGCGCTGAACATGTAGCGACTCGGGGTGATCTGACTGTCATTATTGGAAAGGATGGCGGCGTTTACCTATGGAGGATAAACGAGAAGGTCACTCAACTCAAAGCGTCTGATTCTCCAGAGGAGCTCATGAGCTTGAAGGATAACTTTCGGATTGGCGATTTCTCTGAGGTTTTCCTTCCTCCTAACTTTAGGGCCGACCTCATTGTCCATGCAGATATCGAAGAGACCTTGTTCTTGGCGATTCAGGGTGAGGACGAGTCTGGCAAAGCTCTCATTACTGTCTGTGAGTGGCAGGTCTCGGGCAACAAAACAACTTTTGTCTATGCTCATCGGTATCGTGTGGGAAGCATACCCGACTATTGCCCGGACGATGGGATATGGTTCAAATGCCAGGCTGCCGATGCATTTGGGTCATACATTGTTGGGGCAATCTGGAAAGAGGACATACCGCAACCCATCAGGCGATCCTGTCAGTCTTCCAATGACGAGCAGCTACCACCCCTTATCCCGATCACTTTCAACGTCCATACGAAGACCTTTGATGCCCAGAGTTACCATCCCGTCATGCATTATCGGTGCAGGGATGGGACAACAAGATGGCCGGAGGACGCAGAACTAGAGTGTCACTGGTGGAACGGGTTGTGTTTTGCTTGGACTCAGCAGTTGCTGAGCTATGCGCGGCCTTCCTCGGTATATCCTATCTTTGCCATACAGCCATCAAACTCTCACACCCTTCGAAAAACCAACAAAACGCCGACATTGTACACACACCAGCGGAATGCAGATGAGCTGGCTAAGAATGTCTCCGGAGGGCCTATCCGAGTCCTTGGACCCTTGCCCCGCGGGGCTCGGCATCCGAATACCAGACCGACGACATCTATTCACAGGCTGACAGATAACCCTACAGCCCTCAAAGAAACCGCGCTGGGACTTGCCGAGACATTCATGAGCACGCACTGCGAGGTTTCCATAAGGACAATTTCGTCAAACAAAATCGCTTACGCGCTGGACTGGGACATGAGTTCTGCCAGCGAAGACTCCTTGGAGGGATGGCGTTGCGTGGACGAATTTCGAGCTATGAAATGTCTCTATCTGTGTGGCGACGACGACTTCCTGGTCTGTGTCCACGATAGGGGATACACGATATTCAGTTACTAGAGAGCCTGACGGAGATCCACGGCGTGGATTGTGTAAACACTATATCTATCTATTTAGCACGGCAAGGGGTGAGACGAATTACACTTCAGAGAGCCGGTTTGGCCCTCTCAGCTTAGACCCATTTACTTCCCATGCCGACATTGGCGTTATGTCTGCAAGCGTCTTGGAAGTTGATTCAACCCCGTCAAGGACTTTAATGTCCAGAAATCAGACCAATAAAACAATATATTAGCCTGTTCAAACGGGAAACATGAAAGGCTACAGGAGTTAAGCAATCAAGAAGCCAGTGACAAGACGGTGATGATGGAGAAACAAAGCTGAGACAATGCAAATAGGGACAATGAAGAAGCAAACACTGATGAAAAGGGAAAATAAGTAAACCATGGTCAGTGCATGTTCCATCAGCGTCCGCGGTCGATCTTGACTTGATTGATTCTGAGAGCAAGCGTTCCGTACTTGTTGACCTGAGACCCCTGTGGTTCTTCCGCCAATCGTCGAGTTTCTCCGCATGGCCATTGCCGGACGCTCGACACCGTTGTCGGGCCGGATGCAACCCTGTCAGAAAAGAGCAGCTGAGATGCGTGGAATAATTCTGTATCTCTCTTTAAACTTCTAGCGGACTGCTAGCATCCGATACGACGTAGAAAGAGACAAGAGCCGGGGGATGGGAGCGGAAGCCGCGGCGTCCCTCACGAACCCCCTGATGAACGGCGTTGAAACATGGATATAAAACGACACTCTGGAAATTCATGGGACAAGAGTAACGGATCGTAGTGCATTGCTTTGTGATATCCGTTTTGAACAAATCCAGTTCATCCCCAACGACCATCATGAAGTTCATCGTACTCGCACATCTCGCGGCCATCGCGGCCGGCCTCCCGGCCACATCCGGGCGAGCCGTGTCCGAGCCCAGCAAGGTCCTCGAGGAGCGGGCCACGACCCTCTGCGGCCAGTGGGACTCGCTCCAGACGGGCGCCTACACCGTCTACCAGGACCTCTGGGGCATGTCCTCCGCCAGCTCCGGCTCCCAGTGCACCACCGTGACGGGCCTGTCCGGCAGCGACCTCGTCTGGTCGACGTCCTGGACGTGGGCGGGCGGGCCCTCGAGCGTAAAGTCGTACGCCAACGCCGTCACAAAGTTCACGGCCAGGACCGTCGCGTCCATATCCAGGATCCCCACCACGTGGAGATGGAGGTGCGGGAAAAAAAAAACCCCTGTTCCTTCTTCCCTTGCCTTTGTGTTTCATCCACGAGAAAAAAAAATATAACTGTGAAGTGTGTGTGGACTGACGTATGCCCGTACCGGTTTTAAGTTACGGAGGCTCCTCCGTCGTGGCAAACGTGGCCTACGACATCTTCACGTCGTCGACGGCCTCGGGCAGCGCGCAGTACGAGGTCATGATCTGGCTCGACGCCCTCGGCGGCGCGGGGCCCATCTCGGCGACCGGCAGCCCCGTCGCGAGCCCCAACATCGGCGGGGTGAGCTGGCGGCTGTACAAGGGCCAGAACGGCGCCATGACGGTCTTCAGCTTCGTCGCGCAGGGCGCGCAGAGCAACTTCAGCGGCGACCTGAAGCAGTTCCTCAGCTACCTGGTCTCGAGCCAGGGCCTGCCGACGAGCCAGTACGTGCAGAGCATTGGTGCGGGGACCGAGACGTTCACCGGGTCGAATGCCAAGTTCAGTACTTCTGCGTACTCGTGCTCCGTGAGCTGATGGCCTGGTGGATTTAACATCCTTCTTCACTCCTTTTGGTTTCTTCGCTTTTTTCATTCTAGCATGTCAAAAAATAAAGTAAGAGAGGGAAGAAAATGAGCTGCCAATCATTGACAGCACCAGGCCGAAGAAGTCTCGACTTCTAATAACCATTCTTGTGTGTCCAGTGTATATATCTTTGTCCTACTCTTGCAATGGAAACAAGCCCATCGCGTTACGGGTGACAATCTCGGTCATGATGATGGTCGACGTGAAAGCTGCGTGCCGTAGGTTGCCCGGTATACGACAAATAGTGGCCAGGAGTGACAACATCATTGGAACTTCTGCTTCATTGGATCGCTGCACCACACTGGGTCACCTCCAATATTTGGATGAATGGCGGTGGGCCGCACTGTCCTGAAGCACCACCTCGAGGCGTCCCGCCCAGTGTGGCTCAGATTCTTGTCCTTTATAGTCGGGAGCGGACCGACGTTCGTGAGAGAGCCTCGTCCTCGCCCGGTGCTCCTTGATAGCCTCGACGACATCACGCATGCCTTTCAGGTCGGCATCGGTTGGAAGTCGCCCGTCGCTAAGCTGCAGACCAGCGTGCCAAGCCGCAGAGAACAGGTACGTGCCTGCCGGAGCACCAGCGCGGACGTGGCAGGGCGTGGCGGGTATGACGTCCCTGCGGAGAGATGGGTCGCAGACGTTCCTCATGTAGATGTTGACAGCTTCGTGGGGCCCCGAAGCCCCGTTGCCGACCCACACAGGGACGGAGAACTCTTCATTATTCCACCGCCCGACGTGTTCTACGTATTCTGACCCCGTCCTTGTGTACGGGTGATTCCGAGGCGTTTCATCCGACGAAGTATCTCCAAGGACAGAAGACGCAGCATTGCTTGCCTTCCTGGGCACTTGGGGAGCCTGAGAGGTGGAAGATAGATCCCAGGTCTCGTCGGCAAAGAAGCTGAACTCCTCGTCGGTAGATTTCAAAAGCTTACTAGCTCCATCCTGGTCCAGAGTCTGATCTGCATCCTCGAAAGGACTGGGCTCGAACTCGAGGCGTATGTGCCTCAAGCCATCGAGCAGGTGCGGGCTTCGACGAGAAGATGACACTCTAGCTTCTTTGATGGCAGCTTCCTGCGCTGCTGCGAGCTTGAGGAAATCAACTATCCTCTCGATAACAGGCCCCGAGGAGAACCGCGGCAGTCTGGTCAGCGTGAGTGACCGAAGCCGTGGGTTCATGTCCGGCACAAAGGCTTCGGGGTACATGAGCGCCGCCGCCTTCTGGAGGTGAGTCTCGGCGAGCCACATGTCGGTCCTCGTTATGCGCCAGTCCAGCTCGAGGGTCGGCGACAGCGTCACTAGCGAATGGTGTATGCGCAAGCCCCGGAGGTTGGATGATACGACGGGACGAAGCAGGTGGGCAGCCCCCAAGAGCCCGTAGACTTTACGGTACTGGTATGACCAATGAATCGGGAGATCAATGCCCGAGAGCTCCATCGAGTCGCACTCGAAGTGCTCGAGATGGCCCAGCGAGTTCCTGAGAAGGAGCTCGGCACCTGCGGCAGTCATGGCAGTGCCATTCAGCCGCAGGTGAGTGATGCCGCCATGGCCTCTGCAAATCTCGCCGTGGATCACGTCTTCGATATCCGGCGATAACTGACCAGCACCGCCCGACAGTATCATTTTGACATCTTCAACGGTATCTGGCCTGGCCCTGCCTGCGCCGTCAGATCGTAGACCCGACAAGTCCTCCGGAAGGGTTTCTGCATGCTGAAAGTAGGCAGGAGCATCCACCAGATAACGGTCTGGGTGGCAGTGGCCAGCACTATATCGAGACTCATGAATAAAGACGAAGGGGCCATGAGAACTGCTTCCAGCCCTGACGGGCACGCCCAGCTTGCCTTCGATCTCAAAGTGCGCATCACGCTGTAGAGAAGTCCCACAGAAGCTCTCGGACAGCATGTGAGATGCGATGGCATCGGTCAAAGGGTTTTCACTCAGATCAAGGCTCCAGAGGCGGTGTTTGACGGTACTAAAGAGGATCGTGGCGGTAGCATCATCCATCTCACGCCCCCTGGCCTTGAGGATCTTCAGGTTCGGGAGGCAGCGAGGGTTGAAGGACCCCTGAAGGAGGGAGCTTTTCAGGGATCCGGGCAGATAGGAGACATCCAGATAGACCACTTGGGTCGCATATCTTGACTCGAAGAAGGACAAGGGCAGCTGCTGGTTGCCATTGGCCAGGCTGAGCAGCAATGGCGAGTGTCTCTCCAAGCCATCCAACGCCTTCGCATCCCGGGGTTTCGTCAAGAAACCGGGGTCGCACTCCGGATGGCCATCGAGTAAGATGCACCGGAGGTTCGGGAACAGCCCGGGGAAGAGGCGGCAGCTCTCCGGCAGGTTTCGTTCCGGGTGGTCATCAAAGAAACCGACACCCTTGGCAAAACCCCGAAAGTCGAGGGAGCGCACAAGAGCTAGTGTCTCTCTACGGACAAGCTTGACGTGCTTGTAAATGAAGTGGTAGTACCAATCCAGATCTACAGTTGCCCCGAATTAGCTATGACGACGCCCTTCTCCATGCTGGATGTGCGTTCGCACATCGCGCAAAGGACGCTAGACTCACCCGACTCTGGATGGAGACCGAGGGATCGCACAGCCCTGAGAGGATCGTTCCATAGGCGGGCAGCGAACTGCTCACGGAACCTTCGAGACACGCGGCAGAGGCGTGCATAGTCCCGCAGGGGAATATATGGCGCAACAATGGGCAGCCAGTCGATGCGGCTAACGGCTTCCTGGTACGACGGAAGGTCCGCCATCATCATGATGTTTGAAATGGCGCGAGCCTAGACAAGTATCCTTCCTTCATTGCAGCTGGTGGCTGGGAATGACACACGATCTCGAACTTCATTGAGTTCTGGCCAAGATATCTGGCGCATGCACTTTGAGGGGCAAAGATCTTTCGTCATTTGCTGGAATGTGCCTGGCGCAGTCAGTTAGTTGGCTGTGGTGTGGTGATCGCCTAGCCGAGCCTGCTGTCAAGTGAGCACAGCCCACCCGAGACTCCGCGGGGGCTGGTCCGGTCTGGAAGAAGTTGACCGTGCCGCTCCGTCACACACTTGCGGGGGGATACCCGACTTCCAATTAACTACCATCTCTGGAAATCGGTAACCTGGATTTGCTTGATAAATGATTCGCCAACTTACGCTGGAGGAGGAGTAGTAATAGGCGAATTCTGCTCAAAGAGATCGAAGCCAAATGCACATAGCGCATCCATAGTGGAAGCACCCTGCCGCAACATCGAATGATACCGGTGAACCCACCACCAGACTGTACCTACCTAGTTAGTTAGTAGGTAACTATCCAAGGTGAAGAGGCTAGGTTACTTTACCTACAGGAGGTCAGGTCGGTCGGGTGTTGTAATGATCCATCCATCTATTAATTGGGCTGGCTGTTCTCGGTGTGCCAAGTAGGTGCGTAAGGCCGTCCACGACAGGGGTTACCCAAGCATTGCTAGGTTGGCGCTCGCTTCGCTGAGTTACCTAACTAAGTTGACATTCCCATGGACTTTGGCATTTTGACAAGGCCCTAGAACGAGTAGAAGTGTGCCTTTCTCCAGGTTCAATAGTCCAAAGCCTAGCGCAGGGGACGCAACCTTGAGCGACCAGGGAGGCCCTGTAATGACAGTCCCAGAGGCGCGGGCCTCGACCCCGCTACAGATCGATCGATTTAGGGCTCTGGGATCGCTGTAGGGGCCCCCTGTTGGCAAGGGTCGCATCGACTTCCATCCTACGTCCATGGACTTCTCGCCAACCAGGATCCAGTTGGAGGTTATCAAATCCACGAGATCTCTGCTTGACCTGCTGATACCCATGCATGTTTACGATCAACCCTCCATGACTGCCGGCCCTGCAGGTACTCAAGAAAGACCCTTGCAATTGTGTCTAGCCAACCGTGGATATATCCCGCTTTGATGATGTCGGGTCTGTCACCCACGTGGGCAGCTCGCTCCTTGCCAGTATGTTCTTTCACATTCTTCTACCCCAAACCCCTGAGCAAGCAACCCACTGCCCGCCGCCTGATCTCGCGATCGAAGAGAACTGCCGGCGCGCTGCTCCAGATTGCTTCTGCTCTACTACCTAGGTACTCACCCCAGATAAACGCCACGAACGCCATATCTCGCCAAACAAGTGTCTTCCAGGAGTCACCTGAGGCAATACCACGGTCACCCCTGCGCCGATCGATCGATCGCTCTTGTATCTTTGTCTAGAAGGCCCAAGGCTTCGCAAGCCGCGAATCCAAAAGCCTCGCCCTCCAAGCGAGGTCCGGTGCGCGAGTCCGCCGGCCGTTGGGGAGGAACCGCAATCAAGCCACCGCAGGAGATTTGACACAAACGCAGAAGACCATATCGCCGTCTTGCCTTGTCCATGGCGCTGACAAGGGGGCCATGACTGACGGGGCGTGGCAGGGGTGACACATGGAGATGGTCCCAGTTCTGTAGGCTAACCTTAGCAAAGCGGACGAACGCCCCCAGGTGGTGGCGGTTGGCCTTCTTCTTATCTGGTGTTGTTCGAGCCATCACCAGGCCCGGCGCCAGCAGGGGGTGGTGGGGAAATTGCCCGGCTCCTCCTTGTGGCTTGCCCCCGGGCAAGCGTCATCGCCGATCTGCTCCTTTCTCTGCGTCGCCCCCCCGATGATGGCACCTATTGCCCGATGACCGTGGACGACAATTGTATGATTTCGTGCTGCCAACTCGGACCGAGCCTGCGGGCTATCCAGGGCCTCGAACATGCGGGAGAGAGCGGACGGAAAAGACCCTGGAAAATCTCTTTCCGTGACAAGGCCGTCCCGGCCGCCCGTCTCGGGGACACCCACAATCCTTGTCCCTGCCTCTCCCGCCCCGGCAGTCAAAGTTGCATGGGAAAGCTTGCTGCGATCAACACTTCCATGTTTGATGACACCCTGGGCCGGTGATACCTTTGCCCGGGGGGGAACCACGTGCGTCGCCATAAAAACGCCCCTGCTCGTTCCAGTCGCTACCTCGGCGGCCCCGCCGCCACCGGCGTCCGTCCGTTGAGGTTGATAACTCTGTCTCGACGGTGGCGCCGCGCCGTCCTTTTTTCTCTGTCGAGGGGCGTTAAAAACGTTCGTGCTCGCGGGCTGGCTGGCTGATGGTCAAAAGGACCCATACGCGGAAACAAACACAACGGCTGGTTAGTTTGCAGGCAGAGCAAAAAAGGACAATGGGCCCTCGTAACGAGAGAGCACACTTTTATGCTTGACACTATCCGGTGCGGGGACCTTGATGACCGCTGGAAGGAGGAAGGTCTCGTATGCAAGGGCAACTGCCAATCTCCGCATTCCAGTAAAGAGAAGCTGAAGACCGGCCAGATAGTTCCACGCAGAGAGCTGTTCTTCAGGGAACAAGCTGGTCCTGGCGCAGGAATACTAGCCAAGCCGGCCGTCCCGGGGTCGGGATGGCTGGGGGGGGGGAGGGTAAGAGCTAGATGGTAACTATATCTTATCAACACGAGTCCCAGGGGGTTACTTCGTAAACCCAAGCGGAGCCTCGCTGATTTTCTTTTTTTGGAAGTTCTCCGTCTAACGACACAAGGACTCTAAGAATGGGAACTACCCCAGGTGAGGGTTGGCTCAGCAAGACTCGTCACCTTGGAGAGCAGTCGCGGCTTCGGATGTTAGTGCCCGGGGGGAGGGAGGAAGAGCAAGGACTAGCTGAAGCTGCATGAGCTATATCTGATAGCCTTGGTGATAAGTGGAGAAGGAGGGTTGTTCTATTGAACAGATCTACCGTGATGCTCTGCTCCCAGGGAAGACTTGGTCGGGGATCTTATCAGCTGAACTGAGGGGAAACCGTACGAGAATTCACGTCTGCCTGGAACAAGCTGGGGTTTCCATCTCCAGCCAAAACCCAACTGAGGACAGAGCCGTGGTGGAAGAGCTGACTGAGCCTTTTGATGCGAGAAACAAAGTGGGCTGTGTCCTTTTTCTTTCCGTCTCGAGTGTTGTGCTAAGCCTCTTCCAGACAGAAGGTGGCTGGCATTGCTTTTTCCTCTCTCTTGATCTTCGCTTGTATTGCTCGCTAACAAGTTAGAGGATCGATGCTAGCTCGGACCGAACGTGATTGTATGTGCTCGTGGCAGGATTCCCAGTCCAGGTGATGTGACGAGGCTTGACTTTGTGAAGCTGACTTACGAAGTATATTGTGATTTTCGCTCAAGATTGGCCGAGACAGCACTGGTGACGGGCATCAAGAAAAAAACACTCAAGGCCGTCCTATGTGGCGACACACGGCTCCGCAGGATCATCCTCGGGTGGTCGGGCGGGGGCTCTCTTGGATCTCTAGCTCCGTCATTCGGACTCAACTCCGTTCGACGGGTTGGGATCCGCGGATAGGTAGCGAGGAGGCAGTGTCGGGATCGACGTGCCGGGGCCGTTTGTGAGTTCAAACCATTCCAGCTTCTATCTGTCTGCCTAGTGTGGGTGTGTGTGTGTGTGTGAGTGTGCGTGCGTGTCTTTCAGACCAGTCCATCGTTCTAGTCAGCTGTCCGCTGCCCATCGTTTTGAGTCAAGGACTCCAGAGACTACTTTAGTGTTTGAGTAGGTTGGCTGATGAGACGCGGTTTGGGGTGGCGGAGGAAGGCCTTTTAGCTGGCGCGTGCACGGCTGGGGCAGGAAGGAATGCACTTTAAGAGCCAAAAAGCGCGTTTCAAGAACAAGACGATCGACTTGGTTTGGCATTCTGAAACCGCGCGTTTTGGGTTTGGCGGTGGCGTCGTGGTGGTGTCTTACCTGGTGTGTGTGTGTGTGTGTGTGTGTGTGGTGTGGTGTGGACTTGTGGATTTGGAATGTTCAACTACGTATGGGTTTGCAGATCAAGAAAGTATCCCTCCCTCTCAAGTCCGGGGAAGAGAGCAAACCCGGTCCCTCGAATCAGACAGCAAACAGGAGGAAATCTCCGAATCTGGCAGATTCTAGGGGTCGTCCTTGATAGCACACCTACTGAGTAATGGTGCAGCAGGATCTCCATGTTTGGTGTGTCACACTGCATATCCAAGCCTGCAAAAAGACCCTGTCGATGCCTGCACATTGCATGTTAGCAGGTAGGGCTAGGCCGGCTCTGGACGACCTCGCTGAGCCTGCATGCCCAGGAAGGGCCAGGGCCAGCACCGCCTGCAGCCACTGTCACGCAACGGCCTCTTTTGGGAAGTCTGCTCGCCCGGTTTGGGTTTTCCGGGTGTGTGTGAGTGTGTGTGAGCGAGTGAGTGTGTGTGTGCGAGGGCCCCTCTCTCAAAAAGTTCCTGCATTAGCCAACAGGCCCGGATTGTACGAGATCCTGCTTTTCCTTCCCTGCAGTCTCGCTCCGCCGGTATCCTCTAAGAAGGAAAAGGTGGTGTTTGTCATCAAGCCAAGATGCTAGATGCAGCACTAAGACGTCTCTGGTAGCCTATCAGAGGGCTGGCACCGCAAGAGATTCTGTCACACACATACCGGCCTTTCGTGCTTAGCTCAATGTGATAGGTTAAGTCATGTAGTCCATGGACCTGCCTCGCCTCCGAGTCTTGTCACGCCATCATCGACTCGAAGCAGGGCCCAAGTCGGAGAACGAGACAAGCAGGTATGCCTAGGATGCACCACAGTGGCTGGGACAAGAGAGCGGCCCGGCTGAACGAGTGGGACAACGACACGAGTGGGACAGCGAGACGAGGATTGTCTTCATTTTGCACGTCAGTTCCAGAAAAAGCCGTTTCAGGAACAACGTCAAGAGTCTGAGTCTCTCCCTCTCTCTCTCTCCCCCCCCCCCCTTCTCCCCTCTGGCTCAGGGTTTGGGATGATTCGAGTGTCACGTAATCCAGCCGAGCCGTGTGTGTGCCCATTTTAGACTTCTGGACAACTGGGGCGATCCTAGCGTCCTGCTAGGTCAGGTAGGGGCTCCTCTCCAGCCTCTGGCTGAGTCGGGTGTGAGGATGGCAGGACCAGGCACGGGACGAGACGGCGCGGATAGAGAGGCGGCAAGAGGTGCGGTGCGGTTCGAAGCAGGACGGACGGGAGAACAAAGGGTCGAGAGGGGTAAAACTGGACCAAAGAGCCCGCTCCGACCCGAGGGCCGGAAAACCCGAACGATCGAAGCCACTCCATCTCGACCTCTTGTTCCTAGGTAAGTCCCACGATAGAGGAGGCTCTTCGTTTCTTTCTTTTTTCCTCTCACTGGCAAGTGGCCAAAGACATCCACCAGTACCGAACGATATGTCTGTGGGATGTCTGATGGAGCCGCAATCCGGGCGATCGCACCATCCAGTTCCCACTGAGGCTTGGCGCCTCTTTTGTCCAGGACATGGGCCGTAGATCCCGGGGATCCATCGGCCGCGCTAGACATGGGAGGCCCCTGCTGGGCCCGCGTCCCTCTGCCCTATCTACATCTGGCAAGGCCCGGCGGGGGCAGAACGCTACGGGTGAGAGAGAGCGAGCGAGAGAGAGAGAGGAAAGACAAAGACAAGGAAAAAGCAACTGGCATGTGGCGCCAAACTGTCGGACTAGGCCTGCTGCTTGTCTCGCACTACGCGTCAGAGGGTGTACCAGCCCGGGGTCTAAGACATCTCTAGGTATGCTGGCCGAGTATCAGAGCGAAAGAGAAAACCTTTTGCAGTCTCGTTCTGCCCGTGGCCCGAGAGACGGGGAGGAAGACGTGGGTTCTGGAACTGGATCAGTCTGATTCAAGACGAACTCGGGAAGATAGGTGAAAGTTAGACGTAACCGAAAAAAAAGAAAATGCGCGAAGGAAAAGAAAATACCCACGGCGGGACAGCAGAGTGGTGAGATGCCGGCTGAAGGCGGGGAACGTCTCTCGAGAGAAAATGTGATAACTCACAATCACCAATTACTCTTTTTGGCCATGACCACATTAGTGAAGGCAGACTAAGTCGGTTGGGTCGGGACCTCGCTTGCTTGCGTATGTCACAGAAACTCAAAGAGACTGCCATGATTTGCGTTTGTGAAAACGTCCACATTTTTGCTATCTAAGTAATGATGACATATGGGTACAATGCTCCAAAAATGTACAATGCTGATCATGCCGAATAGACTGACTCCCAAGGTCGTCTCAGGACCAAACCAATGATGATATCAAAAAAGGCAGAAAAAAAAATGATTCCATGCGCATCCGGTCCTCCCTTTTTGTGGCGTAATAGTACATGACTGAGGAAAAAGAATAGACAGAATGAAGATCCTCCCAAGCAGTGGACGGAAAGATATGCTATATGCTGAAAGATTATGGTGTGAAAATCATGATGGTTGCCGCCAAACTTCGGCCGTGAGCGTGTGTCGTCCGGGTCGTAAAACAAGTCCTCGGAGCCTCATCAGGGTCAAATATTATGAGGTTTCCAAAGGTGCCTCGCGTAAAATCATTCAAATACATAAGCGCCGTGTTTCGCCGTGAATCGGATTCGTAGATGCTGTTGTTGACACAAGGGAAAGGGAGCCTCATAGCTCGCTGCAGATCTCGTCGTCATCCTTCTCCTTGTTGGTGGGGCGGCGCTGCTTGATACGCTTCTGCTCGTCCTCGAGATCTTGCAGAGCATCGGGGTGGTAGGTGGTCCTTGAGTTGCGGCCCCTCTTCTCGGTGTGAAGCTTCAGGTGCTGGCGCCAGTTGTCCTGGCGGTTGAACTTGTGCGAGCAGTACTTGCAAGGGAAGTTCTTCTTGTTCTTGTGGGTGCTGTTGCTCATGTTAGTACGTGAATTTATTGCATGGTTTTGTTTCTGTACCACTTACGTATCAATGTGCCTCTTGAGGTGTTCCATCCTCTTGAAGGGCTTGGAGCTGCAGCCGGGAACGTCGCACTTGAAAGCACCAGCGGCGATCCTCTGGACTGAGACGCCGTTGTGACCAGAGGAGACGACTGCACCGGTGCGGTCCCGCTTGCCCGACGACCTGAGGGGCATGTGGGCGGCCTGCTGCACTCTTTGCAGGACGTTCGACTTCTGCTGGGCATCCTCCATAAACAGTCTCCTCCGCGGGCGGTTGAAAGCGAAGGGGCTGCCGTCGTCCCTCATAGACTTGAGCGGAGACGGGTGGTTCTCAAAGGTGACTGGGCTGTCCATGCCCATGGACCAGAGAGTTGGGACATCGCAGGAGTTGCCATTGTAGATAGAGTGAGCTGGCGTGGGAACCATGAAGGGAGAGGAGCCCATGGACTCGGCAAAGGAGTACATGTCCATGCTGTGGGTAGGGGTGAGGGGACCATGCCAGCTGTGGGAAGCAAGAGTGGCATCGAGCATATTGCTTCCGTACCGGCTAGGAGTGACTGGCATGCCGTTGGGCAGGAAGTCGGGCTCCATGTCGTTCTTCATGTGGTGGTGAATGGGGAAATAGCTAGACACAGCTGATGAGGGAGGAGTCATATCGAATCCGGCCGGGTCAGAGTAGAAAGACGACTCAAAGTCGACCGAGGGGCGTCGAGTAGGAGACGAACGGCCCGAGGTAGGCGTGAAAGGGTCGTAGGAGGACGAGGCAGATGAGAAGCTGCTGCTTGTTGAAGGGCATGAGAAGGACTGGGGAGCACCGAGGCTGAACCTGTCGTCGATCTCGAGCTTCAAATCCATAGCCATGACTAGACTGGGGTGAAAGGAATGACAAGAACTTGGTTGGTGAGTAGTGAAGATGGTGGAGTGCCCGTTCAGCAGAGAATGCAATGAAGGGCAGGTAGTAGGGAGTGGATGATGATGATGATGATGCTTGACGATGAATGAACCTTGGGCCAAAGGGGTTGAGTGAAGGAGGTTCGTGAGGAATTGGAATTCTTCGGCTTTCAATTCAAGGAGGAAGTCGAGGACTAGTTATACAGGAGAGATCGAGATATCGACAGAAGAATGGTGACTCCCTTAGACCAAGATGGGCATATATATGTCTAGATAGAGATAGTGTGGCCAATATAAAGGGCTACAGGGCAGTGAGAAGAGCCGCCGTGAGGAATGCGAAGCGCGACGCGGAGGTGGTTAGTCGATGCATAGGTGTGGCACCCACCCCTCCGATCCCAAAAAGGCGCCGGCGGCCCTAGTCAGGACGAGAGATACGAAGCAGCGAGCCGAGTTGGGCCACCCAAGGGCAGGATGGGTACGTTGGTGCCCACCTTACTATTGCTTTGCATGAAGCTGTGTTTTATGAGGAGCTGCTGCTAGGGAAACCTCCTGGCCAGACTGATGTAGAGCCCGAGGCTCCGCCCACACCAGCAGGGCAAGCTGCAGTCCACAGCAAGCGGCACCATGAGGATGCCACCAAGAGCCCGCAGGCGGGTCTCCTTGTCTGCCCTTCCCATCACCAGGGTTGACAAACTAGTCCATGCGGGGGAGGAGACCAACAACCTAGGAGGCCAGGATGGTAACCCTGCAAGCAAGCCAGAGATCGGACGTGAGGCTAAGATGTGGTACCCTGGCCTGTTCCTGCAGCTTGTACCAGGATGATGAGACCTTGTGAAGACATAGGACGTCACGATTTGGCATCTCTGTTTGGCTTAGCAAATGACTTGCATGAACCTCTGACGGCAAAAAGCAAAAGCACACCGGAGTGATCGCCATCATGAACACAGACTCTCGCCACTGCTAGAGCACTTTAGATCCAGAGTGCCGAATCTGGAATGGCAGGCCACACCCCGAGGAATGGGCACTGTCGTCAGTCAGAGGGCCCCTCCTGGTCCAGATGATGCACGGCTTGGCAAGCAGCCCAGAGAGCGAGTGACTGAGACAGTAATGGTCGAATTGAATTAGAGACACCATAATCTAAAGCAGACGGAAGGAGGCGAGTACCCGACGAGGAGGGGAGCCGGCGGTGTTTGCAGTCTCTCACTAGGCCCAGATCTCGGAAACATCCAGGAACAGGATACCTAGCTTGGGATCCCGGCGTTGCAACCGACAGCCAGGACTGATGTCAGCTGCAGAGAAAGCCAAGGTATCCTCTTGTTCCCATATGCTGGTGGAGGTTGCAGCTAGCATCATGGAGCGGAGGGTCAGCAAAAGGCCCTCGTGGTCCATAAAATGGCAATAGTCAAGCTGAGATTACTGGAGAAGGGAGACGGTTAGATGAGGAGAGAGAGACACATGGGCACACATTCAGAAGTGAGAAGAGGGGGGGGTGGTTGGTCAGAGACACAGGATCCAGCGTCGTAGAGTGACGATGGTGCGTACGATGCAAGTGAGTGGATCTGGCACAGGCGAGAGAGAGAGGAAAAAGAAAAGACCACAGAGCCTTGGGTGAGCTTGTCAATGCCGCAAATGGTCCTAGTTGAGACACATTCGGCTGGTGGGAAAAGGTGGGAGCAAATGTGGAGGAAGGTGGGATTTGGGGGATTGTGATGTGATGTTGGATCTCGAGGTTGGTTGGAGACGGCAGAGGTGGAGAGATACTTGGAGAGACTGGTGGTGGTGGTGGTGGTGGTGTGGTCTGGCTGGGTGCTGGTTGATGGTGGTGGGATGAGATAGGCGAGAGACGTATCTTGCCCGCATTAGATGGATGGATGGGTAGGATGGATGGATGGATGGATAGATAGGCCATTGCATCAGCACTCATTCGTGTGGTTGGCTGGTTTCTTTTTCCTTGTTTGTGGGTGTGCATGTGTGCGTGTAAGTCGTCTTGGTGCTGGTGGTGGTGTCAGTCACCTTGCAACGACGGCTCATCATTTCCAGCACCAGTTTAGCAAACAACGCCCTAAACACACTTCTCTACTGCAAAGGTCCCATCTGATCATGACCCCAAGAGACAAGAGAAAGAGAGAGAGAGACACCCATCCAACACAGCAGCCAAATGAACCAGTTAAGTGCGCGCATAAGGCCGTACATAAGCGTTGGCAGTAGTGGCATGCCCAGGAGGGCACAAGGTGAGGTGAGGCGAGGTGAGAGAAATGAGGGAAATGACACAACGGAAAGTACTTGCCCATAGGTGGCCAGCCAGCCTGGACGTGCGGTACTACCCGTCAGCGAAGGGGGCGCGCGCCGCTCTGTGGAGGAGGCTATCTCGTCATGCTAAAGTAGCATCATCCCCACCTAGGATCGAGAGAGCCCACCACAAGAGGGACCTCTTGTAGGTACCTACTTGCTGTACGTACAAGCAGAGCCTGCTGCAGTCAAGGAAGGCCACCAGAGGGGTGGACAATGCCTTGTTAGTCCCAAGCCGGCTTGTCCGTTCAGCCCCTGGTGCACCTGGCTAGCAGCTTGGATCTGCGGAGCCAAGCCAGCTAACATCGCCGCTTTGCCGCCCTCTGTGGAGCTCTGGCGAGTCTGACAGAGCCAGGGCCAGGGTGGCCTACAGGGGAGAAGCTCCAGGCCTCGAGCCGCAATCCCAGCTTGCCCAGCACACTCCCACTTGTTCCCAAGGCCTCTCTTCCCAGGCTCGCACGGCTTGTTCACGGATCCTTGGCTGCGATCAGTGGGGACTTTGGTCGGCATCGGACATGGGGCCTTAACCTTAACCGGGATCAGTCCTGTTCCTGAACCGCCCTTCGTTCTTGCACCTTAGTCCTGCCCTCTGCTCTCTGGGCACCCACTCGGCCGGCTGGTGGAATCCGATCCAAAAGGCGATCGAGCACACAGGGAACAAGGAACGTATTCGACCCTGATTGCGACCCTGGAGCCGACCCTGACCCTGAAAGCCGATCGACCCTGGGAAGAGGGAAAAGGACCCTGGTGGCCTTTCTGACAGGTGCCTGACCTGACCTGATCTGATTGCAGATCACTTGCCCATGTCGGCCAAACTATGGGGAACCCAAGCACTGGCTGCTATTCGCAGATGGGGATTGCGGTTTGCTCGGTGGCTGACAATCCATGTGCAACTCTAAAGCACGGCTCGTTCTTTGCACGACGATACTAAAACATAGAGGACCTGCGAGAGCGTTTTCTGTTGCTGGGTCTTCCCCAACGACGGAGGCGTCTCCTAAAAGAGACGGCCGGAGTGGCTTTGAGCCGTGGACGGAGTACTTCGTAGTAAGAGTGAGAGGCTTGCTGCCGTGCTCTCCTCTCTCCGCTCTCCTCTTTCGATCTGCTCGTCTAACGTCGACCAGCTCTCCCTCTGGCCTCACTACTGACTTCACTATCGCCGACACTTGCGTGCGCCATTGCGTTGTTTCGAGCCATGCGTTTCCGCCGCTGACGTGTTCTCCGCCGTGGTGCAGTAGACCAACAAGGCTGGCTCCCTGGGACGGCCTGTGCTCCGTAGGCAGACGCACGCCTTCTTTGAGTATCGTTTCTGACTCGAAGGGGGTTTGGCTCATTTCAGATATGCGAGGTTTGCTTCCCAAGCTCCCAACCACCCATGCAGTAGGGCATCCGCTATGCCACAAATAGAAGATCAAGTCCTCTGGCGGGGTCTGGCCGGCTCGTCTTGGTACCTGCTTCGTTTATGCAGCTAAAATCCAACTTGCTTTGCCCCCCTGGTCCTGGTTTACTCAACGCAAGTTTGCCTCTTGGGCAGGTTGTTGTCCTAGCAAACCGCCTCCGCCGCAAAAGGTCCTTTGCATGCACTTGGCTTTCCCGGGAGCACCGGGGAGGGCTGTCGCCTTCGAGTCGAGGCCACGGGCTTGCTCCGACGCTGCCAGTACCTGGCATCTGGCGAGGCCTAGATCACACCGTTTGGCGTTTTGCGCCCCAGCAGTGGTGAGCAGCTCCGCAGAGACGGGCGCCGTTCTTGTCAATTGTCTCCATTCTCCAATCCACGTGCCGATCGATCGTGACATGGCTTGTCTAGTTACCCAAAGGAAAAGGAGCAGTCAATCCGGACTCTGGAGGCTTGGAGGGCGCATCGCGGATAGAGAGCTTGGGGCTACTTGGCGATAAGACCCGAAGATAACGGAGCGGGGAGACGGGATGGGATTGTCAGAAAAGCTGCATGCGCATCAGAACATGATCAGAGCAGCGTCAAGGCGCCCGCTTTGTCTGTGCCGCTCCCGAGCGGGAACCCATGGCGAAGATCACTTGGCAGCCATGACCCCTCGCCTTTTGACAATGGCATCTGACAACTCGGAAATTTTTACGAACCCTCGACCCTTTGTCGGGTCTAGTAGATGGCTGCATAGGCCCTTTCTCCGCTTCTGATAGCTCATATACGACTAGAGCGGGCATGTCTAAGCTGAGAGAGACAGTGAACCCGCGATGATCGCCGATCGTGCAATTGGGGAGAGAGCGCCCAGCCCAGAGGAAGAGCTTCCAACCCCGCCCACGCTTGGGTCAAGCTTGGTCCGGTTCCTGGAATAGCGGAGGGGCCCGCTCTGCGGTCGGGTCCGGCTTCACCTCACTCCCAAGACACAGGCGAGACAGGCGAGCCAGGCCACTGACAGCCTCCGGTCCTGGGATCCTCCCCTGTGCATCGGAGCTGTCAAAGCTGCACCCATGTCTGATGTTCCTGGCGCCTTCTTCAACCTTGCGATGCCCAAAGAGGGAATTCGACCCCCTGGCTCGCCTGTTCCCAAGGTTTGCTAGAGCCTGCGCGGCCCCTCCTCTGCTGCCGACTACGAACCCCCTGTGCCTGGAGGGGGTGATGCATCAAGCACTAACCTCCTGGCCCCGGTCGACAGTAAGATGAAGATTACCTACTCTCCTATGGGCCCATACTCGTCGCCTTGCAGGAAGCTTTCTTCAAGGCGTGCTCCATCGTGGACCTCGCCTCGGTCTCTCCCCCAACAGGTGCTACCTCCTGGCTGCTGGGGCTTCCCTTTCGGTCAACTTACATGCCGCTATTATGGCTTCACCTTTCAGATCGTGGCATCGGCTGTGGCATCACAGTTTTCCTCGGGACTCGCCTTCCAGACGCGCAACTTGGCCTGTTCTAGCTCGCTCAGCAAAACGTACGATGCTGCAGAGCTTACGCGAATGGAACAGAACTCGGAGGAAACACCATCTCCAGGGCTGCGATGGAATGCTGGCCTCGAGGCCTCGACGCTCTGTCGAGGTCCGATCCCGGTCCGCTTACCACGGCAGGCTGCGACAAGGAGAAACCTGGCATAGCCTGCAGGAAGCTGCCGGGGCTCTGATTTGTCCTTCCGGTCACAAATGACACGTGAGCTGCATAGACTCTGTCAGAAACCTTCGTCTCCTCCTTCCTCATGGATAACGAACCGCTTACAATCCTCAAGGATGGCCTTCTCCAAGTGTTGGTAGCCGAGTATTGCGTGTTTAACCGGTCCGCGGCAGTTTAAACAAAAGTTCAAGTGTGCCTTGTTTTTCGTGCTTGTATCTGCCTTTCTTCTGATATCTTGAACACTTGTTTTCACCTTTTGCCCGGCACTGTTTTGTTGCTTTATCTTTTGCATTACTCTGAATCCGTCCTCAACCTAGTTTCCCTTCATCCAAGACCCTCCCTCCTCCCAGAAATCACAATTGACGGTCCCCAGACCGTTGTATTGCCTGCCGGGAGGAGGGTTCGCCCCTTGCTGAGTGAGATCTACCAAGTGGATGGATAGCTGCATGTAGTTACATTTCCATTTGAAATATATTCTGCGTGTAGTGTAAGCACGTTACCGATTCCGGACGAGTTGGTTACAACTTTCGGTGCGAGGTTGAGTGTTATCCGGAGCGAGCGCCGTGTCGCGCAACGACGTTATTCCCAGGCACATCACGCATTTGTTCCTCGACTCGGTTTCTCTCCACCCTAGGAGAGTATCGCCTGCATTGGAAAATGAGAGATAGCCGACTAAAGCTGTGAGAATGGTTCGGTTTTTGGTCATTGGGGGATCGACATAATCAGTTCTCAGAAAAGGTGGGCAGACTTGGCGGACTTAGACTGCGCTTCCCAAAGCCAAATGCATGATCTTTGCTATCTTTTCTTTTTCCTCTTCCTTAATACCTCTCTTAAAGTTCCCCACCGTTTTCAGTTGCCCCCCCTCCTCTCTAACGCAATCAATTACACTCTTTTCTTTTGACCTGCCTGCATATCTCTATTCCTCATGTGTGACTAGGTGACGCATGTGGCAGCTGCAGAGTATCAAAAGAGGATGTTGCGGGGAGCTTTGTCTCTCCATGCGGTAAAGAGCAAACAGGTAGTGCTTGAATAGATCTGTTGATCTCCTCATTGAGACAATTCAAGTTATCGGGCCGTTCGCGTTTCGCGTTGGTAGCCAGGATATCAAGTATGAGGCAATGCAAGGGGACAGTTGCAGATCCCCTCAGGAACACAACCGCATCGACGGAACTTCCCAGTACCTGACATCCTGGCTGACCAAGGTGTAATAGACTCTGAACGCCGAAGTGCCAGACCAACAAAGTAGCATGCTTGTCCGTGGTGTCCACTCGTACCCTTCACAACTGGCAACTCCCGGCAAGCGAAAGAAGGAATCTCGGATACGCAACACAAAGGATTCACCATGTAACAATCACACCTCTGATGGACTAACTCAACGTGAGCAAGATTTCGTAGATCCCGAGGACACGCAACAATGCCAAAATGGGTGACGTGTGTCAATAACGTTATGAACCTTGATGATGTGTTGTCCGAGAGAACATGCTCTTGCCGAAATCAACGAATAGGGACGTTCGCATCTCAGGTAGGTTCTAGAATGCAGCCTCTGTATCGTCGTCCATCTCATAGTCCTGCTCTGCTGCTTGCATCTCCTCCTCGGTGGCCTCAAGACCCTCGCTACTCATCAATTTGTCGTCTTTTGCCTCGGCTGTGCATGATAGTCAGTGCCTCACTCTTTTATGTCATGTGGTAATCTCGAGACTCACTTTTCGGCTCAACAAGCAGATTCTCTTGTACCTCGCAGTCTGTCAAAGTAGACCCTTCACCAATCTCACTCCTCTTGCCCAGTATGCACCTTGTCAGCTTGCAACCCTTGCCAACGACCACACCCTCCATCAGGACACATTGTGACAACTTGGCGCCTTCCTGGATCTGGCAATTGGCACCAATGACAGACTCTTTGATGGCTGATTTCTCATCCACTGTGACATTCTCGGCCAGCAGACTATCCTGCTTCGTGATCGTGGTCCTAGACTTGACGCCTTCAGGGTATGCCACCTTCCGGGCATGAGCAAAGGGCGAAGCGCCTTCGGGGCCGGCTTCTTCAATCGAAGGCAGCTTGGCCAGCAGCAAAGATGTTGCCAATAGACTAGAAGCAGTATCGACGCGGCGCACTAGAGGTGCTGAAGGGTCGCTGGGGTGAATGTAGGCCAAGAATGGCGGCATGAGTTCTTGCGATGACGGCTTCGGCTGCGTCTTCTTGTCGTCGGCAACGATCTGTGGATTTCTTGTCTGTGTCGATGTCTTGGGAATCGACTCATCTGGGTTGGATCTGATCGGTGAAGAGGATATGTGGCCGTGAGCCCGGTCGTCCTCTTCGTCGCCAGATGAAAATATCCTATCCATGCCCAGTTTTTCTGGCAGACCGACTTGCCAGCCAGCCTTCGCCCACCAGCCAATGACATCCTCTCCAATGCTCTCGATAGCCTCATTCTCCTGTATGAAGTCCATGACCCAATGGGGAAGGATGTATATGTGCGCGTCCCGGTGTGTTGTCCGCATGCGGACGTTAGGATGGCTGCGAATAAGCCCATGTCTCAAAGGAAACCCGCTTCTTGCCTCTGTCAAGTCATTGAGCGAGTCTGATGGTAGAGAGTAGACAAGTTTGGACAGATTGCCCAGGATCGAGCCCTTCGGCGGCAGGACGGGAGACGCGGGTAATGGTGTGGTGATGATGAAATCGGTCTCTTCTCCTTTGATGGGCGTGGCAGTCTTGGTTTCATACCACAGGCCCATTCCACCACTGTGAGAGGTGCTCTTGGAGCGCTTGTCTCCGAACAAGTCGTCAAGAGTTTCCGACTTGACCATCCAGGCCTGGAGCAGCTTGTCGCCCGCGAGCTCACAGACAATATCGCATGGTAGGACAATGAAGTCCGAGGTCACAGCATTCCGGACTTCTGGCAGCCGCAAGATTTCTGCTGTTCCGGTATTCTGGTCCAGGTCTTTAGGTGCCAACAAAGTAGGGCTTGGGAGAGGGAGCCCGGTGAGGAATGGGTTAGTTTTCAACGCTGCGGTGATAGCTTCCGCGGCCGATGGGGGGCAAATGAGAGTGATATCTGAATCATAAAATTAGCCATCGGAACACAATTTCCAGAAATGCCAAGGTTGAGACTCATCTACGAAGATGAGTCTAGCAGTCCTTGAACAAGACCGATGACGGCACTCACCTGTGATGCCTGTTCTATAGCAGAAGTCGAGAGGGTACCAGACCATAGGCCGGTTGGCAATAGGAAGCAGGGCCTTTGGATTCTCGTCTGGATTCGCCGTAAAGGTCGGGAAGGATGACCCAGGGCCGCAGAGAATGAGAGCCTGCAGCCCTGGCGAGGCTACAGACACAGCGTGGGGCATCTTGAATGCGACTCTTGGCGGATGAGGGTGGGAGGACAGTGAAATGCAGTGTCAACCGGCCAGTGGTCTGAGATCCCAAAGCTTGCCAGCTCTGGGTAGTCTTTCCTTGAGCCGGGACAGAAGTGCTGCTGCCAATGCCGTTGGTTTGTCCTCTCCTTTTTCACTCGTGCATTTGAGTCACCACACTCAAGCTTTCCACACCAGCTCTCAGTGATTGTATCGGAAATTTTGATTATCTAAGGCCTTATCGATGACCTTTGTTGCGCGGGGGTGGGGCATGCACGTGAAGATATGCTCCTACCGCGGGCACTCGAGAATAGTGGCCCTCCACTGAATTCGGCCTAGGAGTCGCTTTGGCCGGCCAACCAGGAACGCCTGTCGCAACCTCGGGATCGTCTCAGCTGGCCGACCCTGGTCGCCCTAGCTCGGTGAGCATCAACAAACCCAGCCACCGAGGAGGGTAGAGAAGTTCAGGCTTCTGTGTGCGCTGGTGTCTCCCAAGTTTCCAGCCACTCAGTTCACACTCCTCTCCATCGCTTCCTCCCAATCGACCGCTGAATACGGGAACACTGTGAATCGCATTCTTGCGTCCGGCAACGAGATTCGAGCGCCACGAGGTGCGATGAGCGCATCAACATAATGTCGTCGCCATACGATCATCGAGGCTCGTCCCGTCGAAGAGGGGTCTGGACTCACTGGGTACCTTTGGCGGTCACGGTTACGGTTGCTACCGTAGGGCTTGCGGCATGGGTATGGAGCCAGCGCAATGACGATGAGGAAGAGGCTGGCCCTATACAACACGATCTGGACTACGAGAATGCCGACTATGGCGATAACCCCGCGTACGGCGCAACCAACCGGGGCGGCGACAGCGCCAGCATCAAGCCGCCACCGTCCTTCTCCACCGAACTGAGGGAGGGCGAGACGGGATACGGCACGGCTCAGGGACATGATGCTGCTGCCGGCTGGGGATCCAGAATGTCTGGCGCACTGCGACGGACCCCGAGTCCGCAACAGTTCTTCGACAGCGCAGGCCGGACTGTTGGCGCTGGAGTCGCTGCTGTGGGCGCTGCTGTTGGTAGTGCACTGGCATCGATACGCGAGGACGACAAGAACGCATATGCTGACCACGAGACATGGTCCGAAGAGGCAGATGCGAAGAAGGATCGGTCCGCAACCTCATCTCCGAAGAACGGAAATCAGCGTCGCAAAGTTGTCGCCGTCGTTGTTTCTGCCGATAGCCAGAGTGGTGACATTGACGAAGATGCATTCCATGAGCACGCAGTAAGCGACACATATAACCCCTTGATCTATCTGCAGCTATGGCTAATCAGTATTTTTTATCGTTAGTCTATCTTGTCGCACATCCCGAGGGTCAATGATTTCTCCAAGATCAAGCTATTCGTGCTCATCTACGCTCCGAATCTGAAGGAGTCGTCGTTAGAAGCTACGGGTAATCTTCCACCTGCCTCCCTCAGTTCTTCCTTTTCCAACATTGGACCAGAGCACATCCAATCGCCCAAGGACGAAGTGAAGAACCCCATGTAAGTCACGATGTCAATTACTGCAAGGACTGCCCATGATCTGAAATCTGACTAGGAATAGGGGGAACAATGCTTCTGCCAGCCCGGCATACAACGCTGTTTACTCTCAGGCTCTTGCCTTGGTCGAGAAAGAGACCATGGTTATGCCATTCACAACTCCGAATGGGCACGCTCACATCCTTCGCCATCTGAGCCCTGAGATAATCTATCTCCAGGAATCCTTGGCCGGTGACAGTGGTGCGATTGTTACCCAACTTCAGTCCTGGCTTCGCCACGATATCGTCCTTGTGGTTGGTGCTGAGAGTGGACATGGGGGGCTTGCCGATAGTGAATCGGAGGCCGAACGGCCGGGCCAGCCCGAGAAGTGGTGGCAGAGGCCGGAACGGGTCGGCCGTGGAAGAGGCGTGGTTGTGGTGGATGGAATGCGGGTTAACGACGACTGGGCGAGGCGTGTGCAGGGCAAGGAATAATGCTGTGTATGAACCAAATTTGCTGCGGTCGGGCACGGAACATAGGTCGCTATTTGCAGTCTATACATTTTACGGTAGATAGTCGGAATTATTTCATCTTTCCTATTGATGACGACAACAACAACAATGTGAAATTGCTATTGGTGATCCTTCCCATTGTTCCGAAGCCGTTTCCAGGTTCGTATTCTCAGGTCACGTGCAATTCTTTGGGGGAGGCAGCCACACGAGGCTGGGATCTTGGCTGGACCACCTGTTTAGCGTGGAGGGCCGAATCAGGTACAGGCTTGTCACGCCTGTTCGCTACATTGTCCCGGCGCTGACCTCAATTCTGACTACCATCCATGACCTGGAGTCAACCCCACACAATCATCCATGATATGCGCATCCATCAGCAACATCAAGTTTCTTTTATTCCTTCGTTCACGGGCTCAGGTCATTGACGCGATCATCGCCTGGTGATGCTCGTCTTCTTTATCTGATTGCCCAGAGCTCCGGCTCCTCATAGAGCGCAGACTCCCCACCTGACGCGCTCCGTTACGATTTATTCGACCGCCCTCCCATCGCCTGCTCTATCGCGACTCGACCCGGTCGCCGCATCGACACACGCATAAGAACCGCTACCGATGTGCTCAATCCGCCTCGAATCTCCTGCGCCATAGTCTAGGAGGCTCGCGCGAGCCAGAATTGTCCATTGTCTTCGCAGACTGTTGAGTTTAGGTTCCTGGATATTGGCGGTGGTGCCTTGCGACGATGGCACCAGTAGTCACGGCCGTGCCTCCGCCGACAATCCCTCCTCCCAAGCCAAAGAAGCCTGTGCCTCCCAGCCTCCAGACCAACGGTACTGGCTCGTCGTCTCCGTCTCCGTCTCTCTCCACGAAGAAGCCGCCTACAGTAATCAAGCCGCCCGTTATCCCTACATCTTCGAGCGGAACCAACAATGCCGTCAGCCGCCCGGGAAAAGGCCCGCGTCGCGAGCCCTCAGGATCTATCGCTGGCAGGGCGTCGAGGAACAGCGCGGGACTCCGATCAGCCAGCGTAGCGGCTGATGTATCTCTGCCTCCGGCAGTAGAACCACGGCCGTATGGTACGTGCAATGCCGTCGTCAACGCAAATCTAGTTGCACTGCTAACAAACAAAAATAGTCGTGACCGAGAAGTACATACTCAAAAAGTATGCCGGTCTGCCCCCGTCGTTGATAATCCACATGCATCCAACCCATTTCCGCTTCGACCAGCAGGATGGCATGTTTCCCTATAAATCCCCGATGGGATTGTTCCTCGAGCACCTCAAGGCCAGGACTATACCACATGACCTCCTCCCGGACCTTACTCAGGCTGGTGTACCCTTCTACGAAGGTTGCCTGATTGTGCAAGTCTACGACCACAAGTCCGTTGCACAGACCAAGGACATCGCGCGGCCCACGTCCTCATCTGACAATACCCTTCCGTATTCCATACACAACTACAACCCATACGTCACTCCATCCCCGTGGGCTCCGTACCCAAAGGATCATATTGCGACAGGCGATAGCAATAGTGCCACGGATGCGAACCAAAAGGACAACGCTACGGACGAAACGGACAAGGAGAACATGCCTGCTCCAAGCGGTCTTCCTGAAGGCCCAAAGAGCAAGGCGCCACCGAAGCCCAGGATATACACGGTCGTTTTGCAACCCACCGCCCAGAGTCTTCAAATGGACCTTGCTATCAAAGCATCGACGCCGAGAGGATCAAATGACGGATCATCTATACTTCCCCCGCCTACACCGGTCACCGCCGTTCCACCAACCCCAACAGCCTCTTCAATGGGGCCGCCCAATAAAAAGCAGAAAAGGGAGCGAATGGAGCTAGACAGATCCAACATATATGCTGTTGAATCGCAGATTCTGTTATCTACCGTTGCACCTCTGGACCTGGAACCAGCTCGGACCGTTGAAGCGACTATCCGAAAGCTAGAAGAGCAAGCACATCCTGATCACTCGCACAAGCCACCTCAACCCAAAACGCGGAAGCGCACTGTTGCTGAGATGGCTGCAGATGAAGCGTTGGCGGCCGACCTGGAGCGGTACATGCTCACCTTGGACGAACGCCTTTCGTCCAAGGTGTCGGGCGCTCACGGCGGTTCAGGTGGTGCTGATGCAGATGCCCAAGGTGGCGGCACAAGCTTCGAACCGAGATTTGAAAGGTTCAAAGTCATTGCCGAAATTAAGAGAGAGCACGCGGAGAAGAAAGAGCAGGAAAGGATCAAGCAGTTGGAGAACGAGCGGCGCCTGGCGCAGCAGAAGCAACAAGCTCAGCAAGCCGCCCAAGAGCAAGCCGCTTTACTCGCCCAGCAGCAACAGCAACAACAGCAACAGCAGCGCGAGGAGCAGGAAAGGTTACGCAGGCAGCAAGCGGCTCGAGATCAACAGATCAGACAAGAGGCGCAGCGGAAGGCCCAAGCTCAACAAGCTCAAGCCCAGGCACAAGCCCAGGCCCAGGCTCAGGCCCAGGCGCAAGCTCAAGCTCAAGCTCAAGCTCAAGCTGCCCAGGCCCAGGCACAGGCACAGGCTGCACAGGCCCAAGCACAGGCACAGGCCCAAGCTCAAGTCCAGCAAAATGGACAGAATACACCTGTACACGTGCCGAATGCCATGGCAGCACAAGCTCAGGCCAGATTCCATCAACAGGTTTCTCAACCTACGGTTTCATCGCCGGTGGTACGGCAAAATACACCACAAAACATGTCTTCGCCCATGGTTGGTGGTGTATCGATGCAAACATCTGGGTCCAACATGGGTACAAGTCCGCCCAGGCCCTCATCTGTGGTCCAAAACCATCCGCCTATGGCTGTCCCTATGTCTGTTAGCATGTCAGGTCGGGGGAGTCAGCAGAGTCATCCTTCGGGAACGCCACGCATGCCGAACGCTACGCCGAATATGCCGCATGCCACGCCCATCAGCCGACCTCAACAGATGGTTCAAACACCGCGTATGAGCCAAGCTAGCCCTCCACCGGGTATGATGACCCCTCAGCAGGTCTCGCAGGCCATGCTAATGAACCAAGGGATGCCCATTGGGATGGGAACACCGCAGATGGCAAATGCTGCTCAGGTTGCTGCAGTGCAACAACAACAACGCATCCAGCAACAACAACGCCTCGCTGCCATGCAAAATAACATGATGAATGGAGCGCAAACACCTCAGCAGCTGGCGCAGCAACGTGCAATGATGCAGCAGCAAATGCTCATGCGCAACAACCCCCAGGCCCAGCAAGCCATGATGCAGCAGATGCAACAAATGCACAGCCAAGCACTCAGCAACATGCAGCAGCAACAAATGCAGAACAACATGCAGCGGCAAATGATGGGCGGCCAGCAGATGATGGCAGGGCAAGGTATGAACAGCATGAACCTGACGCCGCAACAGATGGCTGCAATGCAGCAGCAGATTGCGCACCACCAGCAGCAGCAGCAGCAGCAGCAGCAGCAGCAGCAGCAGCAGCAGCAGCAGCAGCAGCAACAGCAGATGAACCAGCAGCAGGGGCTCAATCCGATGGTCGCCTCGCAGATCCAACAGCAGTCAGCACGGCTCTATAGGCAGAACCTGCCAAGTCTTGTGGCCCGGTACGGCGGCAACCAGGAGAACATTCCACAACAAGAGATGGAGGCTCTGCGAATGCAATGCATGGCCCAAGCAAAGAACATGATCCAGCAGGTCATTGCTCAGAGGCGAGCCCAGCACCAGATGATCCAGCAGCAGCAGCAACAGCAGCAGCAGGCGGCCATGCAAGGTATGGGAGGGATGATGCCCCAAGGCATGTAGAGCTCTGGTGCGAGTACCTCGTTGCGGAGGGGTCGGACCCCTGGCTTTGCTCCGGTCCAGCGCAATTTATCGACCATCAGACATACATTATACGGGGTTCGGGAGGGGGATCAGTTGCCGTTCGTCACTACAAATACGCAGTTTGACGATCCGTGATTTATATTCCATTATGAGAGAGGCGTTTCGAGACTTGCATAGGATGTACATTGTCACCACAAGGAGTTCAGGAATAGGGGCCAGAGTCATTTCCTGTGCGGTCACGTTGGAACGCAAGGGCGCATTTACCTTGCCTTGCTCTGCCTGGTGTTGATTTGTTTTTGCTCTTCAAATACCTAAGAGAATTTCTTCCCAATACCCTTTTTGGAGTGTGAAATGAGATTTCCCAAGTTCTGAATCCAATGGCTCTTCACAGTAGGGCAAGGAATGCCAGTGTGATGACTGAACAATTTCTGCTCCAAGACGACCAAAGCTGCTACTGCGGCCAAATACAGTTCTTACTTTTTGCTTCAATACCTGATATATGTAGGTAGGTAGACCCAAAACCAGCGTGTCTTGGTCGTGTGCTCAGGTTTGCCACGTGAGAGAGCACAGTGCATCATTTGATGTGTCCTTACTGAGGTCTCATGCACACAAAACAAGTCAGAAGTTCTCATATGCAGATCGCCTTGGCTCGAGCAGGCCAAATATGAAAGTAAAAACAAAATAAGACGAGGATGCACTGATGGTTTTCACATGGTTTGTTTGGCTTCTGATAGACAGTCCCAATACTGGTTAAGCAAATGAGGCTCGACATTGTCGAGTCCAGGGTGCTGCTGATTGATTGACAAGCAACAGGGGCTAGCACGTATCTCACTGCCTGGGACTGATGGATGGGCCCGCTCGGCTTATTATTATTAGGCACAACTAGGCTAAGGACCAGTGGACGTATGACGGAATAATCACCAGGGCGGCTTGGCGCTACCGCTACCTCACTCTGCCACAAGCTCGCACGCTCCAAAGTCTAACTAGAGCGGCTCAGTTATCTTTGGGCCATCATCATCCATCCGACAAGCGAATATCCAAGACCCTTGCTGCTAATTTCTCAGTTTCATCTTGGTTTTTCTCTTTCGAGGTTCTGAAAGGCTCAGCGTCATTGAATCGTAGACGCAGGTCCGTTGACCAACATCGGAATCGTCTAGCAAGCAAGCTCTTCGGCCGCGCTCCGAGGTCATCATCACCACTGGTACGAATCCCACTGAGACTTCATCAGGAGAGGATGAAGTGGTCGTCATTGGGGCCGGCAGACCCGTCCAACATGCTTGTCTCGCTACTGCTGGCGGCGTCCATCCCGGCAGCAGCTTCGCTGCAATGCGACAACATCGTAGCGGACGGCCACCGGTTCAACTTTGACAAGCTCAAGGGCCCGCATTCCGTCGTCACCAGCGAATTCACACCCCCTACCTACAAGAACACGACCTACACGATCGACCTCTGCGGCCCGCTGAAGCGAAAGGGAGATGTCCCCAAGGGCGAGGAATGCCCCAACGGCACCTGGAGTACGTTTCCTGTCCCCGTCCGGACCGGCCGCGTCCTTGGCGCCGGCTCCATCCCCACTCCCCGTACCTGATGCCCCTGCTCGGGCTTGGCTAACAATTACGTCCTTGATTCCTGCAGTCTGCGCTATCAAGCACTCCATCAAGGGAGACCACGATGACATCGACGAGGTCCGCCCCATAGCCGGCAACCTGCGCGATCACGGCGGCAAGGACCTCGACTTTGTGGCCACGAGGCTCAAGACGTCCGACTCGACCTCAGACTCCCAAAAGGACGGCGTCCGCCTCGTTCTCAAGGGAGGCAAGTACCCGCTCGCCAGCAAGGAGCGAGCGAGCGCCCGAGACCAGAAGGCGATCATCGAGCTCATTTGCGACCCGAACAAGGAAGGCACGGAGGGAGAGTGGAAGGCCGAGGATGCGTACGAGAGCAGTTTGGAGCGGTTCAAGTACACGGCACGGAACGCCGAGGGCGAGGGCGAAGGTGAAGGCGACAAGGATGCGCCGGGGGACGGAGAGCACCAGCTCAAAAACCCGGACGCGACCCTCATCTGGGACAGCTATGGCCCCGACAAGAGCAACGGCGATATCGATGTCCTGAGGCTCACCTGGTACACGAAGTACGCGTGCGAGAGCTCCACTGGGGATGGAGGCAAGCCCCGCGAGCACTGGGGCTTCTTCACGTGGCTAGTGATTCTGTAAGTGTGCTCTCTCTCACCGGCGTGTCGTCTTGGTGCATTCTTTTCTTTGCTGACATTCTGGCGCGCGCGCTCTCTCTCTTCCAGTGTCTTTCTCGCGACGGCTTCCTACCTCATCTTCGGCTCATGGCTCAACTACAACCGCTACGGTGCGAGGGGCTGGGATCTTCTACCTCACGGGGATACCATCCGGGATGTCCCTTATCTACTGAAGGACTGGATCCGGAGGCTGATCAACACGGTGCAAGGAAGCGGCAGCAGGGGAGGCTACAGTGCGGTCTGAGCACTAGTTGTGACGGCTGGCGAGGGGGCCTCGGGGAGGTCTGTGATGGCTGCTTGGGGAAGAAGTATAGAAGATGAAATTTCTTCCGATACCTCACTCCTCTGCGATAGGAGTATTGAGATTCGGCACGGCTGCGTGACTGGGTGCCTGTAGGTAACTCAAGGAAGCATGCATGCCTGGAGGTTTGTAAGGTAATACCGGTGTTACAGTACTTCTCAAAGAGATCATTTCGCTTTCGCATTCATCTGGCGCAAACGTTCAATTGAAGGGCTTCTTTGTTATGCTTGTAATTGGTCATGCAATGTGACGCACAGGCTTGCCTCGAGTTAGTTCAGCGCAAAAAAAGAGACATGCCGAGACTTTGACAGGAGATGCTTCTTGCAACTAAATTTCGGACAGTATTGAGGCTGCAGCAATGACAAGTCGTTGGCCTGAAGTTGGTACTTGTACATAGGATTAGGTCGGATTCTGGTAGGATTCACAAGCTTGGCAAACCTGGATCGACACATTCGCGGGCATCCACCATCGGCGGAGCCGTAGCGTCAGCCGTAACAAATGAGCCGAGGCAGCCACATGCTCTCCATCCGGCTGACGCTCGACGTCAGCTCTTTCAGCTTGAGTGAAACGAGGCACGATTAATAAACATCAAAGACAAAAAAAAGGATCAATTATTATAGAACCATCGAGAGAGAAACAACAAAAGGGGAGGACAAGAGAGTTGATACAATTTACGACAACTCGGACTTGCCAAGGAAGCGATTACACAGCCTGATCATTCATCACAAGCCAAAACGACAACGTCTTGTCTGAGTGAGTGAGTTGCCGGCACCACAACCACCTTCCTCCCGTCTCCGGATAAGTCCTTCGTCCGGCTCTCAACCGCTGGCGGTTTCAAGCGACCGAGCCCGATAAGTGGTTTCCAAAACCAGGCCAAATCAATCAAAAGGCAACGAGATCCCCCATCCATAAGAGGAACCGGACAAGCGACAATGTCACCCAAGGAGCTCTTCACGGTGCCCATCGCGCCCTGCGACCCGCACCCGGGCGGCTCCATCGTCGCGACCCAGCCCTACCCGGCCGTCTACCTGCTCACCTTCTCGTCCCCCTCGGACAACCGGCTGACGACGCCCTTCTGCGCCGCCATGCTCCGGGCCCTCGACCTGATCGAGTTCGGCGACTACGGGCCCCCCGGCGTCGTCGTCACCACCTCGGCCATCCCCAAGTTCTACTCCAACGGGCTCGACCTCGACCACGCGCAGGACAACGCGCCGGGGTACTGGACCGGGGCGCTCTACCCGCTCTTCCGCCGCTTCCTGGCCTACCCGATGCCCACCGTCGCCCTCGTCAACGGCCACGCCTTCGCCGGCGGCGCCATGCTCGCCATGCACCACGACTACCGCGTCATGAACCCGGCCAAGGGCTTCCTGTGCCTCAACGAGCTCGACTTTGGCGCCCCGCTCAAGGCGCCCATGGCCGGCGTCTTCCGCCTCAAGGTCGCCGACCCGGCCGTCTACCGGCGCGTCGTGCTCGAGGCCCACCGCTTCCCCGGCCCGCAGGCCCTCGAGGCCGGGCTCGTCGACGCGCTCGGCGGCCTCGACGACGGCGTCATGGCGCAGCTCGTCGGGCCCCGCGGGCTCGTCGCCAAGGGCCGCACGGGCGTCTACGGCTTCCTCAAGATGCAGATGTACCGCGAGCAGCTGGGCTACCTGACCGCCGCCGGGTTCGACGCCGACGAGGCGCGCGACGCCGCGCTGCTCGCGCTCGAGGACGAGAGGATCGACAAGGGCAAGGAGGCCGTCGCCAGGTGGAAGGCCGAGGCGGCGGCGGGCGGCGAGGCGCCCAAGGCCAAGCTGTGATGGTAGACGAGCTGGGCGGGATGATTTCGGCGTGGTTTATGTCAGAGAACGAATGGGAAATGGGCAGGGAAAGAAAGCATTGTAGGAAAGAGGGGAGTGGAAGAGCTAGGGTCCATCAATTGTTTTTTTCTTCTTTTTATTGCATGCTTCTACACTGTTTTCTTAAGTACTTACTCTGTCTCTCGGGAAGGGGGGCCTTTCTATTTGCCGCAGAGTTCAACTGGCAAGGGGGATCGGGGTTCAGCAAAGTTCATGGCAGGGTGCGGCAGATCGAGACATACATAGTTCTGAGATGACAACAGCGGGATTCCCGTGTCTTATGTACCAAGACGGCTCGCTATAGATCACAGAACAACATGGTGAGGACGTTGTGAAACAAGCCTCCAGAAGGAATGCAAAACCGTTCTTCTGCATCTGCATGCCGCTCTTCTCAGCGCGAGAAAAGCAAAGTGCTTGCCTGCTTGCTGGCCTGCGCTTGAACCTTCCTGGTACCTAGCAGCCCTAAGAGAGTGGTCTTATGGATGGGGGACGGAAGGATATCAGACGGCTACGGAGGGAGGAAGGCATGCAGCATCGTGGTACAAGTGAGGTCGGTGCAAAAGACGCCTCCTGCCCAGGATTTCACCCCATGGATCGAGGTGGTGAGGGGGATACGTAGACCGGACATAGGTTGTTTCTGACAAAGGGGTACGGAAATTTACTGAGTCTGCAAGCTCTCTCTGTACGAAGAATGTGGTTCTGCTAGGTATCCGTTTTCTATTCGCTACACCAGATGGACCACCGTCTAAAACGAGAAAAAAAGAAAGCCCCAATCCATGGTCCTGCTGCTTCCAGGGTCTGCAGGTGATCGCTCAACACCCTTGCTAATTTCAATCTGAAGCAGTTCCTCGCCCCCTTCCGATACAAAGACGCCGTTAGACATGCAGGGTATGATGTATAATGCCAGAAGTCTCATCTGCTATCCCGAGGCCCATTTTTGAGGAGAGAAAGGAGAAGAGAGGAAGAAAAGAAAAAAAAAGAAACAACGCCAAAGAATCTAGCGCCTGCAATTAGAAAACAAGAGAAAGTAGAAATTGGGAGTAGAGACAAGTCTCGAAGAGCAATACGAAAAGAATAAGAACGAGGAGAAACCGGGGATGGAGTATCATCCATACCAGTAGTACTATGTTACAATCGTGAGGACATGCAAGTCGTGCCAACCACGGCCCCTTCATTCGCTCACTGCACTCTCGTCATCGATATTTCTAAGGTCGATGTCAGACCCGTTCTCCCGGAACGGGATGGCGAGGTCCATCTGAACACGGGTGTCTCTCTGGATCTTGAGGAAATACCTCCGGAGGCTTCGCAGACCTCTGAGGAAGCCATGATCCGGCTCGTTGGGATGCTGGGGAGGGCAGGGCTTGCCACCCGTGAGGTCTCCGGCCATGACGCTGTTGGCAAAGTCTGCCATCTTGAAGTCGATTTCCCGCTTGTTGCGACGCCTTCTCTGGTCACGATGCTCCTCTGTGTCAGTTGCAAAGTCCGTCGTGGAATCCTCAATAGCATTGTCATTGCCTTCATCCGACTGGTCGCCGTCGTAGAACATGAGCAGGCTAGCAGCGTAGAACCGGTACCCCTTGAGACGGCTGATGATCACCTCAAGTTGGCTGAGCTTGTTCAACACGGTGGGTATGTGGCGCAGAATGCTCGACGGGTCCGCTCCATCGTACAGGAAGCGAGTCAGCGCATCCTGGAATTCCTGGCCTGCCTTGATGTCCCGTCCATAATACTTGTCTTTGAAGACGTAACTCTGAGTCGGGATATCCCAGACTTGCAGCCCACAGACACGGACGCCAAGCTCGCGCGAGGTAGTCTCCGCACATTTGCGCTGCTGAGACTTCTGCTTTTTGGGATTGGCGTCGACGCCATACTGCCGTGTTCCCATCTTCAGATCCATGATGCAGGGGCGTTTCATGCCTGCAGTGAGATCTTCTAGAAGCAAAAAGTACTCGCGCCGTGAATCCCTCTGTGTCTGCGCCTCCTTGGGATTGATGGGTCGCGGGATCTTGTGGAATTCGGCGGTTGGGCTTGTGGCTCGCGAGGTCACGGTAGATGGGTATGTTGATCCTCCCATTGCGAAGTCGACATCCTGCCCGTGGTGAGATCTTGTGGGTGTTCTCGAAAATTCTTCCTTTGCAGAACCGTTCTCAAGATGGGTAGTAGCTCCTTCGTCTTCATGGTCGGCCTTGCAACCAGCATCATCGGGCTCTTCGAAAACATGAAGATCCCCACGAGATTCAGAAACATCCTTGGGTTTTCTACGGAGCACCGTGCCCGAATAGCGACGCTTCTTTCTCTGTGAAGGCGGTTGCTCAGAGAGTATATCTGGTTCTGGAGCACTAGTCCCTGTCACATCCTTTGGCTCGTTGCTACCGTTCGTTCCCCGATGTGATGGCCGTGGGAGATCGATAGACATGCGCTGGGATTCCTCTGCAGTATCCGAAGGAGACTCTGGCCTTGTGGAACTGCCATGGCTGTGGTCGTCCCCAAGTCTCATGGGGCTGGACACAAGGTTGGGGTCGGAGTTTGACTGTCGGAGGATTTGTTGTAAAGTTTTGCGCGGGATTGCCCGCCTGTTGGCTTTATTATGATGCCTCTGGATCGCGATGGGTTGCTTCAGAAAAGCATCATTGAAAACTTCGTTTCGAAGCTTCTTGTTCACAGTGGTGGCTCCCCAGCTATTAGCATGGCGGTCCTCAAGGGATGGACGAGCGAGAAGCGGGTTAATATTCTTCTCGGGCGGTATCTCGATCGGAACCTCACGGCGCTGTGCCAGGGATTTTGGGGAGCCGCGGGGCGAGAGAGAAGTTGGCTGTAATAAGTTCCGCGGGAGAATATGCTGGTTGTCCACAAAGGTGACAGTAGGTACCTGGTTAGAAGCCGACTGCATCGATTGGCTGATTACTCTGGTGTGGGCTGACGCTGCCTCTCTCGGCGCCTCGCTCTTGGCGACGCCTTCTTGAGCAGAGGCACCATTGGCCTTCAAGACTTGACGCAAGGCATCCTGGTCAATTTGTTTTCGCTCGTGAGAAGCCCCCTCGTCCTTTCTCACAGTTGACCTGCGACGTGGTTGCTTGTGGAATGTCACATTCAGAACTCCGATATAGCTGGGGATTTGGCTGTTAGACGGCTATCTGACATCTAGAGAACAAGGTTGGACAGTTTACGTACCGAGGTAGAAATGCCAGCAAGTCACGATGGAACCTCTCTATCCGCTCGTAGAACTCATTTTCCCGGTTGTTGAGCTGCTTACATACAGCTCGTTTCGAGAAGCGCCATAGAGTCGTATGCCCACCCACTTGGTGACGATAGGGGATCAGCTCGATGGCCTCTAGAGGCTGCCTGTGTTGATGGTCATGCACGTGGTCTTCGTATTGATGTGACAGCGGCCGGACCACGCCGTGATGAGATACCTCTACGGCTTCTGTGTCGCCTGCCAAGGACACATTGTACCCGGCAGGGTATGCAGTGTCATGTGTATGATTGTGACGTCCTTCTTGTGCAGGGCGAGGAGCGCCTTCAAACTTTTCCTCCTCGGGGCTCGTCACATCTGCCTCGGGCTCGTCTGCTTTCACTAACCACGGGTGAAAGTCCTCCTTTCTGGGATGCGCTCCGGAAGCAGCCTGCGGATGCTGTATGTCATTCGATCTTGCAGGCTCAAGTTCCGTCGATTCTTCAAGACCTTGGTGAGGCAAGAACACAGCAGACGAGATCTTCTCCTCTCCAGACTCATCGCCATCTTCGGTGTGCTCATCTGACTTGGTGGCTTCGCTTGACCTGCGGCGCTCTCTCTCCTCGCCGAGTGGCCGATTCTCTTCCTCATGCAGGAGCCTCGAGTCCTCGTCCCTCCTGTGAATCGAGGACTCGGTACTCGCATCGCCAGTCAGAACACGGTCCCGTAGTTCTTTACCAGCATCGCCAAAGTAATCATGCGACGAACGTACGTCTCCAAGAGCAGGCAGCGGGGACCTGACAGAGTTGTCGTCTGCTGATAGTTGTTCAGCATATTTGTCGTCGATAGATTTCGGAGACGGAAAGGCATCTTGATAGTGCTGGGTGCTACCCTTCGTTCCGGATTTATCTGCGTCTATCGGTACCTCGGCAGTCGGTGAGAGTTTCTCGCGCGACGGAGTAAGCCGTGTCTCCCTCCTCTTGATCTTGTCCTCGGGCAAACCTTCCTTGAAGAAACGCAAGCTATGACTCGCCTTACGGCTACCACGATTAGGCTCTAAGCCGCTCAGCACCTCCGTGATGGACTTCTCGACTTGGCCGTCCTGATGCATGTCCAGATCTCCAGTCCCGATTGACCAGGCCTTCTCGGGCCCCATTGATACGCGAGGCTCCATCTTCCTCGGCCGACTATGTCGAGATTCGCGACTTGTATCAGGTTGATTCAGACTGGGCTGAGTAGCCGATCGCTGCTCCAGCACTGTTGGGGATGCGGTCGTGTCATGATCCAAGATATTGTTAAAGGGCCCTGTCCTTATCGGTAGCTCGAAAGACTTATGATCGCTCTCGCGCTTGTTCGACGATGTGGATTGGGTGTTGAATGGCCCATGAGGCACGCGTTGGGAACTGGGCGCTTTGTCCACCCCTCGATAGTCCGTATTGCGCAATGTGAACGTGGTTGGCAGGATTGGAACGTCTCCAGTGAGTGTAGGGGGGGCAGCGGTGGTCGTAAGGGTAGCCGATGAAGCCATTGCGACGGATCGCGACGAGCTTCGCGGGGTTATGGAACCGCTTGTGTTGCCTGTTGAGGGACCATCGTTGGTGGTGAGGTTTGTTGAGGTATCGGGATTCTGCCTAATGGTTTGATCGTGTCTCGGGTGGATGCTCTGGCTGTCGTACGGTTGCAGTGACGGACTCTGGGAAGGGCCAGTCTGAGGTGTTGCAGCAGGAATCCCCCGAGCTGAAGCAAGGGCCTGTGTTAGGAGTGAGGGTCCGGATTGCCGCTGCAGGGCAGCAGGCCGAGACTTTTTATTCAGATCCCCCTCGATGGGAGTTGGGAGGGTCGTCTGCGCGGACGGGGCGCCCTGCGACGCAACAGGCACATCTGGCTGGGACGGGGACGTGGGCGGGAGCTCTGGGGCCGTGGGCAGGACTGGTACATGATTGACCGGTAGTCCTGCGTCGGTGGCCGCTGTACTGTCAGCCTGGGCATGGCTCACCGGTGTGCTGGCTGCAGTCTGCTCTGGCGGAGGGGACGGGTTGGACATGAGGTGAACATCTGGCGAGTGCTGAGGCAATGTGGGAGGAATGATTCGTTGGTATCGTACGGGAGAGATACCTAGTGGTCCGGGAAGTAAGTGGCCGGGGGGTGGATATCCTGGCCTCTTTCTTGTCTTCTTCGGTCCCAGCCGTGATGATTGCGAATCAGGGCACGACGGCAGGCACGGGGGAGTGAGTGCAGCTAGAAACTCGAGAGAAGGTCCTAGGAAGGCGAGGGTCAGAGGGGGCCAGGGCCGAGTGGACGATATGAGTGGAGAAGGAGGGAGAGGAGGTGTGAATTGGGAGTGTTGGAGAGGGGTGGGCAGAGGGGAAGAGTCGACAGGCACGCAAGGAGATCGAGATAAGTGATATGCAGACGTTTGATCAGGGCCCGGGAGCGACGCACGTACGTACAAGGGCGAGTTGCTGAGAGAGCAGCAGCCGGCGCCGGCGCGAGGATGACGATGGGTCGCTTTGCTGTGTCGCACAGGGTGGGTAATTGCAGGTAGTGCTTCGTACGGAGTACTGCGGGCGTGTGTTGGGTGTAGTTGTTGTATGTCTTTTGCTGTGATTTGTGTGTGGTGTGTGGGAGGGGAGAGAGCGAGAGTTGAGATCAGGTAGGTGTGGTATGGAGAAAAAGGCCGGGGTGGCTGTATGTACCCGGTCCAAGGCTCTGGAGAAAGCGCAGCAGGGGCCGGTTGTCAAAAAGGTACCTTTTCCACACTCAATTGTACTTTAGCCTCACAAAGACTGACTGACGGGCCTTAGTTGGGCCGCTTGGCTCTTTGGGTGTGCTTTGGGTTTTGTTGTGGTCTCTGATGAGCGCCGCCAAAAAACACACCGGTCGTAGTGGGGTTGAGGTGGCATCTGCTCTGGCATGATAGCGTCCAGGATGCCCAAAGGCTGCCTCCACGTGCCCCCGACCGGCCCCACCACCGCCCAGCCCATGACGGCAGAATGACCAGGTACCGCGGTACATCCTCGAGGTACTCCGTACTTGGGCTCATCATGCATCTTACGAAAGTACAGCCACTCCATCCCGCCCGCTATCCTGACGGCTTCTCGTCCGCGGCCAGCTCAACACATAACTAACAACCCAGCCCAATCGAGAGTTGGGAAATCCCTACCCGGGATGCCGGGATGGGTATGTCTTGTCTGGGCATATGCTTTTTCTTCTCCAAGTGATGAAAAGTCGGTGTGCTATCATGGGGGAAAGAGTCTCAACGCAAGCGGTCCCAGCGTTCCAGTTGTCTTCTGGACCACGCAATCTACCTTTACTCTCAATCTCTTGCCAGGCACCGTGTTTTGACGAGATGGGTAATCCTGCCTGCTTCAAAAACATACCTCACACATAATGAGCGAATTCTTGGCGGGGCCGTGTACTGCTTCCCCTGACTAACGCTGCATCCGGAGTGAAGCTATTTACTCCGTACATTGCTTAGAGTCTGAAACCACCACTGTTTATTTCTCCAATATACGTAGGCAGCATACACCCTCCATATCGCAAGCCACGACTCTGAGGCATATGCAATTCACACAGCTACCACACATAGGAGAAGGTTGGTCAGGGTTCTCCACTGCCGTAAAACTCCTGTTGCCTACTTGCACCTTGATGGCCACGGTTCATCTCTCAAGGTACGGCGTAACCTGTAGAAAATGACGCGGTCAAGTATCGCTTTGCAGTCCTCTAAACGAGATCACTGACCGTTAAGAGTCATTGACCGTAGGAGACTGTACGTAAAACATACGAGATCCCTCAGACCGGATGATGTGCCCTTGTCTTCCGGAGTGGCCAGGGCCACAGGACGCAGCATTCCCGGACTCCTTTCGATCCCCGGACCAGGCCATCGGGCTTGCCCTCTTTGCAATAGATCAACATCATTTCAATATTTCCAGAACGACTCGTAATCGCATCCCATTCCAAGTGATACGGCAAAAAGCAAATGTTTGGGGTCAAGGGCTGGCCATAGATGTGCATGTTGGGGACAGGGACCGCCATGCACCTCGCTTACAAGCCCGAGACCGTCTCTTCACCAATCAACCAAGAACGTGCCTCTTGACTCTTGACCGCCGCCCGCCCGCCAACGCAGGACTCATGCACGCAAAGGTTAATGACATGCGGCAACGCTCCGTCTCTCCTGAACTCGTTCTTTCGTGTCTCGTGTCTGATGTCTGCTTCTGTATGCAGCTCTTTACTCGTTCGATCTCACTGATGCACCTCTGCAATGCACGGCATCAGAACTCGCTGTAAATTAAAAGAGGATCTGGAGTTGCCAGAGTCCCTTACCCGCTCCCTGAGCTGCCCGTGGGCTTGGATCGTCTATTTCTTCTGGATGCATACTGAAGTCACAGTGGGTGCATTGCCAAAGTCCAAATTATCTCTGCAACATAGACATAATTTTGCTTCTATCATACTGATACAGGAAGAGCTCAAACCCATGTCCTTTAAGAGGAAAGCATACATCATCTTTGCCTTTCTGTGCTGTTGAGACCATGTCATAAAACCCGGGGTATAATGTAAAACAAAAACGATTCCGCGGAAGCTTCCTTCAGCTCTAGCTTCCCATTTCCAACCCTATACCCATCATTTGTCTTGTTTGGTCGTCGCAGGCCGAGCTCACTCTGGCATGTTCAACCTCTGCATCAACATCAAATGTTGTCAAAAAGTCTCCAAGGTTTTGCAAGACAGCACCAACATCGTCCACTTGCAAGTCCGTGTCTTCCACAGCATGGCTATCCGTCATTCTGACCTTCAAGGCCGGACTGCTAATGTCAGGCCCGGCTAGCTCCTGGTCGACAGCCAAAAATCTGTCCGCCAAGGCCCCGACAGCGGGACTCGGCGCGTCTTGCTGGCTAAGGGACGGCAGTAACCTGCCCTGAGTGCGTGGCTTGCTTAGTGGTCCTCTCGTTGCCATTGCAGCATAGTGCTCCTGGAATTTGTCAACCTCGCAGGGGAGATCTGCCAGCGACGCAAGTGGCGGAGGAGAGCCTGTCCTGGGAAAAGTGCTAGGCGCTGGTGGAACAACACGGCGTCTTGGTTGACGCTTGAGACCTGACTCGATATAGTCATCCTCATCAACAATCTGCAAACCAGGGGACGACGGCAATCCCCCGTCGGAGCCACCGTTGTCAACTTCGCCGGGTAGTGGGGCAAATCGGACGCGGCGTTCCAGACGCGACTTCCTGGCTGAGACGTTGGTCCACGGATTGGAAAGAATGGTGCCCTCAGAAACTCTCCCGGATCTCTGGCTGCTCCGATTCTGCAAAGGAGACGGTGACATAAAGTGCCTGAACGACTTGATCGAAAGGGTGAAGTCCGGTGTGGGTAGGCTGGACGGTTTCGTGTCAGGCGTTGATGGTCTGACTTGAACCTCATCTTGGTAGTTCGCGTCCAACCTGCTCCCCATTGCCTGCCCTTGAGGAAGAATAGATAGTGGAGACGGCCTGTGGACTTTCATGGCGCCGCTTGGTGACTTGGGAGAGGATAATTGTAGTACCTTGTGCGCCGCCCAAGGATTCTCTGCATAGACCTCCGTAGGTGACGGTTTCGAGGTAATGGGCGCGTCAGGGAGCTGTTCGGGCTCTGGAAATTGGAGGTTGTGTCCTGCGATGTTCGAGGATTCTTGAATACTAGAACCTTGTCCAAGACCAAAGCCATGAGATGCCATCTGAGGATCCGGCTCTGCTGAAGTGGTCCTGGATTCCGCCACGTCTTTCAAGATCGCCATCTCGGACACCTTCGCCCAGGGACTTTGTCTTTGTGTATCTAGCCGTGCACTTGCTGACCCTTGAGGACTGTGCATATCACTATCAGGGTCATTGGCAATGCCTGTCAACGAAACTTCAGCGGCGGATGCTTGATCGCCGTCTGAGATGGCTTCAGGATCCTGGATCGCGGGTGCCACAGTGATAGAACCCATAACGCTGGATGCAGCATCGGACTGATCGCATTCTATCTCGTCGAATTGAACAATCTGTTCGGGCGCAGTCAAAAGTTCCGAGATCGAGCTTGATGACGATGACGAACAAGTCTTTGCCCGCGCCTTACTGACCTGGTTACCGAGGAGAGCCTTGATATCTTCATACCGTAAAGCTACAGCTGGGTTCTCGGGTTGGGTGTTCACCAGCGTTGTTTCGTTCATAGTCTCATCGACTGGAGGGACTATATTGAGCTTGCTTGCTTCACCACCCTCCGGCACCCTGCTCGGCGAGCTCGAAGTTTGATTTGCAACCGCCTCGTCTCGAGAGATTGCTTTGATCTGGGCGTAGAGCGCAGGAGGGTCTGAAGGGCATACATCTGTCTGTTCATCGTGGTTTGATAATGAACCGCCTGGCACGGCATCCCGATCCGTGGAAGGCACAAGAGGCTGAGGGCTTGCCTCCTGGGCCTCGTCCTGAGTGTATGTGGCCGACGAAGATTCCTCTGGGGAGGACCGTGCAGCTGACACAAGACCTGCTGCACCTAAGGCTCGAACAGCCGACTGTTTGCTAATGTCTGGTTCTTGGTTCGATTTGGGCCGGGCTCTAGTTCGGAAGAGGAAGCTGTCATCCCGTTGGCTTTCGAAAGTCTCGGCTTCGGGTGAATCACGACCACCATCGCTCTCCATGTCAGCTTCAACATCGGTATCGTAAGTGCTGTGTGGCATTGGCGAAGCAGAACGAGGCGCCTTGAGAAGCTTAGCCTTGCGGCGAGGGTTCTCTTCTTGTCGTTGAGGCAAGACTGGCCGAGCGCTGCTAGATCTGGTGTTGCTCCCTGCTGAGTTTCGTGGGCTATTCCTATACTGTCCACTCTTACGAGACAAATCACGCCTTGTCTGAATAAGTGGAAGTGACTGCATTCGTCCGGATATCTGAGATGATGCATGCGATTGTGTTGTAGGCGGACGTGGATCAGGTTGGGTCGAGTCCGGCGGCTGAATGATGTGTGCAGGAGTCGGGGAGTCGACTACATCTGCATCCGTGTTTCCGGATTTTCTGCGCTTTATTATATCCCTCCTGAGCCAGCTTGCGCCAGCTTTGCGCTTCGTTGTTCGACCATGTCCCCTCGCTGACCCCGTCCAGAAACTGTCCCGCGCGGCCGTGCTTATCTTCACACCATTCCGCCAATCGTGAACTCGGGCGATGACCGTTGCATCCAAGTACGGGTGGTCGTGGGGTTCGAGAGTTGCTTGAGCTATGGCGACCGTCGTTTCAGAGTCGTGGCTCAGAGGGCCCGACGACTGCACATCATCTGAAAAGGAGAGGGTCTCCGGAGCAAACGTCGCTTGTGCTCCGGACAGTTCCGTGTTGACTTCAACGTCTGCATCGGGCACATCGGTGGTGGCCGGTACTCCGTGTGAGGATATGCTCTTTCCCGCAACACGGCCACCTCTGCCTCTCCAAGGGTTGCACCACGAAGCAGCCTGGCCGAAAGGACCTCGTAATGATGCGGACTGGAGGAATGGGACCCTGCCTTCAAGAAATTGGGTTGCCTGATCCTCATATCGGAGCTTTCGTTGTGTCGGACTGTCATAGTACTCGTCCTCTGAGCCAGAGTAGAGGACGTCATCGGGTCGGTGGGCGGTCTCGCAGTAAACAGGCTCAGCTGCACACTGATACGTCTGCAGCCAGCTCCAGTTACTATACCTATCAAAAGTAGCCATGGCTGCCGTGTCTTGCTGTCAATCTTCCCCTGCGGCGTTCATACCAAGTCGGACGGGAGCATTGGGTGTTGACTGGACCAGGATCGGGGCCGTTTTTGTTCAGCAGAAGCTGCATCGACTAGTGGCCCCTCCAGGTTGCCATCGCTGTGTTGTACATGTATGGAGAAGTGCGGACTTTGTATCTCGTGAATACCAGCCTCAGTGGGGACTGGACCAAAATTCCGTTGCAGGGGAAACGCGCTGAGCGCGTAGCACTTTACGCGCACCACGTGATAGCGCGAGGGTAGATACGAGGGTTAGGGTACAGCATAGGTGTGGAGGTCGGCTGGTCCACTTTTGCGGTTGCCACGGTGAGGGCGTTGCATTGTTGATTGAAACTTGCCCGTTTGGGCGACCCTTTCCTCCCCACCTCAAAGAGACGCGGTTCTGGTCTGTCGCAAACTTGATGAATGTAAGTCCAGGAAGCAAGTACCGCCACATTCACGACAGTGAGGTCAATCAATTGGAAAGCCACGACGAGGCTCCAACAGTTTTGATTTTGTGCATTTATCACCCCCAACCTATTTTTAATTATTGCACTGGAAATTCGATATCACGAGGCATCGCCCCTCCAGCCTAACACCCGCTCGACGAAACAACAATAACAATCCTCCAGCGAGTCTCTACTCCCACTTCACACTTGTGTCGCGCTTGCGCTTGCGCACCGACGACTACATACAACAGATCGCGCCTACGAAGAGAGCAATACTCGGCTCTGCGCGACACCAGCATTCGGCGGTAGCTCGCGGAAATGTATTAGCATACATCGTCGCGCATCACCGGAATCCAGCTCCCCAACCAAGCAAACATGGAACACGCTTGGCTGGACTCCCTCTCTGAGGACTGGGTTTCTCAGCTTGGTTCAGATCCCTCACACCCTGCCCATAGCCTCTCGTTGCCGAGATCAACGAAGCGCCACGGATCAAGACATCGTTCCAAAAGCGGGCAGATCAAGCTCGCGCGCCCTGAGTTCGGGACCGTGCAGTCGCATTCAACACGGTCAGACAGTAGCAACATTCTCAGTGAGAGGAGCGCCAACGACATCAATATTCCTCTGTCACATCATGGGCCGTCCAAACTATCACAGGAGTTCAAGGCTTCATCATCACGCACTCGAGTGCCAGATCGGTCGGTCTCTGTCTCGACCACAGATTCCGTCATTCATAACACGGTTGATCGCAAGACGTCGGGCGCGTCGCCTCTCAAGGACAAAGGCGACACTCCAGAATGGAAACGGAGGCTGATCTATGGGGATCTTTCGTACGGAGAGCAGCGTGATCTTTTCACTTCAGCGGCAACAGGACTCGAGAACATCTTCAAGCCGCCTGTGATGGAAGGCAACGACCTCGAAGACCTAGATGAGGAGGAGGAGGATGACGCGGCGGAGTATCGGGCACAGCATAACGCCACAATGCCTTCGAGCCCGCCTATTCCCTCGGGCGAGGATTCTTCGATAATCCATGCCGATGATCCTGTCGCTCAACATGCGCAGGACCAAAACAGCCGACCGAAAACAAGAATGATGAATTACAGGCCAAACGATGAGTCCTCGATATGGAGTGCAAATACTGGGATGTCCGGGACGGCAGAAGAGGTGAACTCGCCCTCAGAGCCCAGCTTACCTTCAGTCCCTTCGCTGCCTGCCACATTAGTCGATGGTGCCGAGTCGCGCAAGGTCAGCGGCCAAAGCGTTCTGCGCCACGAGGACTTTAGTCCCATAGTGCTCACACATAGGACTCCTGGTCCTGGTGGTGCACGGCCCGGCCTGGTGTCTCTTGATGTCCAGCCTCACGACCTCAGACAGCGGTTGGAAAAACTGCGCCGCAACCAAATGAGGCTCGCCAGCGAAATCGATAGCGTCACAAACACATCTTTACCCTCGGCAGCCTTCGCGCCCTCCAACATAGACAACACGAGGGAATATGAGAAGATGGGTGGCTTCATCAACTTTCGCAGAGGTGGAAGGTCTGCCGAGGGCTCATTCCAGCATAGACCTCTCAGCCCGCCGCTGCCCACGGATACTTCCGAAATGCTTCCAGAGGAATCCTTGCAGGCGAGCACACCGAAGCAATTCCCCACCGTCAGGATCGATCAAGCCCAGGCAGCTCAGACGAGATTCTCAGCTGGTAGCCCCCCACTCCCACGGGCGCCGAACCCGAGCCCCGAGAAGAGAGACATCTCGGGTCAGACCACCGGAGGGAGTCCGTTGAAATTATTTGGACCCTATGATACTTTTACGAATCAAACTCTTATGCGGCGGATCAGCCAATTCGAAGATCAGATCTCCAATGGCTCCCAAACCTCGATTAAACGACATGCGCCAGCGCATGAGGCACCAGAGACATCGCACACAGAGCTGAACAAGGCATTTGTCGCAAGCCCTCAGAAAGTGGCCCCCGAAGAAGGTTCTCGCCGGCCATCAGCCCGATTCGGTGCTGGTGAGCTCGACGGGTACGAGTTTCATGAAGAAATGTCGCTGAATTCGCAGTCTGGTTTGGATGTTGCGGCGGAGACGGAAGGGTACGACGACATGTTTCCCCCCGGACATCAAGAACCGCACCATGTTCTCTCTGAGACTAGCCTTGTCGACGATGCTACTCCTGATGAGAGTAGTGATTTGGTTATCACCAGACGACGGCAACGCTCCAGTACTACAAGCACTATGCACTCTGCCAAACATCAGGGCACCTTTGACAAGGGCGATGTTTCTGAAATGTCATTACCAACGCATGGTAACGTAACCATGTCGACTCCTCAACGGCGTGATGCTACTTCGGAAAGCAAGCGGCCGAGGACTTCGCCTTCCAAGGATCCTACACCAAAACGTCGGCGGACTCTTCACAAATCTGACATCGCCTATGCTGCTGGGCAGTCCAAATTCGTCATTGATCCGGTTCAATCCTCTCACCAGCAAATGCAGTCTGTGATTGGGAGGAAACGGCGGGACGCCAGAGACGGAGATTTGCAGCAGCTGGCCAATCCAAGCGTACTTGCGGCGCGTCAAATACTGCGCCCTCGCACACCCACTCCTAGCCAGAGGTCCTCGGTACAGAGAGAGGCGCACCCATTTGATGCAGATGGCGACGAACCCCTGTCCGCCAAACAGCCCGCGCACCCTCTTCGTCCAAACGGGCCTCATCCCGTTGATGATGTCGAAGGAACGGACCGAAAACCTTCCATCAGAACAGAGGACTTCATCAACGAGGCCAACAAGATCATGGCAATCATTCGAAATAGGGCTGGTGTCCAAAGCGGACTCGCCAGTGTGGAAGAATCGGATCTCGAGCATGGCAATGCGCCACCCGAGGATGTCGATGACTCAGTTCAGGAGTCCACGAAGGAGCCGCTCTCAAGGCCTCCCAGTCGTGAGGGCCGCCCGATTCCCCGGATAGCTCCTCGACAGGAAGATCCGGAGCTCATCGCTCGTTTGAAGAAATACGAGGAGCGCAGTGATATGGGTGATGTCATCAACTCGTCCGTCCGCTCCATGAGTTTAGCTCAGGATGCAATCAGAGCGGCGAAGCAGGTCGAGGAGGGCATACAACATACCATTAGGCACAGCACCGCACGAGCCACAGTTGACCTCTACGAAGAGGTCATCAGTGATCCGCCCAACATTAGAATCTCTATGAATCCCGTCAAAATGGGATCTCAGCCTGGTCAGAACGGCGAAGCCGGTGACAGTCTTCGAGACGGGCTCAATTCTCGAGGGTCTTCCTCTGGGAATTCCACAGGAAGATCTATCCCAACCACATCATCTAGAGGCTCCGAATCGAAGAGAAGGATTGCCCCTGAGACCGTCTCACACCTCATCCCTGATCAAGTCGGCAACATGTTTCTAGATCGGCAACACAATATCTGGATCAAGAAGAAAAACCGAGAGCCTTCTAGGGGTATGCATAGCATTCTTCCGTCCGAGAATAGCGAAGACGATCCCTTTGCCGACATTCCAGACCTGTCTGTTGACATGACCATGGAGCTTCGCAATCTCGCGCGGAAAGCCGCGGCAGAAAAGACTGCAGAGCTTGCAGGCAATGCCAACCTGGCTCATAGCTCCCCACAAGCACAACCTCGGCACAACGCCAACTTCTCTGAGTATTCCAGAGTCTCTTCAGTGGAGCGGCCACCTTCCCAAAGGGACACCTCGATCTTGTCCCCAAGTTGGCTGATGAGCCAATTTGCCGAGACGAGCGACGACGAGGTTGAGCATGAAATCGGTATCTACGAGGACCGGAAACAGTACGATACTCCGAGGAGGAAAAATCTCACCATCAGCTTCTCCTCACCAATCGCCTCTATTATTCAGGATGTTGTTGCAGACAATCTCAATGAGAGCGGCTCTGAAGACGGTGGTGAAATTTCGTTTGTCCAAGCGGTTGAGTCTGGTCGCGGGCCTTCATTGAAGACGAAGAATCCTGCACGTGTGGTGCCGTTGAAGTCCAGGAGCGCCTCACTAGGCTCTGGAAAGCCGATGTCTCTCAGAGGAGAGACTTTCATCCCAAGGCCAGTTTCGCGTATTGATGAGAGAGACGAAGATTCGAGCCATGTCGCAGATGCCTCTCTGAGAAATCAAGAGCTCAGTGTGGTCGGCGATGAGCACATGTCAAACTCCATCTTGCATGAACAGCGCCAAACGAGTGTCAGCTTTGTGGTGGCAACACCGGCTCGACCCAAGGCTCGCGTTCAGTCCGATACTGAAGAGGTCCTGGCTGAATACGTGGGGATGTTGTCGTTGACCCCGTTATCAGAATTCACAATTCACGATCAATCCATGGGCCTCGAGGCCAGCTATATCCTCGGAAACCGGCATCTGGTCACCGGTGAAGGGAAGAAACGAATCATGTCACAGACTTTGAGGGACCTTGTTGACCGACTTACGGAAGTCGAACCTTTCTTGCCACAATGGGAAGAGATGGAAGAACTCAAGATCCAAGACAAGCAGCTCACGAGCTTACACATGCTCGATGAGTTCTGTGGTCGGTTGGTGACAATCGATGCGTCCGAGAACGCCATTCGAAATGCCAGTGGCATTCCAAACTCGGTGCGCAATCTGAGAATTGTGCACAACCAATTGTCAGAGCTCACTGCATGGGGCCATCTCTCCAATCTGCAATATCTAGACATATCGGGCAACGACATCAAAACGCTGTCTGGGTTGAAGAACCTGGTTCACCTGCGCAGCGTCAGGGCTGACAATTGCAATCTGAGAGACATCAACGCCCTGAAGGGCCACGACGCGCTCCAGAGCTTGAGAGCCCGCAACAACCAGATAACTAGTGTCGATTTCCACGGAACGAGACTACAGAGACTGACCGAGCTGGACCTCGAAGGGAATCAGCTTACCGAAGTGCTCAATCTTGACCAGTTGCCCTGTCTGTCGTCCTTGAATCTTCAGAACAACAAGCTCGAGTCGCTATTCACGGAGCTCAATCAACACCTGAACTCGCTCAGAGTCCTCAAAGTGAGTGACAATCACTTAAGAAGCCTCGATGTCAGCGGTATGCCACTGCTGCACGTCCTCTACGCCGACAGGAATCGGCTCGTCACTATGGAAGGCTTTCCTGGAACACCGCGACTCGACAGTTTGTCATTGAGAGAACAACTTGGTTCAACCTCACTGGATGTTTCAAGTGTGTACTACGCGTGCGAAGTTCGGAAGCTGTACTTGTCTGGAAACTTGCTCAAGAAGTTTGAACCTCCGACTGAGTTTCTCAACCTTCAGCTGCTCGAGTTGGCCAACTGTGGGTTGGAATCGCTCCCTGAAGACTTTGGTCAGCTGATGCCGAACTTGAGGAAGCTCAACCTGAACTTCAATGCCATGGCCGATCTCAAATGCCTCCGGAACATTCCGCGCCTGAAGAGGCTTTTTGCGGCAGGGAATCGACTTGGCAGTGCGTTATCCACGGTCGAAGTGCTGGCCGAATTCCCTTTCTTGGCGGAAGCGGACTTCAGGGACAATCCAATCACCCAGGGCTTCTACAGCCCTCTGCAGGTTGTCGCATCGGTGGACCGCCAATGCGCGGTTGATCCCTTTTTGCTGCCAGACGCGGATGTTGAACGCGACCAGGCATACTGCAGTCGGCTGGACTTGGGTACGGGGATGCGCCGTCGAATCTACGAGCAGGTTTACGGAGAGTCTTGTCTCCGACTGAAGAAGTTGGATGGCCTTCCGGCACGCAAGGACATCGCTCAGGTCCGAGACTCTGTGTGGATGGCACTGGTCATGAGAGGTGTCGTCCCGGGTGAGGACGGGACTTTGTTGGAGGCAGTCGAGTCCGAGAAGCAACTTGAAGAAAGCCGGTGGGCAGCAGAGGACAGCTTCGCATGAGGAACTCGGACTTGAGCCTGTTGATTTCTCTGCTTGTATTGAAAATTATTGTATTGTTACTGGCGCAGGCTTTGCGAGGGAGCTCTTTGTTTTTAGAGGAGTTGGGATAAAGGAGGCTGGCTAGGATGGGAGAGCATGGACAGGATGATGTGTACTTAATGACGAGCATTGATCAATGATAAATGAACAGAAGCCCTTTGATTGATTAGGGTCGAGAAACCAAATTCACCATCACCATGCAGATGTATGCTCATTGAGTATGGATCTTTATTATTGTAGGCATTAGGTTGTCACAAATGTGCTGAGTTCGTTTGTAAATTGTGAGGTTGCAAGCATTTGGACACAAGCCTTGATGGCTATTGACTCCGAAGTATTGCCGACCGCGACATGGCCTCTTTTACGCGTGTCCAGAAGCTCCATCTCAGATCAGTACCCCGCCAACAACATTGATCTTTTCTTCCCGAAACCGCCACCAGTCAGATCACAACATGGCTGGGAAACCGGGAAGCAGGACAGTGGTCTTTTTCCACCCAGACTTGGGTATTGGCGGCGCAGAACGACTGGTCGTGGATGCCGCGGTCGGCCTTCAGAATCGAGGCCACCGGGTGGTCATCTTCACCAGCCATTGCGATCCCCAACATTGCTTCGAAGAGGCCCGTGATGGTACGTATGAAGCTTTGTTTTTGGCTTGCTGGTCACACCACAGTATTGATCATAGCTTTCTTAGGAACTCTTGATGTCCGAGTCCGTGGCAACACCTTGGTTCCTCCGTCGATCCTGTCGCGATTCTTCATCCTTTGCGCCATCCTCCGACAACTACACCTCATTCTACAGGTATACTTCACCTCCGAACTTGCAGCCCTGCAGCCGACATCCTTCTTCGTCGACCAGCTGTCTGCTGGATTGCCGCTCCTTCGATTCCTCTACCCAAAAGTCGGCATCTTCTTCTACTGCCACTTCCCGGACCTGTTGCTGGTGCAAGGACGGGCTAAATGGTGGAAAGGGGCCTACCGTGTCCCATTTGATGCGCTGGAGCGATGGAGCATGAGTTTTGCGGACACAATCGCTGTGAACTCCAAGTTCACAAAGGGCGTGGTGAGCAATACGTGGCCGAGCTTGGCGAGGCAGCAAGAATTGCAGGTTGTCTATCCATGCATTGATACGAAGCCCAAGAAAGATGACAACGCTCCTGCCGGCGACTTGGTCTGGAACGACAGCAATATCATCCTTAGCATAAATCGCTTCGAGAGGAAGAAGGACGTTGCGCTGGCGATCAGGGCGTTTGCGGGGCTACCGAAGGAGAAGAGAGTGGGCGTCAAGCTTGTCGTTGCCGGTAAGTGGGATGCGCTGTATCGCCTCCGGTTCTCAGTTACAGATAACTAATTCGGAATGTAGGTGGCTACGACAATAGAGTTGGCGAGAATGTCCGCTATCACAAAGAGCTCGTCTCCCTCGCCGATGGTCTTGGGCTGAGCCATGCCACGACCAAAACCATAGTCACGGCGCTCAACGTGCCCGAGCAAGTCGAAGTCCTCTTCCTGCTCTCGGTTCCTGGCACCCTCAAGAACATGCTGCTGCAGTCCGCTCGCCTGCTCGTCTATACGCCGGCCAACGAGCATTTTGGCATTGTGCCTCTAGAGGCCATGCTCTCCGGAGTTCCGGTACTCGCCTGCAACACGGGTGGTCCCACCGAGACAGTCGTGGAGGGCGTGACTGGCTGGCTCAGGTCTCCGGAGGAGGTTGGACAGTGGACCGACGTGATGGACATGGTGCTCAACAACATGACGGCGAAGGAGAGGGCTAAGATGGGCAAGGCAGGGCCAGAGAGGGTGAGGGCCAACTTTGGCGATGTCCAGATGGCCGAACGGATCGACCTCCTTCTGGACAAGATCGAGGAAGTGAGCGCAAAGAGGTCTTCTATCAAGGGCGTGGTCACCTTGTGCATGGTGGGCGTCTTGGTCGCGCTGGGAGGCTTGATCATGAGAATGGTTGGGAAGTGGTAGACAAGAGTGCGGGCTGTAAGATGATGCATTTGAGATATACCCCGGGTTCTTTCCGTGTTTGCTAGGTAAAAAAAAATTTGTAGTCAATCATGACTTCTTCACAGTTCTCGACTCTATCCCGGTTGGTGTATGTGTTAACAACCCAAACCACAATGTATCAGTCACATTTCGGCAAGATGTCATGCAGACCCAGGCGACCAACTCACTTCATGCGGTCCCGATCCGCCCATGCTCGGGTTCTCCAAGGAACCCCGAAGGTTGATTTATATGCGAGGAGCTCCTGTACCGTCAGTTGCAACTGTTGGGATCGGGATGTCGGTTCATGCCGCGGGTCCTGCTGTCAGACGGCTTGGCATTGTCAGAAGCTAATGCCCGCCATTCGAAGTGGTCGAGAAGCTGATCGTCAAATTAGCCCCGCCCGGAGAACCCAAGCCCACGGTACCGGGGGGCAACCACCTGCCTCAGTGGGTTCTACGGCCAAGAACCTTGAGGGAGGAGGTCCGATAGTTTGTACGTGTTGTGGTGCTTCCGGAGATGAAGCCCCTTCATCCTCTCTACGCCCTACGAAGGACCTGGGAGGGTCTGGTCCGGAAGGGGACTCCGTAGAGATCTCTGCCAGATGGCGTTTGCCATACGTGGGGAGAACGGGAGGCCAGGCAGAGTCAAGCAACTATCATTCACGCTCTAGATTCATTCAGGAGGCATTACCAGGTAATTCGATTACAATCAATCTGGTACTCGTAATATTGTGGGAGGCAGGCATCTTCTTGTTGTATGCAAGAATAGCACCATGTGCCTCGAGACGAGCAGAACCAACCATGGTGGGGAGGCACCCTTATTGGGCATCAATGCTATGGCAGATCTCAACGGCCCATGGTGGAACTGAGTACAAAGGCTGTTCGAAATGGAACATGGCTCTTCAGACATTCCAATCCCTTTCGTGAGGCATTTTCTGAGCAACTGATACCCTGGTTGTGTCGTTGGGTCTGGAGCCGAGCTGTCAAGCAGCGGACCTCAAAGATCACAAGCACCTCTGTCGAATCTGTACAGCCCCTACAAAGAAGAACTGGGGCTTGTTAGCAAGGTGGTTCTGTTAACCTCGTCTGAATAGGATCCCAGCGATGCGGTTCCAGCCAAGAACGCTACGCCTGGCTAGGCATCCGACCGGTTCTTTTCGGAGCTGTAAACCATATGCATCGTCTGGAGACCCTTGAAGCTGTGAGTAATTCTGTGCGTAACGGAGTTTTGGCATCATGAATACGGACAAGTGCTTCTTCTCAGTGGGGGTTAGCTGCCTGGGCAAGGGGCATTCCGGATTACGCGGAACCCCGGAAGGCACCTGCATGTTGAACAGACCAATTTCCGACCCCGGCTCCTGAAAGTGATGTGATGAATATTAAGGACGAGCATGGATCGTACTAAACCCCTTGTCTATTATACAAGTACACCAAGCACACCGGGGAGGCCAAACACCAAACAAAGCCAAGATTTCCAACCAATGTTTCCTGGCAGCCACTGACCGTTCGAAAGGTATACCTAATAGGTACTGCCTGCTACGAAGCTTTTAGATCCGTCTGCAAAGTTTTGCTCGCCGACGACCGTCCATCGAGGGGCTGAAATAACGGAGGCGAAAGTTGGGCATCAAAAAAGGCGAAACCGGACCTCGAGGCCTAGGCCCGGGCCCGTTGTTGCGCCGTTGGGAAGAAACGGAGAGTGATAGTGATGATCCATGACTCGGTCTCTCCTGTTCAAGTCAAGTACCGTGGACAATGTAGATACAATACCTACCATGTGCATCGAGGGAATGCCTTTTGACCGTATCGACCTGTCCTTGTCCTTATATTTTGACATATCGGCGCTGTGGTGGAGTGCAAGATTATCGATCGACAACAAACACGACCGTTCAAGCTTCGCTTATATTGCTTGTAGAACGTGGGATGTTGGATATCTGTTCAACGTTTAGATAGCAGGACAATTCTGACCAGACTTAACAGTGTCCTGCAACGGAAGCATTTGTCTTGAATGCCAGTCCAAGAGGTTACAAGCATCCTTGGATATCTGGTTGAAGTCGACCAGTAACACTTGGTGCTCCACAGAGCATCCGGGCCACAACCAGTGATTGACATGTCACTCTTCTCTGCGAAGAGGGCCTCGATGGAGTTACAGCACCCCAGACAGGAGCATTCCCCATCACCCATCACCCGTAGGCCATGGTATGGCATACCTACAATAAGCATCCATGGTCAAGCAGCTTTGGTATGCCCCTCTAGCTAAGTAGTGGATGATGTCTCAAAGACGAACCGGCCCGTCTGTCTCGGGCTAGAGCATTGGTGGCCAACTAGTGTTATCTGGTGGTTTGTTCTCCGGGCCGGCTCGACCAGACTTCCCCTTCCCCGCGACCAGCACCGCAAAAGCTTGGGGCGGCTTCTAGACCTTTCACGTCCCGGTCCGAACCTGCAACCGCACTTGAGGTCGCAGAATGGTCTCAGCGACAGTTGTGGGCCATTAATGATAAAGACTATGGAAGGAAAACTAGAACAATCGTACATGAGGGGGGGGGGGGGGGGGGTATGGTGCTCCTTTTGTGGGCTGATGTAGAATACATCTATGAGCAAGTACTTTGTATGGCGCATGAACTGCTCTGCTTGTGTTATGTGGGACATTGCCTGTTTGCCCTGGGGAAATGAGTAATGATGTCAATGCAGCTTGTGCAGCTTCACATTCATGGACAAGCACGTAAGCATTGGACCCATCGCAGCCTTGCCACTGCCAGTCTGGTCAATCCAACAGGATTGAGCCTTGAGATCTGTCATGCGCACGCACGCCCTCCAAGGACAAACTCGAGGATGACATCTCCCGGTGCCCATGTTGCCGCATTAATTACCACAAGCCGACAAACAACATGGACGCGGGGTCTGACATGGGCGACGAGGACGAGGTTGGGTGTGGAAGGTACCTCTGTCTTGTACTCTGTCTGGGAGGGACTCGGTAGAGACCTTGCAGGTGCACCATTACCGGATGAAATTGACGGGTCGCGTCAGTGGAGGCTTGAATGGCCCCATGTAACTCCATCCGCAGGCAAAGTAGCATCGAGTCGGGGTACTTCAGGCTTGCTAGCCCCCTTTTGCAGTCGAGCTAGGTACAAGTACCAGCCCACAGTGCAGTCCTGCAACCGTGCGCTCCAAATGACGCCCTATCAGCCAAACAGGTACCTTGCCTTGACTGGCTAGAAAGCCGATCTGTCGGTGCGTGCATGCAGATGGTGCCGGTCTGGCCAACAATTGCTCGACTGCCACCACCAGCCATCCAAGCCATCTTGTTGCCGTGCCCATGTTCATGTTCACCTCGCTTCTCGGCCAGGGTTGCGACCTTGGGGTCATCCTGGTCTTCGTTCGAGTATGGACCATGCTCAACCCACTTTTTGAATGAAGTGACAGGAGATGCAGCTAAAGGGAAATGGGGAGGGAGTAGTTACTTGTACAAGTACACACACCGATGTAGGTACCTCTCGCTTCTGGAACTGGGAATGCATTCGCAAACCGTCACAGGCAGAGTGCGATCGCTTTTCCTGTTGGCTGAAGCCATAGCCCTCTGGTTTTGATAGTCCTGGAGTTTTCTGTTGGGAAATTTTACTTAGGTAGGCAAGTAAATATCCTGGAGGCATTCTCGGCTCTCAGAATACTGCACTCATGTTGGGTGCTTGAAACCTTTGACTCTCTCATGGGCACATCAGATAGTAAAGGGTGGGCTTCTCAGGCTGCTTTAGCTTCCCCATGTCGTGGTGGTTGTCTTGCTACCAGGGCTCTGTCAAAGTACCTAAATTGCCCGGGTACCTCCCTCTTGCTCGACTTTGTGGTTGGTCACTGCGCCAAATCACCCGCCAAATTGCTGGGATTTCCTAGCACCAACCCCAGGGAAAGCAAACCGTGCACGCTGAGAGCATTGACAGTGCCTCGCACTTCCATTTCCAGACCGCACACACTCCAGTCACCACCACTCGCGACTCCTCTTGTGCTACTGCCTCGATTCTCCAGCCTCCCAGCAGTTCTCGTCCATGCGGGAGAAGAGAGGGCACTGCGCGCATACAGACCACCTGTGAGCCAGTCTTGGTTCCTGGCGAATTCCGGCGGTGCGCTACTGCGCTGTATCACCCTTTCTCCCCAGTCCCGGTCAGGTCTCGGTTCCGTGGGCGAAGATTCCCAATTGTTGCTTCGCGAGTACATGCTTCATGGCCTTGATGAATACATGTAAGTGATTTCCTGCCTGCTTAATGTTTGGGTGGCTGTCGCTCTTTCTGTGCACAAACTTGTCACCAATGCGTCAACATTGCTTGATCCAGCTGCAGCTGCCCCGTCGCTGCCTCCCCCCTCCCTCGTCCCTTCGACCCATTCGACTCGTCTTACCTCAATACCTGCATGCTGATTCAATTGTTGTACAACATAGCGAGCGCATCGAGCCACAGCACGCCTTGCGCTGCCAACATCTGAAGCCATGGAGGCTCCCTTCGAGCTGCCCATACAGGGGCCGATGGGAGGCTTGCCGATCATGAATCCAGCATCACAGCAGCAGCAATCAGGCCAACAGCCCCCTCAGGCCCGAACATCACCACAGCGTATTCGGAGCCAGAAGGATTCTTCATCTTCTGTAGTACGAGATCGCGATGCGAGATTAAGGAGGTCTCCCACAATCACTGGGAAGGACGAGGAACGAAATGCGGCACGAGTTGGGAAACCCAGAATGCGGCTCTCGCCTAATGCCTTGCCAAAGTCGTTGCTCCCTGTCACAGAGAGGAAAATGCAAGATGGGCCAAAGACCGACAAGCGAGTCAAGAAGGACACGGAGGGCGAGAAGTGGGACATTGCGCCGGACGGTTCGTCAGCCGGGCGCGAAGGCAGGCAGTTTACGGTTGCGAATGTTGGAAACAATGGACGCATCTACCTGCGACCCTCAGTTCGCCCAGCCAACCAACGATACCCACAGCCGCATTTTGTCTTTCCTATGACACCACCCAGCACGGCGGGCCTGGATAAGTTGACGACCGAGGAGACGAAGGCAGGCGAGGAGCTTGACAGGAATCAGCTGCACAGCGGCCAGTGGACGCCAAGTCTGATTCCATCTACGCCGAACACAACGAGGAAGGCTTTCTTACCCGAGGGGAGGCAAGGCGGTCACCGCCGCGCCATTTCAGATTCTACCATCCCCGACACCAGCGTTGCTCGAGAATCAGACATTGGTGGCTTCAAAATAGTCATCACACAGCCTGGAGACGATCAACGACCCAAGACCGTCGAAGACATCGACCCAACTAATGGATTGCTGCTCGATGTTGCTATTCCCTCATGGAAGTTGGGCAATCCGCGCTTTACTTTAAGGGGTACTCCTCTTATTCGGGGATCATCATACGCCCCGACGGAGGAGTTTCCCGCTAGTAATCGTTCCATTCTGGACCGGACGCCAAGGAACATGACGCCCCGACCAGACTCGTCTCTTCCTCAACGGCCTTTCCAAGTCAAACTCCCTCCAGGTCGCTCAGGAGTGTCTTCTGGACCTGCCTCGCCACGGATGCTGATGCCTTTGCGCGCCACCTACCTCTCCACCCATCTCGTCATCGAGCCTGCAATGTTCGATCCTCTGACTTTCAAACCGGCATGTGATGATCGGACCATCGTGAGGTATTCACCAAGTACAAACGCCGTCACTGCAGCGACTCCCCCACGACTCGTAGCGGAAATCACATCTCCGACATTTCTGGACTACGAGCTCCTCTCCGACTTCTTCCTTACCTATCGTTCATTTTTGGAACCGTCAGATCTACTGCGCATGCTGGTCGCCAGACTTCGGTGGGCCTTGGCACGAGACGACGAGATCGGCATGGTTGTTCGGGTTCGCACATTCGTTGCGCTCCGTCACTGGATCCTGAACTACTTCATGGACGATTACGTGATCGACTACAGCCTCCGGGTCACCTTCTGCAATCTCCTCAATGATTTTGTCGAAGAGTTATCGCAGGATCCGCGCGGCCTCAAAGTCCAGCTCAAGATTCTTTCCGAGTTGAAAAAGTGCTGGCGCAGGGTCTGCGCACAGTACTGGGACGGTCCTGAGTTCGACACCGCATTGGATCCCAACGGCCCTATTGCCCCCGGAGGCATTGCCGGTCACCGCAATGCCAGTCTGGATCCTAGCTTCTGGGAGCAGGAAGACGATGAGGCTCCTCCACGACTAGATGAGATTGTCGCACAGATCAAAAATAGCCAGGGGCACACGAGTTTCTACGCCGATGTCTCAAGAGCTGGCCATCTCGATTCAGTTGTCCATGACGATCGACCAGGCACCCCTGAAGACAGAATCACGGCTGGCGATTCCTACGATAGACATCAAGCCTCGCCTACGAGCATCACCAGTGTCGACGTGATTTCTTGCTCCTTCCCGTCCAAGGTCAAGCCCGGCACGCAACATACAGACCCTTCTCCCCTAGCAGCCCATCCGGTAGACCCCCTGTCCCTCTCGAACGCCATGGGCCCAATAGCCACAACACCACGAGCTCTTACTGGGAAACGAGTTCGGCCCACTCAACACAAGCGCAATGTTAGTCTGACTGACTCTCTGAGAGATCATCCCATCATGTCAGACCGGCATTTCTTCAAAGATACGGACCTCATTATGAGCATACCATATGCAGGCAGCCTGGTTCGAGGCGCTATGTTACCACCTGGCCAACCTTTCGTGGAAGTCATCCCGCCCAGCTCAGCAGGAGGACAGAGCCGACAGACAACCCTATTTCAACCTCATCCTCTCGAAGCAGAAAAGGAGAAAACCTCTGCATCTGCTGTGTCGAGCCAGGGAATGAGGAAGCTTTTGGGTAGTGTACGGCGCGCGCTGAGCACCAAAATCCCGGGCGCACCCGCAACCCAAGGGAGTCTGTTAAGTATTAGACCCATCAGCCCGCGTGGCGCCACGAATAGACTACCTGGCACGGCAGTCGTGCCACAGGCGACACTGCGTGTGAACGGGGCCCGTCCGCCGGTAAGGATCGATCTTCTTGGAGCCGAGGTCGCAGAAGATTTCAAAAAAGCAGTGCGAGAAGACGCAGCAGCTGAGGCTGCCAAGATCGAATACGACTTGCCCAGTCCGATTTCTGTACGCATCCCGGATGAGAAGCTGGAATACTCGGCAGCGCATTTGGATTCTGCCTTCGATGTCCTCGGACAGATGGAAGACCGTCCATTCAGCGACATGGGTATCACAACTGGCAGCAAGTCTATTGTCATCGTGGACGACACATTACAATTGGAGGCGCCCTCAATGGCAGGGGCTCTTCCTGCCGTCAACTCTTCGGTCGAAGCCTTCGCTGAAACCTTCATGCCGGATCGCGGGGATCTAACACCGCCCAACACACCACCTGATCGAGCTATGGGCGGGACGCCTCGAAGATCTTCATACATCTTGAGCCAGCATGTTTTACGGCCGTCCACAGCAGCCGACTCACTTCCCCCAATCACCCCTGAGATGACTGCGCTCGCGCGTGAGGCCGAAGGTCGTCCCTCTGTGGATACGATGCATCTATCCCACGACTTTGCTCGTCCCTCCATCGACTATGTTCGGCAATCATCAGATCGCCCTCCTTTGAGTGCCTTCCGTATGCACACAAGACAGCACTCCAGCCGTTCTTACATATCGAACAAGTCGTTCGGCAGGCGACGGTTTGCATCACTGACGAGCGGCGGAGTGCCACCGACGATCCGAAGCTTTGATGCCACCACCTATTCGGAAGGTTCTGTGGATGCGTTGGGAGAGGTGCCCATGCCCCAGCCGCTTCGTGTCCTGAGGCGCAGGCCCGGCGGCGATCTCAGAGCGGTAGAACATGTTGGACAGTTGGATCATGCCCCGCTGCGTAGGTCGCGGTCGGTCGGATCGTTGACAACCTATACCGACTCCATCCAAAGCTCTTTCATGCGAAGTCCAGTGCAGGACTCAAGCGGTTTTGTCGACGTGGTCTCCAGCAATTATTCGCGCGATAGGGACGAGACGTTTTCCCTCGGAGCCATTGCCGAACAAAAGCCCAAGCGTCAATTATCCTTGTTCAGCACTCATTCTTCCAAACCCGTAATGCGCCCATCATTTGAGGCGGAGGCTCAAAAGCTTGCTCAGATTCCAGACGACGTGGATGACGATGGTGGCGTCGAATCAGCACTGTTGAAGCTGGAGGGCAAGTTTGAAAAGAAGTCACCACGGCCGTCTCTGGTCCCGTCGCAGACCACCCAGGACCCAACCGAGGTGATAGCCAAGCGCCAGTCTAGCAGCGATGCGACGGCCAACACAGAAGAGAAGCGGGAACACCGCCATCAACATGTCGGCGAGGGCGCTGTGCTGGCCCAAGAGGATGATGTACACGACAATGAGCAAAAGCCCACAAGTAATGCTCATCAAACAAGCCTGCTGAGTGTGCCACAATCAAGCACGCGACTACATGAAGAGGCACAGTCGTTCTTTGCTGGTTCGAACGAGTCGTACTCCTCGATCCCTCTTCTCGAGCGTGGCCTGACAGATGATGGGCGCAGTAAAGCGGAGACGCGCGAATGGACAAACCACTCCATCTTGGATGATGCGCCCACACCATCGGCACTATCGGAACGAGATGATCAAAACTCGAAGCCTACCTCTTTTGAGTTTGCGAGGCCGACACACAATGGTGGACATGCCGATCAGGACGAGGGAATGCCCCAAAGCCCCGGAGAAGGAACCGTGTCGTTCCTCGATGACGAAAGTAATGGAGGGAGTGATCTGTCATCAGAGTTTTCGGCTGATCTGAGTGACGAAGACGAAGACCCCCTTGAATATCGCGGGGGCAGGCTCACGAGATCCAACACCGTTGCTTCAAGACTTCCCGCACATCCCTTGGGCGACCCGGACGAGCCGCCGTCGCTTCCCCAGTCGGCCCTGCCGCCGCCACCTCTGGGCCCGCCGCCCTCGCCTCCCTCGACAGTGCACCAAGCAGCAAGGAGAAACCTCTCTGAGACGGAAAATATACCTCAGCTGCACGATCACCAGCTGTGGGAGGAGAAGCCCCTTCCCCCGACGCCTGACACGGCTCCGACCACCGTCAGCCACTCGCCTTCTTTGGGATCACCAGATCCCACCGGGAGGAAGGAGGCTCTTCGCAACGCACCAAGGATGCTTGAGTCTGGAGTCGCACGCAAGTACTCTGTCCATCTTCCCTTCATCCTTGCCTTCGATTCGGAAATCCTTGCTCAGCAGTTCACCCTCATCGAGAAGGATGCTCTGAATGAGATTGACTGGAAAGACCTCATCGAGATGCAATGGAAGAACGCCGAGAACAGCGACGTGCGCTCCTGGGTCGACTTCCTGCGGAACACAGACGCCCACGGAGTGGAAGTCGTGATTGCTCGTTTCAACATCATGGTCAAATGGGCTGTATCGGAAGTCATCCTCACGCAGGACATCGAGGAGAGAGCTCGTTGCATCATCAAATGCATACACATCGCGTCTCACTGCCGAAGATATAGAAACTTCGCCACCATGAGCCAGCTGACCATCGCGCTTACAAGCAAGGAAGTCAGTAGGCTGACAAAGACTTGGGCGATGGTTCCCGCTCACGACTTGCAAACTCTTCGCGACCTCGAGATGCTTGTCACGCCAACACGAAACTTCTATAATCTCCGGGCCGAGATGGAAGCTGTGGGCATCGAGAGCTGCGACACTGGGTGCATTCCATTTGTTGGTGTCTACACTCACGATCTACTCTTCAACGCGCAGCGGCCGTCAGAGATCGCAAGCTCTCCCACCACCGCACCGCTGGTCAACTTTGAGCGGTGTCGAATCGCGGCTTCTATCGTCAAGACGCTATTGCGTCTGCTAGAAGCAAGCACGCTGTATGATTTCCAGCCTATCGAGGGGATCACAGAGCGTTGCCTTTGGATGAGCGCCCTGTCCGACGAGGAAATTAGGCGTTACTCTCAAGCCTTGCAGTGATCTGCAATCACCGAGGCTGCGATCCTTCGACACAGCGTCACCCATTCCAACCTGTACATCACACAAAACATACATACAGCATAGATCATCTTCCGCCCACGCGTTCACGGATTGTACTAGTACGAAACCTTGATATCCCCTCGCCGGTAGTATCTACCCGAGCCGACAGCAAAATATCTATGCACGCGCAACGTTCGTTTACATCTGCCATTGGCGCACACGACACGGCCCTGGTCGCTACGGCTGCTGGCAACAAGAGGCCAGAGGAATACAATCTTCTCCTTAATCATTAAACAAAAGAGACGAAAATGAGAATATTCCGACGAGTATTTAACGACCAGCCAAGACACGTCTTCTCCTTTTTTTTCTGCTTCTTTACTTTGCTTTTCCGTCAACCGCCTCGCCCGGCTTTGCTATTCTCTTATTATCTCTTGTGTTATTTTTGGTACCCGCTCGCGAAACGACGGGTTTTTGGATCCGGGGATTGCTTTCTCTTTGGCAAAGCGCGGCGTCAAAGTCTTTTCTTTTTTTTTGCAATTAGGGAGGGAGGGATCTTGCCGCTGTGGACGCGTGCATATCGGACAGGGAAAATGGCAGAGTCAGGGGCAGAGAAATCCCAGCCTCATACATACATGTATGGCTTGCCGGCATCGCCCACGGAGTTTTTCTTCCCTTTGTCACTTTTTTGAGCCTACGTCACCACCACTTATACCCGGCGTAGTGTGAGTCAGTTTGAGGTCGAGGGGGGGGAGATGGTAGAGTCTGCTTGCATTGGGGAGGCAAGAGAGGAAAGGGACGAGAGTCATCTAGCTGAGGATGCCGAGACAGCAGTGCGGTCTGCTCAGTACTGTTCTTCCATGCAGAGGACCCTGGGGCGGCGAGGGCGTAGTAGTAGCAGGCTGATGAATGAAAGAGAATCCGAATGATCGCATGTTCTTCACTGACCCGAAATGTGATGTTCAAGCTGTTTGTTGGAGGGATGCGAAACCAACAACCGCAGCGCGGCGAAATCAATGGACCAACCGCCATGCTGCTGCCAGGACGAATAATATGTGTTGCTTCTATGTAGGGGTATCTCAAGTGAAAAGAAAAGACCATTCATATATCCTCCAAAGCAACTAATCTCCAAAGCCCTCAAACTCGTCAGTAGCAGCAGCAGCAGCGCTGGCAGCATTACTGCCCTTGGCTTGTTGCTGCTCGTTCTTGCGCCGGATCTGCCCGATCAAGTCGTCCAGCTTCTTCTGGTCTTCCTTCTCCTGGTCCGTCATGTGCGCATACCTCTCGGCCTCGCGCTTCTTCCTCCTCTTCTCCCGCCTCGCCACCCGGACGTCCTCCTTCTCGTGCTTCTCGCTCCACGCCTCGTTCTTCTTGCGCTTGGCGCTGCTCTTGCCCTGCTGCGCCGCGCTCTCGCCGCTGGCCGCGCTCGCGGCCGCAGCCGCAGCCCACTCTTCGGCCTCGGCCTGCCTCTTCTTCTCCTTGGTCTTGTCCTTGAACCTGATCTCGTTGGCGTCTATGCCCAGGCCGAGGCCGCGGTCGATGTCGAGCCCCCTGAGCTCCGGCATCTTGGGCAGCTGGACGAGGCCCCAGGCGTGGGCCTGGTTGACCCAGTCGAGGTCCTTGATGCGGAAGATGGAGGTGGCGCGGTGCTCCAGGTAGAAGCGCGCCCACGAGACAAAGGCCCGCTGGGCGAGCTGGAAGACCTCGCGGTCGGCGACGGCCTGGCTGCGCAGGCCGGAGGTCATGCGGTCCGCCTCCTCGGGAGCTATGCTGATGGCAGGGTGGGTGAGCTCGGCGATGGGCGTCCTCCGCACGTCCATGAAGGGTATGAAGCCGTCCTCGGTCGGCAGAAGCATGACGACGGCGAGACCACGGCGCCCGGCGCGACCTGCACGGCCACAGCGGTGCAGGAAGGTTTTGGGGTCCTGAGGGGGGTCTATCTGGACGACGAGATCGACCTGAGGGATATCGATGCCTCGGGATGCGACATCGGTCGTCAGCAGGATGGTTGGCGACGATGATGTTGTGAACTTGAGGAAGTTTCTGTCTCTGACTTGCGGCTCAAGTTTGCCGTGGAGAGGGATGACCGAGAACCCGTCGGGGAGCAGGGACGGCAGCACACTGGCAAAGTACTTGACCGCAAAGCAGGTCGACAGGAACACTATTGACCTCATTGGCGTGGGGTCCAAGCTCTGGAGCAGCTGCATCAAGGCCGGGAACTTTTGGTTTGCTGGTACTGTCAGGTATGACAGCTGTAGGCTGGCTGGTGTTCTCTTCTCTTCGATTATACCCCCGTCCTTGAGGTTCTTGACAGTCACAACAATACGTCGGGGGTTGCGCAGGTTGACCCTGATGAGCTCGCCCAGGGCATCACTGACACTGGCCGAGAAGAGCCCATTTCGCCTCTGCTTAGGGAGATAACCAAGACTACGAGCAATATGATTAGCATTAGGGAATGCATGGCGGGAAAGGGGGCCTGCGTACATCCGTTGCAGTTCCTGTGAGAAGCCCATATCTAGTAGACGGTCTGCTTCATCCAACACGAGTACCTCAAAGCTCGATTGCGAATTGACATGTGGGCTCGACAGGAGCTCAGCGAGACGGCCCGGAGTCGCAACAAGCACATTAGGCGAGTGGCGGAGGAACGACGACAGGTCGGCGGCCGGCTTGGTCGTGCCGCCTACAAGGAGCTGGGGTACTATGACGGGTACGGAGCTGGCGGGTCGCTTCTCGTCGCCCTTGAGATACGGCAGCAGCTCGGCGGAGGGTTGATGAAAGGCGAGGAGAGAGAGAAGGACGTTGTAGATCTGCGTTGCCAATTCGCGGGTTGGCGATATGATGATGGCTCCGACATGGTGCTTCTTCATGGGCTCCCCCAGCCGCAGCAGCTTGCTGATGACAGGAATGAGAAAAGCCAACGTCTTGCCGCTGCCGGTGGTGGCCTCCACCACAACATCAGAATTGCCTGTGAAGAGTGGTATGACGGCAGCCTGAACCGGAGTCATCGAGGCTGGTTCGGTGTTAGTCGGGGGTTGCTTCAAAGCTCGGCCCGGCCGTTCATCGGGTGGGAATCGACTTACAGTATCCGAAACTCGATACGGCCTGGAGAAGAAAGTCATCAAGTGGAGGGGCCAGGGCATCCCAGGCTCTCGAGCTCTGGGATGAGCCCTTTTTCTTTGATTTTTGATCAGGTGCCATGATCAATCATGGGATGCTGTACCCTGTAGAGGACTGTTTAGAACAGCCGGAGGCTACTGCGAGGAGAGCAACGCACTGATCTCATCTGCTGAAAGGGAGAAGGCATCACCATCAATCTCGATAATCCGTTTCTTTATGCAAGTCTTATCGGGCTCCGCGATTCTGAAATTTTTAGCGGGTCCTGGCGGTTTGACTTGTTATCTACATGTGACTTCTGGGCTTCTGGAGGGTCCATTCAGTGCTCGGAAGAGTCGGGGACCAGGGTGGTCCGATAGCGCCAGCAGCCCTGAAATTTTTGCGCCGTCTACCAAATCACAGCTGAACAGGTGGTGCTAACAGGGGCGCGACATGGGCAGGCCGGGCTGGGAGGCCCCTCCACATGCCTCGAGTCTTTGACTCGAGTGCTGACTCTACTCAGTGTGCGTGTGTGTGTGTGTGTGCACGAGACACCCAACTTTTGCAGGTTCTACGCCGCCCGACATGATATCACCGGAAACACCGACCACGCCTGAAAATTACCTGCACCTAAGTACCTCTACTCCATCCTTGACGGCATCTTTTTGTCCACATGTTATTTATCCTAGCACCCTAGAGCCGTCTCTTGCATCCCCCTCTCCATATATCCCTCGCTGTCTCGAAGGAACCGAGGTCTCTGATCGTCGCATTTCAGAGTCCCGCCTTCGTTCCTCAGCTCGTCAAGATCACATCCTCTTCCAGTACCCTCGACGATGCGGTGGAGTCAAACTCTGCCGCAATCTGCTCTGCAAATCTGGATCCTATAGCCCTCATTGCGTCCTACTTTCAAAACCACCAGCCCTCGAGCGCGCGCGCATCCAGAAGGGACTCCCATCTCAACTCCTTGCTTTGGCCTCTTCGATTTCACGACCTCCAGCGCATTATCGCAGGCGCAATCTGCCTCCCCGCCTTACCTCCGTTCCCATACGACATGTCGCGCCGGAACGGCGTCCCCGCCACGCCGCGGGTCATATCCCCCAGCCCGACGCCCTCGGAGCGCCTCGAGGACGCGGCTTCGTCGCAAGACACATACTCTGCCCCGGTGACGCGATCATCGGTGAGGAAAAGAGTCAGCACGCCGCAGCCCGTCGAGGAACACTTGGATGAAGATGAGCAAGACGAAGGGCCAGACCTCCGGAGGGCCCGGACCAGGAGTCGGAGCCCCATGGCCTCGCGCAGGCTCTCCGGCCTGACGGCCATACCCACGCTTACTCCCAAGACCAAGACGACCCCGAAGAAGGCATCATCAGCAGGCGACGTTCCCGCAAACGGCAACATCGTCGCGTCCAACGGCCACTTGTCGCCAGCATCGGCAATATCTCCGGGTTGGAGCTGGCGCGACTTCAGTCGGAGTCCGAGCCCGCTTGGCCTGATCCCGATCCACCGCCACTGGCGAAACTTTGTCCACCGGCACGAGGTGCCGCGCAAGCTCTTGCACGTTTCCATCGGATTTCTTGTCATATGGCTCTACGCGTCCGGGGTCCAGACCCGGTCCGTCGCTCCCTACCTCATGGGCGCGCTCATCCCCATCGCCGCGACCGACTACGTGCGGCACCACTATGCGCCTTTCAACCGGCTGTACGTGCGCGTGCTCGGCGCCCTGATGCGCGAGAGCGAGTTCTCGGGGTACAACGGCGTCATCTTCTACCTGCTCGGGGCCTGGATCGTGCTCTACTTCTTCCCCAAGGACGTGGGCGTCATGAGCACCCTGCTGCTCAGCTGGTGCGACACGGCCGCCAGCACCTTTGGCCGTCTCTACGGGCGGTACACGCCGCGCATCCGCCGCGGCAAGTCCCTCGCCGGATCCTCGGCCGCGTTCCTGGTCGGTGTAGCGACTGCCACCTGGTTCTGGGGGTGGCTCGTGCCCACCATCGGCCCCATGCCTGGCGACGAGGGCTTCATGTTCACCGGCGTCCTCCGGCTGCCCCAATTCGCCGCCAATGCCATGGGCCTGGCCCGAGGCCCTGCTATCTCGGGCGCCCTCGCCCTGGGAGTGATGAGCCTGTGGTCCGGGTTTGTGGCTGCCGCCAGCGAGGTGGTGGACATCTTTGGCTGGGACGACAACCTGACCATCCCGGTGCTGAGCGGCATAGGAATCTGGGGTTTCCTGAAGGTCTTTGGTTAAGAATTGGCATATCGGATATAAATAGTACCTCTGTGGGGACTTGCATGGTGAGGCGTTTGGACGCGGGTTTCTTTGTCGACAATTCAAGCGTATGATACACTGGGTTGGAAGGGGGGGGGGGAGGGGGCTGGATATCTGCACCGGAGCTAACATCCTAGAAAGCGGTGGTCCACGACGCATTATGTATACATTTTGATGGGACGAGAAGGCTTGGTTAGGGGCCGGCACAAACTCCTACTCAGTAGTGAAGGTTCAATAGAACCAACAAGCACCATTCAGCACGCGCCACCTGGGCCTTCCTTTGCGTAAGAGTCTTTGAGCTGGCCGGCCGGGAATATCTATCCAAACTTGCGGCAGGGCCGTGACGCAATGTCGGGTGTGGGCAAAAGTGCGCAGAGCCAACGGGGCCTTAGGAACGAAGGGAACAAGCACACTTATCCGTGGCGTGGGCAGCACCGGTCCTTGTCGACGAGCTACTCGGCAGCTAACGGTTCTCGACCTGGGGATCACGCTGGGTTCTAGTAGCCATTGGATCGCTGCAAGTGAGTGGCCCCGAAAAGCCAGAGTCCTTCCCATTCGCTCTGCAGCTGCGTTGGGCTCCAACGCCCTCGCTTCCAAGGTTCTTACATCGCATGCCTTGCAAGTCATGCCCCCTCCTGGGGATGCACAGGCGACATCCTCGGGGTTGGGTTGGTTCAGGAATGGGCAAAGGTTTAGCGGTCAGCCAGCTAGCTTTGGTGGGCATGATTTGGAAGGCATATGTCAAAAGCTGGGACCCGACTCTGGGAGATGGGATATGTGTGCATGGATCACGGCCACCCGAGGGCGAGCTGAGCTGGCTGTGCGACTTGAACATTGCCACATGCTACTTCCTGAGCATCTGGGCTAGGGACATACAACAGCTTCGCGTGGGAGTAATGAAGCCAAGGGTACCTTCTCTTGTCTGATGGGACAGTGTTCTGACACCGTTGGAGCGACGGGTCGGGAATGGGCGTGAGCGACTTGCCAGGGCAGGCCGCAACTCTTTTTTGTTTCAATCCTACGTTAGCCTGGAGGAACTAAAGCACAGTACAGTGTTAGTCGGTTTTGCCTGTCCCACCATCGTTAGCAAGCAATCAGAGGCCGCCCATCCATCCATCCATCCATCCATACATGGCACGGCCTGTACGCAACACGCATGGGGGGTGGTGGTGGTGGTGGTGGTGGCCCGGAAGATGAAAAGAAGGGGTGCCGGAGAGAAGGGAGTGAGTGGTGTCTGCGGGAAACGGACAGAGTTGGCCGCCTGTCTTTTATTATAGCCGTTAATAAGATCTGGGTGTTGTGTAAGGTGGGTGCTGACTTGTCATGCATGCTTTATCGTGGTACGGACGGTTCGTTCGACTGCTGCTCGGTTTGCGATGGCAGAGGAGGGCGGATGACGATCAACCAGGAGCAGCCAGTCTGGTTTGCATGCACACACACATACGCACACACACGCACACCCCTCCAGGACGAACCCAGAATCCCACCCTGGGCTTTTTTGTAATTTTCGGCCAATGAAAATTCTGAAAAATGCTGCATTTGCATAAAAGGTAGAATACCCAAGCAACTCTTTAAGGAAGACCCATGGGTGCCCATACCAGGATGCGACAGGGGCCGCTTACAACGGATTTCTTCCCAAGTTTCGCGCCTTTGGTACGCCAAACCGTTCCCGGCCGGTACGGGTCGGGTCTCCAATTCCCCTCCTTTTGCCGCCTGCCTAGCGTCGACTTTCTGGGGGCCTAGTCCGCTGCCTTTCGAGGGCTATCTGTGCTACTAAATCAGTGCAGTCTGTGACGGAAGGAACAGAGGGATAGGTCGCGTCCGTTCCTTCTTGGGATCTCAGATGGTCTGTGTATTGATTGCTCTTTCCTTCCCTGTCCCCCCGCCCTACGATACTACTTATCCACTTTAGGAAAGAGCAGGGGCAAGGCAGAATGACACGAATGGGTAAGGGAACCAAGACTAAAAGCAAGGAGCGCATCAGAGCAGGAGCAGGGGGGGCCTGGGAGATAAAATACTTGTACCTAACCAAACTGACAACACACACGCCGCCGCTCTGGTGGTGTTGCATCACACACAGAAACCCAAACCGAAAAAAAATTACACAGGCAGAGCCATATAAACCAGGGAAACCAGACTACAAACGCCCAATTGCTGCACTTCTGCCTGACCTTGGGAAATTGGCATCATGCCGTTCCACTGTCACCCCCTTTGCTTTTGTCGAATCCAGCACCCTTTGCGTCAGCTCCCGCCAGCGTTTGCATCCGTCGGCCAGGGTGCACCTGGCATGGTTCTGTTCCGTTTAACAGCCCAGGTTCCATGTCGAGTCTAGATCCAGAAGTCGTCGACACCACCGCTGCCGCCGCCGCCACCATGCATCATCTCAGGGCTGCAGTTCACTTGCACCACCACCACGCCGTCGCTGCGACCTTCTCCTCCACCGTCATCGCCATCGCCTTTATACCTACAGTACCTCCCTAGGTGGGTGCTTCACTCCCTTACATCTCTCCGTATTTTACATATCTCTTCTCTGAAGCCGCGTACATTCATCTGGATATACTGTGCACCTAAGTAGGCTGTAGCTTCTCATGTTCTTCTGTCTAAGGCTTCCATGCCCTTCTTCTTTCTTTTCCCAGCCTCCACCCTTCGCAGTCGGTGTCCAGGGCTTAATCCCTCCCATGGAGTTGGTACCTTGACTTTTCCTCAGCTGCTTGTACTGTACAAACGGGCCGCCTGTCCTCCCAGACAAGGCACACCAGCGGTTCCTGTGACAGGCCTCTACGTGCACCCCGTCCAGGTGTACTTTTTGCTAAGTACACAAGGTCTTATAAGGCCGTGGCTCCTGTTTTACTAACACCAACCCGGCCCGCCATGGCCTGTCTGTGTTCTCCCCTACCTGCGGTAACCTTACTTGACCTGCCTGGCTTTACCCAATACTCGGTCGAAACCACGCATAACGTACCTCGACCTCATGTGCCGGCTGACATCTGGCTGGACTACAGCTCCATCCGACTCGACTCGACTGGCCCTCCGTTGCCCGTTTCTTGTTCCCCGTTACCCCTCCGTTTCCACACCAAGACGCCTTCGCGGCTTGTGTCCGTCAACCTCAAACCTGTGCACTTACAAACACGCCCCCCACATGCCTTTTCATTCGTTCCATGCCCGTGTGCTCCCGGGGCCATCTGCCAGGCAGCCCAGCGGCGCCTGAGCAACTGCCCGGCGTCCCCTTGTTTGCGTCTCGGTCTCGAGTCTCCTCTGGTGGCCAGAATCAGCCTGTCGTGCGCTCCGCCGGCGATGCTCTCTTGACCCTTGTACATGCCATCATACATTCTCTGCTTCCCTGCTTCCCTCCAGTCGGAACTCGTTGTGTGTCCTAGATCCTGCTCCTCCCACCAATGCACCCACGCCCCCGTCACTGTGCTTGGCTTTCCTTTTTTTTCTCGCTTTCCACACTCTGCCACCAACCTCTGGGTAATGAGCACATCTTCGTTTCAGTCTAGTCCCGGATTCGACTGTCACTTTTTCGCCTCTTCCCTAGGCCCTGTCCCTGCCCTTCCCGGATCAGCCCTTGCACCCTCTTGGTGAACCGAGCCCCCCTTGTCTGCATATCGTGATTGCAGAGCCAGGACCGATCTCCCTCCACCGGCCTATCTCCACCAATACCAACGGCGACGTTCGCCTCTCGGCATATGCAGTCGTTACTCTCACCTCTTTCTCTGATCAATCGAAATTGCTTTGCCGGCCAATCCGTGCCCTCTCTATCTGGTCAATGACTCCAGCCATCACCCCATCCCCTTTTGCCGTCGAGCCCTCTCGTTGGCCGTGTCGTCTCCACGACGGGGCTCACGGGTAGCCAAGTACTATCACCGGAACCGCTGCTCCTCTTTTGTCGCCATGCCTGCCTCTTCACACGGCCTCGAGCGGGGTTTCTGTAACCCCCTGACGAATAGACTCACCATGCTCTATCATGTCAGATCACGAGTTGCTGCTCTCTCGCCGGCATGGAGAGCCATGAAAAAGTATAAAAGGGACCGTCGTCGACGGCCTCGAGCCATCTTCTTCTTCCTCCTTTCTCTTCTCTTTTCTTCAGACCATCCTCCACAGCTCGAGACACCAAGTCCCTTTGCCACATACACTCTGCCACACCAGCTCTCCTCTTGCCCAAGTGTTGAAGACTCTTTTGTGCTTCACCTCCTTCCAACTTCTCTACAGACCCCCCACACTGAGCCTAGTGCCCACAACCAAGTACGCCTACGAGCAACTTGCATCCTTAGCTTCCACTGCTTTCCCACACCTCCTTCCCTGATCCCGGTCCCCACCACCCATCAGCTACAATGTCTTCCACATATGCTTCCCAGTACTACGCTGGCACCCTGCCCATGCCCGTCCCTTCCAAGGACGAGTACGCTGCATACTACCAGGGCGGACACGATGCCTACTCGGTCTCCCCGCCCGAGTCGGAGAACGTGAGCTCTGCCTCGGGCGTCGCGTCTTACAGCAGCCCTGGCTATTCTGCCACGGCGAGCTATGCTGGCAGCAGCCATGGCGACTACGACACTGCCGCTTCCGCCAGCGGAATCGATCTGAATGAGTACATGCAGGAGCGCTTCGCCGAGACCTTTGATCCTCAGCAGCTCGACCGCTGCGTCGCTCTGCAAGCACAGACGTAAGTTTTGCTTCCATTTTCTCATAGCACGGTTCTCGAGAAGCGAACTCGAGAGCGGCAGTTTCCGCTACTACCGATGACTGTATAGATTGGAGAGCTAACACGCGCTGCGACAGGTCTGGCCATCTCAATGCCAAGCAGCGGGAGCTGCTCGAGCTGCAGAAGAAGGCGCAAGCTCGCCTCGCAAAGTCGCGCGCTCGTTTTGCCGAGGGCATGCAAGATGCGCGCCAAGTGCGAGCCGATCTGGAGTGGACGCAGAAGAAAGTCTCGTAAGTTCTAGATCTTTGAAACTTGCCGGATCAAGTCGAGAGAATTTGGGGCTGCATTGCGACCTCCGACCTTGGCTTGATCTGCTGTCGAATAACGTTGCTGACCATTTCCCCCTCTCATTCAGATCCCTCAAGGGCAAGGCCTCGAAGAAGCACTCCAAGGAGTACAGCAAGGCGCGCGAGCGCTACCCGTCTCCTGACTATTAAACTGGATCTCGCGTCCAGTTTGATACGGAAGAAATTGGCAGAGCTGCATTCCACTCGGCAATGCGCCGGTCGTGGAACCAGCCAGTCGGTTGTCTGACCGTGAAAAAAAGGAAAGGTCAAACGGCGGTCTTCTATTTCACTTGTAATACGCAACATTTCATCTTTTGACGAACAAAGTAAGTCGAGCGAAGGGAAAAAGCAGAGGGCGAGATGGAGTGACGTTGAAAGTCTGGCGCGCCTACTAGGCGCGCGCGGCTCAGCGCTCCTGGAATTCTCCCCTGCTGCTACGGGGGTGCATATACCGGACAGGGAGGCGTTTTTACCGCGCGGGGCGGCTGTTTCACGAAGTCATGACTTATGATTGGACGATTTGGGGCAGGTCTGGAGTGGCAGCTTATTTAAAAAGTACAGTACACCACCCTTTTCGGTGACAGGGAGGGTCGGATTGCCAGTCGGGCAAGCGCCAGGGCTGCAGTAGGGTGCTGGGCAGTCACAGCTCGTGCTGCAAGGGGCACACCCGTACCACACGCACCGATCGCCCGCCTGGGAGCCACAGGACCAGGGGGGGTGGCTACCAACATGGATGGGCCTGGGGTGTGGGTGTGGGTGTGTGCTCGGCGTGGGCATACGCACTCACGACCACACGCGCAGCTGCGAGTCGCAGGCGAGATTGGGACACGGGCGACGGGACATTTCCTTTTGGGGCCTGTGGATATTGCTTCTTTGGGAACAAGATGGTTCGCTCTGTGTATTTACTGGACATGGCCGCAGGGGGCCGGGAGGGCTGTCTCTCATTGGGTCCTTCACACCGGTCTTGGGAGCCCTGGGGGGAGGGGGGGGGGGGGGGGGGGGGGGGGTGGGGGGG